ACACCACCACACCCACACACCACCACACCCACACACCACCACACCCACACACCACCACACCCACGCAACCCACCACACCCACGCCACCCACCACCACACCCACACACCCACGGGTGGGCTTTTCTACCCACAGCCCCACTCAGTTGCAGTTCCACCCGCGTATGGGTTTGCCCGCCCACAAACGTTCCGGGCGTGCTTGTTTCAAAGGCCTAACGACATGGCCAGCGACTTGTATTATATATTTATGCTCGTCGATGTTGTTGGCCCAGCGTCCTCATGTCGGCGCACCTTTAACTGACTGGAGTGCTACCGAGCTGGGCTGTGTCGTTCACACTCTACTTATGGTGATCTACTTCTACTATTGCTTTTTTTCATCATAACTACGGTCTCTGTCACGTAATCCTCGTCTTCTGCTCTGAGTGGTCCTTCACGACTCGTCTAGCCCCTCGTCTAGTTATCACTGTCGAGGAGGAACTGGTCAACAACTACTTACTTACATCATTACTAAGATCAAAGACCCACGACGACATCCTTATCCACAAGAATCCCGCTCTAATCCACGGTCTGGCTTTGCAGCAGCTGGGTTCCAACGACCTTGGCGCAGTGGCAATAGCTGGCGCAACGGCAGGTGTCGGTTACGCTGCGACCCTTTGCCCACTGGAGTTTGTCAAGGTGAACTGTCAGGTCGCTGCTGGAAGCGTAGGACAGGTCGCAACTGGACCTAGAAGTGGAGGAGGTATCCATTTTCAGATTCAGAGCGTATTGAGAATAAAAAGACCACAGACCACATAATCATCCAGAGCATGCTTTTGTTGAAAATGCTTACGTGATGTGAGTCACACAAAATTTTTTGAAAATGCTAACATTCAAGGTACTAGTACCTCATCAACGTGTGCTTCCGGCGCATTGCAGAACATCCTGAAAGACCACAACTGTCGTGGTCCCATGACGACGAGAGCAACAGCTTCCTTCTTGATAAGACGCTATGGCCTTTTGGGGATGTATCGAGGATTTGGTGTGTGTCTACTACGCGATCTAGGACAGTGTACAGCCTATTACACGCTAGCCGAATATTGGAATCGTCGCTTAACCGAACCTTTGGGACCAGTGCTGGCGCCTTTCGTTATGGAGAGGGAACAAAGATGTTACCTTTTCAGATTATTTTGCTGTTCTTCTTTCTTGTTGTGCTAGCACTTGCTTGTAGAAGTTGTAGTTTGAATACACTTTCACGATTTCGATTTCTTTGTTCTGTTCAGAAACTCGTAGATCACTCCTTGGATTCCCGCTTGCCCTAGCTGGTCTAACCTCATCGCTGGTGCAATAACTGGCGTGGGACACTGTTCTATCGAATACCCGTTTGACTGTATCAAAACACAGAGACAGGTCGTCTTGGCCAGCGGTTCACCTACGGCTAGGATGATACGAGAGAAGTCGTACGCGGAGATTTTGCAGACGATTATTATGGCTCAACATGCACTTGCAGTACTATAACTATAAGTTTCTAAGTAACCAAGCATTTGGATTTGCCTAGAAATACAACTAGGAACAAGAATGCCCTTCGTAGAAGTAGTAGGAACTTCTTCAAGCCTAGAAGTAGTAGGAACAATGCTCTTCGTAGGTGTATTGGTTCTAGTAGCCATAGCATGCTCATGCTCCATGCAGTGCTATTCAATCGAAAAAACGAAAGCAAATGCAAAACGGAAACTCTTCTAAAACAAAGAGCGATGCTGCTCTTCGTGCGCAGATACGGACGGGCTATCTCGTAACGATATCCCGCGCTGTAGTGGCTCATGGTGCTAGCTTCGCGATGTTGAGGCAACTGCAACCATTTCTTGAAGGCTTTTGACATGTAGACGGATTGTACCTACACAATATTTTCGATAATATCATGGACGAGATCATTCCACTGTAATTTGGTTATCACCGTCAAACACATGAGAAACTTCAGTTCATTTCTGTTTCAACATGATGAAACTGCATAGACGAAAAATTGTGCAAAGCGTGTATTATACTTTTTTAGCAAAACTTCTAAATATAATTGAGTGGTTGTACCCATATCCATTCCATCCTAAGAAAATGACATATAATGACACCATCCTAGCAGATATCAACCTTGAAATTACGACAATGCTGAGACACAACATGCATTTCCGCAGACGAATGAAATTCCACCACACGAATTAAGAACATGAGGGTTAATTGAACGACGTGAAGGCTGAACTGTCTTATCACGATTACGCTTGTCCAGTCCCAGTACATACTTTAGTTCGTCTCGCTGTCAAGATGTAGGAGAAGATCTGCTTGAGGCTACTGAAATAGATCATCTTGAACAGCGGCATCGCAGTCGCAGATCACAAATAGTACCGACACTGTGATCTTCTGCACCACTACAAGCAGGTACAACATCATGATCATATTATCGAGACGTGGAGAACGGAAATCATGAGCATAGAGCAGGAGCAACAACATCCACGAGGAACAATAACAAGGACAACGGATCACATCAACTTCTCTGCACTTCACTGTGACCGATGACCTGTATCCGATCTGTCACGCTCTCCCTCATCAATACTTCCACAAAGAACTTCCTGACGTTGTTTGTCCTTTTTGTTTTCTCTAAAATGCTTCAACACGACAGAACCCCACTCGCCGTTTTTATCGTTATTGCTACCCAGTTGAATTATTTTGTTGTTGCAGCTCAGAGTGGTGCTTTAAGTCACCTGCTTCACCCAGAGGACCCAGAGTGTCCCTTATCTTTATCATTCTTACCACAGACCCTTTATCTTTATCATTCTTACCACACTCCTGGTCCTGTGGTGTAAAAACCAAAGACCGTCATCAAAATGTCGAAGATCTGTTCTGCTTCTTCCTCGGGTCAGGTGCTCCAGGGGCGACGCATCCTGTCTGCTAAATACCGCGTTCCTCCATCCCGTCTCGACGCCGTTGCTGGCTATTACAGAGATCGCTTTGGCATGCAAATGTCTTCATCGGGTTCTTCTGGTACTAACGTGGTTACGCAGCTTGCCTTCCCACATTCAGTCAATTCCTGTAATCTGCAGTTTCGCACTATCAGCAGCTCTACTGGTGCTAGTACAACTAGTAGTAGTGCTGCTTGTGCTTCCTCGTCCGCCAGTCCTCCTCCTGCTGCTTCATCAAGCAAACCCTTGTACTGGAAAATTGGCTTAGCTGTGGACGATGTGAACGCATGTTTAGGACGAATGGGGAGTGGAGACCGTGGCTCTCAGTTTCTAGATGTCGGCTTCCTAGAACATGTCCAAGATCCAATAGGACACCCTGTTGAGTTGCTACAGACAACTTTCGAAGGAAATGAAGCAGGGAAGAGGATTATACAGGTAGTTATAGCTACTCGAAAGCAGGCATTTGATCTCGACTAGTAGGGATCACGACTAAACTCAAACTCTGTCTAGAACAAACTATGACTCGTGCATACACCTGCCTGAGAAATAACTACTTGTACTTTTAGCCAATTAGAAGTTCTTGTTGACAAACAAACACATTGAAAGTCAAACAGTCACTAAACTTCTACAATCAGGCTTCGCGCGACCCTCAAGCTACCTCTCCAAATGCCCTGACTGGTGGCCCCGATCCCGTCATCGGACAGATCACCACCCGAACCCGCGACCCCACCGCTCTAGTCAAGTTTTACACGGAAGTCATGGGCATGACCTTACTGGAAAAACAAGACGTTTCGCGCTATGGCTTCGATCTCTATTTCTTCGCGTACTGTGATGCGCCATCCGCACAACTCCAAGCCAGTATCCAAGCACGCAGAGAATGGCTGTATCAACTGCCAGTGACCACTCTGGAAGTGCAGCATCATCGTGGAACTGATCCGAAGGGGCCGAGACTTAAAGGTATTGAAGATAGTTCGATGGCTTCATGTCACTACAAAAGATTAAGATTTTGAAATTAGGCAACATAGCCTATTTCATCATGTTGTTCAATCATGTTTTCTAGTCCCTTACTGTGTTCTGCCTGAAAGAATCCACCACCCTCACAAACGGACTAATCCAAGGTCCCGATGACATCCCAGCGTCAGCTGCAGCCTTCGAAGGCATTTCGGTAGGGGTGTCTGCCGCTGATTTCCGCCGCATATCTAATCATGCCACGTTCGACGCCAAGACAAACACTGTAATTGACCCAGATGGCTTGCGTATCGATGTCATTGTCCTTGGACAAGATGGCAAGGTTGCCTCAAATTGTACGAACACCCTGCTTCCGGCGCGTCTCAATGTCCCACAAGTAGTAGGACATCAAGATGAAAATCAACTCTCGGTGCCTGGTTCTCCCCGAGCTGGATCTCACTCTCCTCGCATGAGAAGTCCTAGAATCAGCGCTTTTCTGCAGCCTTCGATGGCGCCACATCCAGTGTCTCCAGCACTAGAAGGATCGGACTGGAGTCGCGTGTTTGGACAAGGTCCGATGCCCAGCTCTCCGCGTTTGGGAGCTCATACAAGAGCCCAATACGCAGCAATGTCTTCATCTAGTAGTGGTGCGAATAAAGGCGCTTCTACTTCTAGCGGGACATCAAATAAAAGTAGTGGTGGAAGAGCAGATTGGAGTGTCGTTGTCACTCGCGAGATCGACCCTCTCCACAAGTTTCCTGGCGCACCACAGTTGAAGCTGCTCCAGTTCCCGTGCCTGGATGACAATTATGGGTACCTGTTCCACTTGCCTGGAGGCGGTGCCGGTCGCGTGATCGCAGTTGACCTGCCCCAAGGCTGTGGTGCAGAGTATTGCGAACGCGCCAGGGAAACGTTTGGATCTCCGATCACCGATGTCTTGGTCACCCACTGGCATTGGGACCATCTAGGCGCTTGGCCAGAGATCAAGGCGAACAATTTCGCTTTGAATAGCGGCGTTCGTCCTCGCATGTTTGGAAGCAGGGTTGAGTTGCCGAACTTGCAACGCTACGCGTCAGAAAGCGATTTTGACGACCTGCTCAAACAAGGAGATAAGTTGACCATTGGAGCAGGCGGCGGAAGTTCTGTCTCTGGTGGAGGACAAACTGCGACGACGCCTCTGGAATTTGAGATCATCCACGTTCCAGGCCACACTTTAGGACACATCGCGTTCTATCTGAAGAGTCATGGCTTGGCTTTTACGGGAGATATCATTTTCCCAATGGGTTGTGGACGTGTGTTTGAGGGAGATGCAGCGGAGAATTACAGGTACAACTAGAATTACAGGTACGACTAGATCTCTTAATGTACCTCTATATATTATACCAAATATTCTCTCTACGCACATCCACACTTTTGTTGATGAATTTGCATTCGATATGTGTGATTTTCTCCATAATTTGGTCCACAACTTTTAATCATAAGTACATCCATAACCATATTAAACTCAACCTGCATTTTCTTTCATCCTTGTTTCTGCTCCTGCTCAGGACCCTGAAGCACCGCTTGATCGACCATGTTCCCAAATCCACTCTGCTGTTTGCCGCTCATGAGTATGCCACAGATGGGTGCCAATTTGCTCTAAGCACTGTGGAAGATGAGGAGGAAAGGGCCCATGTGATCGAGCGCGTCAAGGCAATCGTCATCACACGCAGTCTGCGGAAACCGACTGTGCCGTTTACATTGGAGATGGAGTTGGACACTAGTCCGTTTCTCAGAGTCAGGCAATTCTTCGCCAGAGGTTTTGGTGTTATGACTTCCTGGAATTCATCTTGAGAAGCATCTGTGGTCCCTTTTGTGAGGGGAAAACACGTCAAAGATCATGATGCTTTGAGTTTTTTCAAGATGAATTACTGTGATGTCTAATGGTGGTTCTGAAAAGCGAGGAGACGAGGTTTTTCGGAATGTGCGAGCCTTGAGAAATAACTTCAAAGTGGTGCGACCTTGGGGTCAGAAGGAAATGGAGGCAGCTCTGGAAGTACCGGGATCACCATCGAAAAAACCGAAGTTTTAAGGGAGTTTCTAATACAAATAATGTTTGTAGAAGAAACGTGGAGGAACTGGAAGTTTTGAACTTTTGGGAACGTAGTCACTGGATGTTCGTAGAAGAGGAAGATAGAGATGAAGAATAACGAAATCAGTAGCAGACTGCTCCTGGTGTTGCAACTGTACTAAAGTGTAAAAATAGTAGAAGCAAGTAGAGAATAATTTCGTATGATGGGTTTTGGATTTCAAACATCATGAAGATATAGTAGAAGTTCTTGAAAACAAACTCTAGGATTACTAGACTAAGTGAAAGTTGTAAATCAATGTCACCAATAAAGACCAAAACGATTGAAATGCAGAGCAAAGTTCTCTGAAAACCACTTGTACATCTATCTCTATGAAACATTACGCGCATGACCATGAAAATTGGAAGTTCTTGTGGGTGTGCCTAATTTTCTAGTTACATCCCGCATTGAAATAAAATCCATACTTCTAGAAACCGAATCCCTGTTGTCTTCTTTGGACCCAGAATATTTGCATCATATGATCAGTGACAATCGCATTTCTATCCTCTGCGTGGCTTGAGCAGCCTTGTATGATTTCTTGTCGACCGCGGCTGCCTAAGACGAACCCCGAACAAGTAGGTTGTTGCACACGGCGACTCAGGCGCTGTTGTGCGAATTATTTACTGAGGGAAAGAGTAGCTGTTTCTTGTGAGAGACGAGAAAATGGAAAAACTTGATTGCAAAAAAATTGCGAGATGGCAGAGAAAAAATGTGATAACAAGAAATGACACCATCTGTCATGATGACCTTTGAAGAATAAATGTTCATGTCGTGTTTCTCTGCGAGATGTCGAGCGTTGTGAAAACTGGGATCGTGCAGTCTACGCTTCGCGTCGGACTTGCAATCGCTCCGCGTTTCCGACAGCAGCATCAAAACCGAAATTTCGGTACTTTACCATACCGACTGAAATGGCGATGGTGGAACAACGAGACGATTCTCGGGAAGCAGAATATCACTTTCAAGAAATTCCTCCAAAAATTACTCACTACACCACCTACCGACACCTGTTTTCGCTTCAAATACTTGCGTGAGCATGCTGTTGACCTTCTGTGGAGTCTGAAGTGGTACCACATCGTCGGATTCTCGTTTTCAAGCACGATTCTAGTCGGCGCACATGCGGCGTTGTTGGCTTTAGGACTGGCTTTCATCAAGAAAGACTATAGCGAAGAATTGCGGGACGGCTATTTGCGGGATTGGATAGTGGATCTAAAAGCAGTAGAGGAGTCCCCGGACCTCCAAGAAGCGCATCAAAGCCAGGCAAAAGCTGTAAAGGAGGCGATGAAAGAGGCTTTCGGGATGTCCGACAGTGACGGTGCAGAAAATTTTCGCTCTGCAGCAAGGCTGCTGTTCCCTGTGGAGCAGGAGGTGCGTGCCAGAGTGAGACGAGGACTTTCATTACGGTGAACATAGTACAACTACAAGTACCTCTACTTGTGATGACTGCTATTCCTATTCATAGTATTCACTCTGCCCTTTTTTCAGACGTAGAAACGAGATATTAAGTGTCGACGCTTCCGCTCCTGCTCTTGTAACACTGCTAGGAGTCTTCTTCTAACCTGAATCCACCCTGAAGACTTCAAGAGAGAATACTTTCAAGCAGAGCGCCTCTCAATCCTCAGACGGCGTTTTGGCAAACGCCGCACCAAAATGGGACAATACAAGGACGTAGGCTATCAGGTTGAGGCAAGTTTGGAGAGCGCAGAAGCATTGTGGTATGATGGAGTGCTTATACAGGATAGGCAGGGCACTACAAAAAAACGCATTGCTTCTACTTATAATTGGAAAGAACTACATCTAGAGTACTAGCTAGTCATGGAAAGGGCGTGCACTGTTCAAAAAGATCCCCATGCTTGACACTCATCATTCATCCGTCCTGCGAACCCGCCTTGCAGCATGCGGCTGAGTCTCTAGACAGCGCGGGCTTTGTATTGTTGAAAAACGCGATTTCACCAGAGATGCTAGCGACATTGAGAAGGCAGATATTTGGGACAGCGAATATTAGGCCTGACACACCAAGAGGACTGGGATGGCACGTCAAGGAGACGGATCCGAACATCAGCCATGATCGAATCTTATGATACATGTCAATGAATCGGCCTGTAAGGCATGAAGATCGTGATTTTCTGATAGCATCCTGAGTATTTCAGAGGGTGGAGGTGGAGGAGGTGGCACAGGGTACTACAAATAGTAAGCCGGTACGTACCTAGTCTTCCCCCGTGATGAATAAGTTCAACTTCTGTCTAGGGAAACAGTCATCGACATTAATCTCGACCGCCTTCATGCACAACCGAGGGCCGCCTACATATGAACCTTCGTGGTTCCGCTATTGGCGAGTATTTCGCTGACTGGCATCGCCACTGGCTCCCTTTGTGTTTTCACTATTTGTGTAGCGGAGACATCGAGAGAAAAATTGCGAAGCAAGAAAGGGAGCGAGGGATGTCTGGGTCTTTGGCGTCTACTTCTAGTTCGAGTGCTGCTTCTGCCACAGCCAGCACTTCTGGCACGCTTTTGTCTGAGCAAGATCAGGATAAACTTAAACAGGCCGTGGCGTCTCAGGCACAAGAAACTGAAAAGAAACCCAGTACGAGGACGAGTACCGCAGAACTCACAGCAGAAGAGGAGTACGAGCAGCGACTTTTGATGAGCGAACTCACGTGTCCCCGACTCTACGTAGCGGAGGTGTATTTGGTGATGAATGACGTGGTCTGTCCCAGGAATGACTGGTATACCGATTCCCATTCTAAGTCCCTCACTGTTCTGGTGCCATTAGACGACTTTCCGGAAGACAGTGGGCAGATCGAGATGCTACCAGGGACGCATAAACTGACATTATGGAGGCTGCATTAGATCAGGACTTTTCTCGTTGCACCACCTAAATTTTTTTTGAAATTCTAACCTGCAAATCCGACATCCCTGTCTTCGACATCAATGACCCGACAAAAATGACTACCGACGTCGAAGAATCAAGTTTCCTGACCCGATTTCTGAATGCCTTCAGAATAGGTTGTAGTGTCCGCGGCTATGTCACGCCTAGTGACATCGAATGGTCAGTGAAGAGGTTAGCAACAGAAGCCAGAGAAGCCGAAAGTCAAGCCGCGACCATGTCCTGTACAACTTCCGATACACGAGATGCTGGTGCATCATCATCGTCTGGCATAACAACGACAACAGCAACCGAACTTCCGCAAGAACAGCAGCAAAAGGAGTTTGACGAGCATTTTGCCGCAAAAGAGAAAGAAAAACGCGACAGGGCTTGGAAGGCCGGGGATGCCTTAGTCTTTGATTCCAGAATCATTAAGCGAGGTGGGGAGAGTGTCAATGTCTTTCGACCAGGGCATACGCTTTTAATCCGTTATGAACGCTGGGACAGTCGAAGGATAGATAAAGCGTACCAACATGGCTTCAATGTTGAAGGTCAGAGGTGGAAAATGTCTCTTGGGAGGTATTTGGACGGGGTCTTTAGGGTATATGCCGCTGTGTAGGTGTTGATACCGACCTGTAGTTTACTACGGACTAGGTGTTGACACCGATCTGTTTACTACGGACAACTTTCTGCAGGTGCGAAGTCGACATAAAACATTAACATTGACTTTGACAAAAGAGACGTTTCGTCCATTTCTGTCACATGATGAACCTTGTTATATTAGGTTAATCGAGTCACTTTATTTACAAACGACTCGTACTGGTGCTCGTCGTTTCATCGGCATTTATTTTTGCTCTGAAAGTGTCGAGTTATAAACTCGCACGATCGGCGCGATTCGGAGTCCTCGCGCGCACCACAACTATCGGTTAGCAGATCATAGTACAGAGTCGGGGAAAAGAGAGTAGAGCGTTATACGCATAAGCAGAAAGAGTGGAAGCAGATGTCAGAATAATATCTAACAGCAAGTAAAAAAAACTGCGTCTTCAATCACATCAGCGATCTACTGCAGCCGCATTCGGATGAAGCGACCCCTACCAAAAAGAAAAGAATATAACGCACTAGGAAAACGGCGAATCACCGATGAGCCAACATCACCGATAACCCAACTTGTTGATTTCTTTACGACTAAATAAAAGACTAAGACTTGTTGTCAAGAAGAGACACACACAAAGAAAAACAATGTTCAACACGGGGCCGATCCGGCATCCGTCCGTCCGGGAGATCGATGCCTCCTATGAGGACGCCTTACGAGCAGTGACGTCGTTCCAGTACAAGCACTTGGACCTAGTCCATTCCACAGAACTTCCTCATGAAAAAGAGGCGCGATTTCAACGAGAACTCGCGAAAAACGCATATCTGGACAGACACTCGACACCAAGCTCGAGCAAAGGAAGCGGGAACAATGTGTTTGCACGGAGTCGGAGTGCTAGCAAGGAAAGAGAAAATGCGAATTATCTGAGGGCGAGGTACTCGTTTTCAAATGACTGATCTCCGGGAGCTGAATCCATGGGGCTCCATCGCTTACAGTGAGACTTAAGATGCCACGTTGTAGTTTTTGCCGTGAACGATGTACTTGCATGCACCCCCTCTTCACCCATTTTGAATTTCGAGTACGCATCACAACACCAGGTTCGGCAGTGACCCCACGGCCGCTACTTCCTCTTCCTTAGCTGCTGGTACACGGCACCGCCCTAGAAGCCAGAACGGCAGCAAAGCATCCTCTCCTCAAGAAGACTATTTCAGATGCGACAGTGCTCGTAGAGAAGCAACTGGTGATTTCCATGTAGGGAAAGAAGATTGGAGTGCAGACTTTGGTAACAATATTAGTGGTGAGGAAGGAGTCTCTTTGCTGAGCAAGTTTCAAGCCGAATGGAAACAGAGGAACAAGGAGCGCCGCGATAACGAGATGCAGGAGAAGGAGGAACGAAGACAAATGCAGAGTAGGATCCGAAGACAAATGTCGGACGACCAGCAACCTTCAGGAAGATTGGCAAGGGAAGTCGACCGAACGGGGGAGAAAATGGGGAAAAGTGCATCATCTGTGGACTTGACGAATAGTAGACACGCGGGAGCTGAACACACTCTACTTTCATCCAAGATCAAAGAAGACATTCTCCTAGTCTCCTCCGATCGTGGTGCTAGGGGACAGAACGACTCGCCTGATCCGGTCATGGTGTGGCGAGACACTCTGCGTGATCGACAGATGATCACAAGCACGATTTTAGATAGGGTTTTAGGTACTTCTTCTTCATCCTCCGGCCCTGGAGCGCCGTACAGTCGAGATCCAGTCAGTGACGCTGCTTTTTTGCGGGAACGGGTCAAATCTTTTTCTCCAAGAGGTGGTGCAGCTTCCACCTCCTTGCCTGCGGATGTCTACCTCTCTGGCGATGCTGACTTAATGGACACGGCTGCGACTGGAGAGCGGAAGTTGAGGATTCAACGTGACGGTCTGGCTGAATCAATGGGCACAATTGAGGGGTATCAAGAACTTGACGGTCTTACGCCAATAGATTGGAAAGCAGATTGGAGAAGCGGGAAATACGACAAAAACCTCAAGAACAAGCCGCCGCTCATAACTGGTTTATCGCCAGTAGACACGGGTTTACCAGAACACTACCGTCAAACCGGAACCGATCGACACATCTCCTCTTCAAATCATCTTGACGATGAAGAGGACGATGATCATGTTGACCCACAACTCCACGAAGAGCTTCTCAATGGAGGTTTTCCCCAAGGCAGACGCGTGAAAGAACTCTTCGAGGCCGAGGGAAATGGCATCCCTAGTGCTTCGGCAGCACTGAGTTCGACTCTAGTGAAGAGTGAGCTTGCCGAACTAGATGGACTGCTGAAAAAGAAGTGTCATCCTGACGGCGTTGGCGATATAACTCCAATCGAAAGCGACGACGAAATAAGGCCGAGAACGGCGCAGGATGAAGAGAGAAAAATGCTCTGGGACGACGATCCTTCAATGAAGAAAATGCTCAATTTGAAAGACGACGTTGATCATGTCAAAGGACATGGTAGTAGAGTTTGTGCTTCTTCGACAGGTAGAACTTCTACAACGAATAAGCCTAGGAGAAACTTCAGTACGAAGATGGACGTCGAGGAGGATGAAGCAGGAGAAGATGACACGGTAGAATTGAAGGGAGGGTTCTTGGAGAATCGTCCCAGTACTAGTCCACGTGAAGTGGAGGACGTTGAAGACGAAAACGATCCAACATCTGACGCTGGGCGTGGTATGTCTTCATCTTTTTTGAACAGTACTGCCTCTGCATCTACAATGATGCCAGGCGGTGGTAGACGGAAATCAGGAGGTACTACAACTGGGATGAACAAGGGTAGTGCTGCTGCATCCTCTTCTGCTTCTGCTGCTTCTGCCTCTTCTTCCTCTGCTTCCAACAACGAGACACGTGCCGAGCGAGACGCCCGCAGATTGCAGGCTCTCTGCGAAGACACCGACGACACAACAAGTCCCAAATCTTTACATCAGAAGATTCGTCGGGAATTCTTTCGGCCAGGTGACCACTTGGCGACTCACGAGGAACTGGTAGAAGGTCGCGAAGACGCGGCCGTGCGAGAGAGGATGGTGGAAGCAGGTGAAGAAGGAATGTTGGGAGATAAAGATGAACTCGAACAAGAAGAGGAAAAGGACCGCCTTCTTGGCGACATACGTTACGCGGCGATTAGAGGCGACGTGGATCTGGCTATGGAGGGGTCAGAACTTCTAAGGCAAAGTGGGATTGGTGGTGGTGGTGACCCTGGATATGATGACGACGACAACTATACTGGAGGAGTCGGAGACGTTCAGCATGAAGTGTTGCCGAGTATCGACGCAAAATACGGAGTGGAAGATGATAACCAAGTTTTTGTCATCATACCGAGACAAGAAGATACGCCCACGGGCAATCCTTCTCCTACGATGAAAACTAACAGTCCCGCAAAAACAGAGTACAACAGCTACAACCAAGCTGCAGCACAGAATAATTTTTCTTCTTCATCCGGCAACAAACCAATGCAAGAAGTTGTTAGGGAACCAATGCAAGAAGTTACTAGGGGACCATCATCGGGACCCGGGCCATCGCCGGGTAGTGCTTCAGGCAACATGATCAATGTGCCTAGTACAACTGCAGCATCTTTTACTCCAGCATCTAGAACAGCAGGCCCTCCTTCGTCCGCCGCGACGCCGAAGCGATCACTAGTTCGCGGAGTTCGAGGAGCTGTGCCCTCGAGGATGGGCATCCCAGCTCCCGGAGAACGATCTGGATCGCCAGTATCTAGCCTGCGCGCACGTGCTGCCGACGTGGTCAGAGAGGATGGTGAGACGCTGAAGAAGCTAGCCACTGGTGCGCAAGCTGCAAGGGCTGCAGCTGCGGGACACTACCAGGACAGCTTACAACTACGGGTGGGAAGCGGTGTGAAGCCGAATAGCGGAGTTTCAAACGAAGTTGCAAAGTCCTCAAGTACGCGAGTAGCCTTCGGAAGTAGACCAGTAGCTTCAGGAGCTCGCTCCCGCTCAGCCTCGCATACTTCAGCTGGTGGACGAAATAGGGTACCGACTGCGTCAACGGCGACGAATCCTGCTAGAAATGTGGGCAGTAGAAGAAGTAGAAACATCTTAGGATCCTCTGGCTCTGGCGGCAAGATTAGAACGACTATGAACACGAGAAGCGCTAGTGCTTCTTCCTCAAAGGCAAATAATGAGCAACTACAGCGTGCACAACAGCTAGAAAAAAGTGCAGCTTTTCTTTTTGGAAACGCGGATGAAGAAAACTACAGCAGAAGTAGTTCCGCGAAGCTTCTGAGTGCTACTTCTTCGATCTCAGCATCGAACAAGCCGTCTCTTCCAGCGTCACTAGCTTCAGCAGCGGAAAAAGCGAAGTCTCCAGTTCTTCTAGGTCCAGCCCAACGATTTGTAGAAGCCGAGGGTGGCGGAACTGGTTTAGATGGAGTGAACCGGAAGAATGCTTCGAATAGGCGGATGGACCGCAATGAAATTCGAAATGCCATGGACGATGAACGAGGTCGTGCTCGTGGAAGAGATCCAGTAACATTAGCTGGTGCGGCAGTAGCAGAATTAGGTGCATCTTCAGTGACAGATGTCGAAGCAAGGTTACGCAGTGCAGTGAAAGAAGGAGTGTCGTTTCCCATAGAACATGTAGACGAGGAGGAAATCTATGAAGAACTACAAGGTACTGCTGATCAACAGGAGATGAACCTCAGTTCCAGTCAAACTAGGAATGTTGGCCTCCTCAACGAAAGCAAAAGCGCTGAACACGACAAGGCATGGGAGTTGATGAAACAGACGCGCACAGAACAGGGTGATTTGCGATCCATTTATGACTTAGATGGTCGTTGGCGTTCCGACAGCGGTCTCGACATAGTAGTACGTAACGGCGTCTGCACTTGGCTCAACTTGCCTCCTCAAGAAGGTTCTGCGGGTCCTCCTAGTGTGGCGTTTACTAGTCGGCAATCCCTTGCCATCGATGGCGATGAATACGCAATCTTGAGATGCGAATATTTCGAGGGCGTCGTCTGCGGCGTCCGCTGGTCGGATGATGATTACTGGCATCGGAACGAAAAGGAGCTCCACGATTTGATCTCGAAACAACTCAAAGTCCAGGCTTTACAACCAGAGACGTTGCAGCTTGGACGAGCAGCGTTTCAAGAAGCAGATTTAGGTAAGGCAATGCCGAAAGCCAACTACCTGATCCGGCAAGGCGGAAGTGTGCCCACCAGTTTTATGCCGAATGCAAGAAATCGAACAAGTTTGTGGAACGCAGGAGCACAGGAGACGAGATTGGTATTCTTTGTTTCTCATGGTCATGCTCATGCTGTCTCTTCCATTTCTTTCAATTGGCACAGGCTACTGTGATTCGAATTGATTCAGAATAAAGACCTACATCACGTTCACGACAACAGGACCGTGAAAGACTTCGACAATACCTGATAAACGAAGAAGTGATGGGTATAACGGCTAGACAAAAGCGGCAGATTGACAAAGAAAAAAGCGAGCACATCAAAACCCGAGATCGTCTCACAGCTGTGCTTCGAGGCTCGAGACTGCCAATGCGGACGAAAGGTAATGACTTCTGCCATTTGTTTTGCAAGAAATGAAATGTCCTTGCTGTCAAACTTGTAATATGATAGAGTAGTTTATAGAACGGATGTAGGATGGACTTGGATGGATCGGATGGACCCCCCTGATTCTTCCGATCCTACTTGAAATGGTGGGAAGTCCATCCGTTCCATCCGATCCATCCGATCCATCCCATCCCGGATCTGGCACCCCTATAAACTGCTATAATATGAAAATGCTCATCTTCGTCCAATGAATTTAACCACTACTTCTTGTAGTTTCCAAACCACTGACTTTGAATTTGATCTACGCGGCTGTCAAATTTTGAATGAAAACATCCCCACACTCAATTACAGCCAACAAGAACACGGACGTTTTATCGCTCTATCAGAAGAGTAAAAAAGTCTGGGAACAATATCCCACTCTAAAATACAAAAATCCTCACGACATTCGAATGGAGCGTGCGGGGAAGCATCCGAACCGTGGTCCCACGAGCGCAGTTCCTAAGGTGAAGCCGTACTTCACGGAAGCCTTCTTTGTGAATAGGGACACTTACGCAACGGCGTCGAGAAGGAAATTGCCAGTAAGACAAGCAGCGGTGGTATGAAACGAAAAAGTGCACTCACACTCAAGAAATTGGGTAGGATTTAAGTAGGAAAATAGCTAATTTTTTTGAGTGTGAGTGCACTTTTTTCTTTCATAGGTGGAAGAACTCTCGACGCGGAGAAAACAGTTGGGAAGACAAACCCTGTTCTCGAATCCGCAGAAGAAAACATTAGGGGTGGGACCGTAATGGAAAAACATGGTCGATAGAGTTAGATTAGAGCTGAGCTTAAATACTTAAACCAGGTTATACTTATAGCAAGTGCAAGAACAAGAACAGATCGATGATATCGGTGTCAGCAATCGATGTAGTCAAAAGTTAATGACAAATGTGCACAGAAATGAGTTCTTTTTTTCGACATGGGTAGTTGCAAATAAATCTGGTCAATAGAAAAATAACGAACATAGCTAATGATTAACCAGAGAGATACTAGAACGTCCTCTTCGTCTTCCTTCAACCGATAGTTTTTTTCTTAGAGCTTTGTAGTTTGAATCATTGTATTCGCATGTATGGGAATAAGGCGAATCTGACTCCTGAATGGGTTCTGTTCCGTGTGATGATTGAGAACAGATTGGCAGTACTAGCTGCACGTCGATTTTCCCAAAGGCATCAATTGCCTTTTCAACATCGAAGGCGTGATTCTAGTCCTTGTCGTGGATGACAAAAAGGCGCGTGCGCATTTTATGTCACTAGGATTGAATGTTCACCCTTTTTTTTCAGCTCTTGGCTTGCTTTGTTCCGCTTTTCCATTTTTTTTTGTTGGCTTGTTTTTTCTCAAGAGGCGACTATCGTTTGTCAGAAACATGAAATTCAAATTCCGTCATTTGAAAAGAGGCACATATAAATAGATTTTCCTCTACTTACTACTTCGCCATCAACAAGAAATTGCATGGGCAATTTGTGTCTTGGTCGGGCCGGCCGTGTTGCGCCTCTTTCGTCGTCAGCGAACAGCGGCAATGGCGGAGACCTGTCAGCCCAAGCTGTCGGCATCTTGCCCCATCAAGGCGAGAACAGTAGCGCAGACAAAACGCTACTACAAGACCAGTCGTCGACAAGCAAACCCCCGACCTTGTCGGGTAAAAAGGGAGACCAACAAGCACCTTCATCGGAGATTGATCAAAGTTCATCGACAAGGGCGTCAGGAGGTAATTCGGCCAGAACAGCACGATTCGAACTGCCTGATGACGATGACGACAACTCGGGAGGCACTTCAAATAGAATGGCTGGTTATGAAAATGTATCTGTAGTACTGGCTGGGGTGTTTAAATTTACCTGAAGCTATTGGCCGTTGCTTTTGTTGCTACAACTCGTTGATTTCTTATCGAGAAATAAAGAGCAAGAAGCTTTTTTTGATTTTCACTACTACACACACTTTCATACCAACGTTGGCTTCGCCACCGCCAGTATGCGGCTTCGCAGATCCCTGTCGGGCGCCGTGAGCTTAATCGGAAGTCCTCAGCGTAAAAAACGTGCAGGAAAGAAAATCGTTGGTTACAATGGTGACGATGCTTTACCTGATGTCCTCGAGGAAGGTGCACCTGACATTGATGGTGTAACCACTGGAGAAGAAGCAAAATCAAGGAATCAAGATGAAGGTGCACCTGGTGGAACATCTGGAGAAGAGCCAAAATCAAGGAATCAAGATGGAGAGGGAGGCATGTCTCGAGAAGAGCCAAAATCAAGGAATCAAGATGGAGAGGGAGGCATGTCAAAATCCTCTCCGACTAGCCGAGATGCATCTCCGTCTTGTGGAGTCTCTTCTTCTGGTCTCTCCTCAGGACCCTCAAGCAAAGAGAGGACCGGAGCTGCTTCGTCGGAGAAGAAGAGCTCGTCGAAAGTTATGGGGTGGTCAAGACTTTGTTTATAAACTCGCACGAGATGGAGATCCTAAAATATAGAAAATATATGTACGCCTGTTAGAAACTACTCCTAGTACTTTTCTCTCAGTTCTTTCAAATTTTCTAATCCAAGCAAAGAACGCGGGCGCACAGGCACATCCGGAGTCACTAGTCCACTTTCTCCCACATCTCACCAAGTCAACCTTCAGTCTGGCGGTTCAACCTCTTCCTCTTCCCTGACGCGTGAGGACGTCAAAGTTCTGAGGAAAGCCCTGCAGCGCCACTTCCTCTTCTCCAGTTTGGACGAAGATGAACAGAAATCTCTAGTAAAACGCATGCGACGTATGCCAAAAAAAGTGGGCGAATTGGTATTTCGCCAAGGCGATACAGGAGACTCGCTTTATGTGGTGGGGAGTGGGACGTTGTCAGTGGAAATAGACAAACGAGCGGTGAAAAACCTAGGAAGAGGTGCGATTTTTGGGGAGTTAGCGTTCTTGTATAATGTGGATCGAACGGCTAGTGTTCGGGTCTCCGAGACGGCGGTGCTGTGGAGGTTGGATGGTACAATTTTGCTTGAAAGATTTCTACTTCTTTCATCATGTTGTTTGTAGCACATTCTGAGAGATTTCTTGATTAAGTAGTTCTTTTCTGAGAGTTTGAAATTGAATCTTTATAAACTTTGAGACGTTGAAAGTTTGGAGGCTTGCATCTTTGAAACTTTGAATCGACTCTAAATCTTTTGAAAGTTTGGAATCCTGAAATGCTAAGATTCTGAGAGATTTATGAATTTCAAAATTTGAGATTTCAAATTCAAAATCCTTCTTATATCCAAGAAATTTCAGTTATATCGCCTAAAATTGAAATTCCTTTCCTGGCGAGCGCTTTGACAGACACTACAAATCTGATCAAAAACATGGATATGGACAAATCTGCTGAGAACCAGTAGTAGGTGTCCTAAACTTCATTCGATTTGATATTGAGACTCTTCTAGAAACCAAACAGTTTAGTCTTGGTAACTTCATTTATTTGAGGATTCAGGGTGACATCGTATACCCTAGGGGCTGGTATGCTTACCAGTGATAGACTTCACGGAGTGGCAACTTCATTTCAGTTCAGTCTGGGCTGATTTTTTTTTTGTAGTGCGAGCGAGTTATGTGAAGTGAAGAATCTACCTGCGTTTTTTCCGCGTAGATACCGGCAGCGGGGGCAAGACCAAGACCATGGATGTGGCTGAGTGTTCACTGACTCCCACAACGCATTCGCACAAAAATGATCATCTTCTAGTTTCATCATAGACTCATATCATCCTCTCCTCTAGTATGCTCTTTCACACTCTTCAGCCGCCACCGTCCACCACACTCTGCGACAACTAACTGCCAAGTCCCACGCACAAATCCTGAAGTTCCTAACCAGTGATCCAACTTTCGGAGCCCTCTCAGTGGAGGAACGAGAAGCTTTGGCTGGCGTCTGTACTATACAGGATTACATTAAGGCCTACAGTAAATCATCTTATGAAGCATCGCTGACTGCTCTGTCTTCTAAGACGGAAAGGCGACGTCAAGGATGCTTTTCTGGATGAAAACAAGCAAGCTCTAACTACAATGCTGGCGACACGATTCTAAGAGAAGGAGAAGCTTCAGAATGGATGTTTCTGATCATGAGCGGAAAGGTGTTGACTCGCGACGCGGCAGGACAGTACAACACTGCGCGGCAGCATGATTTTCTTGTTATGGCTTTTTCTTTTGGTTTCCACTCCCAGTGAAGACTGACAGGTTTTTAGTAGTACACGACCGGAATGCAGCGTTGTCGTTGATAAGCACAAGGGCCATAAGTGAATGTATCTGTTCCTCTAACATCCGCAGCGTCTACAACCGACAGCAAATCACGAGTGCCAAAGCTCCCGAGAAGGTGAAACTACTGTCCTTCGGCCGTCGAAATCTAGAGCGTTTATACGGTGTTGTTGGCGTAGAGGCGGTTTTGAAGCGTGCATTGCTGAAAGCAGCCTTGCTCAAAAGCGAAGCCTCGTTCTTCCGCAATTTGCTGCCGCCTCAACAACAAAGACTCTTAACCGCTTTTGAGGAAGTTAGTGCGGCGCCAGGTGAGACGGTGATCAAACCAGGTGAAGAAGCAGCATGGATCGTGGTTGTGGATGGGAGTCTGGAAGCAGACGATGAATTAGCAACAGAGGCGGATCCCCCAAATCCAAGTCCTCGTACCTTGCGCAGTGGAGACAGCTTCGGTGCAGAGGAGGTGAGGCGTGGGACAACAATGCAGCATCTAGTCAAATGTCCTAGTAGTGTTTCGGCTTCGACGATAATCTACAAAGCTACCTGCAAAAGGATCGCAGAGCACCTACTGCTTCAGCCAACATCATCTTCTATCGAAGCTCTTCTTCAGAAGAACGAAATTCAGCAGATTTTGCAGGAGATTTTCCTCTTCAAATCCATGCCAGAGAGCCAGCTAGAACAAGTGGTGTCAGCTCTGTCCACCAAAGCCTACAAACCATACGACTTCGTATTCCGACAAGGAGAAGAATCAGACGCCTTCTACTTGATCAAGTCTGGCACTATTGAAGTGCACGTGACGGAAGGACTACGTCAAGAACAACGGACGCGTACAGTCGTCCAAAAAGTGGGCACGAGTAGTGCGAAGACGATTCATGTAGTAGGGAGTGGCGGAGGTGGGGCAGAAAACAATACAGCAAAAAATGATAAAGACAATCAGAGCAAAGGAAACGACCAACACCAGGACAGCACTGCAGCCGCAGCAACTCCAAAATCTCCTGATGTTGAAATGAAACCAGCTTCTCCTCCCCCACAACAGCAAGAACAGACTGGAAAGAAGAAAATCCTACGAACTCTAGGAGTCTGGGACTACCTTGGTGAGCGGGGTTTACTTCTCAATGAGTCTAGATCGGCCTCCTGCCAGGCACAAGAGGAAGGCGCAGAGTGCTTGGCCCTGGATAAGGAAACCTTTCTCAAAATTGTCGGAAACTTCCGAAAGGTCTTGGAGCATAGGATGAAATTGCAGGACTCAAATGTACTTGTTTGATGATTTTTGTTCTGGTAGCTTTTTTTCGAGAGGACGGGTTGATACTTATCTGAAAGATGGGCAGCTTGAAAATACAAGTATCTGAATAATCCCTCACTGAAAAATTTTTTGCGTTCTTTTGATTGCTCCTTCTTGTCGAGGGGACGGACTGATGGATGCAAGAAGATGTGCTTGGTTGAAAATACAAGAGTCTCCTTCTACATAGAGGAACTCTTTTATCCGAATATTAAACCCGCACTCAAAAATCTCTCTCTCTCTCAGATAACACTCGCTGACCTGAAGCCTCTCCATATCGTGGGCAAAGGCACCTTCGGTGTCGTCAAATTATGCTGTCATCGTGAGGATCCAAGTAAGCAATATGCGTTAAAATGCATCGACAAAGCCGCTGCAGTGCGATTGAAACAGCAGAAGTCTCTGCAGACCGAAAAAGCGATCAACAGTCAGTTTATGGCTTACCGTAATTCATCTTAAGAGGGATCTTACTTTGGCGCGTTCATTTTCAAGGGGAAAACACTTCAAAGATCATGACCCTCAAGATGAATCTTCAATTTAGATAAGCTCTAATCACTGCTTTCATCCTTGCATCGTGCAGTTCATCAAAACTTTGCAGGACAGGAATACGATTTACTTCTTGACCGAATTTTTGGGTGGCGGCGACTTGTTTTTGGGGATCCGTGCGATCGGCATGCTCTCAAGAGAACAATCGCGCTTCTACGCGGCGAGTATACTTTTGGCGTTAGATTAAGGCCTTCGTCCCTAATGCATCTTCAAAAGCATCTTGAAGCTGTGGTCCCATAAAAAGAGGAAAGCACCAAGATGCATCTACTCACGATGGATAAGGCGGATGAGCTCCAATTAAGGTACCTGCACGAGCGCAAGATCATCTATCGTGATCTCAAGCCAGAGAACGTATTGTTGGATTTTGAAGGTCGCGCAAAATTAGTGGATTTCGGCTGCTGTAAGACGGCAGCGAGAGCCTACACGGTGGTGGGAACCCCAGAATACTTGGCACCAGAAGTGATTTTGGGGAAGGGGTACCATCTGCTGCTGGTTTATTTCTAAATGTGAATGTTGACTGTAGAAATGGAGCTCACCGCTGGAAAGTCCTCCATCTTGTTTTAAAAATTTTTGCATGTTCACTTTTGAAGTCGTCGTTGTTCACGACCTTGCACACTCACGTCGTTGTCACAGGTACACTCACGTCGTCGATTTTTGGTCTCTCGGTGTAGTGATGTATGAGTTTATTTGTGGTCCTCTCCCCTTCGGCGTAGATTCGGGAGAGGATCAAATGGAGTTATTTAGGCAAATCTTAGAAATGCCAGTCAAGTTCCCCGACTACGTGCGTGACGAGGAAGCCGTGTCGATGCTGAATCATCTGCTAGAAAAGGTTCCAGACTTGAGGTTGGGAACAGGCGCGTTGAGGGAAAAGGAGATCAAGGAGCACCCGTATATGCAAGGGTTCGACTTCAATGCGTGTGCTGGAGGGTACTTACAACATCAGCAATCTTGTTGACATACCTTCTTTGTAGTCGTATATGCAAGGGTTCGACTTCAATGCGTGTGCTGGAGGGTGCATCAACATCAAATATCTTGTTGACATACCTTCTTTGTAGTTGCGCCTAGTAGTGAAGCCTCTTCATCTACTCGAAAACTGAAAATAACCGAGTAAGTGACTGAAATAAAGAAGGTAGGTAGGTTTGACAGGGCTACTCTTCCTTGTTCAGGCTCCTCCAACCAATAGCAATAGACGCACGTGACCTGCACCATGAATCTGTATCCATCCAAAAGGTATCTCGAGCCTCCCTGGAAGCCAGATGCTGCTTCGATCAAAAATGGTTGGACAAGGTGTGATACTATTGTGGACACAGAAGATGGAGATTCTGCGATGTCCGACGTATCAGAAATCGATGATGGAAAGACGACGCCCAAAAAGACAGAGGACACTCAAACAGTTTCTGCAAATAAAGTAGTGGATACGTCGTGGTGCGCTGGGTTTTGATGGAAGAAAAATGGACGGGAAGTTATAAGATGCTCTTGTTAAATCAGTTAGAGTTGTTGTGTTTGAATCATGCGAGGTGGAGGTTGAGCCCTTCGTGCAGATGATGATTTGTAAAGTACTCAGTTTCGCTTTATTGTCGCATAGGTAAATAATGAAGAAGAGAAGGACGGAGGTTCTCAATATAAAAAATGTACAGATGAAGTGCGTAGAACTAATTGAGGCAATGGTAATGAACTTTTAGTTTTTCTCTAGCAGCTTCCTTCGGCTATGGCGATGCAACAAGATATGTCGAGCCTGCATGTGTGAAAGTTACATCTACTAGTGACTCCGCGAGGAAAAGTAATTCCTGTTGGTTGACTTTTTGATGTGTGAGTGGTTACGATTCTCTTATTTGAGGTTCGTGTGTTGTTGAATTTAGTATCGTGCAAAGAAAAATGAACCAGTTGTTGGAACGATGCAATGAATGTTCGTAGCTTGCTGAGGAAATACCCGTCCCAAATGATGAGGAATCCATAGATGTTGAGAAAAAACCATGGTTTCATGCTACCATGTTGATCAACTACAGAAAGACAGACGATATCTTTTTCAGGCGTTGTATCTAGACATTCTCATTCTTGCAGCGAGAGTAGAAGAAGATGATAAAAACATTGTCGTTAATCTGTGTTCCTCGAGATGAAACAAGAGCGGCGACGGCTTTGTCACGCAGATGCTTCATTCAAGAAGATCATTGAAATCCATAAAGAATCTGTAAAAATCGTTCTCCTTGCATCTTCACGTCCTCTCATTTTGATATCCAAAACTTCTACGCAACAGAAGCCGTTCGCTCTTTCTCGGCCACCGCAGACAAGAAGCGCCTCTCTCAATTCTCCCATCAATTCTCCCATCTTCCTCCCCCAGTTGAGATCACAAGATCCTCCGCCCATCAAATAGATAGAAGGTCCAGATGAAAATAAGAATGGATGAGTAGCTGTAGCGTACTTCAACCATTGAAGAAATCAAAAAAAATTTTGATTGATATGAGAGATCATCAAGAAGATAACGATTGCTTCACGTAATCCAGATGAAGTTCTTCATCCAGGCTGCCCCTTCTTGTTGTTCTTCGATCATGTACATCATGAATTACCCTCTTGCATAGAATTGTCGTAGATTTGCAGTCAAAACCACTCTAAAAATTCAATTCACAATTTCACAAATTCCTCGGTATAGCAACGTACAAATTGATTGTAAATCCATGACCGAGCTGTCCCATTTGCATCTGGACCGTTGCAACTAGAGTTCTTGCTGCATCATGAATAGTCGATGTCTGTTGATCGCTCAACACCGCGTCGAGTCAATACGAATCCAGTTTGGTGGCTGCGACAGCTATTGGTAGCCCTATTCTACCTCCTGACCGACGCTTTGGCTTTCCTTTGGTATCATTTGACGGTTTTGAAGAAAGACCAAGAAGTAGAGGACTTCTACGCTCTTCATTCAGAAGATCCTCATCGAGCACTTCAACAGAGACCACTTCACGACGGCAACGTTGGAAATAGGGGATCAAGGAGAAGCTCTTCTAAGAATATCTCCAATCAAGAAGCTCTTCTAAGAAGATCAAGTAGACCACCGCCAATCAAAAACAACAGTTTTTTCTTCTTTGCGACGAAATCGAAAATCATGTCAGCGATGACAGGCGATGACTACGGCGGCGGCGGGCAAGGTGGGTCAACTAGCGACTCTGGATCTGGCAGCGATCACTCTCAAGTAGAAGACAGAACGCATTGCTCAGGCCTACGCCTATCGTCAGAACAATATGCAGACGTAGACAAAGACAGCACTACTGCGACCGCGGCTGCCGAATCAGCACCATCGGCGTCATCGAGCTCGACAGCAAAGAAACCTAAGTACTTCTAGATGGCATGTTCTTTGGGTCTTTGTTGCACGACGAGCACGATTTTCTTATTCATAAATATGAAGATCATGTTCACTTATTTCTTAATAAATCGCATGAAAACTACCAAGCTTGTCCTTGTCTACCCGGTGAACTACATTAAATCAGGTACACAGTCCCCTGTCAGTTTCCGCAAGTTTCTTTCAAGCATAGACGCACTGCGAATCGAATATGGTACGTGAAAAAGAAGCATAGGACCGAGATCAGTGCCGACTCTTGGGATGCGCAAAACCACTTCGGCAAGAAAACAGTCGAAAAACTGCATACGTGGGATAGGCATTGGGGACGTAACTCACGAGGTATAACGAGAGTCCATAGGAAGGACATCACGCCAGAGCAGTTGTATGAACGATTTATGCTACCGGGACTGCCAGTCATCGTGCAAGGATGCATGGACGGCTGGCCAGCGATGGAAAAGTACTTGCTATTCATTGCCTGAAGTAGACCAAATCAATGAAGTTAATCAAAATTTTCACTCGAATCTAAAGTACGTAACGATAATGAAGAAACACTTCAAATTTGCAGCTACTAGGAGATTCATTACTTGAAATGTGCTTTGGGTTTGGTTTCGAGACAACAAGAATTCGAGTTTCAAACTCGAATTCTCGAAAAAATGGTTTTTTATCGCTTTCATTTTAAATTCATTTTCTGATCGAAAGCTTTTCTGCTGATAAGAATTTGACCTCAATCTTGTTTGTTGTCTACCACTTGTGGAAATATGTTGCTATCAAGTGAGCTTTTGCTAGTGTATTGCTAGTAGAGGCTCACTTGAAGTTGAAATATTTTCTAGAAGTACTTGCTATTTGGACTTGGAGTATCTTTTGTTCTACGTATCAATCTTCGAATTTCAATGGTTCCTGAAAATCACTCAACGTCTCATACTTACTGTTACCTTACTTTCTACAAGAACGGCAATTTCCAGTTGTTACTACTTTCATGTCTTCGAAGCCTTTGAAAGGGCGCACCTCGCTCCTATTATACCTCCTTCTTCTACAGTTGGACGCTGCAGCAGCTTACGCAGCGATTTCCGCATCAGATGTTTAAGTGCGGTGAGGATGACAGCGGTCGCAGGTTAAGGATCAAGTTCAAGTACTTTTCCGACTACTGCAAGGTGCAGCGTGACGACTCCCCGATCTACCTCTTCCAGTCCGCTTTGCAGGAAGAAGCTGGCAGCTCAACGCTGTTAGACGACTATTGGGTTCCAGACGTGATGCCGTTTGATCTCTTCAATTTGGTAGGGAGAGACAAAAAACCGCCATATCGCTGGTTCTGCATTGGCCCGAAGCGGAGTGGCACTACTGTGCACAAAGACCCACTGGGAACGAGCGCGTGGAACGCGGTGGTCACTGGCGCCAAGAGGTGGGTGCTTTTCGAACCAGAAGTGTCGAAAAAACTAGTCAAAGGGAAGGAGCACAGGCTTAAGCACGAAGACGACGAGGCAATCGATTGGTTCGCCAACATTCTTCCGAGAATAAAGGACCAAATCATGTTGGAGAATCTAGACGTCAAGGTCTACGAAGAAGTGCAAGAACGCGGAGAGTTATGACTGTAAAACTTGAACTTCTACACAGGAGTACCAGTACTCGACCCAAATTTTTTCAACGTTCTTAGAAGAAATCGCAGATTATAATGCGTAGCTCATGTTGATCTGTTGCAGTTCGTTGCTTTTTTTTCACCTTTTCGGTTTGTCCCACTTCCACCCTACACGACGACGACTACTAACGTTTTTGACCTCCTCCTTCGAGCTGCTCTAGTACTCCTCTCGTCTCTAACGGTTGTGATCTTCGTTCCCGCAAACTGGTGGCACGGTGTGGTCAACCTAGACGACAGCATAGCGATCACGCAGAATTTCGCAGGTTACGCAGAGTTTGATGATGTGTGGAAGGCGACTAGAAAACAGAGGAAGATGCTGGCGACCAGGTGGCTTCGGAATCTGAAGAGGTTCAGACCAGAATGCTATGACCGCGCAAAATACCTGGACCAGAAATATCCAGTTGAGGATGATGATGTACTTTTTTTTTCTGAGTAGTTTGATAGATAATGATCATAGTCGGTCTTGACTCTTTTCTATCTTACTCTGGTCTTTCTTTTTGCTAGTTAGGTCGGCTCCACCACAATCATAGTCTGTCTTGACTGTAGTAACTTACTAGTTCAAAGAGCACAAGCACAAGTAAGAATCACAATCATCCTTGAGTAACCGTAACGTAGTTCAAAGAGCACCACAAGTAAGAATCACTACAATCAGGCTTCAGTTGTATGGTTCTGGTATTTGGTAACCTGAATTTGATCCTAAGGGTTTTCTTCTTTTTTTCCCTTATGATCAAACTCAGGTTACCAAATACCGGAACCCTTCATCAGTAACGTTGACCTTACTAAAGAATCTCTCCTCCATCATCACAGAGTCTCTCCTCGAGTTCGAGTTCCTCGTCTTCTAGTTCGTCCGACGACGACAGCGACATTGAGTTTCAGGGAGTGCAAGGGCTAGAGAAATTTCGGCCTCCTTGGGTCTCCGAAGACCGATTCCCCGATTTTCAGAAGGACTTGACGAAACGCACTGCGAGATCCCAACGAGAGATGGAAAGACGAGCGTCTCAGCATGAGAGGGAACGAGCAGAGCAGGTGGCGAAATGGAGACACAAGTTGTCGTCTGAAAATAGGCAAGACAAGAACCACGACGAGGTTGTGAGGTACACACCGACATCTAGAACATCTTCTTGTTCTGCTGGTGAGGAAAAAAGAATGATCACATCTTCAAACGGGCAATTATATCATGAGGGACAGCACCAACAAGAAAAGCGAAGCCCGTCTTGTTCCTCATCTAGAAGTAGTAGATCGCGGAGTAGATCGCAAAAATACGATTTCAAAGCAAAACTAGGAGCCATGCGATTCGAAGAAGACGATCGACAAAGCGAGGATAAAAACACTGGCGTTGAACCTATGAGAATGTAAAAAAAATGTTATTCCACAAGAACTACTTGTTGAAGGAAGTTTTATTCGCAAGTTGTCAGGATGTTTCACTCTGGGATATGTGTTGTACCTTGTTCCTTATTCTTAGCGGCCCCAATGCTCGGTAAACTCGTTGCTTTTGAGTTATTGAATTTGGAATTATGATGTTGAGCTTCAAACTCTGTTCGAGCTGAATTAGTTTGAGGTCGTTCTACCGGAGGCTATTCCGCCCGATGAAGCACTTATCATCTTCTATGCAAATTAAGATATCTCCTGAATTGAATATACTTAGCAAAATGCACGACTGGGAACCGTTTCTCTGTAACATAAAATTATGTGGAAAAGAATCAGAACCTAGTCTTAGTATACTCAACCCCTTCGAATTCGATCTCCAACACATGTCTCCCTGTCCCTTGCAACAACTGTTTGTTAGTCATCGTCCCCATTGTAATGTAGTACCGCATCGCGGTCGTCTGCTAGGAAGTAAGAGAACAAGAACATCAAATACTTGGATAAGACTCCTCGTGTCCTCAGACTCAGAGTCAGCCTTATTTCCCGATGCGCATCCTTCTTCCTTAGAACAAGCGCAAGAAGTCTCTCGGCTCGTATAATTCAGACAGTGTAATAAACTCCAACTGTGCACACGACGAGTCAGCAAGCAAGGAAGATACCATCCCCCTCAGGTTGTATAGAAAATTTCTAGATCAAGAAGTATTGTTCAAGAATTGGGAGAGAGAGAAAAGTGATTTTGAGAGGGGAACTGCAAGACCGAAGAGGTGGCTGACATCATGAGAACCCATCAAAAAAGATGAGATCGGTGTCGAGACCAAAACAAGTTGTAAAGACGAGAACCGAAAGGTAAAGGTCAACAAAGAAAGAGAACGAGTTTCTTGTTTGAAGAGAAAAAGTCTGAAAGGAAATGAGCGATTGGAGCTTTGAATCATTGCTAAGTAACGCCGTGGCAGCGGGCATGATCCGTGGCTACTTCTGGTTATACTTGATAGTATATCGCTCGGTCATATTGCTCTGCTATTTTCAGAAGATACAACTTGAGTGAAAGAGACCTCACATCCACTTGGCCACGTGGTAAAAGAGGGCACATGACATGACATGACAAGGAAATAAAGGGCGAGGAATCATCTGGTCAAAGGTACATACCATTCCAGCAGGATGGGCTAGAATAGTAGCTGTAGCCTTAGAATAAATATAAAAGAGTTCCTAGCTAGCCCGTTGTCCTCTTTCATGAGTAGTTGGATTTTCACCACCTCGGAGACCGTCCATTAGAAGACTGGAGACCGTCCATGGATATTCATTAGAACAAGACTGAAGATTGATCTTGACAAACATGCCACTACTTCTCCCGCAACGGCCCGAACTCCACCACGCAGTTGGACCATGGCTGCCCGTGCGCCTTTTCGCTGCTGCCGCGCTTACGGTCGTCAATTTCGTGACGGCGCAGATGGGCAGTTCGACGGAGACAACTACGCCATTCTCAGTAGAAGAGTACGGTATGGTTGGGGCTACGGGTTTTGATAACGCGTACTACCAAGCCTATCAATATCGGGGGAGTCGAATCTTGGAGCACGGATCAGTGGCGTATCGGAGCTTCCGGTGGACACAGAGCGGGGACGTTTCTAGCGATGGTAAGCATCTTATAGGCCTAGTAGATATTCTACTTGACGCCATTAGTATACTTCTTGGTGGAGGAGATATCAATCCTTGGTTCTTCCACATGGCGGTCCTTGATGAATGTGGAATGATGGCCTTGTGGTTGCACCTTTAGAAGGTTCTCATTACTTTAAACTGCTTCGACGTTACTTCATCTTTCTACTTCCCAAGGTTTCGCCTACCTTGTGGATAACTCATACCATGCTTCATCTTTCTACTTAACAAGGTTTCGTCTATCTTGTGGATAACTCATACCATGTGGTGCTGGAACTGGCGCCAAACACGACGCGGGCAGGCACAACCTATGTCTCCTGGCCAGCGCAATATCGTGTGCTTAGTGCTATGACTGGATTCGGAGACAGTTTTCACGAACTTCTGATATAAGAAGAGCAGTTAGAAGATTCCTTTTTATCATTAACAAGGCGTATGGTGCGCCTGTTGGCTTTACCCTAGTAGAGCTTACTGTCAGAGTAAGCAGGTCCTCTAGTACCAGGTTGAGGACGCGAAGGAATCAATGTCAATCTAGTGAACAATCTATCAATATCTTTTCGTCTAATAGCCGCGCCTACGGGAGATCAGGTTACTTTGATGGCATCTACGCCAAGTCTCTTTTCAACGGACCTATGGGCATTTCGATTGGGAAAGTTGGAATTTACATTATGTCTTGGCGGCCATTGACTTTGACATCTCAGGAGCAGGAGCTACAACAAAGCTCCTACTTGATCATTCGTACTTAATCAAGAAGGAAGGACAGCATCATAGAAGACGAGCTGCACAGTATTTCCAAGATTTACCGTCCGCGTCTCTCCTTCTCTCGACTCTAGTGCTCCTACAACAACTTCTAACTCCTTCGCGGACACTCGCAACCATGCTTTGCGCCTCCTGAACTTCGCCACAAATACTGTTGATAGACGAGTGCGGACACTAGCTGGACATCCTTCTACGCCTGGGGAGCAGGACGGACCCTCTATGTTCGCAAAACTCCGTTATCCAAGCTCATTGGGGCACTATGAAGACGTAAGGAGTTTGATGATGATATTGTAGTTCTTTACGTTTGTTGTTTTTGGGTTTTTTGTGTGCATCATTCTTCCTTAACGAGGATCTTTCTTCATAAGGAGCTCAACTTGTCAACATCAAAAACATTGAAAAAGCTGCTTCATGTCGATCCCCAATAAACCAGCCTTCTACATCACATCACGATCACTCAGACTAAAATCTTCATCTTGGACAACCACTCGCGAGTACGGCTCTTGTTCCAAGACCATATTATCACTTTGGTCGACGGTGCTTGTCGAGCATTGAAGAAAAAGGTGTATCCGATTCGCATTATAGTTCGAGAAGTCGGCTGTCACGACGTTTGGAACATTCATAAATCCGGAAGTCAAGAAACGGCATTGTTTAAGCCTGCGGTGATGTGCTCCGGACATGCAGGGACGTGTGCACCGAGAGACCATCCTGGATTGTCAGACGCCCAAGCGCAAAATCTCTTGACTATTGCAGCAAGCAGACCACAAATTACTGGCAGACGCGCTTTGACCAGAAGGGAACTTTACATTTATGGTCACAAGTAGAAGTAGTGATTGCTTTTCTTATTCACATTGTAGTTGTAGGTCCTAGTCTTTCTTAGAGTTGTTAGAGGTCTGAGAAATCCCCTGTTCCTGTTAACGTTAAAAGCTCTTTATTACGCACCCTCGCCTGTGGGTGAATAAGAATATCCCATGTTGCCCTCCGTCTCTTTTTAATACCCGGAGCTAAAGAAGGAGCGCAACGTGACAGAGCTAGCAGCGATTCTGGGGGCAAATGACACTAGTAGCATAAGACGTAGTCTCGAGACCATGGCAGCTAACATAGTCAAAGGAGCCGCTGAAGAGAAGGGGCGACGACGTGCTAGGACACCAGATGCTAAGATGACCACAACTCCGAGTAGCGGTAACAGTCAAGGCACTGGTACATTGGCAGATGTTTCAGGACATGAAGAATTTTTGCATGATGAAAAAACAAGACAACTGCATGCTTACGACGAAGACGCTGCTCACTCGCGAGGACAACACATGATCGAAACACCTGCATCGCATCCAGCTTTCAAAGCAGGAAACACGGAGGATCCGTATTTTGTCTCGTCTCCTTTGATCGATTCTGCCTATTTCTCCTATGATGGGCCGTCAACGGTTCCTAATCCAGGTAGCAATGCTCCGCTTGGAGACAGGAGTACTTGTGGTAGTAGAAGGGCTTTGTCTTTTGGCAGTGGGGATGAAGATGCGCAAGTAGGTCGAGAAAAAGGTGCTGTGGACGCGCAGGAGAGAAGGAGTCTCCGTGTAACAGCCGGTGGCGACTTGCTAGCTGCGGAATCGCTGGAAGAATTAGCGCCATGGCGCTTCGTCTCTAGCTACACGCAAGTTGAGGTACCAACAACAGCGCACTTAGAGCGAGTACGCCGAAGAAGAAGGAAGAAGAAGAGACGCTTGGTGGATGGTTCTGCGTCGCAGGACGGTGCAGATGCCGTTGCTCCTGCGGGAGAATTAGCAGACTCTGAGGAGGAAGATGATTTTGAACGAGAGGACGACGAATTAGATGACGACGATGAGGATAGTGGAACCGAGCTGGGAGAACAACTGTTATGGTTCTCTCTAACTTAGTAGCACTTGGAATTGATTTACTCTAACTTAGTAGTTTTTCCACGACAGGTGGACGCGGTGGAGAGAACGACCATTAGGCTTGGAGTCACGTGATGGAGACGTTGCGATGAGCTACGTCCAATCATATAGCTCTAACGCAACACCAACGATCCAGAGCCCCCATGAGGAGTATGGAGGCGGCACCTGCAGGTAAGCCTCGTGGTCTTTTCGGTGACGAAAGTGACCTAATCAAGAGTAGGGAGAGGAAACGCGGTTACCGACCGCCAGGGGAGACTGCACAAGTGAGAAATCATAAGAGGCCGCCACATGAAACGGGTGTACTAGAACAATGGAAACGAGTAAATCAAATGTTTACGTGGCTCTTTGGCCCTTCAAAGAAAAGCAGGACAAGAAATGCAAGGTAAGCGCGCACATCGATATCGCCGCGCCAAGTAGAGCCTACCTAAGATGCGTTGTAAAAACCCCACTCCAAGAAGAAAGAAGTAATTCCCTTCTACCTGCAATTTATCAAGTAAAAGAAGCCTTGAATGATCCCAAGTGGTATCGGCAACATGACGACGGGCAGTCCGTCGAGCATCCTGTTCGAGGTGGACGATCATCAGATTAACTATGCGCCTGCTCTGACGATGATATTTCATGTCGGTCTACTTAAGGTTAAAGTTCACTGTCTTTGGTCTGAAAAAAAGATCTGATGGTGCTTTCTGCGCGTCGGCCCGCTGCAGGATCCGTGTGGTTGTACTCCGTTTCTTGATCTGTCAACATCGGTCTACAAAGTGGTGAGATGAAAATACTATGCTAAAAAAAGTTCCTGCGCCGCTGAGTCCTCTGAGTTGCAGCTGAGAGGGATGAAAGAGTAGCAGTGTGTACTAAAGTTTTGGGCCCTAACATAAATGTCCTTCCTGGAAGTAGATGACCTTCATTTTGTTGGATTTTAGCACTCTCCACGACCAGGAGTTTGCAATTGCATCACTCAAAAAAAAAGCTGTTTTCAGCTCATGAAGATTTCTGTGTAATGTGTAACTGTGTCAAATTATCACCCGTATCTTCACTCCTACTTTCGTATCTACTTGTTTGAGCATTGTGCTGGCTGAAGAAGACTCGTCTCTCCTCTATTTGGTTTACTGCCTCAACTCAAGTCCAAGTCCATTGCCCAAGCACTGTGACCACCATTGAACAAACCGCACAACAACAAGCCGGTGATGTCGACCACCAAGATCGTGCATCCTCTGTCGAACGAGGGTCTACGATTGATCGCGGGTCTACAATTTCGAAACGTCACTCGTCTCGACGTTTGTCTAGAGGACCAGCGACAACGTGGGCTCTGAGACCGCCCGGACTTGACATAGAGCGGTCCTTCGAAAACTTAACGAGTGGAATAGATCATGGTGAGGATCATGATGGTGGAGGAGAGGAAGTGGAGAACGATAAGCATAGGGAAGCTCAAGCTGCTGCGAATAAGAGTTCATCATCTAGCAAGAAAGTATGGCTGTGATCTTGATCGAAGTTGGTGATGATAGATTGATTGCAGCATCATGTAGAAAATGTGGAGTATGACGGCCATCCTAAAGATACTTGCTGTTATTGAAAAACTAGACTTTGAAGAATTTTGATGTTGTAAAACGTTGACGAAATCATGATTAGGATGTGAGACTGTTGAAACTGATAATGTTGATGGGAACATCTAAGATTGTGACTGAAATATTGAGAAAGAGGTTTAAGGAAATTCAAAATTGAGTTTGACTGTGGATTTCATATTTGAATTTTAGATTCGAATTTGAATTCTCGAAAAAATGGTTTTTTATCGCCCAGTAATTAAATTCATTTCCTGAGGGTCCCCTTTCATTTCGTTTTTTCTGAGCGTAGTTTTTGCTCGTTTTTCACTCGTATCTAGGACTAGAAGATTATCATGATACAGTTGATGATAGCTATTCTTGGAGATTGTTGAAGATGGTATAACTCCCTAGTCATGTTGTGGAAGTTGTTTCCAATGCTATTGATGGTTTTGATGATTGACTTGAAATTCCTGACCACGATGATGAGGTTGATTCTGATTGATACAGAAAGAATGTGAATCACGAGGAAATTACTCGCTGGCAGTCTAAACTTTGAATAACTTCGAAGAAAAAAGTAAGTATACAGCTGATAGATGTACCGCCGTAGTCTGCATAATGTGAAAACATCATATTACACCAACTACGACGGCTCTAAACAAAGGCCCACGCACTCAATTGGACGATATGGAAGCATTAAAAAGCATTGACCCTTACGTATTCGATTCCCTCGTTTTCTCAGACGCTCATGCAGTGGTGCTCGAAACCAACTTGGAAATTCTCTCGATCAATCTCGTAACATCCGAGTCGGGTGACGAGTTATTGAAAGCAAAGTTCGTCCTGCGCTTCTATTGGAACGACCCACGATTAAGCCTTGATGCAATTCATTTCCAAAGGTCATTTTTCTCCTGTTAGTTTCCGTCTTTGGGTTGCAAAGAAATGAAAGGAAGAAGTGAGTTATTTTGAGCCCTAACACGACTGGCTGACTGGCCTGACGATACAGATGCGCCTGTGAATATCTGGCGACCTGAGCTGGGGATGCTAGATGGCGTTAAGAATACTTACGCCGAGGAAAACAAAGCAGCCATATCAGCCCAACAAGCGGCAGCGCAAGCATCAGCAGCAGGCGACGAGGAAGAAGAAGACAATGAGGACGACGAAAATGAGAAGAATGACGCAGCGGGACAGGGTAGAGGAGGAACAGCATCTCCTACAGAGGATGTTTATGGAAAAAGGAAATATGATTTTCTACAACCGCACTGACTGCAACAAAAACGATCATCATCGTTGATTTTGACGAGCTGCAGTACTAAATTGTAACAGACTCATACTAAAATGTGTCTAACAAAATGCACAGGCCGACGAAGCTACAACTTCATCAAATGTAAAGCGAGAGCAGACTGGTGAGGCTGCCAGTAGCACAAGCGGCACAGTGGCATCAAGTGCGAAGCGAAGTAAACTCAGACGGCGTAACTCCGAGTCATCTATAGTGATAACGAATCCGCATGCCGAAGTACCTCTACCACTCTTCCACAATGGAAACCAAGGGCGCAAAGCTGGACGTTTGATGTTGGAATTTCCTTTAGTTATGCTGCAGAGCTGAAGTTTTCCCTGTCACTCTCTCTTTCTTCTAAGTAGATCATCAATCACTCTCTCTTTCTCCTAGATCGCCAATCAAGCTTCTAATCCTCAAACCGACAACGTAAACATGCTAGAGGATCCAACCCGGATGAAGCCATTTTTAAGGCTAATTCGTCACCAGCCCAACATGATGTGGACTGTGTATGCTGAGTGGAAGCCCTCTTGATTCACAGGGGAAAATAGGGGCAAAGAGGGGAACTCACACAACTACCAGGCACAGTGAAAAACTAGAAGCGTTAACATTCCCTTTTGATAAATTGCGCCTCGATTTCGCGGTGATACTTGCTGGCGAAAAACGTGTCGAGAGCGCAGATCAAGTCTGTTTCTTCTGGGGTCCACCTGATTTAAAAGGACACCATCTGGCGGTACATGCGCAGATTATGTTGTTCGTGGGATGCTTAATAAACAAATATGATCTACTTGATTGTTCGGCCTCTACTTCTGCCTAGTTGTAACAGTTAATTTGATAACGCACCAGAGTTGTTCGACTTCGACTTCGTTTAGAAGTCTTCTAAAGATATCTTCCTCTAATCTCACAACCATCGCTGAGTTCGCACTATCCGCAGTTTCCTACGCCAAGGCTATACATGCGAGTCCGATGACTGGACAGAGGTACGAGGATGTGGCATTCTCTTTGCATTTTAGGCGTGTAGTGGTGTACTACCTGCATAAGGGCATGATGCCGTTGGGAGCTTGTGTGTTTTTCGGTCTTTGCAGCTACACAATTTCGCCTGAGGAGCTAGCGGGACGTTTGCAGCTGCTGGTGGCGATTTTTCTGACCTGCTTTGCGATTCAGTGGATCATCACGGAGAGGTACAAGACGTTTTTTATTTGGATGGTAATCTTCATGTAGGACCAGGACGGAGCAACTGGTGCTTGGTACGCGGATCTAAGGCAGGTTCGACGAATCTTGATTCAACATCTGGGCAAGAAAAGGCGAGATCATACTAGAAGGCAATGAGTGTTGCGGGTTCTTCAGCTGCTTGTGGCATCGCGTATTTTCGCTCATTTCAGGTTACCTCGCGTACCCTACTTGACTATTTTGGATCACATGGTCTTTGGCGCTGTGATGAGCTTATGCTGGAGTGCAGCTGGGTCGTGCCTCGCCTATGCTGTTGGTGCAGGTTCAGGGTTCTATTCCAACGTTGCCTACGACTTCGATATGCGAGCTGCGAGGTCAGTGGATCTCCTGACTTTATTCTCCCTCATAGCTTTACAAATCTCTTGGGCATTTGCGATTTACGTTTCGCGCATTTTGGGAGGCTTTTCAAATTTTGTCAGCTCGTTACCTTGTCTCCCAAGATGTTGCATACATCCTCTTTTAGCCTGTTGCAGTTTGCCGTTTTGGTGTTGGGCGATGATTGGCAAGGCATTGCGGAAGGTAAGGGGATGCTGTGGAACAATCATGTTGATGTTCGCGAGTGGCTTTAACTTCAAGGTGGACCCATCTGGTCGCAGTGGTAGTGGAAGTGTACAGAAGAAATCAACAACTACTGAGGAACCCGCTCCTCCAGCGTCGAAGAAGAAGAAAGCAAAGCGATTAACGCGATTTGGTACACGTGCTTGGGCAGATGGCCATGGGCCGAAGGCGGACTTTATGATGATACAGCCTATGCAAAGTTTTGTGGCAACACCCAATGCAGAGGGGATATTTGGCGATAGTGCAGAAGAATGTCTGCTTGGTGTGCAGGGAATGCCGTTTGACACCGAACATGTACAGGATTTTTGATCAAAAAATGGTGATGCTCTGACGGAATCGTTGGATGCGGTGATGCTCTGACGCATCCGGATGGTGATATCCTTCAACAAATCTTTCAGTTGCTGATTCTTCTATTTGTTCTCTGTAGTATCTGTAAAAATCACGACCAAAACCATGTTGAGCTTCAACGAAGGAAGTACCTAACTACAACAATTCTTTCGAAGACCAAGAAATGATATTGCTGTGGCGCTGGTTTTGAGAAATTATGTTCATCTAGACCTTGAACGGCATGTAAAAAGGTTGTTGGAAACAGTGTGATGAAAGGTAGTGCTGTTTGTAGGTAGCTTGTTTTGTTTGATTCAAAGCAGCGGTGCAGCTGCATACAGGTACTCTGTTTTTGCCATTTGGAGTTCATTATATAATCTTCTGCTGAAGTCTTTTTTTCTGTCCTGGTTGGAGACACTTAGAAAACATCCATCGATTGATTCTTTCAAAAGATATGACATTTTTATGATAGGGTAATCGTCGGTCATTTTTCTGATCTTCAAGTAAGAAAGAATGTAGACCTTCACTAGAACGCACACTCGCACGAGCACAACTCGTTTGACTTGACTTTTCGACAACTAGAATACCATGTATCGCCTAGTCGTCTTTACCGAGCAACCTGAGCTGGGCTTTGGACCGTCACGGACGACGCGCGAATCCACTGGAACGCCAGGCCCACGCTTCAGTCCACACTCGTTATTCTCAATCACTCAGCGCTTCGATTATGGCTTCAGGTAACCCATCTCCAGAGGCATCCCGGGACCTTGCTTCCTCTAAGGGAAAAGCAAGCCCAGGATGGCACTCAAGATGGATTCCAGGAAGCTCTAACTCGAGTTAAGTATTCGCGGTGTGCGCGTCTATCGGCGAACTGGAGCAAAGATAGCAGTGGAGGACGAGGATGAAGTTATGAGCGTCAGAGACCATTGCAAGTTGAGGTTTAAAGAAAGAAGTGCAAATTTATGCTCTATCCTTTGTTTCACTTATGCCTACGTACTTTCGTAAAGAAGATTCTCTTGCTCCCTTGTTCGTGTCTCTTGTGATCATACGTACCTGTACCTCTAACATCATCGATGCCGAAGATATTCTTGCTCTTGGGGACGACAATGGGATCATCCGTGAACCCAGCGAAGATAGTGACGCAGCCGGGCGAAATGAGGTAAAGACGGGTGCTGCTGGCACAGCATCCGGGACAGCGGACACACAGTTAAGACAAGGAGCCGTCGAGTTTGAAGATCGATAGAATCCTGAGTGAAATCATGCTCATGTAAGAGTATTTGATACCATCATTACTCAGTAAGACCATCTATTACGTGGTGATTCAGATATGCTTTCAGATACTGTCGATGGAGATAGATTCTACTCGTAGAATTATAGAGTCGTGTCTTCGTCAGTTCTAATCCACGAGCAGTTTTCAAATCGAGGCCCTGGGTCACCTGTCCGTCGTCGAGGCTCAGCCTGGGATCAAGTTGATGTGAATTCGCAGCTCCTATTTGGAAACGACGGCAAGGCTGACCTACTAGGGATTGAAGCAGCCAATAATGCTGTTGAAGAAGTGGGAGCGACTTCTAGCACTTGTTCTCGTGCGAAATCAGGAGCGCATGAGCAGCAGGGAGAAGTTACTTCTGCAGATCATGCTGGATCGAAAATGCTTGGTACATCATCAGAAAAGTGAGAAGATGTTGGTTATAATGTTGAACATCTTCTAAAGATGTTTAGAGAGTTTCTCATGAATAGAAGACAGCGTCTACAAATCGTAGCTAACTTTGAATCATGTCAAGTGTAGAAGATGTGGTAGTTTTTCCATTGCCAAAAGAAAAATGAGATTTTTGGTACGAACTGCATTACGATGAATCAATTGTTGATGCAAACGCTTCGTCAGGAAATGAAATGAACTAAAAGTAGATAAACTCAAAAATTTTGTGAAATGAACGTAGAATTCAAAGAAATTCTGATTATAATATTCTATTTTAATTGAATTCATTTCCTGGTGAAGCATTTGCGTTTGGTTTCTTTCCTCCTTGCTTTCGTCATTCATGATGGACGTGTAATATCAAACCTGATAATCTTTGAATAGTGGGTGCCATGATTTTGCAGCAAGCAATACTAGTAAGTCTGATCATAAAACGGTAATCACATTCTACATCAATTCGCCACTTTTTCCAGCAGGCAGTGAAACTTCTGCAGCGAACAAGACCGGCCCTCGCTCTGGTGGGAAGAAGAAACGAAAGAAGGAGAAGAGCAAAGAAACTGCTGTGGTAGTTGAAGCTGTCGATGCTCCGATCACGACCACGCTGCAAACACAAGAAACCGTACACCAGTCGCTTACACAACTCGATGATTCATCTCGGCTCGCTGCTACTCCAGAGCAGTGTTCGCCTACCAGTGGATCTCCCGTTCTAGTGGGTACCACGAGCTCAGCGTCCTCTTCGACTAGGAGAAAACGCACGACGAAAGGCAGACGAAGTAGCGAGCAGACTCAATCGCCATCGCCGGCTCAACTTTTGGGTCAGGCTCCGAACAATCTGGGTGCCAGTGTAGCGTCTAGCCTAGGAGCATTCGAGTCCGTGTTTGCCTCGACTGATGCAGGAGAAGTGCTTTTGACCGCGGTCTTGCCCTGGGAACGCACTGCGGCACTGTTTCTCCTCGCTTTTCCTCCGGAGATCGATTTGGAGAGCTTTTTTGAGGATTTGCAGACAAGTGAAGTCGAATATCGGATATTCAGACGCGGAATGCTTGAGAAGTCAAACGGCCAACAACATGGAGAAAATCCTTCAGCAGCTTCTCCTGTCACGCCATACAAGAAGAACATGGTCGGATCGGCAGTTTTTTTCTTCGCCACACAAAGACAGGCGGATGAGTTCTATCAGAAGAATCACGGTAGGCTTTTCTACACCAATAAAGACGCAAAAGACGCAGCGAAACAGGAGTATAAGCAAGCCTGTGCGTACTTTGTTTTTTTAGATTCAGTGCAGTATCGCTCTGCGGTGGATATGAAACAAAACCTCTGGTTCCAAGACCATCCGAAGTGGGCTCGTGAGCACTGTTTCGAATTGCCAGCCTGTCCGTTTTTTATGCCTCACTCTATCTAATCTATCTTCATAATCAGAGACATCGATCCTCTGGACGAGAGGCTTTTCATCAAGGGGGGAAAAAGCGTCCTCTGTAAGATGCATCTCATTTTCAAGATGGATCAGGACATTATGTCGTGAGCTCTAAGTTATGTCTCGAACGCTTAGATGTTTCCGTTTCGGGCATTGTGTGTCATGCAGCTGGTTGGCTCTCGGCCTTTCAGTGGTATGAGGTGCCTGACATCCAGAGCTGTGAATCTTGTATTCAGTTGGTGCAGGATGCGCACACGTGCATGAATTGTTCGCAGTCCCCACCTACAACAACTACTGTGGGATGTGGATCGCTAGGTGGAATTGCTGGTGGTAGCCTTGACTCCTCATCTGCTGGACAACAGCTACTAGCCTCTCCTGAAGAGTCCGTTTCTCGGTCTGCGCAAGAACTCTGGCTGTGCCTGGTTTGTGGTTTCGTGGGTTGTTCCCGCTACGCGCGAGGTCAGCACTCGTTGCTGCATCAAAAAGCCACGGGGCACCGATTTTCCCTGGAATTGCGGAGTGGGCGGATCTGGGACTATGCTGGCGATGTCTTTGTCCATCGACGTCTAGTCCAGTGCGCTGCTGCGGATCGTGGAGAGCTCTTAGACATCGCCTTCCCGGAAGAGCAGCAACAACATCAAATAGGGTCGCCGCCGGGTGCGAGTCCTTTGTTAATTGGTGGAGGAGGAGGGGGAGGTGGAACTACGTCGATCTCGAATAACGGAACAACAACTACAACAACATCGAGTTTACTGAATACCTCCTCGAATAACATGATGAGCTCAACAACAGGACCACCAGGAGCTGCAAGTCAACTACAAAACAATAACATCCATTTAGCATCTGAGTTAGACCTTCTCTTGACTGCGAACCTAGAGCATCAGCGCAAGCGCTACAGAGGTCAATGCGAACGATTGCAGCAGGAAGAAAGGCTCATCTGCAATGCTTTTGAGCGCGAAGAGCGCGACTTAGAAGCAAGAATCGCCAAGAAAAACGAAGAAGCCGCACAAGCTGCGAAATTGACCCTCCTCATGGAGAAAAAATTACAAGAAGCGAAAGCCAAGGTAGAAAAAGAAAGAGACGATCTCCATTTGCTGGAAGAAGTTTTGGCTAGGAAAAAGGAGGAAGAAGCTACAGAAGGCGGCAAAACAGGAGGGCGAGAAGATCAGATTGACGAGTCTGCGTATGTCAAGTCATTGAGGCAAGAAATAACCCAATTGATGGAAAAAATAATGGAGGACGATTGATGACATTGACTTTTGTCCTTACTTTTACTAAAGAGCAGTCAGTGACGTGCTGAAGTTTACTACAGAGTGACGTACAAAAGTCTCTCGTGCTGCATTTGAAGATTGTTGGAGCAGCAGGTGTGTTCTTCTACAGCTATCCTTTAGTTGTATGTCCTCCTTGTGGTGGTCGAAGATTTTCACGTAGTTCTGTTGTTCATTGTTCTTTCTTATGGCTGTGTGATATGCAGACGTTCGAGGACGATGTGATTTCCATGTTATTTGATCATGATGTGCGTGGTTATTCTAGCGTCCTTGCCGTCGGCCAAATGTGGTGATGGTGCGCGGTCACAGATGAAGATCCTACGATGAAGACTTCTTGCACAATCTCTGAAGAACAGGGATTGAGGATGATCTACTTCTGGATTCGTTGACTTACTTTTTTTTACGGAGTACTATCATGATGGTCATCATGTTTGGAAAAATGGGATCAAATTTCATCTAGTGTAAGAAGTTCATCCTAGATGTAGTTCATAATTATTTTTTCTTGGAGATTTCTTGGAGATAGACATAGAGATTAGAAAGTTTGGATCGATACCGCTCTTGAAGCCTTCTTCATCCTTGGATGATTGACTACTTAGTCGGCGATATCGGAACTAAGACTAACTAAAAACTAGTAATCAGTCAATAGAAGGCATAGTGGAAGAACTTCTTGTTCTACCTCAACTTCAACGAGTAAAAATCAGTCAATAGAAGGCATAGTGGAATAACTTCTTCTACCTCAATTATCGTCCAACAAGGAGAAAAAATGGCAAAGTTTGATCCGTCGAAGATGGGAGCTGCTATGCAGCAGACGTTGGGTCCGCTGGTTGGTGGCTCTATAGCCCTGGGAGGTCTCTTTTACACAGCCAACAACTGTCTCTACAACGTGGAAGCTGGTCATCGTGCCATCAAATTCAACCGCTTGTCGGGAATAGGGACTACGGTATGAATTTGATCCAATAGTTAGTGGTAGTTACGGTAAGTATAATCCAATAGTTAGTTGTAGTTGTGGCAGCACAAGCACAAGAACTAGGGTTTATGTTGACCTTTGCGTCGATCCACTTTCTTCGTACGGCATGTTCAATAGTATTGAAGATAGTGATGCAGTTTTTACGTAATGGTAGACCCCAACTTGATGTTGATGCACCAGCACTTTTCCCTACGTTCCCATCTCACCGCAGCACTTCGAAGAAGGGACGCATTTTATGATGCCGTACTTTGAGAGGCCGATCATCTTCGATATTAGAACCAGGCCGCGAACGATAGTCTCCCTCACAGGAAGTAGGGATTTGCAGATGGTTAACATTTCAGTCCGCACTCTAGTTCGGCCAGACGAGACGAAACTCCCGAGGATATACACGCACTTGGGACAAAATTACGATGAGAAAGTACACCAATACAAATCCTACCTGAATTTTCTTGTAGTTCTCCTTACATAGTGCTTGCACGACAAAATAAACAAAGATGTTGAGATGATGATCATCATAAGCTCTAGGCCGTAGTTTTGTTTTTGGCTCTTCGGCAGCCACTCATGTCTGCCAGTTTTCCTGGTAGGCCCACACCTAACCTAACCATAATTGATACTTTTACTGCAAGGGATAGGGACTACCTCTAGAATGGTTATAAAAAATCAGAACTACACTTCTATCTACTAGACCAATCCCAAATGTTTGAACCTCCCAGGTCCTCCCCTCCATTGTGAACGAAATTCTGAAGAGTGTGGTGGCACAGTTCAACGCTAGTGAATTAGTGCAACAGCGCGAAATCGTTTCTGGACTCATTCGCGATAGTCTTACGAAGAGAGCAAAGGTAAGAGGTTTTTCTAACAACTTGTTCTAGTAAAATGTGCTCATGTAGTGTTGCTGACATTATCAACCGACCTGATATGGTACTTCTTCTTCTAGTTTACAACAACTTATCTCATCTTGCTCAAAAACCTTTAATAGTGCCAAAAATGCTCAACTTTTACTTTTACTAGGCCTTAAATAAAATGATCACCCTTTTTTTTAACCAAAAATGCTCAACTACCTTTACCCTTACCAAACCAAAAAGGATTTCAATATTCTTCTCGATGATGTGTCGATTACGCACTTGAACTTCTCACCGGAGTATGAGAAAGCCGTAGAATCAAAACAAGTGGCTCAGCAACAAGCAGAAAGAGCACGCTTCCGCGTCCTCAAGGCCCAAGAGGAGAAGAAAAACATCGTCATCAAAGCACAGGGTGAGACAGAGGCAGCGAAAATGATTGGTACTGTAGACGAGTACTTGAACTTGAACTAGTAGTAGTTTTCATCTCATTCATGATAATTGTCAATTCTATTGTACGTGCTTAATGCTATCCTATGATCCTATCACATCCATGATAATCCTTATGCATCCGGGATTCGTGGAGTTGCGTCGTGGAGAAAAATAATCAATCAAGCCTTGTACGTGCCGCGTAGTATGGGAGCGACTCGCGCTTGTAGTATGTGTGCGTGCTTGTAGCGACAGCGGCCCGCCCCGTGCCAGAGGCGCGTCGCTGAATTGACGACGAAAGATGATCTTCTATGACTATGTAGTCTGAATAAGAACCTGCTAAAGAGAAAAATATCAATTTCTGATCTATATGTTGATGTTCGCTTCTTGTATGGTTAACAACAGGAGCGACTTTTCCACTGATGAAACAACCTCACTGATCATGAAACTACAAAAGGTAACGCCATCAAGAATAATCCGGGATTCGTGGAGTTGCGTCGTATCGACGTGGCCCGTGAGGTCGCCCAATGCCTAGCGAAAAGTCAAAACCGCTTGGTCCTGTCCGCAGACTCTCTGCTGTTAAACCTCATGGATAAAGACAAGGAGGTCATCAAGGCATAGTGCGCATGTCTGCTCTTAAACCTCAACATGGATAAGGACAAAGAGGTAATCAAGGCATAATTGAAACAGGAGGGCTGCATGTTACGAGGGTGTACTGCCACGACTACGATATTGCAGCAGGCATTGCGGTGCTCATCTTGTTGATCATCTCTTCCATGGAGGAGTGTTGTTCTTTTTTTTAAAGTGGTGGCTGGTGCGGGGTTCTGGCTTCTCTTGATATGGAAAGAGACATTCGGAATGGTACGACCACGATGACTACGAAGATGATACCGCATGATAAGAATTTTCCGAGCCAGTCTGCGGCTTTATCTAGCATCATTAGAGATGTCGACACCCACGCATGATAATGATCTTGTCCCAAGCGCGCATTTTGAATTTTCCACCCGTCCTGGGCCCATACATAGTTCGTTGTGTTGAATAAAGTTCTTTTTTTTGTCATAACACTGCGCTTAAGCGTTGTACCCCTCGAAACCCCTGATCATTTTCCCGCAAGCATAAAAATTAATGTTCGTAAAAATCTTGAGATGAAGTGACGGTGAAGCATTCTGACACCAGCCGTGTCAACAGCATGTTGATGCCTCCCCGTACACCAAAAAGACGTCACTCTTCACCTGGCAGCTTCACTTTCCAGGTTAGAGACAACAAGAGCTTTCCCGGAGGTCTGGCGACGTGTCCAAGGCAATTGGACAGACACCTTGTGGATCGACATTGATGCTGTGGTCGCCACTCCAGGGACTCATCGACGACGTGTCTTTATTTCATTCGTACACGTTCATCCGAGTCAATCTCGATCTGTTTTAATGAACTGGATGAAGCTTCACGACGTTGCTAACGTGATCAACGACCCGTTAGTGCATGCCTCTCTATCGTTCTCTTGTCAAGATCTAGATCTACTACATCTACTTGAAGAATAGTACTCGGGTGTTGTAACAACTCGGCTTCTGTCCCATTCGTTCCTAAACCAAAAATATTTACCTGCTCCCCCAAAAGTGATCCCCAAAAAAGGTTGTGGTGGTCCTGATCTACAGTTGTCGGAAAAATGCAGTGTCCTGGCTTCCTTCTCAAAATTATAGTACTAGAAGTAAAACTTCAACTTCTCGGTCTCGGTTGTATACAACAAGCTTAAACATCAAGCGCAACAAGTAGCGATCTGCCAGATAAAGCTACGTTCGACGTCAGTGCTCGTGATCAACAAAATACTAGTACGACAAAAACAAGTTAGAGACGGTAGACTTTCCTGAGCCCCAGATTTAGGTCATCGCTTTTGAAATAGTGAAATCCATGAAGAGGGGGCCTGCGACATTGTCCATCGAATAAACCATGACACAGCGGGGTTAGGATTACTTTGGTCGTTTTCCAGTACATTTCGTACCAGAATACTAGGTGACATATATTTTCATCAAATTTTGTCTACAACTGACTCTGGAGGTGTATTCTTTCTTGAGGTTTCCTTTTCGCAAGTCAATATCAATTGAGATTGATTAATATTCAACTACTTACGTACATAACAAACACACAGCAAAAAATGGCGATGATTCGTCGATGTTTGCCTCTGTTGTAGCATGAAGCAACTGGTACAACACTTGACTTCTACAACACACAACGAAGTACAAGGTCCGGTTAAGTTGTGTTGTTGTAGGTTCTTGTTGTAGTACATGGTTGTAAAATAATCGCATTCGCCGGAGCACGAGCGGACGACCTTCGACGTTAGAAGATACCGCAATCACGCCAAAATGCCACCGAAAGCGACGGCGACCGCCATGAAGACGGTGAAAGCAGAGCCAGAACGAGCACCCTATCCGCCAGACTGTTTACAGGGACGATGGGTATATGATTATGATCTTCGCATATTATTAGTGAAAAAGATCAAGTAATTGAAGGTGGTTGTGACCGCATCTTGATGAAAAAGATGATGATGACCTTGCTTAGGAAAGTTGCTTGTTGACAAACAATTTTTACGTTGTTGACTTCGTCGTGGTCATTGGATCAACAACAAGAATGAACTATTTATTAGTAAACAAGAAGGAGACTCACCCTCAGTAAAAAGAAAACGAGAGACTACTTGATCAAACTACGTGTCGAAGATTAGACTTACTTAGTAAAAAAACATATCACAATGATCAGGTTACGGATTATGACGCTCTTGTGAGTGTCACCCAAACAAGCGTGTATTTTGATGGTGTCAAGAATGACAAATCCGTCACTTGTGGCAAAAACTTACGGCACGTATATAATATCACTGTTCCATGTTCGTGTGGACTATGCTGGCGAGTGGGTCTTCCTTCCCCTTAAAAGTTGTCTTCAACAAGGTAAAGATTTTATTTGGTAGGGAGGGAAATAAGGGACACCCCAATCCACTCAATCTCAACCACGGTCGTTAGTGAAAAGCTACCTCTAAAAAGAGGCGTCTTGCGATGGTGCGGGTGGGAACTCGTGAGAGCATGCCCTACAACCGATGCCTTGCTCTGGCGGGAGAAACAGACCAAGAAGCAGGCAGCGGCAGCTGGAGGGTATTCCTACGTCTTGTGGGAGCCCATAGTGCCAAACCAACGCACGCCTCTCGTGATCGAAGGTGGCTTGATGGCAAGCTGGCGGGCCAGGGAGAAAAAATCCCGAGCTTACCATCAAAACCTTGATGAAGATACAACAGCGAGGCTACTTGTGGAGGTGGCAGGACCAGACTGTGGAGGTGTTGGAGGTGCAGCATCATCTTCATCCTCTACTTCTACAAGAGGAGTTGAACAGGCGAAGCGTTCATCATCGAAGGCAAATGGAAACAGCAAGCAACTGCCTCAAGAGCATATTGATAAAGTAGAAGATGATGACTATGACCATGGTCATGACTTAAAAAAGAGGCGTCGGAGTGGGTCCTCTGCTTCATCGTCTGCTGCTCATGAAAGGGGAGATGGAGCAGCAAGAACTGGTGGTGGTTCGACTGCATCTTCTCTTGTTGAAGCATTGCACCAGCAACATGTCCACCTTCACAGGAGACCTTTCTACGACTATATTTCCGGTGGGCTTTTACCAGCTGTTCACCGAGGCCTCCGGTTCCGGTCGGAGACTAAACGCGACTTAGCAGTCATAGCAGGCCTTCGACAAGCGAAAGAGCTAGCGAAATCGTGCTCTTCCGCAAGCAGCTCTAGCAGTTCAGAGAACGAGCAACTTCTGGCTCACGAGACCAAACTTCTCGACGCCGTGATCGCAGACCGGTCTAAAAGAGTGGACGCCGCCGCGGGAGCACAACAAAGTGCTGGCAGCAGTCGTCGGAGTTCATTTGCAGCAGGTGGAGGTGCCGCGTTTGTCGACGACGATGGTGAGGGGAATAGCAGTAGGGGATCTCCGCGGCCTCTCGACTATTATAGTCCGGCGCTCCTTGCAGATCATTTTATAGAAGATCCATCACATCAACCTGGAGGACCTCGTGGTATTGGCGAAGGTGGTGCTTCATCGTCTACTTGTTCCAAGAATCTGAATCATGGTACAACAAATAATAGGAGCACCACGACCTCAAGCCACAGCACGACCGCAAATGCATCGCCATCAGCAGTGCTTCATCTAGTCTCCAACAGCAAAACCATCGCCAGCAAGCCTTCCCAACTACAACACAGTCAACTTCCTCCACGCCTCGTTCCGCGGACAGAGCGACTAGCTCGTGTACTAGAGCGCATACGGAACGGGCCCATCGATCATCCGTCGTTATATAAAGTCGAAAACATTTTGACGACAGCCCAACGAGCCTCCTCAGCAGCTGCGCAGCCGCGTCTTTTCGGACGTCCTGCAGCTGCAGCACAGAGCAGAGTTAAAAATTACACTTCATCTTCTAGAAGTGGGGGTGCTGGAAGTGGTGCTGAAAATGGTGCGATTTCATCTTCTTCTAGTAGAAATTCTTCTGGAATACATGGAAATGCAATACTAAATGGAAATGGAAATCATGATCTTCATGATCCGTTTGATATTGAAGATGAGTTGCTAGTGTGTGCCAGTAAGGGCATTCACGATGCCATAGATTGTCGACAGTTCACGCCTCGACAACTGCAACAGCTGCAACTCCAGAGCCACGATCGCCAGTTCCAGAACGCAAGTCACCTCCTCAAACACACTTTTGAGACCGAGGACTTACTTGAAGACGATTATGAAATGTACTAACTAGTTACAGTTGATAATTTTTCCAGAAGCAAGCTACCAAAAACAAACATCTGCTTCCCCAAAATGAAGAACATATTGCTTGTTTGTGAAGAAAACATCTCGATCTTCTGCATCCTATCCTATCCTGCTGCTCATCCTCATATACTAAAAGGTTCGTTTTGCGTCATGCTCACTCGGATCAAGTGTTAGCGTGTTGCACCTTACAAGTGGAGAATGAAAAGAGGGTTATTCTCTTTTTCACCGTGAAGCCCCAGCATCGAAAAGCTGGCTATTCAGCGAGGTTTATCCAGCTTTTAATGCGTGAATGCGGATCGAAAGGAAGGCTCTTCACTGTCGTGCACGTACTACCTTTCGCTTTCATCTATGCAGCTAAACCTGAATAATTCTTATTGTCTACTCGAATGAACCTAGAGGATCTGGACGTGGATGAAGTGGATATACAGAGTCTGATCCACTCTACGACCCACAAAAACAAAACAAAATACTCCAACCGACTTCTTTGGACTTCTAACAAATACAGACAACTTGTTCACTAACATCATCAGCATCATACACTCCTCCTCCAGGTCGGCGCCGACAAAAAGGAGGAACCCCTCGCAAACTTTTGGCGGGGTCAGGGGTTCACCATTGAGAATGCTGAAGATGCGCCAGAAACGCCTTTCAAGAACTGCATTGTCCTGGAGTTAGATCGATCCAAATTCAGACAGCATGAAAAGAACGCGGCTTCTAGTGATGAATGATCTGGAACATACGTCTGGCTTCATTCAAGTCTTTATATCTACATTTAGATTTATATAATCCTACAACTACATAAGGAAAAGCCTGACCATCGTCGTTCTATATCAGGATCAACAGCCGGGAAAATCCTGACAATCCAACAACAAGCTAGACGAGCGGGTAGAATTCGCCAGGGAAATCTTAGGCAGGTTGCCGAGTAGGTTCGTATCATCAATTCTACAACTACATGAAGAAGCACAGTTTGTTAATGTTGTTCCACTTTCTGCCTGTCCACGACCTTCTTCCTTACACGCTTCCTCTTCCCCATGATCTTCCCTGTTCCGATGTCGACATATGCAATACCCCTCCTGCATCGAGAAGAGAACGACTAACGAAAAACACTCACATTGTGCTTACCGTTATACAGGAAGGTGTTTGCGGAACTATGGGTCGGTCTTTCCTTGAAATTATTGGGAATCCGAATCAGGAGACACGGAGGTCGCCAACCTCTTTTTCATGAATCACAGGGAAAGTAAAGATTTTCAGATTCCGTCCTCTCGCATTTTTGTGGTATCATGTATCAAGAAAAACGAGAACAGCAAGATTCAAGTATTTGTCAACCTGAATGGTTCTGAAATTCGGTAACCTGAATTCGATCCCAAGGATTCTCTTCTTGCTTGCCATTGTGATCAAATTCAGCTTACCAAATTCCACAACCATTCACAACCACGAACGTTGAACATTTCGAATAATGTCGAGTCGTGAGTTCCAGATGTTGATCGGTTTTCGGCATCTCTTGATTCGTCGGACGAGAGAAGTAGGTGTTGACAAGTGCCATCCATTCTACTAAACGAGATGAACGAGGGAAAGACGAACAATAGGTCCTCCAGAGGTAAGTTTGAACAAATAGCTTCATCTCGCATAATGTCAATTAATAATATGTCGTGTTCTATCACTCTGAGATCGATGATGAGAGCGAGGTCTTGTATCGAAAATATTCAGATGGTCTGTAGTGAGCTAGAGTAGAGGGTCGTGGTGAGTCGTCAAGTCTGTTGAGTGTAGGAAATTTGCACATTGGAGAGACGAGTTGGACTCCCTTCATTAGCGTCGATTATGCATCATCGAGTCGAGCGTTTGAAGACCATGACCAAGGTACTTACAAATATTCGAAATTGAAACCCTTGAATGAAGATGCTATCCGTGATCATCTCATGGTCATGATAAATAAAGAGGACAACAAGAACAAACTTTCTCAACAATCTAACTTTTAGGGACGAGCATCAACCTAGTAGACAAACAAGAAAAGTAAGTACGTCAAAAACACACGCAAGTATAATTCGCTTTGATTGAAGGGGGCAGTGAAATATAGCTAAAGGTGGAGTAAAAATCGTACTAACTACGAAGAACAAGGCACCAGCTGCATATCTACAGAAGAAAGAAGACCAAAGCACTAAGTATCAAATTGTGCATGGGCCACTTCGTGTCCTACAGCGTCATTTTTTTATTTGGAAAGAAGAATTTTTCTGAAACTGATTCATCATCATCCTGTTGTTACTTATCGTTTCGTATTTGCTTCGTGGTATACCTGTCAGGGTGACGAGTGACGCATCGTCTTCATATTAGTCTTCCTAACTATAGGATATTCGTTAGCAGTTGCAAAAAGACAAGATGGTAGATGAATCTGACTACATTAAGAATAAAGATCGGAGGGGGGAATGCTTCGCGGCTTTGTTTTCAGAAAACACGGATATGCGACTGCGCAGAAAATTTGGACGCGGAGACCTCACCGTCAGGGCAGCGGATACAGAAACGTTTAAAGCGTTCTGGCACCGTGGATACGAAGCAACGGACCAGGGTGATTTATGATCTTCTTGTTTTTTTCTCGTTGTCGTTACCTCATTGAAGATTGGTGTATCTCTTTGGACCCTCTTGCTCGCGTCTTGGAGCTTTTTTCGTCAAAGGTACGGAAAAAGACGGAAAGCGAGAAAGGGCAATCTTCATCTTGAAGTTTATGAAATGATTTTTTACCAAACTCCTCTATCTAACGAGCGTTCGTCGGCGTTTCCAGGACGCAGATGAAGGCCCTTCCGAATGGGTCACTGTGTTGCCTCATGAGCGTGCGCAGATGCTTACGCGGCTGAAACTCTTCCTGACGAAATTCCCGACTGCCGACGCAATTGATACCGAGACAGCACCATTAGACCTCTGGACGAAACTGGTAACAAAGGAAAATTACAGTGCAGAGTACACGAATGGACCCAAAGCGCTCTTCGAATTTCTTGGAGGTGACAAGGCTCTTCAAAAATTCGTGGATGTAGCTCAAGAACAACACAGAAGAGCAGAGGCCGACGAGGCAAATGCTAGAAAAGAATACGACGCAGCCAAGAACCCCCGGAAATTCAAGTCTCTAGTCAGGAGAGTAATGAACTCCCTCGGAGCATCTGGGCATTCTGATGAGCAATTGGAGGCCGCGAAAACGGAGAAAGAGAATGCTGCCACCGTTCTCGCTAATAGCAAACAAGAGAAAAACATCAAGGCTTGGAAGCTCAAAATCCTTCGAGATGCCATGGATGGCAAGGAGATCACGACTAAGGAGCTAGAGGACGCTACCGAGGGCGCGACCAATCCTCTTTCATCAACAGAAAAAGGTGAACCACAAGGAGGAGGAGCAATAGGCGCCTCTTCCTTCCTCTCTGGTACAGTCAACGATCCGTCCATCTCGTCAGTAGTCCGTGGCGGCCTCCGAGCATCATCTTCGTCGGCAGCATTACTCACCTACGTAGACCCATTTTCCGCAGCGCTGTGTGTAGGAAGTGCATTCCTCGGCGCCTTGGTGTTCCACAAGTGTGTGCGGCGAAACCGTCGCGGAATGAACCTATTTGGCAAATCGGAGGAGGAGAGAACTCTGCTGCCTTTGCGGCAGTAACTGAAGCAATCGCTTTAGGTACTAACTTGATTTGTCGTGCTTGTAGTAAGAAAAATGTTAAATCATCTGGCACATAGGATCTGATGACTTCTGGTAAAGAACAAGTCTACATGTGATGACTTCTACTGATTCTGGTCTCAAAGCTGATTTGGTAGGTCAGATCGGAGACATATGACATGACGTGATGACTTCTACATAGGTGTCAGGCCGACTGAGTCAGAATGTTCTCATGATCCCCTGATCCCTTCGTCTTCCTCCATGGTGTCGCTTCAGGCTGTGAGAACCTAGGAGTTTGGTCAAGTGGTCATGATCTGAAGCAACCAAAGCGATCTCACTGAATCAATGGTAATCAACTGATCTGGTTCAATGGTATCGCGCAACACTTCAACTTGAAACACCAACGTTCGAATCCTTGAAGATGAAAGACTTGCAAACCCATGAATTCCGCACGAAAGCGCATGCAACGAGGATAACCTAAGACCTCAAACCTTTGATGATGGTGCTCCATCCTTACCATGAACCCGCTACCAAACACACAGTGCTAGGTAGTCCGTTTACACTGACAAGGGCTCCATAGGGGCACTAGCTTGAAAAGCTTTGCGACCAGAGTGTCGATAGAATCGCGTCCTAACAGTCTACCTAGCTCCTTGTAGCATCTTAGAAGTTTGCAACTTCTCAAAACTTGCATTCTCTCAAGACCTAGACACTCATCATTCCACCTAGTTCCTCCCAGCATCTAGTGCTAGTAACAAAATGTATGCTGCCATCAATGACTTCACGACCCCCGTGTTGCGGCTGTTGGTGATACAGCTGGGGGCGGCAGCAGCAGGTCAACGTGATGAACTACTTGGTGCGATTCAAGGAATCGGGATGGCGTATCAGCCTGCGAACAACGTCATGCAGATCCCCATGCCGAATGCGCAGGGATGGGCAACCCTACTGGCCTTGGATCAAACGGGAGCGAAAGCTGAGGTCCTGGGGCGGATCTGGGAACACCCGCTGAACGTGCAGCATAATGGTGTTGGGCCTGGTGCGCCACCTCCTCCAATTCAGGAACAGCCGGCTGCTGGGGCTGGAGCACCCCAAGCTCCACAGAACGATGCAGCACTGGCAAACCCGAAAGACATACTGCTGATTCCGCTGGAGGAAATTCAGGATCACAGCACCTTTCAGCGGTGGTTAAAGGGCGTACGGCTCCAAGCCGATACCCGCCGCGTCGGGTTCTGTCAGGAAATTCTGGATCAACTGTTGATGGGTGCAAATCTGGAAATGACTGCGAGGGACAGCCAACTTGTTCTTCTACTGCATCGAGCTGCCAGGGCTTCTCTCGGTAAAGACCTCGGTAACAGGATCGAAGCATCGGTCACGGCAAGCCAGGTGGTGGACAGCCTCCCCGGTGTGATGAGCGAGCTCCTTCGTCTGTCGATGTACTTCGCGCAGGCTCAGGTTGAGAAGGAGATGACGGAGTTGCGCAACGCGCGCTGGCGTAAGGGCGACCTGCTCGCGTTCGTTGGACAGCTAAAGTCCATGGCAGCGAAATGCGGCAACGAGCTTCCCGTGGGACCAGTCCGGGAGCGCATGATCCGGGGCGTGTTGATCAAGAACATCTCAACAAAGGACCCAACGGCCGCACAAATCGTTCGCGATTTCAAAGGCTATCCACCCAGCACCCCGGGATATGGCGCAGAGGAACTTGCGGAAAAATGCTCTCGTATCATGTTCCTTGAGCATTCCGGCGAGCAGCAGGCGCAAGTCTTCTCCGCTGAGCTGGAGGAACCGAAACAAGACCACCAGAAGGAGGCCATGGCGAACAACGTGGAAACCCATGGTGACGACAAAAAGCTTCAGTCGCTAAAGGACATACAAGCTGAAACGCTCGCAAGAGCAGCTAATGCTGGCGCGTGCAGGGAAATTTGGTGGCCAGCGTGACCGTCCGGCACCCTACGGCGGTAAGGGTGATCGCGGCAGAGGAAGCAGAAACGGCCAAGGCAAGGGCCACGTAAAGAAGGGGGGCCAAGGTTCAGGAGCGACGACGTGGAGCGAGAAGTACTGCTCGATGTGCGCCAAATTCTATGGTCACGACGAAAGCAGAGCTTCCGCGTTTCGCAGCCACAACACGTCGGAGTGCAAGTGCAAGCTGACTCAGACGCCCAAGCCACCACCCCGTAAAGGCGATGGCAAGCAGAAGAAGAAGGGCAGTCGCAATTGACTAAGCGGCTGGAAAGACACCCTAAAGCTAGTCAAAAAGAGAAAAGAGAAGCTGCATAAGCAGCATAGAAAAAGTAGCCGTAGTAGTTTTCCGTTGGTCTCGTTGTTCGGAACAAGTTCATCATCAGAATCTAGTGCATTTTCAGTGTTCGCATCATCATCAATAGCATCGTCTTCTTCTGCACCATCAACACTACAAGCTGCTGATACAGCAGAGAACTTTGCTCCATCAAGTTCTTCTGCATCTTCAGTCAGCGAAAATCTCGAAAGACCAAGTAGTTCACATTCAGCAGACAGTAGCTCTTCATCATCTAGTAGTGTTCCACCACCGACAGCACCTAGTCCACAGCAATCTTCTAGTGCTACACCATCGCCTTCTAGTCACAACCGCCACTACGTCCTCGTGGGACAAGTAGACAACAGTAACGACAAAACGAATGAGTACTACAGCAAAATCATTGACTCCGGGGCGAGCGCACACATCGTTCGTGGCCGGTCTCTTTTCAAATCAATTGACAACAGCAAAATCGTCAGGGTTCGTGGTGTAGCTGGTGCCGATACTGGACGCATGGCACGTCTGAAGGGCAACATCTTGGGCAGCAACATGCAAGCAATCTGGTTCCCAAAACTTCCGGTGCAGGCCTTGATCAGCGTCAACAGGCTGAAAGACGACGCATGGGAAGTCACGCTTTCTCCGCACGGAGACACAGCAACGAACTTGATTGCAGGAGTGTTTGTCAGCTTAGGAGCAACCGAAAAAGGGCTCCCTAGCATACCGAGTCTCGAGCTACGGCAAGGTGATCCTCTTCCTGGTTTCTTCTGCTCTCCCATGCGCGACCAGGAATTTAGTGGTCTCGGTCTTGATGAAGTTTTTGAGTCAGTGCCTCCCGCTGCGAGAAAGGCAGTAGTTCGTGCTGGAAGAAGGAGGCGAGGCCCTCGTGATAATCAAAAGTCTGTCCGTGATAAACTTCTACAGCACTGGAGGATGGCGCACATCCATGACAAGGGCGAGAGAGTAACATGCCTCGACTGCGTGCAAGCCAAATTCAGAGGGATGGGAGCTGATTCAACTAGCTCTACTGCACAAGAAAACAATCCGTCCCTCATGCTGTTTTCGACAGATTTCCTCGGTCCAGTAAAGCCAACCACTTACCGCGGCAACAAGGTCGTCATGCTGTTTGTGTGCAACTCCTCACAGTATATTGTCGTCCGCTCACTCCCTGCAAAATCGTTCGCCCCTCAGGCAGTAGAAAGTTTTGTTAGGGAGATTCGGAGAAAAGTAGGCGCCAATATACTGTCAGGGGAAGCAGCCACACAGCTGATTTCCGTGGGGCTCAGAAGTGACAACGAAGCTACGCTAAAGTCGGCTGACATGGATTCGGTTTGTGAGCGATACAACATCGCGCATTCGTTCAGCATTCCGCGCATGCCGTGGACGAACAGCCACGCGGAGCGAGCAGTTCAGAGTCTCAAGAACGCACTGAGATCTGTGACGCTGCATGTGGATCCCCACATTTGGGACTATGGTCTCCGGGCCGTAGTTCATGCTTGGAACATCATGCCAAGGCTAGACAAAGAGAGTAGCATCGTACGCGCACCGCTAGAGACCCTAAACAGCAAGGTCCAAAACCCGATGAACAGGGTGAACGTCGAGAACAAGAAAAAGTATCTTCGTCGGTTTGGTTGTTTGGCTATATTTCGGCCTGGCAGGACGGAGTTAGCGAAACAAGACGAGAAAATCTCAGTTCTCTCTCCGAGGGCACTTAGAGGCGTCAATCTTGGTTGGAGCGACGAGAACTCCTGCTGGTTAGTTGGCTGTTTTCCCGATCCAGCTTCAGAAAGATTTGCTGTGTATCAGTGCAGCAGCGTCGTTTTCTTGGAAGAGATTCTGGCGTCAAACGTGAAACAGCTGTGCAGTAACAGCACTGCGGCCCTAGACGAACAAATCCTAGGGAGGCTGAAGGCATCGATCGTTCCTGCTTCTGCTGAAGCTTCCGTTGGGGTAGTTCCAGGAACTGCCGTAGGGGAGTCGCTGAAGCAAGACCTAGAGGGATCTTTGCCGGTAGGCCGCGCGTCAAACGCGACGCTTGAACACATCGATGCTCATCAAGCTCCTGCTCCCACCGAGGACAGCGAGCCAAAAACGCACACCGATGCGTCTGGTGCCGAACTTCCACCTTCCAAACAAGTGGATGGTTCGCCGGCAGTCCAGTATGGACCTCTTTTCCGCCCTGCCAGCGAGGTGAAGAGAGGTCGACCCAAAGGTGCTAAAGACAAGCAACCACGGGTCCGTCGTACGAAAGCGCAGATCCTTGCGCAGCAGCGGCAGCAGCAGGAGTCTAGTTTTTACGAGGCGATGTGCAGCCACCTCGAAGAAGAGGACGGTGAGGAACTCATCGCAGCTGAAATTTTTCTGGCGAAAGATCGCGACGAGTACAACATTCCGCCGGGTGGCACTACAACCCCGGGCAAAGCATTCAGGCACGAAAATCCGTACCGTCCGCGGTGGATAGAGGCGACCCAAGTAGAGGCAGCATGACTGGAGGCTTACCGCTGTTGGCGGAAACTTATGGCTTCTGAGTACTCGGACTTCTACGCCGGAAAATTGAAGTGCACACCGACCGCGCTGTTGTTAACGAGAAAGCGCTGCGGGCGCTTCAAAGCAAGGCTAGTGGTTCTTGGCAACCGTTGGCAGGCAGAAGCCAACTCGGACGTTTCGCTCTACGCAAGCGTCGTGTCGCACCTCGGAAACCGAGTAGCACTGATTTCCGGGGCAAAAAGGAAGTGGTCGATGAAGGCCTTTGACATCGGCAACGCCTTCATCCGTGCAAGCATTCAGCACCACCGAGTAGTAGTTTCGATCCCCGAGCAATTCAGGGACGGCGAAGGAGATGACGGGCGGCGTCTTCTCCTGAAAGCTTTGTACGGCCTTCCGATCTCACCAAAGCTTTGGGGCGACCAAATCGCCAAAGACCTTCGTAGCCTGGGTTGGACTGAAGCAGCAGCTGAGCCGGGATTGTGGCGTAAAGTCGACGCTAGCGGCGAGCTGATCGCAATTTTGACCATCTACGTGGGCGACTGCGTGGTGATTGCGAAAACGGCTCAGCTGGTGGATGAGTTGACTTCCCAGGTGCATAAGCTGCACCCGGTCACGATGATCAACATGGAAAAAGCACCAGAAGAAGCCGATCTGCCCGATGCCGTGAAGTTTGACTTGCTTGGTGCCGATTGCATCTACTCCAAACAGCATGGAGTCTTGCGCATCAAGATGCGAACCTACGCCGAGAAAGTGCTAAAGAAGTTTGACATGCATCAAAAGGACCTAAAAACGCTTCCCACGCCGGACTTCGAGGAGGGTCTGCTGTACGACGAAAACGCAACTCCCTCAACCTTCCCGTTCAGAGCACTGGTCGGCGCACTTCAGTGGTTGACCGTGACAGCGCGCCCTGATCTTGCAGCAGCCGTCAACAAGCTAGCACGAGCAACGGCCAACAAGGTCAACAAGGCGATGGAAGCCGCTGGGCGCAGAGTACTTCGCTATCTGGCTGGTGCCAAAGATGTTGGCATTGAGTACTCGCCCCAGGCAGAGCACAACTTCTATCAGAAATTAGCCGAACTACAGAGTCACCAGTCACCCAGACAACAGCAATTCAGACCAGAAGTTGTTCAATCACCCCGTTACTGCGTATGGCGACGCATCGCTTGCATCAACATGCCGTGCGTTGAAGAGCGTCACCGGAGTGGTAATCTATCTTTTCGGATGTCCAGTTGCCTGGAAATCGACGCCGCAGAGCGTAATGGCTCAAAACACGATGGAGGCAGAGTGGGTTGCATCCAGCAAGGCCATTGAGATGGCAGAAGGGCCACATCTTCTTCTGCAGTTCCTTCGAGGTAGAACCGAACTAGAGCAAGCAAAGGATCAAGAATCTGATGCTGGTGCCATCTTATGCGACAATCGCAGCGCGGTTTTATCAGGACGGAAACCGCGACAAGAACTGAACAGATCGACTAGGCACATCGCGATTAGGCACGGCAAAGTCCTCGAACACGGACAGCGGATAGTGTTCGTGCCCACTCAAGAACAACGTGCTGACGCACTCACGAAAACGTCGAATGCTGAGGCGCTTCGGATCATCTTCCCACAAGAAAGCAGGAGGAGCGAGGCGTTTGAAGTGCGAGAGGAAGTGGACTATGTGGCTTGTTTCCTCGAGATCCTGTGATTTGTCGACTTGAACCACAAGGCCAAAATTCGGGACCAGGGGCCCGGAAAAATGGGCCTAAGGTTCAAGTGCCGAAGTCTCACCTGTTGACTTGTTCCATAAGGCCAAAATTCGGGACCAGGGGTCCGGAAAAATGGCCCTAAGGCACAAGAGTGCGCGCTGAAGTCTTCAAAGCTCTAGTATGTGATGGTGTTGCAACTGCCTGATGGCCTCTGTTTCTGTCTGTCTTTTGAGCTACAAGATGATACCGATGACTACGAGACTCGAACCTTTGATGAAACATCTCCAACAACAAAAGTCCGACATATTAACCACTTGACTACTTGGACCATTAAACTTGCAAAAGCGAAGTATGCAATATCTTGCACAACATAAGAGGCGCCTGATGTACAACACTTTCGTCGACCTTATAGCAATACATTTGAGCACCGAAACACGAAAAGTAGGCCTAGTTTTCTTGCCTTTTTCACACCCTAGCACATGTAAGCGTAAAATAAGGCGTATCTTGGTAGTTTTGGTTGGTTTAAGTTTGTCTGATTTTCTTGCTTTTGGTGCGCGATGTTGCATCGAAGGGGGGAATGTCAGGCCGACTGAATCAGAATGTTCTCATGATCCCCTGATCCCTTCGTCTTCCTCCATGGTGTCACTTCAGGCTGTGAGAACCTAGGAGTTTGATCAAGTGGTCATGATCTGAAGCAACCAAAGCGATCTCACTGAATCAATGGTAATCAACTGATCTGGTTCAATGGTATCGCGCAACACTTCAACTTGAAGCACCAACGTTCGAATCTTTGAAGATGAAAGACTTGCAAACCCATGAATTCCGCACGAAAGCGCATGCAACGAAGATAACCTAAGACCTCAAACCTTTGATGATGGTGCTCCATCCTTACCATGAATCCGCTACCAAACACACAGTGCTAGGTAGTCCGTTTACACTGACAGGGGCTCCATAGGGGCACTAGCTTGAAAAGCTTTGCGGCCAGAGTGTCGATAGAATCGTGTCCTAACAATAGGATTTACTTATAAATATGTTCCTGCTTTATTCCTACTTATTCAGGACGGTATAGTTAGGAGGATCCAGTTGCGGCAAGCGTTGGACTTCTTCGTTGTATGATGTGTCAGAGGATGGCGAATTATGAGACGATGTCATGTGGCTGGTGGGGAAAATTGTGACAGGTACTACAACAAAACACCTGTAGACATCTTCTATAGTGCATGCTCACTGTAGTTTCGTCTGGTGTTCCTTTTTCTTCTATAATTGATGTGATCTAGTAATCCGATTCTGATATCGATCATCCTTCCCTGCTTTCCTACTACTTCTTCAGGTATAGAAGGAGCTAACTTCTGCATGCGTTGGACTTCTTCATATGTGTCAGAGGATGGCGAATTATGAAGGTAATACTTCTGCTGTTGGAGATATCAAATTTATATATAACTTTGTAACCGGCTACGGCTTCAATTTCAAAAGCTTAAGATGGCCTCTTCTTCATTTTTTTCTCTTCATCAGAGAGACTGAATGATCTGTCTACTCATCCTCGGCTGTAGTAGGCCAGCATTGAAATCTAAATGCTGACAGACAACATTAATACAACTTTCTTGACTCAGGTATGAAAAAATGTGCAAGCATAAGTAGCATTGCGAAATACGAATACAATTGATGTAACTGTTGGGAAATTCGAAGAAAGTTTAGGATAGACGTGGGATTTGGATGAACAAGTGCTGATGCAATGCTTCAACATGGCAAACGAGAAGGTGATGGGCGCACTGGAATGGGTAAGAAGTGGTCCGAGGACGTGCGGTCTTCTACTTTTTACTTCTACGTAAACTAACACTATCTAATCCACAAAGAGTTAGTTTGGCAGTCCCTGAAGATGGTTTTGTTGAAATAGGGAAACGACGCGCTGTGATTGAGTTTGCTTTTCAAAAATACTCAGAATGATTGAATTTGAAAATGTTGAAGTGATTCGTTTTGTTCACATCATATCAATATCTACTCCGAGGTCGAAGATTTCGCGAGCTTTGTTCTTGGATGCCGTAGGCTAGAGCGATTGACGACGCGCTTCGGTCCATTATCATAGAGACAGAGAACAACTCAAATACTAATTAATACATCATATTAAGATTCATAGATATATATAAATATAATCAATTTGTTGTTGCAAACCCCCTCGGACATTGTCGAACAACATGAAAATTGTTGACATGTTGAGGTAAGTGACGTCAAATAACCTACAATCTATTTCATACAACATTATTGTTATTGACATGTTGGTTCGTCGTAGAAAAAATAGCTTCTCTCAGTTCACCGTACTAACTCTCGACTCCTGGAGGATCATGTCTCGAGAAAGGGTCGACTTATTTGGCCATCACTAGAAGAACAGAGACAAACATCAAAGAAACTGAGCAGATATTTAATGTACATTCAAGACGAACATGAACACAGAGTAGAAGAAGACGAACACGGACTAGATGGAAGACGATGAACATGAACACGAGGGTAGAAGACAAGACAGATTATCCATGTTATGAACCGCAGGTACTGGGTCATCTGTGACTTCTACAGAACTTGCACAACTTTGTCTATGTACAGCAACTACATGTGCTCTTTCCTACAAATAATACAGACAAGAATTATACCGCAAAGCGCTCCACGTCCATCAAATGCACTTCCATATTGATATCATTGATAGAATCACGGCACTGGCACTACTTGTTTGTGGCAAGTAACCAGTTGAACAGGGTGTGCCGTGATTCTACACCATTTGACTTTGATTTCAGAATTGAGAGCTCAAGTGTTCTGGTGCGTGGTTTGTCCGAGCATCCCTACCATTATGTGGAGGTGCGACCAGGACCCTATCTTACATTAAGAAAGTTGGTAATTTGTGGCGAGTATGGTAGTACTGCAGAACCTTACGCCGGAGACTGTGGCTCCTGTTGGTGATCATGATCATGGCTATGCTGAAGAAAAAGAAGAGCGAGAGCGAGAAGGCCGTCCCACTTTTAAAGTATCATCAAACAATTCAAGAAATAGAAAATCAGCAGATGACAACTCAATTTACGTGAGCTTAGTTCTCCTCTTAAAAACACATGAGTTGAAGGTGTTCCTCTGCGTCGAACCTCTTTGATAGAAAAACTGCATCTGCAAAAACGTTTTCTACTTGAGAACTACAATTCAGCTTCATTAAAGACTTTAATATCTGTTTCTCAACTCGTAATCGTACACCATCATGGGCAACAATTTCTCTGGGACCACAACAGCTGCACCTGCACAGCTTACTGCGATAATCACTGCCGCATCTGAATTTTATGGCTTAGTTACCCTAAAACTCTATCTTCTGACTCATATAACATGAACATCTGAAGCATGTTAATCGGAGGCTGAAAATAAGCGAGTTCCTGACTGAAATGAGCAGGGAGGTAGCTTTAGAGTGCTACTCTTCCATGTTCAGTATCTCGCTTTTTTTCATCAGTAACTTGCTTAATTCGGTTTATCGAATAGTTACTTGGAGCTGTTTCGTAACAACTAAGGGAAAAACTCCTGCTCCAAGATGAACAACGCCAAGAAGATGGTTCGGAGCGAGCTCTAAGAGTAACCAGAGATCTCACTCGCATCTGTGGAAAAGCTCGCACTCTTGTGGCAGCGAGATGGAGCCCCACTGGTCTGCAGCGTCGATCGGCTTATGGAGATGGTCGACGACGTCAATGATCGAGATGACCCTTCGCCTAGTAGTTCTAGTACAACTTCTGCAAAAAATTTCAGGAAGATGCTCGTGGAGTATGTGCGTCCTCGTATGGGCTTGGCACTGGGAGGTAACCAGGGAAGCTGCGAAGATGGAGGTACTGGACTAGAAAACAACGCTAATATTGTCTATGCAGCAGCACCAGAAGTTTTTGGCGCTTTATGCTTGGTCGCCAGGGATGCTTCGACATCTACTTCGCCGTCGCGACATCTTCAGGACCGCTTATTGCGTCGCAAAGCTCGGTTTTTAGCTACGTTCTTGCGTTTTTCCTCTCGGCGAAGGCAGCGTGTCGAGATAGAGCTTATCTTCGAGAGCGCAGTGTCCGGAGTCACACGCTTATTGGGCGATGACTGTATAAAGACGACTGTAAGTATGCTGACTTGTTTGCGTTCTCGCTCTTGCTGGAAGAAATTATGAGCGTACTTATGACTATATTGGATGAAAAAATTAGAGAATGCACTACGTACTACGCTGAAATTCACAAACCAAGATGAATAATACGACTATTATCTTCACGTCACGACTCAATCCCCTAGTATCCCCTAGTTGTAGTTGCCAAATCAGGTCCTCTCTCCTCTACGTGCAACCATGCGGCCCAAATGGCTTTGGTGGACAACTTGTGGACTATGTTTAACTTGCGTTCGGAAGCAGTGGCTCCTCATCAAGTCGCGGAATGGGCGATAAAGAATGTCGTAGTCAATAACTTGTTAACCGCTTTGACGTTCTTTAGTACAACGACGAACAAAGAAGATCACTAGCTGCATGATATGTTGATTTTTAGTTGTACAATTTCGAAAGAAGACGACCTTCAGCTCCGCCAGTTGTAGCGTTAATGCCTGCAGTAGATTATAAAATGCAAAAAGTAAAAACACACAGTGAAGACGCTAAAAAACTAGTAGAAGAAAGCGCAAGCGCTAGCGGAGAACAAAATGAAGATAAGAATAGCTGACATTGATGACATTTAGTTTGCAAGTATGAGTGCGTTGTTCCGGATTGTGAAGCTCAAGCAAAGGCCCGACTGAAGAACTCATACCTATTGCACACGCGGATCAAAGTAAGATGTTACTTACCCTTACAGTCACCGGGACAGTGTTCGCGCACTATGGTCGTGCGTCGAGAAAGAAGTCTCTACAACCATGCTGCATGAATTGATGAGAATGAATCACATTCACACACGAACTGCGTATTCCGCGTCTTTATTAAGATGAGTATCAGCTCACTAGTATCAGTTTCGTTCGAGAGTGACCGTTCAAGTCTGGAAGCCGCATGATGGCAAAGGCGTATCACGATCATCCACAGGCTCGATTAAGTAGCTACGTGATGTACACAGACCTTCACCTAAAGGACCAGAACGTCACAAGAAGGAATACCTAAAGTGCTTTCTTGAATACTTGGATCTTGAAGTGTGGTTAGCTTATGCATACATAGTTCGTTTCTTCTCATGATAGATAAGTACATGTGCAAAAGAATGACGCGACTCCGTCCCCAAGTCGACATGATGACTTTTTCTATCTTCAATTATGTTCACCTCTACTCTTGGCGGTAACGAACTCATAATGATGACCAAGCTGTCCTAGTCCTACAAAAGTTTGTTTATAACCAACATTTTTCATTTCTTTCATCATTATGTCGATTTCCATCAAGTTGAAGTGAACTTGAACAAATACAACGTCTACTCACAACAAGTTGTTGTCAACGACGTTCTTTCTACCAATTCTACTACTACCTACTAGTACAACCAATAAGAAAATATCAAAAAGATGTTTCCACCTTCGTGGTGGACGCGGGTAATGTCATGTTGCGTGGCTCGGGATCACCACCTGGAACGCGGCGACGCTTCTTTGGAGCCTTTTCCTCATCCTGCTCAGGTACCACGATCTTATAAAAAAAGTATGATCTTTGTTCTTGACTCTGACTCATTTATAATATAGATACATATGTTTTTATGATTTTTGTTCTTGACTCATTTGAATACTACTCATCCATGTGTATCAAGAGTCTCCTGGAGGATCAACAGCTGGAGTTGGCCTTGGTTTAAGTAAGATGGTTGTAGACTAGTACCTACTCGTTGGATTTGAGTGCTCCCATTTCGTGGACGTCGTCCATGAATATTCCAAACCGATCCACGAACTTATGTATTTTTTTTGGCTAAAAAACGTGCTTTCTATGTTCCCTTTTGGCATAGTGTTACTCCATACGAAAGAGCCGCTCTTCTCTATTAATTTTCACAGCCAACGTATCTGCTGGAGGATCAACAGCTGGAGTTGGCCGCTTATAATTCAGGGACAGGGAGCGCTCCACCAGAGGCGCAACAGTCACCAAGAACGAATGTCTCCACTCAAACGCCAAGAGATCATTATGGATGATGACATGTGACTGTCGTGTGTACTTATTATCAAAAAATATTATTTGAAAAAGAACTAGAACTACCTGACATGCCACAAAAGCCGCAGCTGGCGGGGACTGTGGCGACCAGACATACCATAGTCGATCGCAATGACGACCATAGCACTACACACACAGAGCACAAAGAAATCCGGCGGGATCGTACGCGTCGCCCGGAGCGCATCAAAACAAACAAACAAACTAGAACTACTACAATTGAATTAATACATAGGGATAGTTCTTTCTCACTGTCATGAACATAATCGGACGTCAAGATCTTCTATGTACTTAATGTATTCTATTTCTCAAATTGGTTCTCGTTCTTTTGTAATCCTTTGTAATCCTTTGTTTTCCTTGCTCTAAGAACCTCCAGCTACTAGGACTTCTAGCCAACATCAACCACACCCACACAATGGACATCAAGAGCCATGCGTGGTACAACAGCCTGAGGCTTCCGCCTGGCGATACCCAGCTCCTCATCGCGAAGTAGTCCCCGGAGGACCTTCTCTTTCTTCACGTTCCTCTTAAGGCTAACTCTGATCCATCTCGTTTATAGAGGTGATCCCTCAACAACTGCAGTATGCAGCCAGAGAGACACTAAGTAACGCATGTTCTACTTGCGGGGTCCCTAAATCAATGGGCTTAGGGTTTAGGGAGGGTGGAAGCTCTAATCTTCCCCTGGCGCTTCTGACCTACGTGGTTGGGATAACCACAACCAAATTCCTGGCGCTGGCGCTTCACGAGATGTCAGCACCACCAGCAGAAGAGATAGTGCCGACGAAAAGCAAAATCGGAAGCGTTGGCTGTTGAAGGAGCTAAAAAAACTAGGACGAGGTAGAAGAGGAGGTCGAACTTCGAGAGGGAATAGAGGTGGCACAACTGGAATTGCAAATGTTGAAAGAAGGGGGCACGGAGAAGAAATTTCAGAATTGCTTGGAGGCGTAGTGCCACAAGCATCTTTAAGTGTAAGTGAGAGAGGTCGTGGTGGAGAACGAGATAGAAGACTTTCACCATCAGGGCGACGAGGCGGACATCAGGAACACTTGCTCGGAGGAGAAGATCATCGTGGAAGATACCAAGCACTATTAGGGCTACTTACTATTTATTTGTTGATATTAATGTAGTTCATGAGGATGAGGGCAACATACATACGGATTTGGATACTTATGCACTACATTGATTTCTTTGTCATAGATGAAAATCCATATTCTCCTCACCTATCCACCTCTAAATCTAATTCCTCCCGACAATGATCATGATGATGAACAGCCTATGGATGATCTTGCGCCTTCATCTTCTAGAACTCGGATCTCTCAAAGAGCGGATGCTCCGACTGTGTCCTCTGTGACTGAAGTTCCACAAGCGGCAGATGATAGGAGTGGATCACGGCGTAAAGGAAGATGGAGATTGTGGCAGCGTCGAGATCGTGAACAGGAACCGAGCGCATCTACTAGGAATCACGATGATGGACAAGCAGCCCGATCATCATCATACACTCACACTGTCATACCAGTCCTCAGTGCGCCATCTCTTAGAACAAGTAGTGGAGGAGTAAGGGCATCAGCACGTCCAGTACCAGTTGCGGTCGATGTTGATGAGGCCGCGCGTCGTACTACAGGTAGCAAACGGAACAAACCTCCACCCCTAGTTTTATGGTCAGCTTTTTTCCATTATTCTCGGCATCTTCTTAGTCCCCTTTTCCCTCGTATTCTCGTGAAATACATCAAGGTAAAAAGGGTCAAGATGAGGGGGCCGAGATGCATTCTAGCCCACGCTAATAGTTGATATGCCAGGTGGGGCGCCCTATCCTAGAGGAGGTCGGGTATTAGAAGACGTTCAGTATCGTCAAGGACATCTTTTAGTCCCAGAATTTCCTCCACTTTATTCTGTACACGACCAAGTAGTTACTCAAGAGGTCCAAGCTTCCCCTTCGGACAAGGGCTCTTCGTCTTCTTACAACTCAGATGTTGACGAGGCAGAAGGTTTTACTTCTAGATCGTGGAGTTCAGGAGAGGAGGACTCGATTCCGGATGAGACGAGTGATTTAGCTGAATTAAGAAGCTCTCAGCGTTCTTGGCAGCCTAGTAAAGCCTCAGCGTCTTGTTCAAGCGCTGGTGCTGAACCTCAGTCCACAGCTAGCAGCAGTGCTCATGGTGGAGTCCGAGTAGTCACGACGCGGCAAACAGGGAGAATCGACGACCCACTTGACGACCCGGAAAGAGTCTACAATGCGGACGATATTCAAGAAGTTTATGCTTCGAGACGAGGGGCGGCAGAGATGGAAGTGTATCGCGGAGCAGTAGTACAACTCTATGCAGATCAACCAGTTGTAGAAGAAGAAGTGCATCATTACCATGGGCAACAAGGTGGTTCCATTCGTGTTGAAGGAAATCGAGGTAAGGGGTTTGGGTCTATATCCTCCTCCGCTAGAAGTAGAGGTAATAATAGCCTTGTTCTAGACGATGGGTCCGCCTTCGTGGAGCCGACCAGCGGTGTTATCGTTACAGTTCCTAATAATATGAATAAGCGTAACTCTCAAGAACGCCACGAATTTGAGCAGGAGATGGCACGACGTCCTAGCACACGCAGATTGGAGAGAGCTGCTAAGCATCCTCAAGAAGGTATTTTACGCGATCGCGATCATGATCAAAAGGGAGGTGACTCCCTGCTGCACGATGTGGGGCCGTCATCAGCTGTTGTTGCAAGTGCTACTACTGATAATAGGCATCGACGGTGTACTAGCAGCTGTCTGGTGCTCCAAGAAGAGACACGTATTCCTCGAGAGGAACAAGTTGCTTCGTCTGGTAATGTCAAGACGAGAGCTTGCGATGATGTCAAGACGAGAACTACAACCTCCGACGGTCCCGCATTGTTCTCATACGTTGGCAGCAACTATCCACCTGGGCGAGCGACAACAGCAGCTTCTGCTTCAATATCTTGTGCCGCTGGGGGACAAGAAGTAGAAGGAGGGCCCAGCTTAAGCCGTCGCGAACGAGAAGAAAATGCTCTAGCTGCTGAGTTCTCTTCTCTACGACTATCTTGCTCTAGTACAGCTCTTGGAAGTGCATGCACAACAACGACGTCCTCGCTAGTGTCCTCAGTTCTTGAACAACGACCAGGAGGACCTGTACTTATTAGTAATGGAGGAACAAGTGATAGAGATCAACATAGCGATCATGTAGTTTCACATTATTTAGTAAGGCTCAACTTTCAATGGTCATCGGGGTTGGTTACTGAGATCGAAGAGGCGACCCCTTGAGACAACAGGGGAAAACGAAGGGAAAGCAGGGGGTCTCTTCCGTTCAGCATCAGTGACCATTGAATGCTGAGCTTTAAATTTAGTAAGCACAACTACATCGAACAAGATGAATTCTCCACTTTTGGATCCCAAAATGAACAAAATGGAGCGGAGTTTAAGTCGCCCACATCAGCCGGCAACGAGTGGACTATCCTCTTATCTTCCTAGGCCTCCGAATCCGATGGCTTCTGACTTGCCAAGGCCTCCGATTCAAACTCAGGCATTCAGCAGACCACAGCCTACTCCTACAGTGGTCTCTGACTCTGTGGTCTCTCCGCCTCGATCAGGAGACCTGTCCACCACAAATTGCGGAGTGCTGAACTCAACAAACATCAGGAATCATAACCGTGCGGGAGAAGCTGAACACGCAGGACTTGTACACACGCAGCAAGTACAAGAACAAGTAGATCCTCATCTTTCAGTCTCAAATGTGGCAGAACTTGTTGCAGAAAGAAACAATTCGCGAACCAGCCAGAGCACTTTTGATTACGGTCAGCTGTGTCTTGTTTTTCCTGCACCATCGCAAGAGATGATATTCTTGATGATGAGTCAACGCACTAGGGACTATAGTAGAGATATTGAAGTCCTTCGTCGAATACTTGTAGTCTTCACAGCTTGTAAAAAGTTGATGCACTGCTCCACACACTCACTCTAATCCGTGAATATTCATGACCGGTCCGATAGTAGGGCCTTGACTGAAGCATCCTTCAAGGAGGTGGAGCCCTCGACGATGACGCGGCAGCCACCTCCACGAAGCCAAGTCCGCAATCTGATGGACGAGATAGCTACACCTGAAGTTGTGGCATCTTCAGAGACGAAAAATGGTGGTCAAGAGCAAGATGAAGCTGGTGAATCTCGAGAAATGGCGATGGCCTACTCGTATGCGCTACTCGTGGACGGAGACGACCCAGGAGCACCAGGAGCTGCCGGGGAAGGAGAGGACAGTGACGTGGATGGTAGAAGTGCTGTACTAGATGGGAACGACCAACAGAGCAGAGAAAAGCCTGTTGTACTTCAACGAGCTCCTGTTGACGAGCGTCAACGAACTGGAAGTGACCTCCTCGTAATGAAGAAGGACCAAAAAGTCAACAGTGGTCCTTTGCCGACTCGTTCTACTGCGGGTGCTGCTCCTGCAGGAGGAGCAGCTGCTTCTAGTTGTGCGTCACCTGTTTTCATGTCTACTTTTACCAATTCATCCTCCTGTGAGGGCACTGTGAATGACAATAGTGCTGCTGGCGAGACGCCGGGGTCAAGAACCTCACGACAAGGACCACAACCACAAGGAATATCGCCTACATCAGGATCTTCCGGTTCACCTCCTAGTGGCACAAGTGTAGTAGGATCTTCTTCAAGAAATAGATCCCAAATCCTCCTCCAACAAGGGACGACGATTCCTCCACTTCCTGTACGACACTACAGTTCGCCAGCCGTCTTCGATATTTCCTCATCTAGAACGGCGCGATCGGGAGAAAAGCCTGATGCTGTTGTCCTTGGGAGTACAGATCCGCTTCGCGCAAGAGAAATGGTAGAAGAAGACCTTAGAGCTCGACGCAGCAGATGTAGCACTGGCACTTCTACTAGTGGTCTTCTTGTTGATCATGCTAGTACCTCCTACACCAAAGTTAAGGGTTTTTACCAAATTAAGTACATCCCGCACGACTCATATCCTTGGCTCTTTTTCTACTCGAAAAAGGCGCCAAGAAGGATGTTCCGCTTCCGAGGAATGCAATTCTGCAACCTCTAACAGAGATAATAAAGATAGTCCAGCTCGAGGAGGTGCGGGGACAACAACTTCCAGCACAGTGCCAAGAAGTATGGTGGAGGCGAAGGATGAGCATATTAGTATTAAGGCTACCGCTGGACCATCCCCAACGTCATCCTGGGCCCTTTTTTCGAGGGGAAAAAGGTCCCAGGGAGGTTCTCAGGGATGCGAGCGCGCTAGCTCGAATAGTAGACCGTCTGCTCAGTCTTCTCCACCACCCTCGGATACGGGTGGCACCTCAAAAGGTCCAGACCTATGGCAGGTTTGGCACTTCTCATGATTAAGTGCTTAAATGTATGCGACTTTTAAGTATAAAGTTAAGTATGTTTGCGAGGAAAACGAAAATTATGATGAAGAACCTCCAAGAGCACTAACTCTAACATCCATTTTACTCTTCCGTTGAGAATAAAGCTGTATATAATAATGATGCATCGTGATGACTGTACATCCTGTAGAACAAGGATGAAATAAATTGTTTTGTCGTTCAGTTTTTTGCTTTCCTCCTAAGCAATATCGTTATTGGTTATTACAGGTTAGACTCTAACTGTTAGAGACATGGAACTGTGCTACTGTTATCATTGAAAAAATCCTACCTTTCTCGTCTCCCATCAATTTTTAGTGCTTCTAGCACTAGCATCGTCTTCTCTTGCCTATGAAGAAACAAATTGACCACGAATGAAGAAAATCGACCTAGATGTTTTTTTTACCGAGCACGTACCATATTTTTATTGCACGTTTTTTACAACATACACACCAGAGGAAAGCATTACCGCGTGAAGAATGCTCTTCAACATGTTAGTACCACAAGAAGCATGGTTTAGGTCCAGCGACGCTCAAAGCACTAAATAGAGCAACAGGCTAGCTTTTACCTCTACGAAATTAGGCTTATCTTCCCGTGCAGCCATAATAAATTCAACATAGTTATAGTTACATCTTCAACGAGTCTGCCACAGTCATTCTCAGATGATACAGGCACTGTCGTGGTTCTTAAAGTCATTGAAGATCCAGCATGCAAGATTGGGACGCTTCAGAGTTTCCACCTTTCCCACTCCTCCGAAAGTCCCGAGGACCTGTGATCTAGCTACTCTATAAGTAGCTAGTAAACTACCTTAACTGTACATACTTCAACAAGCCTCAAAGCGACGAGTCTAATTTTCAAAGAATTTGAGTGTGTTGAGTGTATTTTCTAGCTTGATATGATCCAAATCCAAACGATCACAGAGGGAGAAGAAGATCAGATGAGAAAACTCAACTGCATACCCGCCCAACGGCTGGGTATACCATCATCATGCTTCTGCGTTTGTTTCAGAGTGTCGCGCTTTATATGAAGATGACAGTCATACTAGTACAAATCCATTCAAGTTAAATCTTCTTTTTAGAACAATGGCACAGAGTGTGAGTGTTGACACTTCTCGCGCTGCATATTCCTATAATTTTGTTATAAGAACCACGACAAGAACAAGAACTTTAACTTTTGGCAGTATTAGATGTAACATCATGGTCGGGCTGAAAGGAAGCGACTAAGAAAGCAAGAACGGGCACCAGGCAGCCCGACCGCGCGACACCGCTACCCACGTTACCCGCTACCCACATAAGCCGCTACCGACATAAGCCGCCTGCTGCATAGATAGACACACCAGATCCAGCGGCGACCATAGCGCAAAACATACGAAACCAAAAAAAAATCCGGCGAGATCGTACGCGGTGCCCGGAGCGCATCAATACAGACAAACAAACAACCAAACAAACAAACATCATGGCGCAACAACTCACTACAAGTACATTATAACATCTTCAACAAGTTGCTATAAGACATAAAATCAAGATGGACGAACACGATATGGAAAGCGTGGTTCCTATCGACTCCTTGGCGGAACAAGAGATCATGGACTCTCCGCTATTCCCCATCCGAGTCGAAGGAGAACACAACTTTTGCGATAATAATGACGTCACGAAGAACTTTTGCGATAATAATGACGTCATGAAGAACTTTGATAATGAACACGGACTACAACATAATAACACTAGTAACTACAGCAGCATGAGCATGATACACGAACAAGCCATCCACCAGCATACTCCTACTCGACAATTAGATCATGTGGAACTTGAAAGGAGAACTACACCAGTAGAGGAGCAGTTGCCTGCAGCGCCACGACCGCATTTAGAAGTGGGTCAACAAATCTGTTTTGTGCGCGAAATGGTCAGATCCGAGTTAGCCCAGTGGAAAAGAGAATTTCTAGCAAAAATCGACTTGCTAGACCTACGAGCGTCCGTGGAAGCGGTATTATGCATATTAATAGGGCTATAGCTATTTTTTGTATCAAGAAAAAGGTACAGGGTCGTGGCTGAACGACCTCGTCTAGAACGGTAGACAAGACGATCATGACATGACACTAGATTGGCATGACATGAGTTATCTTACTAGATCATCTACTGGAACGATGTTGTGGAAGCACTTTGATGTCACGATGTTGTGGAAGCAGAAGTAGTTGATAACTCGACCCGTGGTTTCAAAAAGAGTTAGAAGATGTAAATGTTGTCTGCAAGTGCAACTACATATTAATTTACACATCAACAGAATGAAGCGGGTCTTCTCGAACTCCGCAATGAAGTGCGGGAAAAAGTTGATGGTTCTCATGCCATCGTAGCGAATCGTCAAGTCTGTCTCGCAGAGCAACAGGATTCATGGATGCGCGATTGCGAAGGTGCGGTTCAGGAAGTCTGTGAACGTCTTGCCATAGTCGAGAGAAGAAGTATGGCACCGACGTTGTTGGAAGCCTTAGAAGAATTCGAGATCATGGTCGGAGCAGGTGTGGAGGGTACTAGTACGAGCAGTAGGGACGTCGAAGATATTAGCAAGAAGAGCAACTGTAGTAGTTCTAACACGACTACTAGAAGTACTGGGATCATGACCGAAGCCGAACAAGAAGATGAGCATCAAGAAAATATTGAATTGAAAGGTACTAGGAAGTTGGACAGAGTTCGTTATTATAGTTGAGTCAAGGAATCATTTTAGCTCACGGACAACTTCACCTTCACACCTACAACATTCTAAGAAATTCTTCATTCGTCATATTAAATTTGCAGGTGCTAGTCCTCGTAGTCTGGGTCCCACCAGTGGTCAGCACAAAAATACAGCATTTACTGGTGCAGTATCTCGGATGCAGAAGGTGGTGTCCGGAGTGGTTGCTTCTGCCTTTAGGACATCAGAGCAGCGTACTGCAGCCGAATCAAAGGCAATAATTGAACGTGTAGCCAAGTTAGAGGACAAACTTGAAAAATTGACTTCCACAACCAACGCGATGAATATCAAAATTCAAATGCTGGAGGACGAGGAAAAGAGTAAGAAATCGATAACTACGGCAGAAAAAGAAAAACTAGAGAAGCAAATGCGTCAGTTGGAGAAAGGCTTAGCAGACCGCGAAGAAGCTCAAAGAAATCAATATGCAGCTTTTGAGACGAGGCTGAAAGAGGAAGAGGCAGCGGTACTACGATCGTACAATATTTATATATGTACCAGGGAGGGAGGCCCCGCCCCCCCTGTGGATATATATGCTGCAGGTTGTAGGGGAGCGCCCCCCCTAACGCAGGGGGGGCGTGTATCCCTGGGCCCCTTTTGAAGGCGTGTGCCGGGGGTGGAAGGCTTCAAAAGGGGCCCAATGAGCCTCCGTTCCCTTCCAGCTGCCTGCGTGTACCCTTCCGACCTCCTATTTGCTTCGCCGCCCCAGTAGTGCGCCGGGTGTGGAAGGCCTCCGAAGGCAGCAAAAGGCGCAAGGCTGGACCCCTTGAGCCGTGTGGCCTGGCCCCTCCGGGAGGTCGCTAGATCTCCTTGTAATTGACATGCTGATGTACTCTTTCTAAGACTAGGCGGCACTCCGCTTTTAGAAAAAATCTTACCACTATGCGTGTGTGGATTAATAGAATAGTGATCTCAATCCATACATATTTATTTATGCCCGACCACCGCCCGCACCCACGACGTCTCCCTACTAACTTAGGTTCGTTCTCGTTTAGAGGATTTTGAGAACGAAGTGGAGCGACGGGCCGAGGGGCGTTTCAAATTTTTCCGCACGGAACTACATGACCAGCGAAAATGGCTCGCCGAAGCAGGCGAGGCCATCAATAGTCTCTGCTGCAAGGTCCAACAACAGGGAAAACGAACATCGATTAAGGCTGCTAGTTGTATTAGGTGCGGTATGAATACATCGTCCTGAAGATCAACTTTGGTCTTGGTGAGCAGGGCGTCAGGCATGATCCTGTTCCTGCGTAGCATTTGCGACTTCCTTGATAAAAACAAACTGAGGTTTCTTGACAAGCAATAGTTCCTGCAATAGTACTAATCTATCTGTCATCATCATGAGAACTTGACAAAGAGTTGAAAGTGGGTCTGTCTCTAATGCAAGGCAAAATCGTGAGACAGATGAAAGACTCCGCGTAGAGATGGCGAAACACGTGGAACAGATTCAGGTACTTTTTCACGTAGTTATATTTACAGTGATGGACGAGGAGATTACGTTGCATATGAACGGACAGATTACCAAAACGAACCTTGCACCTTTTGAGCTTTGAGCTCAACCTAGGCTGATTTTCAGCCTTTCCTCAATTTCTAGCATAGGGCGACCCGGCTTTACCATGGTCGGCGTTCGGCTGCCTGATCGTGTAGCTGTAGCTACGAGGGGAATAAGATGCGATCCGAAATCGTGCTGAGGTTCACTCTGGTGTCGCGATATCCAATTCGACCCGGCAGTTTATATGCGATGTTGGGCGCATGTTTGAGATTTACAACAGTGATGGACGAGGCGACTACGTTGCATTTTCCACAGTGATACTAGAAACCACGAAAGAAGAAGATATAACGTTTACAAGGCAGTTCTTCTTCTTCTTTCAGTGCTTTCTTCGTTGGTAAGAGGATGAAGATCAGGATGTTCTTCTTCATCAACTGAAGCTGAATTCAACATGTTCAACAAATATCTCGTCACAACTGCCCTCGACAAATCTTCTTCCACGACCTCCACCTGCTATTACTTATATTATTTCAGCGCGAAGTGCAGCAAGAAGTAGCGAGAGAGGCCACCAATAAGACGAATGCGGAGTTCTTGGAAGTCAGCATATTTGAGAAAGAAATGAAAAAGGAGTCCGAGTTACTGGAGGAAAGACTCACATCTGCAAGGATCGAAACAGAGGTCGTTTTGGCACAGAGGTACTAAACTACACCAATTAGGCCACTAATAGGTGCAGGCACGATTCTTAAGGAGCGCGCATGCAATGTATCAAGTAGTCGATGGGCTTAGTTGTGGTAAAGATCTCAATCTCTCCTACTCGTCCTGGTGAAAGATTGCTGAACCAGAGGAGCTTCTCTACCCTCCTTCAATCCTCAGGCTAACGAATCTCGAGGGTCAGCTGGCAAAGGTGCAGGACGCTAATAAGAGTGCGGCCGCGCACCACAGAGCTGGGGACCGGCGCGTTCTGGATAGTCTACGCTCTGATTACGGCTACCGCTGAAGCATGCTCCTCAACTACCTCCCTGGCTTCTTTTTCAAGAAGAAAAAGGACTCAGGGATGGGCTCAAGAATGCGACGTGATAGCTCTAACCTGAGGTAGCGGAAGCTAATCGCCTGACGGCTGCTCGACTGGCGAATCTTGTGCAACATGTAGACACGAAGATGGAAGACATGCACAAGCGTACGACTAGTCGAGCGATTCATTAAGGCTCTTAATGATAATGATTCATCTCCACACGGTACTGGCCTAGGCTTAATATACTAATTCATCTCCAGCACCAGCAGCTCCACATGAGGCACAGAGTGCCAGTGCATCTGACTACTGGCGTCAGTTTCCTTCTTTGAGGAGCCTGAGACTGAGACCATGAGCTGAGCATGTGAATTTTTCTCAGTCCTCTAAATTGAGGCCAGCGTAGAGGAAATGTTGCAACGTTCTGGACTGAGACAAGCGACCCAACGCCTGCAGGAAGATCACGATGCGGCAGAAGGAGAGGCAAGGGCGTTGTCAGAAGATGTGACACGTTGCGAAGGAATGCTCACCCAAACGGTACGTTCGCTTCTGATTTTGAACCATACCATCTTTGGCGAGCACGTGTTGCAAAATGCGTTGATGATGACCGAAATCGGGAAGAACCACGAGGGAAATGCAAGTGGTCCTCGTGGAGGAAAAGATACATCAACGGCAGCAAATTCTTGTTCATCCGCGTCCAGCAGTGGTCTTTCGACCCCTGATGAAGAGAAAAATGGTGCCCAGCTACTGACGCACGATGATGAGCATCGCACAAGAACTACAACAGCGAAGCCATCTTCTGGAAATAAAAATAGCCGACAGGAGCGTGGTGAACGCAGTGCAGTTCCTCCTTGTGGGATCCTTGTGCGGCGGGAAAGTGATGGGAGGAGAGCCCCCTCGTCAACAACACATGATCAAGATTACTCAAGAACACCCCGTGATTCAGGTTCAGGAGGTTCTTTTATCGACGTAAACGAAGCTTTCCTTGACAATTTATGTACATCGATGGAAAAAAACTGGCAAAGAGTTTCCGAAAAGGGTAAGGGCAAAACGGTATTGGACCTCCTCAACAAAAAGGCAGACTACACTGTCTTGCGGCTCCTTCAAATATCTCAACAACACATCGAGTCCCAGGTGGATCGTGTGCGTTCCGAGTTTCGCAGGGTAGTGCAGCAAAACGAAGAAATGAGCGACTTACATCTTAATAGAACAAGGACCATGCTACATCAGATCATGATGGAGAACAAGAACAGGGGAAATGGAATAAGTAATGCATTGTCTGAAGGCTCTGGAGGACGTCGAGCTAGTACAACTGCAGCTCGCATCAAGGGGGGCTCTCCCTCTCCACCTCGCCAGCACGTTGTTTTGGAGCACAACAGATCATCTCCCTGGTGCAGTGGCAAGAACAGTCATGGAGGAGTAGGAGCACCAGCCTCTCTATTTTAAGGCTCACTATTAAGTCACTCATCATTTCCTGCATCTATTTTAAGGCTCACCAAGGGGGCACTATTTAAGGCTCACCAAGCGAGCCACTCTCATTTTATGACACGACTGTCAGTCACCTCATCATTTCGTACTGCATTATTTGGCTACTTTGATGCAGGTCTTCATCAAAAACATGGATTAATTTCGACAAATGCGCCAGGAGCTCTAATCTTTCCAGAACTTTCCTTTTACAAAACCAAAAGGTGGTGGAGGACCAGTTGTAGCAGGAGGCGCCTCTGGAGGAGTACCAAATGAGCTCCTTGTAGATGGAAGTGGAACGATGAATCCGGTGGTCGCGTCATGGATGCAGCAGTTGCTTCTATGGAGTGGAAAAGGTCCTGCAGCTACTTGTCCGACACAGCAAAATCAAACTGCGATGACGAATCATGACAAAGGAGGTGGAAAGAAGGTGGCAAGAAGAAGTGCCTCTATTCTAGCGAAGACGAGGCCAAGCAGTGCACCTGGTTCAGAAGTGGTGTACTACCCGCCCTTACTGTCTAACGCATGGACGCAACCCGAAGACTTTCATACAACTGGTGCTCACAATGATCATATGCTTGGCAATGGAGTAGAAACAACCAATATTCATCACCACGGGGCAGCTCATGTATACGACGAGGACTATATCAATGTCGTCGATGAAGATGATGTTGATCAGGTGCTGAAACATATGCCATCTCAACAACAACATCCTCGTCCAGGAGATGAGCTGCAAAGTAAAGCACATCTACTAAATCTGCATCAGGGTCGTGTTGTAAATGGAGGAGCCCCTGCTCGTGCGTCTGGTACTACAGAAGTGTCTTCTTCAGGTGGATACTATCACCCTGAACCTGATGCTGCACACATTTTACAACCCCCACGAACAACGCGGTTGGCGACCACTATGGACGACGCACAACAACGTCAACCTCCGCAGCCAGTTGGCGTACTAGGTGGAGGCAATAATTTCTTACGTACTCAAGTCCAAGAATCTGAATCTGTTTGTCTATCCCCACCCACCTTTACTGGACAACATGATAGAAGTTGTACTTCAACAACTCGTAATGTCGCAGGAACGACACCCATTTTTCGAGAACCAGTACAAGGAAAAGGCCTTACATCATCTAGTACAACTGCTGGGCCACAACATCACAATATTATTAGCGCGTCTGCCATCGATGGCTCGGAGATCGTTCGTAGTCCCTATTTGCAAAATATCAACGCGTGGTCTGCCGGTGGAGGTGCAGGAGACAATGTGTCCGGTGATTGTGCATCGCCTCCGATGCCACCGATGTTGTCGAGCAGCCTCAGTGCGACACTGGACAACCTTCACCGACGTCGAGGCCAGGAAGGTAATACAGAAGTGAATTCTACATCTACTGTTATGAAACAAAGACCACGTCTCTACGGTCACTCGAACGGTGGTAAAAGGGGCAATTGCATGCATAGGACTGAATAGACATTTGACATCTTCCAGAACTCCGTCAGATCGAACAAGATTCCTATTAAATGGTCATTTTCAAGGCTAGGAAGGGTGAGTGGGTATGTTGACTTAGATCTTGATTGTGACGTTCATCTATGTGTGACAACACTATGGACAGTAGCGGCTGCGCCTGCAGCAATTACTTACCTTCATCTTCATCTTCAAGCTCTAGCTCTAATGGCGGCAACACCGCTGCAACCGCATCCGCATCAGAAGCAAAAGGAGTCATTTTACATCATACGCCTTATCCTCCAGGCGTCTCTCGCTTTGCTTTGAGACCCAAGAGTCCTGCACCAATTCATCCGTCAAGAAAGCGAGGTCCGAAAGGAATGACAATGGCGCAATCTTCTGATGGAGTTGCGAGAAAGGGCCCTTGTTCTAATTAGAAGGTGCAGGGTGAGCACTGAAAGGCCTCAAAATCGTTAGTTAGGACGAACAAAGAGGTTGTATCATGGCATAACATGACGTCGGAGGGTTCAATCTAATCATGCAGTAATGAGAAGGGATGGTACTACAGGAGGATCGGAGTCGTAGCTTGGTACAGCCTACTGACTCGTCAGGGTCGCGCTACTATTAAAGTATGCTGCTGCTCTTTTGCTTTTACAAAAGTTCTTCTTCTATCATTACAGACTTGGAATATTGGAATTTTTTTGGAAAAATATATCATGAACAAGTAAGTCTTAGTTTGTTTGTTTGTTTCTTCGTCTGCAGATGACGAGTTAATATTACAATAGGAATGTTGTTCTTCGCAATATCGACGCAATCGGTAGTACGTAAAATGACTAGAAGATATACTCTTAGATTATACAACTATGTGGCACATCTTCTTCGAACACTTCTATTAAAACACGTTAAAAAAACTGAATCTTGAGTCGCATTTCGTTTGGAAAGAGCTAAATTTTTCATAGTAGAACTTATTGGTTTTGATCTCAACATAGTAGCAACTTTTTCAGTATCAATTATTCGGCGCCAAGCAGGACCATGAGTACGGAGGCTCAGCCACGATTAACTCCGGATGGCGTAGTTCTAGTATATCTACTATGTATGAATATACAACTTCAAATATATTGATGTGCTTACTTTACAGATATGAGTTGAGCCTAACATATGACTATGTTTTACTTGACGATATCGTAAGAGAGACTGCAAGCATCTCCTCGAATGATTGATGTTCTTCTTGGGTTGGTTTTACTGTTTCTTCAATCAGTGGGTAGGGTGGATTTTTTGCAGGTCCTTGGCTCGGCTTAGCCGGTTTTTTCTCCTCTTCCCTTCCTTACTCCCTCTTCCGTTCCCCTCCGCGTTTGTTAAACTCTTCAGTCCCTTCGCTTTCCATCTTCATGACCACTGCTAATAATACTCATAGTACTAATCAATTTGTTCCGTAATGTTCTTTTCACTACAAACCTTCCGTCGCAGGTCTTGGTTGCACGAACATTATCAATGTCAGCCAGTCGGCTTCGGTACCAGTTGAAGATGATGATAGTCAATGTATGTAACGTCACGAATTTCAAAAGTAGTAAGAACAGTACAACTACTAGTGGTAAACCTAAACTGTTTACCATAGACATGACGAACAGTACAACTAGTGGTTTAATATTACCGTAAACATGACGAGCACGACCACGAGCAGTACAAGGTTGCAGCTCTTGTTCTAAAAAGTAGATCATGAATGAAAAATGTCACGACTTTGAAAAATTAGACCTTCAAGCCGCGAGCAAGTAGGTATAGATACAACTAGTAGAACTCGTTATTCTGAACTAAAATTTTTGCACCACAGGTACTACAAACAAGCTGGCGTCGAACAACCTTGTCTTCCAATTTCTGAACAACTTAGATTTATTTCCTAACTTATTTTCCAGTTTGGTCCTAACTTATTGGGTACTGTAGTTTTGGTCCTCTGTTTTTATTTCTGAACAACCTTAGGAATTAGGACAGATTTGCTTAATTCATGCTTCTGCTGGGAGAAGCAGAAGCCGTGTATTCATCTTCGGAATAATGGACCACCTTGGAGTATTTACCGAATATCAAAGCCAGGGTACTGTAGTTTTGGTCCGGTAAGAAGCTACAGTACCGAACCCGGTAAGAAGGACCACGACTACTAGATTTAGATCTACTAGGATCTACAACTAGATCTAGATCTACTGGTAGAGAGCGTAGATAAAGGAGAGGCTCTTGTCGCTTTCTAGTCTTGCTTTCTAGGTTCCATGACAGCATCGAAGCTCTGTGCATGTCGCTGCAGGAGCATCGAGAAAAGACTATCCTTTCTATTTCGTACAAAAAAAAGCATGATGGTGTAGGGTATGTGTTAGCTAGCTTCTATAGAAGGTTTGATCGCAAACAGTTACGGATTGATTACAAGGAGATGGGGCTACAAGCCGTTCAAGAGGTGCGTCCTACCGTGGAAGGAAAGACCAGTAACGTAACTTTCTTCTCGGGCGTGACCGGTTGAAAAACGAACACCTCCAAGAAGGGATCATACATAATGATATTAATAAGAATAATAAGCTGGTGGAGGAGATAGAGGAACAAGATGTAGTGAGCCTGTTGGTCTCGCTTCAAGGCCCAGTAGAAGTGCGTAGTCGTTCAGAAAGGTCGAGCATCCAAATCTATTATACTTGATAGTCTATCAACATTCGGCTATTTTGCTCTTCTATTCAGAAGGTACAAAGTAGCTGAAGAAAGGCCTCTACAACGTTTGAGTGACAAATAAAGAGGTTCCATGACATGACATTGCTTTTTGTCTTTGAGACCTTGCAGCTTGTGGATCACTGTAGTCAGGATCGTCATTTTAGTTATTTTAGTAGGGGTGTCCGTATCTTTTAGCTTTATTTTCTCGTAGTGAGTGGTCGTCTGAAAATAAGATGGTCGTTTGCATTGTCATGGGAAAGAAAATGGAATTTATTAATCCTGAACGGAAAGAGGAGACTGCTGAACTACCTGATGACGTCCACGCTTCCCCTTTTTCTTAGTGTTGGGAGTCCCATTCAAAAAGGCGCGCGATTTTGTGTGTCCACCTTGTGTGAACAATACGGTGAAGAACGTCGCAAATAATGCTTTTTCTGCGACGCGCACGTGAACGCCCTGTCACCGCTGCGACTCGAGAGGTTGGCGGCAACGCGCGAGGGTTTGAGGTCGGGGGCGGAAGACGAAGACTAGATAAAGGAAAGTGGTAGATAGTGTAGATAAAGGAAAGGCTCTTGTCGCTTCGTATCAGATAGGAAACGCAGTGATGTGTTCCCTCAAATCATGCTTTTTCTGCGAGAGAAGTAACAGCATTTAACATGTTGACGAGAAAAGATTTCGTAAAAAGCGCTGCAGCGACAACAACAACAACAACAGGACGGGCCTCTCCCATGATTTGTGACTTGATGAAATGATTGTCCTGCAACGATCCTCCTAGTTGTGGTCTTATATATTGCAGAGAACGTGGACGATACGGATAGAGATACCTACGAGACATAAAAATAGAAGCTTAGACTAAAGATGTCTGTAACGAGTCAGAATCAACATCTATTCATCAACGATACTTCTAGTTGTAGTTGTTTGAGAAATTGTCAATATAAGAGAAACCCCAAACAGATGCCATGCTTGACGAATACTCTGGACATCGCAGAGCAGCCGAGCTAGAACTGTCTGAACTCTACTCCCGTTCAGAGCAAGGGTCGGACATATCGTCCTCCTCGTCACCGCGCTCAGATACCACGAACACGACTCCGCGATCTTTGCATGTTAACATTAAGACTAGTACAAGAAATGATCTCCCAGAATTGATACGATAGATAGGTTCTCCGAGTAGCTTCTAATAACCGCAGAACAGAATCCGGGGATTCATCTGCTGGACGAGTCTACTTTTGGGATTCATGGATTGAGTCGTTCGAAAACTTCTGTCAAGACGAGCGGCGAGCTGCGCCATGCCTGGTCCTATTACTGCACTTCACTGTATGATGCCCCCACTCGTCATAATTGAGATGAACTACGAAGATCTTCACATGGGACGAATGTCGTTCCACCTAAAAAATACTCTGAGGGGTGGACGAATGTCGTTCCACCTAATCATACCAAAACATGTAGCTAAACCGAAGAGGCGGAACGGCATTCGCCTATCGACATTCGCAAGGAGTGGAAGCATTCATTTACGGTCGTCGGCGTGGTTGTGTGGCACACGCTAGTGACGGGAGAACCAGGAACGAGAAGATGGCCCTCTGAAGATTATGGCTCCTCGGTGTCAGTATCGTATGATGGTGGGGATCTCCTGATGGCTATTGCAAGTGAGATGAGAGTCTACTCGAATACGCAAAATGAGCGAGAAAGTAAGACATCACAATGACCGAGTATCTGAAATTATAGCATACTCGCTTATTTGCGTTTTTCGATTATCTGACTAAGTCAATGAAAGGGGAAAACTACAGTTATGCATCATCGTAATATCTTGCTGTTTTTTTTGTTTCCTGGAAAAGTAAATGATTCTTTCACAACGTCATCTTCATCTAAGCGAATACTACCTCATTCGACGAACAAGCTACGCATATTAGCATAGGCAGTCTTGCGCCGTATGTCGTAGTAACGGTTTACTTTTACCTCAGAGCAAGCTGGACGGATCCGGGATTTGTGGAGCCGGTTCCTACAAGTGCAGTAGAAGATGTGCTTGTAGTGGGGGATGGTGATTCATCTAAGGAAATACTACAAGATGATAGACAAGAAGGCGTACCAGGGGTCCAAAGCTGTTCGTCTACTAAGAATGATGATCAAGAGGCTGGAGTTCTTGGGGGAAAAGATGCTCAATCTGCAGGATGCTCAACAGTAGAGCATGCAATCCGCAAAGCATATCCGCGACCTCATTTTCCTGGACCAGACATACTCGGTAATCCAGTTGCAGGACTAGAGATGATTGAAATGAGCAATCTGTCTACAACACCCGCCAAGGATGAAGAGAATCAAAATCATGAGAACAACGACGTGGTCATCAAGAAAGCTTCATCTCCCGGAAGCTCTGCAACAAAACGAAAGAAGAAGGGCCCATCCTCAACATCAAAGAAACCACCACCATGGGAAGTGCGTCGCCCAGACGGTAGTTCGTTTTCGCTTAGATATTGCAAACAATGCAAAGGCTATCAGCCTCTACGAGCAAAGCATTGCAAGGATTGCGGACGCTGCGTCAGAACCTACGACCACCACTGCCCATGGATAGGCACTTGCGTTGGTGAGAGGAATCGACGGTATTTCTTTCTCTTTCTTCTATTCCAGTTCGCAGAATTGTTGCGTTTTGGGTATCTTGGGGTGAACGTATTTTGGGAACAACAAAACGGCGGTAGAAGTAGCAGTACTGGACATCATGGAGGTTCAGGTTCTCGTCAAGAGCTGCATGGTATTTTAAAGGATCATGCAGATCGAAGCCCGGCTCCCTATGACGTCGATGCAATCAAAAACGCCTTGAAAAATATGATCCCTCGCGTTCATGTGTATCACGGGAACACCCATCAAGAACAATATGGAAGGGCTTCATCTGCGAAAGGTACTGAACAAGCAGAAGATCTTGTTGGGGGTCCAAAAAAACTGGGAGTCGATACGAAGCCTCCTATTTTGTCTGAAGCACGAAGAAAAGAGTTGCTATTGGAGATGCAGTTGGCACGAGATGCTGTTGTAGAAGAGGTCAATGGTGGTATTAAGCCGAAGCCTGTTGCAGAGCAAGCCAGTTCTGCGCTGCTGCTTCCGAGTAACAGTGAACATGTTCTTGATACTGAAGGATCATCAGAAATTCCACGAGGCACTTTATTGACCTCGACAGGACAACACGATCAAGAAAAGCATCTAGTACCTCCGCAGGCGCAGCCTGTGCGACAAGAGCAACCCTCATCACGACCACCTCCTACGTCACTAGCAGCATCCTCCGCGACCAGAAGAAGCACGACCCGAAAAGCACCAAGTTCTCAAGCCAGAAAAAGAGTTGTTGTTGCGCCAGCTGCGAGGTTTGTACTTATACTTGCGATTTTCGTAATCTGTCTCTTCGCCCTGATGGTCGGCACATTGCTAGCGTACCACACATATTTAGCGGCCATTAACCTGACGTCATGGGAAACGGGATCGTGGGATCGGATTACTTATCTGAGTTATGCGTGGCAAGTAAGTCATACTAGTTTTTCGGTATGCTGTTGCTGTTGGTGTGCAGCCTATGCTGTAGTGGTCAAGAAGCACCTCAGGCATTCGCATACCGAAAAAATACTCGAACAACTCGCAATTTTTGTTTCTAATCACGGGACTTGGATTATGAATTGGGATCGCCTTTCTCTCGAAGCCTGGTCTTGAATTGTGCCTCTTATTTCTGCCCCGAGAGGTGTCGTCCTAGTTTAGAAAGAAAAAACATGATAGAAGATTTCTCTGCGCCTGGCGTACAAGGACCGCGAGGTGTTGAACTTGACTTAGGAGAAATACACAAGGCAAAGGATGATGAGCTTCATCAAGAGATGGACATGCATGAAAAAATAGAGAATACTCTTCAAGGGCAGCTTCAGGGACATCCCATATCCAGCATGAACAACGATCACAACATCAACAACTTGTTTCCTGATCACCTAACTTGGGCCCTCGGTCCACAGCATATTCCCTCGGGTGTGAAATTTTGCTCTGGTGATGGTTGTGACGATTGTTGTGACAGAATGTGCTCATCCTCAGGTTGCTGTTGTCCATCATGTTGTGACGAGCATCGAACAACTTTTAACGATGATCCTCGTTTGTCGCCAATTTAGCAATTATTCGTCGACTGTCATTATGACTATGCTGCCAGGATGACTACCAGTTCATCATGTTCTTCGAGCTCGTCACCGCGGAACATGAACGCACGATCCCATCTGTTGTTCAGCGGCTGGTGGGGAATGAAGTGTTTATACGGCACTATGAATATAATTATGGTGTTGTACATCAACCAATATACTCATAATCTTCGTGTCGCTCAGCTAAAACTCCTTCAACATGTTGAACATCTTCTATGTATTGCTAGCAATTCTTCAGGACCTACTTATAACTTTTTTTCATTCTTGCAATTATGGCATGCAACAGGAACACTAGCAATATGAGCATTCTTCTTAATAATGAATTTTTTAGGTTCTGTAGGTACGGTCCTCGCTCCTTGCATGAGGATTCCTTCTGCAACTGTGGTTCTTTGCTTCCTGAAACCGCGGTTCGAACTGCTGTTCGAGCACAATGCATCAGAAGACCTGCTTCCAGCATGATGTTGTTGAAACTTGTAGCTGCTGCTACCGCTACCCGCTTGACGGCGCTTAGTAGCTGTGGTGCAGTGGTGGATGCTGTCGGTGCAGGCAAGACACATGATAGACAACAACAAGAAGAAAGAGAAACCGCTGTTCGTAGAAGAAGTGCTGATCCCGCTTCATTGTCCTCAAGTGCTGCACTGGAGCACGAAGTAGAAGAAGAAGCTCCCGAGCAGGAGGATTATTCTAGCAAATTGGATGACGATGTCGTGGATGCTCTTGCTCATCATGCTCAACATGCTGCATCTGATGGAACAAGGGTCGTTAGGGTAAGCGAAAAACGTCACAACGGAGGTCGTGTTCGGGGTAGAGGAGTAGAGGATGACTATTTTTCATCATCCTCCCCTGACGCTGCACCCTCAACAGCGTCTCCACTGCTCTCCTCCTCGCCTGCGCTTAGTGAAGAACAACAAGAATGTGGGGGTCTCGGAGACATAGAGGATGATGAGAACGACGAAGAGGACGGTGATGGAGGAACAGAACAAGATCTGGAACAAGATGGAGAAGGCGTGGTGGACCAACACGATCATGTAGATAACCAAGATGAGCATGATGCTGAGGATTTACAGGTTAACCACAGAAGTTGTCCAGACGAAGTTGAAACTACGAGATTGTTTGCTCTGATGGCCAAGAAAATGTTCGCGCCTATCATCGAGGCGGTGATGAATGGCGATGACGCATTTGTCGAATATCTTCTTCAGGAAGCGAAAAAAGAACAAGAGCAAGAAGATGAAGAAGAGCACCTCTCCAAAAACAAATACACAGTCCTAGAAATTGGCGGAGTCCCTCAATCCGGCCCGCATACCTCAGAAGGCTCCTTACACCAGAGTCTCCTCTTTCCGCCTTCTGCTTCCGTCTTTCTCGATCACTATCGAACGGGACGTAGGCTAGAATATTCTCGTGATGGGAGTAGAGATTTGAGACTAGACACTCAGCATATGCGGGAAGCGGTTCTTGGACTGGTAGGTGGACGAGAAGAGAAGTTTGGGCAGCACGGGGACGGCAGTGTGTACCAGCCTTACAATAGTCTTTTACGACGAGCAGGACAAGACGACACAGCAGACCACGGACGTGAGCAGGACTTGACTGAAGATGTGCCGTATCCATTAATAGCTACGATCAAGGCGAATACGTCTGATCAACAAGAAAGACAAAAAGAAGGCTGCAACGACCGTATCATGGAACGACCTCCTTCTTCTTCTCTTTCACCAGCTCATTCAACATCTTCTGCAAGTAGAACCTCCACAAAAGGCTCCCTTTTGACCATCCAGGAGCCAAGAAAGTCTCTTCTTGCTTTTCTGCGTGAGAGGGTTTCAGTGATCTACCTGAATAACATGCTGTGCGATTGTCCTGGTGACGGCCGACGCACCTGCGGAGGCTTCAGCATTTCCCCTAGCTCTATCACTGATTTTCTCGATGCCGTCAAAGCTCTTCTAGCAACTTCACAGGAGAGCAGGCCTTCTTGGGTGGTCATCAAACAGAAACCTCCCAGACATGTTCGAGCGAATAATGGACTTGGAGTTGGGCAACTCTCTGCATCAACGCTAACTACAAATCAGCGTACTAGAACGAAAGCGAGAAATTCTCATGCAGCCTGTGGTCGTGATTCTGGTAGCCGCAGCACCAGTTGTAGTGTAGGTGGGAGACGACCGCAACGTAGTAGTCGACGATTCTTCCTTCAAGATTTAGTCCTCAAAACTCCTACGACAAGAAGTAGCTTCACCGACTTGCTCTGGGGCGAACTACTTCTCAATCGTCCTGAAGAAGCGGATGATACTCGACGAGAAACAGTGGTCGACTGCTGCGTTTCCGGTATTCGAGGCGTGTGTATGAGCAGCACCCCTTTCTGGGTTTTCTTTGCTTTTGACCACTCGCTGATAGTGTTGAAGCGCATGTAGGAGGGGTAGGGGAAAAAAAAATCATGCACATGCTCAAACGGGCTTCGTGGCGAGCAGCTTGAGGGAACTAACAATTTCAATTGTGATTCTGTCGACACTGACTGGTCTGTAGCAGTATTTAATGAAAATTGAAATTCAAGAACATCAAAACCATTCATCATGTTCATCGCAATCTTTTGCGTTTGAACATAATTTGCATATAATTTAACCAAATAGTCGTGCACGTCGATCAGGAGGATTACAATCCTTCTCATTTCTGACTGAAGAATCGTCAAATTCGAAAGCTAACCTGGTTCTTAGATCATAGATGTGTTGTAATCGTTATCGTGTGTAAAAAAGTTTCGATCTTCATCGTCAACATCGGATTTCTACCTGCATAAAATGAGTATCCCACTCGTTCCTAGGACAGCGCCCTGCTCACGAATATGCTTCCGCAATGGGTCGAGTCAACAACTACTCGTGAAATTTAGATCATTCACCTTGTTCAATTATTTTTTATTATCGCATGTAATGTATTCGACTCTAACCTCAACATACTTTGATTTTCCTCATCGACGTTGCTGAAGATAAACTACTGCTGTGAAGTCAGCGTCAGTTACCTTCATTTTTTTTTCAACATCAGATTACCAGTTTGAATTTGAAAAGTTGAAACAGCTCTACTTGTTCTTCAGGAATTGAATCCCTCAATTCTTCTCTTGTTCTGCTTTTGTGTAATACAAAGAAAAATTGCAATTGGAGTGCATCTGCTTATTAATTCGTGAAGATGTCCCAGTCGCAGTCCCTATGCCACTACTCATCTCGGTGTGTGGACGGCGAAGTATCTTCACTTTGTTAACGGTTCCTCGATGAAAGAATAGTACTATGCACCATCAAGAGTAGAAGAATTATGTTGTCGAGATTATAGCGAATTAAACAAAACATGTAAAAAAATGTGATCAGTGTACTCGTCGTACCCGAGGCATCCTGGCATGAGATGACTCGTCCTTGCCTGATGATGTTCACGAGGCGAGGTATCAGTATTGATCGACGAGGCGTCAACAACGTGTTCTTCTGAGTACTTGTAATATCTCTGACTATGGAAACGTCGGTTCTTTTGATGGACAACATGTAATTTCGATTACACATACAAAAGTTTTTCAGGAGCTTTTCGACCCCAAAAAAATCCTGTTGATGTTTTACACCCTTGCAGTTAGTCGCATGTTGTTGATCGAGGATAGTCTTTTGACGTGCTACTTTTGTAGTTTTGGGTCTTTTAGGATTTACGAAAATATTTGAAGCGACTGGTTCTTCTGGTAACCTTAATGCGAGAATTTTCTGTTTCTTGCTCTTGGTTGGATGTGCTTCATAAATCAACATGGGCACCTAGGTCCAGTTGAACTACTAGTTTTTATCGAACAAAATGTCGCCAACTAAGACCTCCGAGCAAAAGCGTTCCTGGCATTCCTCCGGAGGGGGAGGGAGCTCTTCATCTTCGTCCTCGCCCTCACGAGCTTCTGCTGGGCCAACCACACCAGAGTTGGTTGTGAGCAAGTCGCCACTATTAGAGGAAAATGCAAATGCGAATGGCAATGGGTGGAATGGCAAGAACGAGCCTCCAGTCTTTGTCCAATCCTTTGGTCAGTCGGTAGGCCAATTACGGATTGCGACTGTCTTCGAGAAAGAGCCGGACTCTTACGTGCAAAGACGAAAGGCCCTAGGTGCGTGGCCACCAGTCAGCAAGATAGGTAGCCCCATACAGAGTCAGATGAGTCAAGAGAAGAACATTCTCGGTCAAGGTTTGCCTTGTCCTTTACGGCCTACAACGAGTAATTTGCTGACGAAGGCCGAGCTGGAGGCGAATGAAGAGAGCATGTTTGAACAGTGGAGTGCAAATGTGAGGGAACAGATAGCTACGTATCTGAACGACCCAAGAACCGAGGAGGAAATCGCCAAAGACCAAGGTGAAAGTACTGGCACTTACGGGTAGGTTAAAGGTGCTTTTGTTACCGTTTGTTATGGCTCTCCTAAGGCTAAGAGGGACAGCCATAACAAGCGGCTTAAACGAACGCGAAAAACCTACCTCTAAGGTACGGCTTCTCGTTCGGCAGCGAGAACGACTGGGCCTCCGAGTGCAACAAGAAAAAGGTCCAAGCGCAGAACAAGTGGTGAAGGCGTGCTGGGAGAGGGGGAACCGTCACGCATAGAAGCGGGAGGAGCTAACCACCACTTTACTAAAGAAGCTGCAGGTGACACCTTGGATGGACATGAAGCAGAAACACAAAACAACCATGTGATTGTGCAGCCTGATGGGTCTACGGCGCCTGTGGTTTTTCCGATCAAGTCATCTTCGTTGGCGAATCCCGAAGCAGAAATAGATCAAATTGAAAAAGAAAAACCAGTTACTTCATCATCATCATCATCAATAACAACATCATCACCAAAAGACCCCATCGATACGATCCTGTGTAACTCCCTACCACCGATCGAATATGGTCTCGATGTCTGGCGGCAACTCTGGCGCACAGTAGAGCAAAGTGGTGTCCTGATCATCTGTGCTGATGCACGCAATCCGCTCCTCCATATACCAGTAGACGTAGCTCAAATCGTGCAAGGCAAGCCCACGATGCTGGTACTTACAAAAGTCGATTTGGTCTTACCAGAGGAATATCGGGGGTGGAGGGAATATTTTCTCTCTCGTGGTGAACAACATGAACATTCTTCTTCTTCTTCTCCATTGAAGTTCGACGCTGTGCTGCCTTTCACCAAGCAGCCACACCCAGACCGGGAAAGCCACATAAATTTCGTGAAGACCTTGGGTGCGGGATTTCGGCGGAAGAGGTTAAAACAGCCAGCAGGCAAGAAAAGCGACATGAGGACGACCGTGGATGCATACGTGGATGACATTTTAGACCAAGCAATAGAATTGATGAGCAAGAACAAGAAGAATATGAAGGAGAACATCGACCATCATGTGGACGATCATCCTCAACATAAGCAGGCGGATCATGGGGACGATTATCACGGAAAAATTGCCGACGCACCAGCTGTACTAGGAGGATCGTTGTCGCGCAAAGACAAGATGGTGATCGGCTGCATAGGTCATCCGAATGCCGGAAAGAGCAGTCTGCTGAACGCCATCATCGGTTCTAAAAAACTAGGTGTGTCACGAACCGCAGGTCACACCAAACACATCCAACATATCTATCTACCCACCACTCGTGGAGGTGGAGGAGGTGCATCCCCTCGTGGAGGTGGGGGGTTGACTCCTCGTCGTTTAAACGTACAGGATAAAGTGGTAGTGGAGCGTAAAAAATCGGATGAACAACGAGTTCAAAAGGGTTCAAGCCCAAATGTTGAACAACAGGCTCCTACACAACTACAAGCTTCTAGTACCGAACGCGGCAAAGGTGGGCGATCTAAACCGCGACGTGAGATATTAAATGAAGTTCAACAGACGCAGACCTTGTCCAAGTCGGAAATGAAAGCGATGAAAAACGAACTACGAACAGATTATCGTGAGAAGCAAAGAGGAGTTCTCACTGTAAGCGAGACTAAACTAAAGGGCGGAAAAAACAAGAATAAGCGCGGCGGGGGAGGACGTGGTGCTCGTGGTGGTGAGCAGAATCATGAAGAGAAAGTGGAAGACGGAGAGCCAGAAGACCATGAAGAGGAGGCTGGAAAAAACGACAGGGCTCCTACTACCTGTCGAAGGAGAAATAGTTTTCCTGACGAAGAGGAAGATGCTGATCAGAAGCTGATGGCACATTTGCAGGAGTCGGAGAATCTTGATCTTCTCACTCATGATGAAGACCATGACCAACATGACGAAGATGCTCATCTCCCCAGAACCGCTTCCACAACTGAAGACTTGATCGTGATGGATTGTCCAGGCTTAATTTTTCCTAGAAAGAACTGTCCTCGCTTTGTCTACGAGCTTGCTGGTTTGGTCCCCATTGCGCAGATTCGGGAGAGCTACTCAGCTATCCGTTTTCTAGCCTCGCAGTTGCCACTAGACCGCATTTATTCTCTGGAATTTCCAGATTGGGCTAGGGAAGAAGGAGGTGGCCAAGCAGGAGAAAATGATATCAATGAAGATACCTCAAGAACATCCCTGTCATGGACACCAGCTTTGTTACTCGAGAGCTATGCAGAGAAAAAGCATTACACTCTGGCGCGAAGCGGATCTCCGGACATTCACAGGGCTGGCTTGGAAATCATAAGAGACTGCGTTGACGGAGTCGTTTGTTGGAGGATTCCACCTCCTTCTACTTAGAAGAACAAACAGTCCAAGAGCATGATCCCAAACCCAAAGCTTTTATTGGTACACCATTCATTTGAATCTTCAGCGAAGACAACAACAACAAGGCGCAGATGATGAATCTTCAGCGAACATGGCAAGAAGGAGTGCATCCTGTGTTCAATGGATTGTACGGTTTTGAAGAAGCACTCGGTAGTTGAAGAAGTATTACTTCTACATTCATCATAGCAAGAATTCAAAACCAAAACAAGAGTGTGACTGTCTGAGTCTACTAACGAAGATGCTTTCTGGAACAACATGATTTGCACTGTGGAAGACCTTATCTGTTCTTGCGCGAATAGCTACATGAGAGGTACCATGAGATGACATTGCACGAGAGTGACTCACAACTGCTCGATGAACTCAATGAATCATTCTGTAGTTTCTGAGTTGTCTCATGTGAGGACATCGCAGAAGATTTTCCGTCTTCTACTTACTTCGGAGGAAAGCACAAAGTGATCATCTTAGCGTTTTTGAACCAATGAATATCCTTCCCCGCCCCGCCTCGTCCGTACGAACACACAGGATCACGTGTATGGTCGGATATTAAAAAAAACGACCAGATTTTTATGGTTGGTCCGTTGTAGTGTTTGTGTCAGTCTGTGTGCAGGTTGGTTGTGCATGCGCAAAGTAGTTTGGGGCGCCGAAGTAGTTTTAGAGACACGGCTCGACGGCTTATTTTCTCCTTTTACACGACCCTATTTCATCTACTTTGGAGATAGAAGTAGAGACTTCGACGACAAGCTCCGGTCGCTCGACATCCTCGACTTCCTGACCTAAAATCTCATCGCTAGTAACTTAAAAGGCTACTACACCTCCTCTTACTGATTATAGGCGCGCGAGCATTAAGATCAACATCGCTCCTGACACCCCTTGCTGATAGGCGTGTGATCTTTTTCCAATCGCTTTTTTCCGTTTTTTTCCTCGACCTCCATAGATATATCATCATTATGATATACATAGTTTTGGACGAAGTAATTGTTTGATTTCGGTCCTTGACTGTACTTGTACAAAAAAAGTCTGAGCTGCTTCTATAGGGGCTTGATGAAGACTCTGACTCAGGAACACCAATAACAGATGATGTTTCTTTGTAGTGTCAAGGAAGAACCGAGCAGTCAGTTATCACTCCATCTTGGTCAGTGATAAGTTAGAATATTCACTTTTTCCATGTGCACCAGCATGGTCGAAGCCCAAGCCCCTAAATGAGCCGAATTAGAGCAAGATGCAGCGAGGACGAGGAGCAGGCTCGTGTCCTCAGTGCTTGTTCTCCGACAAAACCAACACCAGGCAAACACGAGACCAAGAGGTGCCGGCTGCCACTCAGAATATAATTGACCACAGCAAAGTTGTATTGAGGCTCACAACAATTTATCTTAAGAAGGATCTTTGGGCCGTTTGCTCAGGGGAGAACACGCCAAAAATGCACTTCAAGATGAATAAATATATGTGAGGTCTAATTGTAGCGAAAAATGATCAAGCAATCAGTGCAAATTTTTACTTAGACGTTCTTTAACCTACGACCTAGTGCATCAGCAGCATTAGCCTCCGACTAGTTGTACGGGGGGGTGTGAGTGTGAACCCGTATTCTCGATTACGAACTGAACGTCCTTCAATCTAGTGCATTAGCTAAAAATGTAGTTCTTTTCAACGCTCTTCCGAAAAATCATGCGTGCTCTCCAACGCTTCGAGCCCTCGCCGCACAGAGATCCTTATTTTAGCAAAAATGAAAGAAATATATTTAAATGATCATACATGCATCTTCAACATAATTGGGATGTACATGTTCCTGTTGCCGAAGTGACCGAGCAGTTGGAGTTTTCGCTTTCGCTCTGACGAGAGACAGTGAAGAAGAAGATCGATCTTGTCCCATCAAAAGCTCTATTCCTCTCAGAAACAAACGATCAAGTCGTTCTTTCAGAAAAATATAGCAGCTGCGATGTTCCTCGCTCGACACAAAGAGTGATGCGCTCAAAATTCAGCCCCTAGACCGAGGAAAACAAGATGAAGATCAATTTTACAACTCATCGAGAACTGTAGTTTCGCTCGTCCTTGTTCGTCTTGTTCGTTGAGATCATCAAGTCGATAACAAACAAGCATCAATGAAAAAATGACAGAAGAATTCGACACGATCAAGCCTCGCTTTGCATTTTCAGAAAAGAATTCGTAGTTTCCCCAAAGATTAGGATTTTTTTTAGACAGGAAAATCTTACTCAGATTGCCGAATTATAGATTCACATCATCAGGATCGATTACTTTGGTAGAAGTAAGCAGTGAGAAAGGACATTCGTAGAGGTTTACTAACTGGCTGGTTATCCATCTCGTTGAACACGATCATCCACTTGTAGAAGGTACAACGCTTCAACTTCATCTAGGTATTTTCACTACAACTAAGTACGTAATTTCATCTAGACCTAGGTCAACAACGTCAACTTCATCGTGCTAGAAGTTGTCAATTGTCACTGAAAAGATGGGACGGTCAAACGGTTGCGAAGCTAACAGAAAACGAGAAGATGCCAAGAAGAGGGCGGCGAAATTTAACAAGGAAGGTACTTATTAACAATCTTCATGTTACTAGTTTTTTTTCATTTTGCTGTTATCCCGTTTTTGGAATTTTTGGAAAGTAGAAGTTGTGTTCGATATTTAATTTCTATCTTGATCAGGTAATTCCCAGCTCCAGGCGAACGCAGATTGCATGAGTCTGCAGTGCAAGGTGTGCTTGCAGAGCTTCATGAGCACACAATTGAAGATGGCGAAAATCCACTACGAGCAGAAGCATGCCAAATTACCATGGGAAGAATGTTTTCCCGCACATCCTAAACCAGAATAGGTCGAGGACTTCTTGTTCTTGTTCTAAAACGATGGATCGCACTTACGATGAAGTCCGCCATGGTTTACTTCCTTGTTCAACAAGATGAACTTCTCTGCAACTTTTATTCCAACTTCTGCAACTCTCGACTACTACAAGAACGATGCTACTTACATGACGAGATGAAACGAACACGAACTCCATCCCCCTAGTACTACGTATTTATTGGAATCAATCGGAAGATGGAGGAGAGAGGGAAAGAACTGCTAGAATGACAATGATCATTTACTTCGACGACAACCCCCAGTAGAACTCTTGGGACAACATGATGAACGACCATGATCTTCACAAGAAGCGACAAAATTACACTGCAAGCGGACGGGCAAGGGCATGCAACAAGAACAACATCTACTTCTTAGGGCAGCTCTTACACATAACGATTAGGATATCATGACTGTTGACGTTGTGCAGAACGAGCGCTTGAAGTACTTTATGGGATGATGAATTCCTTCATATAACTGAATCCTTTTCCTTTTTACTTTGCCAAAGATGAACAAGCAACATCAACATCCCAGACAAGCACATTCATACGCCTGGCATGCTTCAAAAAAAAACCTCTCACTTGTGAAGATCTGGAAGTCATCTTGTAGTCCTGGTTGTTAGAAGAAGAGCACCCTCGTCAACATTTAAGCCAGCAGCTTACTACTGCAGCTTGTGCTTTCTCAAGATCATCATAGGTTGGCACAGGTGTTCGTGCTACTTCTACTAGACGATGATACTTCTAAGTAGAGCGTGATAAGGCGAAGATCAGGAGACTAAACAAATGTGACAGCAAGGAGTAGAATTTCTATCGAGTAGATTCTGAGTGAAAGAAAATGAGGTTGAGATGAGTGTCTGACTTGACTTTTGCAGTCTTGAGTGTGTAAGAATATCGAGAGGCCGAGATCACCAGGAGTAGAGCAGCCGTAAAATTTGGTACCCGGATTGAAACGTATCTATTTCTTTCCATATGTTGTAATTATTGTACGACTATTAGCACCAGAAAAGGAAGACCCGCTTCACGACACACACAAGAAAGAGCTCAAAAATATCACAGGCGGTTTTTTCAATAAAACGAACAGAAACCAATACACGGACGAAAGTCGTGAGTATTCCAACAAAAATCGATGAAATACTGGAGCCAGCCACACAATGTGCCTCAACAAAGGATGTAGTTGTATTCGACGGCTGGGTGTGCTGCAATTGCGCTACAAGAATCGACCTGCCTTCTAGCGTTCGCACATGAAGATATCGCTATAAGACGAGATCAAAGAAGCAACGAACATTTTGGCCGAATCGCGAGGAGGACAGCTGCAACGAGTAGCACATCATGGTGAAAATGCTAGGACCCCACTCTCAAGAAGGTGGCTCATCTTCTTCAAAATCTTCGACGTTTTCGACTGCATCTGGAGATGAAGGCGCGTCTTCTTCAAGTAGTCCTGCAGCTGGAGCACTGAGAGGCATTCCCGCGGCGAGTCCACCGGAAGATACGAATGAGCCATCGGGCAGTGAATATCCATCATCTGAGAAAGTAATTGACGCGGCGAGCAGTTCATCTCAAAAACATGAACAACAAGGAACACCATCAAATTCAAGAAGCGGGATAATGCGAAGACGACCACCTGATAGTGGGCACAGTAGTTCGACCTCTTCAAGTTCCTCTAGCTCATCTACGCCTACGCACAATATTTATTCCACTCCAACAAAAGCAGAAGGAGGAAAGGGAGGATTCAAGCAGCTGAACGCATCAAGGTTACTGAACAACAGATCTTCAAAGTTTAGTACACCAACTAACTATGGAACAGGAGCATCAGCGTCCTCGAGTTCTTCATCTTTTAACAGAAAACGACATCATCAAGAGCATCTAGCGACGTGGAGGAACTTAGAGTTGACAACAAGGCAAGAGCGACAGTTAGAAAAGAGACTGAAAAGCTGGTATGACAACAGAATAACTGGACCTTTTGCGAGACGAAGAGAATCAGCTCTACGTTTTTTGGTGCTCGGTTCTCTGGTCTTTCTGGGTTTGATACTGTATCTCTTCCTCTCGTCGAAATGGGTGTCAGCGGGGGTGCATAGTGGTACTTTACAAAACTCTATGATGATGGTTCGGGCGAGCTTTATGCTCAGCATGATGTGGATTTGTTAATCTTCTACTGATGAACATTTTTTTGATGCTCTTTTAACCCCGAAACAAACTTCTCGACGCAGATTCCCACCAAACCTTGCCCTTTCGATCGATGGAAGTGACGAGTAGCCTTTTTTATGTCGAGACGCGCGTGACCTGCGCAGAGCCATCAAAGGGCCGAAGAGATTACTATACCGTTTTGTGCCAATTCCTCCAGTACATCCATGGTCGCGCATCCTTCACGGAGATCATAAACTGGGCATGCCACCCACTACCAGAAGGAGCGGATACGAATGTAAATTCCAAAAAAAATCTTTTTGTTTTTGAAAATGTCTTGTTTGACAGACAACTTTATGCTGACGATGTTGAAAGGAGCACGCCTTGTTGTGATTTCCGATGCATCCATGATCACCACCCCCAGGGCGTGACAGACATGTACATCGACAAGGGGTTGCTTTGTGAGGTTTTCAACCGACACGCCATGCAACACCGATTCTTCCTGTCAATTTTTGCGCCTTTGGCAATAGCGTCGATGCTTGGAATCTTCCTTGTCGTCTACATCTGGTTCTCGAGTACAGGAAAAAGCGTCCTGACCGACATAGCGATGTTGTCCTTGCTGTTGCCAACATGGACTCTGCCAGTGCTGATCGTTGGGTATATGAAAGATTCATTATATCTTGTTTTTTGAGCAAGAGCATGTCTGATGTTGAATATATGAGCATCAGCATGATCCAACATGATCTCATCTTGCAGGCGAACCCTATTCCTGCAAGACCTCTCTGCTGAGCTCTCACCGCTTCTAGACGTGCCGCGGAGCATCCTTCGGAGGCCTAACATCGACATTGGATGGCTTCAGACCTTGATGCTTCCTATCGTAGCACAATCACCGGAAGAGCAGAGGAAAATTGGCCAGTTTCAGTTATGCTCCTGAGATGAAGATATCTACAAGTTAGTACTAAGTAAGTATTAAAATAAGTTGTAGAACTGATGTACCTGTACGTGTAGTTCGTCTACGAATAAACGAAAAATACACTATGTATGAGCAGTCTTTCCTTCGTAGTCGAGAAGAAGGACAACGACCCCTGGCACCTCTAACTCCCTCTGAGCACACGAAAGAGTTGGAGCTTATCTCGCGAACGGCAGAGGATTTTCAACGCGACTGGAACTTCTGGAGATGGCTTGGACCAGTGCAGATGGCACTGTGGACAACTTTCGGTATTTTAGCGGATCTTCCTACGGGCTACGCAGCCTTAGACCTTCGATCTTAATAATATTTATCACATGTTGAAATTTTTAACGAGTCCTCTTTTCTTGCTCTAGTATCTGCATCGTTGGTATGTTCGCATGCGCATCCACCTATATTATCATCTTCACAGGTCTCTTCTATTTCATGGTCGTCCTGATGCACGTTTTTGTTGTCCCCGAGAGTAATCTAGCGCCTTGGTTTGTGCGCTCTGCCGGGAAATGGCTACGTCGCGCTTTAGACATCGGGAAAAATCCAAGATATGCGGGACTAGCGAGTTGCGTTGCGGTTTTTCTCCAAGAAAACCCGGACTTTCTAGCAGAACCAGAAGCAGAGAACCTGAGTCCCACTATTGCTGTTGCTGAGGACCTTCTGCTAACCGAAGCAGCGTTAACGAACCCGTTGGACCATACCAAGGACCAAGCTGCAGCCATTGAACAATTTCACCTCACTTCTGCATCGTCTTCTTCAGAAAGCAACATGCTAGTGGTAGGACCTTCTTTAAGACCGAGGAGACAACAAGGAAGTCCTGGTGGAAAGCTTGAAGAGACAGGACTGGTGCAAGATGAAGAAGACTTGCTGGTACTTATTTTTATAGAAACTACACAACTACTTGTTGACGGCTCCAAATTCTTACAGAACCGTAAGTATGCTAACAATATCTCAACAACATCTTATGTAGCATCCACACGCGACAACCACCAGGATCAAGTTGCACTTGCAGAGCAGGCAGCATCACCAGCGACATTGGATACGAAAAAGAAGCGCTATCTTGCCTCATCGTCCAGTAAGCGGACAACCGCATCTGATGCTACTGACGACAATGCTAGCAGTGATGAGGGGATTGATGCCTCTGAAATGAACAATAGCACTAACGCGAGTCGTCCTCGAGCAAGATTAGGAATATCTCCCCCTGGTAAAGATGGTTCGTGGCCTTCATCTTCTTCTGCACGAGATGACGATAGAAATGTCGGCTCCGGAACAGCATCTTCTCCTGCTCCTGGGTCCGATGCCGGACCATCGCCTGAGGGTGCAGATGCGGCTGATGATGGACTTGATGTAATCTACGATAAACGAAAAAGCAGAAATCCGTTTTCGCCCTGAAGCGAATGACGTTCATTTTTGTGAAGGCACAGATTCAGATGCGCGCTCCGAGTGTAATACGTGCAATGTGGCTCCTCCCTCAGTCCATTGTGTCAACCCCAAGTTTTCCAAGAAACTACTAACTTATAAATAGAATATTCGACTGTCGCTGTCGAGATCTGTTAACCAAAAAAGTCGATGTTGCAGACACGCTTTAGATGACGCATCCTGGCATAGGTACCTGACCGTTGTACTGTTGTCTGATTTTCCAACTAACTCGTTCGTGTTATGTTTTGCTTCTGGTACATTAAAGTCACAAGATGGTACTACTACAAATTCTTCCAAAAAGCAGGATTTCTCTCTAGCCACCCTCTCCTGCTGGAGAGAGCTACTAGAACTAGGAGAAAACTACTGAGAACAAAAATGTTTATAGTGTTCCGACAGACTTCGGCATCGACCACGACCCAATCATGTCTGGAAGTAAATTTCGAGATTCTGTAAATTTCGACCACTAGAAAAATGTAGAGAGAAGAACGCGCATGCTTGAATCATCTGGCCGAGTGTTGAGAAAATATAGAGTGTATCACGAAGATTCTTGCAATGACGAGGTGACCGATTATTGTACATAGAAGAGATGTCGCGGTCGTCGAGCGGGCGTGGCTCTGTTGAGTGTGAGAATAGTTGTAACTCTGTTGATGCAGGCTGCAAAGTGTTGAGGAGCTTGTCGTGTGTGAGAATGAATAAATGCGTGAGGATGAAACGAGGTCGTGAGCCTGTATGAAGAAGATTCGTTTCGGAATACACAATAAAGTCAATCAAATCTACAACTTAACGTTCTTTCTCCACAACCCACCATACGCGTGCATCTGCTCTGATTTTCCCCTCTTTTCCTCTTTTACGTTTGGATCGTTTTTTTGTTCGCCAGATCGATATAATCCTCTAACTTTTTCGACAATCTATCTCGTCGTAGATACGATTCGCGAACAAGAAAGCAGCTTAGCTCTTCTTTACTTCGACTACGAACTGCTCTACTCACTCTCTCCAAAGCAGTCATCAAGCTTAACATCTACTTCAGCAAAAATAAGAAAAATTTCTAGAAGGATTTCAATTTCAAATCCTCACCAACAAGATGACCTCTTTCGCCGCGAAGTTTCGCTCGCACTTGCACGTCCCGGAGTTCGATGCTCCGCCACTCTATTTGCCCTTCAACATCGTCTATCCGGAGGACGACGACCACAGCGACCATGAGGGCAACTCCCCACGTCGCATCCTGAAGATCAATCTTGGTAATGATCTAATTGTAGTTTTTGTACGATCTCCTGTACGTCTATACGTCTGTTGAAGTAGTAGAGAAGCTGTTCAGAACTAGTAGAGAGAAGTAAAGAACTAGTATGCCAATTCTTCCTCCCATTTGATGATGATGCTTTATAATAGAAGCAGAGTATTTTTGAACACTCTCTCCATGGTTTGATTTTATTTGGTTTTTACCTTAGGAAAGGTACTATGCGTGTTGCAATTACATCCTCCGCATTCTCTTTCCGTTTAATACAACCTGTTGAATATATTAGGTTCTTACCTTCGTGAACATGCTGCTGGGCTCAACAAGTTTCGTACCTACTTCCAAAAGAACGCTGCCACTGCTCCTATGAAGGCAGCCAGCCCAGTGATGAAGGCAGCCAGCCCACCACCAATGATGAAGGTATTCCTTCTATTTTGGTTTTCTAGAGTACTAGTACCTAGAGTAGTAACTAGTCATCTACATGATCGATTCAACAACAGGATATTTTTAGCGATTCATCAGGTCTGATCGATCATATGATGAAATGTTGAATTTTACTTCAAATTCAATCAGCATCCTGTAGTTTATCCGAATTTGCTTCGTCTCGTTCAGTGTCAATTTTTCTACTTCATTTTCCACTTTCAGCTGATGAAGATGGTATCTTTTTCAAAAAAGATTGAGTCTAAGCCGATCCCTTCAATCCCTATGAAGGTCAAGTCCGTGATGAAATCCGTTGCCAAGCCCGCACCAAAGCCAAAGTCTGTGAAGAAGCTCAGTATCTTCGATTGATTTTTGATTGCTACTTGATGTTGATTTTGGGTAACAAGTGATGACATCAACATAAAACTTTCAACTCGACGTTTCCAAAATAATGAGCAACACTACAAAACAAAATGAATCCTAATATTCTCATTCTCATCATGAATGGTGCTGGTATTTGGTACCTGATTTTGATCATGAGGAAAACAAGAAGGAAATCCCGGTGATCGAATTCAGGTTACCAAATACCAGAACCATACACATCAGGTTCAAGAACTCCATCCTCTCAATCTTCAGCCTCTCTTCCTTCACCTCTTCCTCTTTCTCCTCCACTACGAACAACAGGAGTAAAATGAAGTATTGACAACCAACATCCCCTTCCCTTCTTCAGTGTGTGCGTTTATGATTAGTTCTTCTATAAGCGAGGCTAGTGAAGTTGAAAAACCTACAATCTAACTCAATCTCCATTATTATGCCTCTTCTCCACCCCCAAACTACAGCTGCCGCGCAACGAAAGGAGAAGGAGGAGATTGATTATTTGGAACGTATCTTCAAGAAGGCCAATGCTTCCAAGAGCGGACAGATGACCTTCGAAGAGTTCGAGAAGGCGGCCGTCGGTGAAGCAGGTAACACGAAGAGCCGCTTGATAACTGCCCACGTCAGCAAGGTCGGAAAGTACGGCAAGAAGAGAATGAGCTAAATTCTGCTTGAAGATGGTGTCTTCTAACTGGAAAATGAACATATAGGAGGTGCTAGCACTAAAACCACGACTTCTCTCAAACGGTGCACCATAATTGAACTCAAGGATAAACTACTTAGACGTACTCAACAAAACGTTCTTCACGATTATACGTAGCAAATCAAAACGAGACTATAAAATGCAAACTGCGCAAACGCAATATGATGTTGTCATATGGATTCCAAGAAATTGCTAATGCTTATTCAGAATTAGGGAAATGATCAGAATAAATGGGGATGAAATGACTATGTACATACATTGGAAAAATTTAGATTCTTGTACTATACAGTTACAGGTGTCAATACGATTGGGGAAATAGTCATAGTACTTACGTAGAAACACGACGCTTCTTGATAGATATGAATAATCACAACGCAGACAATATTACACCATAACGTTGATACACAAAAAGAAAATGAATATCTGTGACCAGACCAAAGCACCGTAGATTCATCTCAGTTTTTGTGATCCGGAAGATGACAGAGCTGAGAAGCAGTAAAGTCACTGGATATGAACTTGAAAATCGCAATTGAACTTGAATAACGCGAACAAATACCAAGGGGAAATGGATTCGATTGATGAATGAAAAACAAAAAACCGCGGTTAAATGCCAGCAGGAGCCGCGGTTAGCCGGAATCTTGACTATGATAGGCTGATGTGTTCGTTTCCGTTCTTGTTTGTTGATCTAACTTTTTACGAGCAGTAGAGTCGAGCGATGTGGCAGCGAATGAAAACTCAATGTTCGAATACCAATGTTGATGGAGCTAGTACGCTCACTACATGAAACCATGATGATCCCAGAGGTTCACTTCCGAGAAATTTAGCGTTGCTTGAACTCAATGCTAGACGTAGAGTCCTTACTCGTGCGAGCGTAAACTGAGCGACCTCTATTTATCATACATTTCCCTCAGTGCCCTTTAATCACAGAGTACCCTGCTCCTTATCCCGCCTCAGAATTTTTCTAGCGCTTTCCTTTTCTTCGTTGCTGCTCGCTTTCGCAGCTATCTCTTTCGTGATTCGTTTCCACAGGGATGTCATTCATGAGTAGTTTCGATTTTTGAACATCAAGCACTTGCTTTGGAGTAGTATAACGCAAAAATTCTAATTTCAAGAAAGTTTACGTTATAAATAACGAAGTACATTCAAATTCAATGGCGTCGTCCTCATCGTCCGCGCGTGGAGGTGGTGGCTCCTCATCCTCTAGCAAAGGCAATGGCCCTAGCAGCAATGAGGACTTTTACTCCATACTGGAAATCGGCAAGGAGGCTTCCGCAGACGACATAAAAAAAGCATATCGGAAACTCGCAATCAAGTGGCACCCGGATAAGAACCCTGAGAACCAAGGGCAAGCGACGGAGAAGTTCAAACTAGTGGCTGAAGCCTATGAAGTGCTGTCAGACGAAACAAAGAGGAAGCAATATGACCAATTAGGTATATCGGGATGGCGACAAATGCAGAGTGGAGGAGGAGGTAGGAGTGCTGGAGGTGGCTTTCCTGGTGGCGGATTTCATGGAGGCGAAATCGATCCGAATGAAATCTTTCGAGCATTCTTCGGTGGCGATTTCGATTTTGGGGGTGGAGGCGGCATGCGAGGAGGACCGGGAGGCATGCGGTTTCAGATGGGAGGGAATGGTACTTCCTTCATCCCATGGAAAAAAGGACTTGAATTTTTTCAACTAGTACTTGTCATAAGAACTACAAGGACCCCGCGCACAGACCTGTCGCCTACAACGTACTTGTCCTTATTTTTTGTATTCGTCCACCATCAGTAGAAGATTCCCATTTGCTTCTTCTTCACGTTACCAGGTATGTCCTTCTCTTTTGGCGGACCTGGCATGGGAGGTCCTGGTGCTGGGTTTGGAGGTGGAGGTGGTGGAGACCCCTTTGCCGCATTTTTCCAGAATATAGCATATGCGCATGGAGGTGGAGCACAACAGCGGCCAACTCAACCGGTAAAATGCACTCTCGAAGAGCTCTATAAGGGATGCGAAAAGAGTGTGCCGAAAGGGAGGGGAGAGGTACTTGTCTATCGATTTGTTGACCTTGGAGGTAATTAGATGTACAACTAGAATAGCTATAACAGGTCTAGTACTTGACCTTGGGCTCCTCCCAAAATTCCACCCACTCCTCCCAAAAATGTACGACGACCTACCTACCTCCACCTCGCACCTACTACTTCAGAACGTCACCATCGCAATCGAGAAGAGTACGAAGATAGGGCAAAAGTTCGTTTCCGATGAGCAGCGCTTCATTGTCCAGCAAGAACCCCATGCCAGATTTGAGCTCCGCAATAATAGTCAAGACCTCTACTACCTCTGCCAAGTCAGCCCTTGGGAATGGCTCTTCGGCACTGACTTAAGCGTGAAAATGCTGGACAACACGAGTGGCACAGTGAAAATGCCGGCATGGCAGCTCAGCTTTCCCCTGCGAATACGAGGATGGGGCATGCCGAAAACAGCAGATGCAGCGTCAAAGTCTTCAGCGGCTTCGGGTGGAGCAGGATCTGCTAGAAGACGAGGAGTGCGAGAAGGCCAGCTGATGAGCAATGACTTTGGAGACATGACGATCAGGTAGTTTTTTACATGGCTTTTTCATGTAGATGCACTAGTTGTACTTACACTTACACGACTTGCGCTTCCAGAACATCAACATGATTTTTAGTCCTGCTCTGGTGATTGAAAGTCCATATCTCCATCTCCCCTTCCATCAGGATGATCCCGTTTTCGAAGCAGACGCTAGGGGACTTGAGACAGAAAGCTCAATGGATCCTATACATCGTTTTGATAGGCCTCTTTATGGTCAACCCTTCGATGTTCTTCATGTTCTACTTCATTTTCTATCCTGCGCTTCAGCGCATGCTAGCACAGAACAACCGTTGATGAGGGTGTGGAGGACAATCCCGAACCTCCATAGGACGTCGCCCACCTTCCCTTCCTCCTAGAACCAAGAATATCCCTCCTTTTGTGCCTAAGGCCTTTTGCCGCAATTTACATTTAGATTCTGGTTGTTTTACACCTGAATTTGAATCATAAATAGAATGAACAATCCTGGCATGGGATTGTTTTCATTGCCCACCATTTTGCCTCATGAAACTCGAGGTCTTAATGCTGAATCAATTTGTCCCTTTGTGGTGTTTTGATTTTCAGGCTTCTTGTCGCCTAGGCGACACGCTTCCAAGTAAACAGAGACTCCATAGGTGGGAATATGGCAGAAAATTACGAACAGCATTTGAGTGATGAAGAAATGGCATCCACTTGTACGAGAAGAAGAGGCCGGCCGTGTTGAGTGAAACCAGAAAACTTTAAAGCTGCAAATAGAGAATGCGACTGAGTCTTGAGTAGATAGTGAAATTTGAGTCTTGAACAGTAGCACGACAGACAACTCCTCGATTAAAACTGGAAATAGTCGAGTTACTGACTGAAATAAGGGACATAGCTTTTAAAGGCTACTCTTTGTTCTTCTTTTGTCTCGGTTATTCTCGGTTATTACTTGCTTATTTCGTTATTTTATCGAATTTAAGCCGAAGAGAAAGTAACGTAACAGTAACAAGTACTTTATTTAACACGTGATCGCAATCTTCTTGACTTCGGCTACTCAGAAATTACGAGTAAGTACTTACTCAAATGAAAAAGTGAAAAATTCATTTCATCGCAAGAAGTCAACAACCACATGACCATCTGCTAGCAAGTGTCCTTCTCCTTGGCAACTTGGTGCATTTTGCAAAACCACGTCTCGAGCTCGACTTTGTTCAGTTGCCTGACGCTAAAAAAACAGCTACGAGGAATTCATTGCGGTTTTTTATACGAGGAGATCCTGCCGTGCATTGTGCACTTCTACTCGCGCTGCATCTGATTCTGTTTTATTTGACACTAACAGGATCTGTGCGCTCATATTAACCACGGAAACGACGCTTACGAGGGAGCGACCCCGCGAGCTCTTGCGGCATCGATGCTTGTAAGTAGATCGAACTTATCGTGACAGGGGAAGAGAGGCGCTGACGTTCTTGAGCACCACAAGCAGAGACGAGTCGCTAGCTGAACAAGGCATTTTCTAACAAGGACAAGAGTTGGTCAGAGATTGGGAAAATTGATGAACCAACCTGCATGAACGCGTCAAGCCATCCTCCACGTCCTACAGCGTTGAGTTAGCAGCGCCAGTGTGAAGAACAAATCGCAAGCGCCGAACAGATTAGCGAGAAACAACGTGGGCTCGTCGACCGGTAGAGAGGGAGAGTGCTTTTAAACGAGTTAATATTTAGTGTCGTCTGCGGTGATACCTGTCGTGCTGTCGTGACTTCTACAAACGAAGAACGGGAGCAGCCATCTGCCTCTAGATAGAAGTACTAGTATACTACGTACTAGTAACAAGTTGTAAGGCAAGAAGAGCCAAAAGGGCTTCACGACGAGCAGCAGAAAAAACAAACCCATCTTCAACTAGAGAAGAGAAATCGAAACTAGTTCAACAAGTACTAGGAGGTTCTCAGTTAGATCCACGAGAAGGGCAACAAGATGGACACCACCAACTCACCTCAAATCATCCTGCATACGCATGAGGGGTTGAGTTTTACACCATTCGAGGCAAAATGGGTACCGCATTCAGCACGCTTCGTCGTCCTAGGGCAGAATCCAAGAGCGACAGGCGCACTTGCGGTGTATGAACTTGAGAGGGGGAAGGTACGATAATTATTAACTTCTGATTCTATTTCCGATTAGACGCAATGAATTCAATGAAAATGATGCCGATGCCTTAATTATTTATCCTTGTTGTAAAATGCTGATGCTTGGGCCGTTACATAATTGTTCTGCCTACATCCGCCACACCAACCCTAGGTAAACAAGCTCCACCAAGACGAGAAGCCAAAGGGTTTCAAATGTGGTACGTTTGGCGCTTCTGCGATAGAGCAGAGGCATTTAGCGACCGGAGACTACGAAGGAAACCTAGCAATATGGGATCTAGAGGATATCAGAAAGCCGATATTTCAAGTTCGAGGACATGACAAAATCATTAACTGCATAGAAGGGTACTGCCTGATGTATACTTAATTGCTTGGATGAATTATGCATACGTAGTTCAAACTGCAGAGTGCTAAATCCCGTTGTACTTCATAGCTGCATCGACAACTACAACTGATCTTCAGTATTCACTGTTCACTGGAACAGCAAATCAATACAGGTGCGGCGGTCTCGGTATTGGCGGCGGCGCGCCAGAGCTCGTAACGGGATCACGAGATGGCACCGTTCGTGTGTGGGACCCCAGACAGCAGGATCCGGTAAGCTGTTGTCCCAGTGATCCGTTGAACGGAAGCTGGGTGAATGATTCTTCTTCGAAGTAGTTCAAGTACTAGTAGTATTCTCAGTCACCATCTCTATCACTAGACGACGATGAACTCTTCTTGAAGAATACAACTAACTAATACAACTAATAACTTGCAGCTTGATCTTGCTTGAACAACTAATAACTTGCTTGACCTTCAAGAAGTCAATCAACACTACAGGTTCTTTCCCTCGAGCCAGTCGACGGCGAGATACCAGCCGATTGCTGGACAGTTGCTTTTGGAAATAGCTACAACGATAGTGAGCGAGTAATATGTGCGGGATATGACAATGGCGATATCAAAATGTTCGACTTGAGGACGAATATGCTTAGGTACCTAGTCCTAGTAGTACTTACAGAAAGACTTAGAGTACTAGGAAATCATGACGAGACTCAGAATTATATGAATAAAAGTTCTGATTTTGAAGACTTTACTTCCTTCTTGTCATCCTACTTTCCCTTCAACCACATTTCTTCTTCCACCCTTTTTCCCCATTGAAACCACAGATGGGACACCAACGTGAAGAACGGTGTCTGCCACATCCAGTTCGACCGAAAGGACATCCTCATGAACAAATTGGCGGTGTCGACTTTGGAGTCGAACATGATTCTCTACGACCTGAGAACTTACCACCCAGAAGAAGGTTTTGCAGGACGCACACAAAAAGTCACGAAATCAACAGTCTGGGGATGCCATTTTTTGCCTCAAAATCGAGAACTCTTCGCAACAGTAGGCGGAAATGGAAGCATAACACTGCACAAATACGTGTATCCAGCGGAGAGGAAAGTATTGGTGGATTTGATACTTTTTTTCATCCTTATCCTAGTAATTGACATGGGTATGATGCTTCATCTTGGTAGTAGCATCAACTCGACGTTTCCATTTATTTACTTTTACCATTTATTCTTTCTCCACGCAAAACACCAATTATTCTTTCTCCATGCATCGTCCCCAAACAAAGCTACAACCACGATAATATCATACATAGGTCGAAGTCAAAGACGGCTTAGAACGCGGTGTAGCGGGTACAGTGGACACATTGAACCAGAAAGAGCTTTGCACACAACCCATCGTCTCGTTCGATTGGCATCAGAACAAGGAAGGCTTGTGCGTCTTTGCTTCCCTGGATCAAGCCGTAAGGGTCGCAATGTGCACGAAGTTGAATCTCTACTGATTTCGAGGTGACGCCGGCGTAATGCAGCTGCTACAGAAGCTACTTTCGTCTTCGTGCGTTGCTTTGATCATGTAAGGCATCCTTTCTTCTGACCAACAACATTTCTAAGATGTTCTTTGTTGATATTCCCTGCACTCGTCGTGCGCTCGTACCGCATAAACATTCGCATCCTTGACGTCGTCAGCACGCTGTTATCCACGATTGTTACAAGGAAGATCGGATGATTTATCATCATCTCCGACTCTGCCTCGAAGCTCTGGGTATTGTCCATGATCTTCAACAATCCGGCAGCGACTTGATGAAGGAAGTTTAGTTGTGTTGCGTCTTTGACCGCGTATTTGTGTAGCACCTCGGTGAAGCAACCTTGTTGACCTTCGGTTCAGTCTTGAGTAAACGCACGCTACACAACATGATTAGTTCGTCGACATCCACGACATCGGAACGAACTAGATTCTTGAATCGGAGTATGTTGTTGGAGAACAAGTCTTGCAACACCCCACACCCTTTTCATCACAGATTTTTCATGTCGTGAAAAATAAAAAAAGTATCATGTGTCTGTGATGTCGAAGAAAGAAGGCTATCTTCTGTATCGTGCTTTCGGTTTATCGGTGTTGAGAGAGGAGAGCTCGCCTTGCTGAGAAGTGTGAGCGCCCTTTGCCTCAGATAGTTTGAGCCTTTTTGAAACCTCGCGTTCGCCTTTGTAGAAAATCGATCTCGATCCACAACGTAGTAGCTAGTTGGTACTAGTAATATGTTGACTGCAGTTGAACTTCACCTCGTGTGAAGGAGATAGAAAGGCAACCTATCCTATCCTATCCTATCCTATCCTTCAACTTTTTGTTTTTTTTCCAAAACTAATCAATCTTAGAAAACGATGTTGATTGATTCACCAGTTCAACTCTAGATTACAGTTTCACACGCAACTCAAATATCGACTACGACTATTTCGCATCTCCATCTGTACATCGAATAACAATGTCGTTTGCTCTCTCCCCTGCATGGAATGGAAAACCAAAAGCTCGGATGCGCCGTCTTGTAACTCTGCCGTCGGCTTCTAAGCGACTTGATCCTGCTGCGATAAACGAGACAGACTGACGCAGCGCGCACGTCTTTCTTTCTTTTTTTGTCGACGGAGAGTATCCTGGCCACCCGGCAGCGCAATTCAGAAATCCAAAGCACTTCATCGAGAGTACGTTTTTGACTGAAGCGCTGCGTTGCGTAAAGCAGGTGGACTTCGCAGCTTCGGACGAAGCTGTAGAGGAAGAACTACTAGAAATATAGCGCTTGTGCAGCTAGAGTAGAGTTAGAATCCGAGGCCGTGGACCATTTAATCCGGCCACGTGCACGGTTAGCGGTAAGTAGCCACTGCAAAGACAACGACAAGAAAATCTTCATCTTCTTTTCAGCGATGGGCATTCGCCGGGCGAAGCGCGAACAGTTGTAGATTTGCATTAGTAACACCGGCGACAAGTAGTCGTGGCCGCTGCGTGGGGTCCGTGCAGATTTTCAAACTCATCTACTTCCAGCAGCGAAGAAGGTTGAAGTAGTGTTGAGTAACTTTCCGCAATAGAAGCGACTGCGTTGGTTTGCGATAGCGATCGGACCACGCAACAGCTGACGCGAGCAGTACAGTGCTTCAACAAGAAGAAAAACTAGGCCAGTAGAAGCGGAAAAGTAGTTCGAATAAACCATCCCGGAGCTGCTGCTGCTCGTACGAAAGTTTGGCTAGTCTCACTCGTCTGAGTACGTGCTGCAGCGCCCGACAGTACAACTGCATTTTTATGCCCACGACGAGTAAAGTAAAGCGTCCTTTTCTTTTTCAGCCAAGGGACTCACAGCGACCAAGAGGAAAGTGTCAGCGAAGGCTTCTTCAATACTGCGGGAAATAAACGAAAAAGAAAATCAGCGACTACTCAACAAGTACAATTTCTTCGTCGACAAACAAAGCAAGAACCAAAGAAGATGTTGATGCAATACAAGGGTCCCAATGGTGGCAAGGTGAAGAGGCCAACGACCGTCGGCGGCGCTCGATCACGGTCAGCCTCAGCAACAGGAGGAAAGAGTGGAGGCGCAGCTAGGAGTAAGTCACCACCACGTCCTTTCGCCGCACCAGCAGGTGGCGATCTCAGCGTACTGGATTTCCACACCGGAGCGGGGGTGTCCGAATGCGCAGTGTGCAGGACGTTGTGCGAAACTTATGCAGCAAGTCTAGTAGCGGAGAAAACGCAGATATCGCCATTCGACCGACTAGTTGCGCAGGACTTCATACCTGCGAAAGAATTAGCCGGAGGACAGGGACTGTGCAGATTTCATGCCTATTGGAAGCGGAGATTCGACATTTTGGCGTTCATTAACAAGGGACTGAGGGAAAACGTATTTTTCGTTTTTAGTGATTGAGATTTGGAAATCTACATCAAGATCATCTATCCCATGATCTTATATTTCTCAGAGTCGCGATTTTTTCGTAAAAAAACTCTTATGTTGAGCTACACCAACTAGTACACCAAGTCCTTCTACAACATCCAAAACCTTATATTAATACATCGATCTCCAACGACACCCTCGTCAGATACGATACGAGGCCTTATACGACCTACTAGCGGCACTAGACCCCTACGCAAAGGAGTCATTTGAATGGCTCTTAACTGACATAAAAACCGAAGTCGAAAATAAACAATTGGTGACGAGGGGAGAGGTATAGAACTTTGCGTGTGGTAAATTGGTGAGAAGGGGAGAGATATAGAACCTTGCGTGTAGTAAGCAAGCATGATTCAGAATACTGACTGCATGCTTGTAGCAGCATCATGCTTCGTCAACACTACCGATCGCATCATTCAACGAGAACACCATACTCTCCCTCTATCTCAACCTCAACAGGTCCGCACCTCATTAATCAAAGAGGCTAGGAGATTAACCGATCTGTGGGATGCCCAGGTGGAGGACTTAGATACTCAAATAGCGTACTCAATAGGAGACTTGCAGAGCCGGCAAGCGCAGGACTTGGCCTTTGAATTCGAGAACTTGGAGAGTGCATACTTATGGCTGGAGAATTGCTACAACTCTTTTTTGTTGGCTATTAAGTTGTTTCTAAGTAAGTAGTAATGCAGTAAACCTTAACTTCCTTCAAAGAGAGAAAGTCTAGGGTAGATTCTTGTGGTTTTCTTGTTGTGCTGGTGGTTACTTTGGTTCATTTGGTTGAACAAGGACTTACCTACCTCTAACATTCGCAAAAAAGAAGGTGCATTATAGCAGTGCGCTTTTAGAGCTGTTCCAACAGGAACCGAGAATGAAAAGTGCAGGTGCCTTCAACGAAGCCTTGAAGGTAGTCGATGCAGGGAAAAAGTTAGAGCAGGTACCACAACAACTTAGAAGACACGAGATTCTTGTACTTGCTGTATTTAGCCCACGACGAGGTTGTACTAGTATCATGGCTTTTCTGCATAGCAGAAGGCAGCGTCGTCAGCGAAAAACTGATGAGGTCAGAAATTCACATCAAATCATCCACAACTACGAGCATCCATCACTCTTCTCTTTCCCAGATCCAAACAATGCGTTTCAAGCGAGAAATGGAGAGGGAGAAATCCCTGAAGCTGTCCTGGAAAGTGTGCCAGCAGACTAGGCAAATCAACGGCATCGTCGACAAAATGCAGAGGCACAGGAGGAAAGAGGAAGCGAATCGGGAAATAGATAGAGAAAGACTCAAAAGTCGAGTCAAAACAGCACTGCTGAGGCTGGAGAAGGTACAACTACCACTACTAACCCCTTAAGAGCAAGATCATGTTGGAGTCTACTACAACTAACTTCTCCTTAAGAGCAAGATCATGTTAAAAAGTTGATCTTGAAGTAGTCTGCTCGAAGAGTGAGGACTAGGAGAACAAGTTTGCAGGAAGTGAAAGTCCCTCTTGCAAGAGAATGGACGCCATGCATGTGCAGGCTTCGCCGGTCTTGTGTCGTGCTTGTTCTGTCTTGTCTGTTGCAATGGGTCACATACTCACACCAAGAAGCTACCTACAACGCGGACACCTTCTCCATCGCAGCTCCTCCATCTCATTTTTAGGTTCAGCGACAGGCCCTAGTGGTGATGAGGCCGCCTTTTTTGCAGCATATTTATCGAGTCCGGCATCTAGTCGAAGTAGAATCGAAGAAAGACCAGCAAAATCCGGACGCATTCAAGCCACGGCCAGCACTGTAACACTATCTTTGTTTCATATTCTTGCTAGAGCCAGGAGCTGATTGAACCATCACCATGGTAAGTACCTTCAATTATCATGTGAAATTTGCTGCTATACTTGATACCTTATCACGTCACCACCAACACGACCTGTGTACTCCACTCTCCATGCGACATCAGATACGAGGGTCCGGGTCAAACGAGTTTCCGCACAAGAGATACAGACGATTTAGGGCGCGACGTGCGTGGGGTAGATACGTATCCGGAATCCAGCACTGAACTTTTCTACAGAATGATCATGGGAAAGATGCCGGTACTGCTGACGAATTTCATTATAATTTTCGGCTTTTTGAAGATGTTCATGTTAATGTAGATCCATCATGCTTTGCTCGTGCATGATGTAAGAAGATGAGTAGAATTAGTTTATCATTATCTTGATGATTCATCTAAAATATGCGATAATGTTGAAAGATGTTTTGATATTCCCTCGTCCACTCAATTACAATTCCAATTCCAAGTCCATATTTTGTTCGTCCTCCAGGACCCGCTTCCCGAGAGGTCCTCGCCTTCAAAGAGCCTTACAACTAGGCAAAGACCAATGTCACAGAACGGACGGAGGCCCATAGGGCCGATGCCTGTGCAGACATCGACGAGGCCAAAGAGTGCTCCTCTAGTCAACAACTCACAGCTATATAACCTCCAAAGTCGCATGGGGATAAATTGCGATTGGTACCACTTTACTCCTACTAGTATTTTTATTGATCATGTGCAGCTGATTTAGACTACAGATCTTTATCTACTTTACTACTACTATTTTTGATCATGTGCTGATTTAGACTACATGATATCTTTATCTATGTACTACATCTACATCTACATCAATACAGGTGCGGCACTTTCACAACGCAACCAACAGAGTTAGAGTTGGAGACGGACATGCCAGCATCCGTTCAGCGAGCTTTAGACTCCACCGAGTTTGCGAATGTCGCGTTGTCGGCACCCTCTGCCGATAGTCTGATCCCTGGTCCTAGAGGAATACCAGACGTCACGAACAACAAGAAGAAGAAAACGAGCATGCAGAACCTGAAGACGCTGATAGAAGCACAGAATGATGATGGTATTGTTCGACTTTTGTGATCATTCGCTGCTTACTTAGATTATCTATATAGATGCGTAGATATTACATGAGATATTATTATATCTTGGACGAGTAGGCGCTTACTTAGATTATCTATACTATAAGCAGCTGGTTATTATATCTTTCTAAGTTAGATATTATTATATCTCGGGGTAGGCTGTCTGTTTTATAATTTTTGGAGGTCACCTTCATTCCGACTACAGCTGATTCTTCCCTTTTCTGCGAACTGACGTCTACGTTACTTGTTATTTGCCTATGCTGTCCCGCAATCCCACCCTCCACCGTCCCTTCACAACCAGGTGTGCCAACCGTCGTTGCTCGGTGCTGTAGCTTTTCTTGTATGTATAGCTGGAACACGAAGAATTCCCCTACTTATTTGCGTTCCAGACGCCATCTTCAAATTGACCTGATGCAACGAACGGCACGAAAGGAGACAGGGGAAAGATTGCCGGACGTGGCGCTTCATAAAACGAACTGAGAGGTGGAGGAAGATGTTTCTCCACAATTTGAGCCCAAATGAACAACTTCAACTTCAACTACTTCAACACGAACTCAAATCACACCAATCAGGGTGCTGCGGGGGAGAATAATCTGGGTGGTCTTCAATCTTGATAGTTGAACTCGATCTCGAAATATCATCCTTGATTGTTGTACTAGTGAACCCTATTCATTGTTCCCATTATACAAATGTAAAAAAGTGGCCCATATCAATCTTGTCGAACTAACTGTTTCGAATCATGCGGTTGGTAGCCCCGACCGAGAAAACAAGGTCACGCCCTCTTCATGACCTATCTCCATTACGTTGATTCATAAGTGTGGTTAAGACGAGTAAACACGTATATTTCAATCATCGACATGGACATCAACATCCCACCGGTCGTAGTACTATTTCTACGTCGATGCCGCATAAGAGACCTCATCTCCTTCCCCCATCTTCCCTGATCACGGATGCTACAAGTAGTCTTTGTTTACACCCATTCAATGACTTTTTATTTCCGCATGGCGATTACGAGAACTAGTTGTACTTACGTACTACATGTTGAACTTTTACCTGAACTGTTCTTTCCTTTGTAATGATCAACGAACCACATTAATGTCCACATTACTAGAATTCGAATTTGACAAATATATTTGACATAAATGATCTTGATGGTAAATGAACTAGGTAACAAACTAAATCACACCTACAACTATACCTTACAGGTTGTTACCATTTCTCTGCGTAATATTAATCTTCAATCTTTTTACAAGAGCTACTGCTACAACAGGGCAGGCTACTTACCACTTGCTGCAACATGGATATTTACGTTGACTTTGATGTTCAACAGATGTTGAAACAGTACTAGAGTTCCATTTTTCTTCCTTCCCAGTTTTTCAGATGAGCTAGTATTTCACTCTTGTGCGTGAGATTCTTGTCTAAGACACTTACTTCGTAGCCCCTCCTGGTGATGAAGATGTTGAATTTGAAACAGCTGCCTTCTTAATGTTGATGGTGTAACATGTCGGAGATTTTCTGTGGTGTTTCGTAATCGGTCTTCTAAGCAAGTACGTACAACAAAAGCTAGAAAGTTGGATGTCGATGCATGCTGAAGAAGAGAGAGAGACCAGCTGCGTCTCCAGCTCCACGAGCTCAGATAAAGCATACCGGGTTCGTTCAACATCGGCCAAATTTTGAGTGGAATGAGATTTTGATCGTATGGCAGACTCGGACCACTCCACTTCACCAGACGACCACCACCACCCCAACCGCCATTACCTTTGCCACATCCTTGTCCATGCAACTCCCAAGCAACGAAAATGAATGAATCCATAACATCCAACAAAGAGCTTGCCGCGAGAAGCCTGATTATGACACGTTCCTGGACATCAAATTCAAACCTATCTTTCCTTTTTCTTTTCCTAGTTAGCTTGGCTCTACCCGTACTATAGAACATTCTGACTGTCTTTCAGTGATGTGGTAGGCTGTGCCCTTCTTGTGAGTGAGAACTCGGATCATAGACACAGTGGCTACCTCTCTGACTGCTAGTACTAGGTGGTGGCAGTCCCGGAACGAAGTAGTGCGGCTCATGAAAATCAGCACGCTCAAGTTGGAAATAGTGTCACGCTAGGCCAGGCGCCTTACCTACGCAGTGCGTGTTCGACTTTGGTGACAAGTAACTGCTGGTAAAGTACGCAGCAGATCCTGAGAAAGGATGGGCGTGCTTCTGAAGCTTCTGCCAGATGCCGAGGAAATTCTGCAGGACGCCATGTCAACCACCGCGCCAGCGCTTCCGGGTGCGCAAGCGACGGTCCAAGGAGGTGATACATGTTCACCTAGTTTCTCTCGCGTTGGACTTCGTCGACCTTCTGTGGTGCAGATGAGCAGCGTCAATCCGTACGCAGCTGCACGCACAAGAAGAGTGTCCTTCCTCCGCCTAGGCAATGAATCCGCTAACTCTCCAGGGACTCGCTTTTTTTCTGAAGCATTAGCACCCGGCCGCAGCGCAGCAGCCGCAAGCGGCAATCGACAGAACGTAATAGCCGATCGCGTGTGCCTCGCTAGTCGTTTGCGCGGGACTGCTTTTGGAGCACGAGCACCACAAGTTGGTGTAGCACAAACCCCTAGAGCTTCTTCACGTCGCTTACCATCTGACTACTTTTCGACAAAGTCGCCTCCGGCGGTACCTATTAGTTTTTTGTTTTATCAGAATGAATTTGCATGCATATGCTGGTCTCCTTGTTGTTATTCACTCTTTTCTTCATATTCATTCTTGCAGACAGTGCTGTGAATATGATGCACTTCATCGCTGTGGAAGGAAAATGAACTTTACTCATCCTCAAAAAACGACGTACTTCAAAAACCGAGTTTAATTTTACCGCTTGGCCATCCTCTATCCCTATTCAAACTAGGCAAGCAGTAGCAGACCACCGCAACATCCAAGTGCAAAGGGTGTGAGTAGTGACCACAAGGTGACCAATAAGGTCTCACTTAGTGACTCTGAGCGTGCCGAAGATAAATGCATCGCCGCTCTCGAGAGAGCCGGGAAGCTGCTGAAGGCGCCGACGAAGCTGACACAAAATGCCCTAGGTAGCTTAGGCATCGACGGCTGCGAATTCCCAGTGCCACTCTTTAAAGTCGCAGCTTCACTGCGAGCAAATCCAAAGCAGGTGACACGAGCAGAAAGCAAGGTGCAGCTGCTCCGATTTGGAGCCGCGAACCTCTTCGCGCAGATCGACGACAAGGGCCAGATGGGGAGTGAGGACGACATGGTACAGAGAACCACATAGTAGCCGCACCTTTTTACAAGCAGCCGATCGATGACGTTGAGGGAGTATATATATGCACTGGAGGAGCTTGCGGGGGAAGTGATTATACTAACTGGCGAGTTAACTTAGGCGAGAGAAAAGACACGCTCTCTGGAAAGTTCTTGGACGACAGTCGAGAAAAAATGTCGGCTGAGGGACCCACCAGGGAGAGGGTTGTAGGGCAACGGGCCCCGAGAGCCCCGTCGTGTGCGGAGCGAAAATGCACTCACGCGCGACGCCGCTGGTCGATGCACTGGCGCATCCCAGCGAGGGCGAACTTCGGTTCGCGCCTCCGCGGGAGGCTCGGGCGCGGTCGGGTGAGAGCGTTAATGCTACACCCACGGGGCGGAGTTCACATGCAGAGCGGAGCGGAGCGGTGCGGGCTGCCGGCGCACGGGCCAAAGCGCTCGCGCGTAGGCCGCGGGAGGGCCAACGCGCCCTCCGGCGGTGCGGTGGGCAGGCGCGTGGCGCCCAGTGGGGGGCGCTGGGGAGCCCGTAAAAATCGGGCTCCGCCGCGCGCGCGGCGCGCCATCCCCGCGCGGGGCAAAAGTCGCCGCGTGGGGTTGGCGCTTGTGGCAGCACACTTTCGCAACGTCGAGCTGAGACCTAGCTTGGGCAGGATTAAAAATTTTCTTTTTCCCAAAAATCCAGGGACTTTCTGCGCGCGTATAGTCGCAATCTAGAAGCTAGTAACTAGCAGCGCCCCCGCGCTCTGGTTTTTGCAAAAACAAAAAACAAAACGACCCCCCCGAGGCCATGGAGGCGCTGCGCAAGCAGCTCGAGGAGAAGACGCAGCATGGGGATAGACTCTAACTCATATTCTGCGCAAACATCCAGGACCGGACTGCGGCACTCCGACAGATGGTCGGCGAACTTCCGGAAACGGAATCCATCGACACGGTCAAAAAAGACCTGGAGGACCCGCGCTTCGTGGGGGAGGGCGGAACCCTAACCGAAGCGGGCACCACCTTGATGCGGTTCCACTTGTGGCTGGGCGCGTACCGCGGGGGACTGGTGGTAGAACCCTGGGCCTCGAAGTCTCTGACTAAAAGAGAGACTTTTGAAGCCGGCGCGAAGCTCGCCGAAAAACGAAAGCTCCGGGAGGAGAGTCCGCAGCTGAACTTGGCGGAAGTACCGGCGCAGACCGCCAAAAAGGAGGCGGCCGCCCGCTACCTGATCGAGCGCACCAACAAAGAGGTGCCTGGCGATTGGGACGCGAAACCGGCCAAACACCGCGGGCGTCGGTCCGCAAGGCGCACGAGGAGGAGGGCCGAAAGCTCCTCGAAGAAGAGGAGAAGCAGCGCAAGGCAGACCTCGACGCCAGAAAAAAGAGAGACGAGGAGGACTCCGCAGACTTCGCCGACAATGGCGGAGGATCCTCGGAGGAGCCGCCGGAGACGGCGGCTCTCGCCTCTGTTCAAGACGTTCGCAAAGAAGACCGCGAAAGCCATTGCAACGGCTTTGAACAGCAGCGGGGAAGACAAGTCCTCTCCTATGACGACACGCGCCGGGCTAGCGAAGGGGAAAAATCCCACGTCTACCGACACGTAAACGGCGTCGAGAAGAAGACGGGATCGAAAGTCGCCTGGCCAGGCCTTCCGTCTTAACACCCGGCGCGGAAGTTGCGGACGCGCAGGAGCAATATAAAAGCTGCTTCTTCACGAACGGAGAAAAAGCCTCGAAGCAGGCAAGCCACGCGCTCACCGCGTTGCTAAAACATGCGGAAAAGCACGGCCTCCGCCCCGTTTTCGACGTGGACGAGAGCAGCGTCTTAAACACAACGGCAGGCCAACGCCTCAACCAAAAGGCGCTGGCGCTGCTCTTCGGAGCGTACGCGGCCGCAGGCATCTGGGGCGAAGCCCAGGTGGGAAAAAACCAACCCAAGGCTTCAAGTTGCGCCATCGTTCGCAGGTTTTAACGGAGACAACCTGCAGCGCACAAGCAGCGCGCTCCAGAACCTGGCCCGGAAACAGGTCGTCGCCAGCGTCCCGGCTGACTACTGGGACAGATGCAACCTGGGCCAGTGCTTGGAGACGCTGCGTCGCGTGGAGAGCGCCACCAACGGCGCCACCGTCCGACCTGCAGCCTTTCGATTTCATGACGGAGCTCAGCGAGAACGTCCCAGAGATCGCCTCGACGCGCTCCAACAGAAGGCGAAGCGCTGGGAAACCGGGCTGGTGAGCAGGTACATGCTCAACCTGCTGGCCTGGTGCAGCCGCTTCGGTCTCCACCTCATTGACGAGGTGCGCTACACCGACGAGGAAGACGGGGGAAAAATCAAACCGCCCGTCCAAAAAGCGTTCTTCAAGGAAAACAGGGCGGAGGTCAAAAGTGAAACGCTCTCCATGCGAGAGGCGGGGGCGAGCTTAGGCAAACCGAAAAGCGAACGCGTGGCGGTCACACTGCGCTCCCGTAGCCACAGCCGCCGCCGAAGCGAATCGCGAGAGCGATCGGCAAGCGAAGCAAGGCCCGCAAAACCCGTCTGGCAGTGACGCCGACAGCGGCGGAGACGACGACATGGGAACAACCATGCCGAGCGACACTTGGTTGGAGGGGTTGGATCTGGAAAAAATAGACTCCAGCCCGGCCATGGGCCCAGTCTACAGCCGCCGCCTCGATAAGCGTGTCGATGTGGGACTCGCCGAGCGCCGGAACGCGAAGGGAGGCGCCCTGAGTAAGAAGCAAAGCCTTGCGTCGGGGCCGTTGGCCGTTGCGGGAGGCTTCTGCCTCTCTCTCTCTCCTCGCTTGTTCTTTTCTAGGAGCTCTGCGGCGGTCCTTTGAAGGCCATCGAGAGTGGGCTCTGGCTCCCCTCGGTCTCACTTAAGTCGGTGGCCTCTCTTCCAGTTCGTCTAGATAGGTTGGCACAGGTTGAAGAAGTAAAGAAAAAGTAGAGTAAGGAGGGCCGTTTGCAGGGACAACCTTGAACAGAAGGCGCGTGGAGTGGGTCTGTGTCACTCGCAGCTCGTCTGCTAGTCTGTAACTGGTTCGGGGAGTAGTGGGGCAAGGGGATAGAACAAGTTCGGTCTCTTCTCTTTTGTGTAGTGAGGCTTGTCCTCTGTCTTCTCTCGGTAGCAGTTGTCCCTTTTCAAGCTTTCCCCGGTGGTGGCTGTCTTTCCCCCCCTCTTGCCCTTGTTTCCCTTTTAAGCCTCTTTGGCTGTTCTTTTCAACGTCTCTAGGTACGTAGCCTCTCTAGAGCCCTTCGCCCGTTGGTTCTTCTTCGCGGAGTGTCTTGCACTCTCCCTCCTCCTCAGCTCCTTGCGGATTTGGTGTGCTGAGTCCTTCCCGCCGGTCTCCGTGTGTGGGATATCTTGTCCCTCGGAGTGTTGGTCTGCCGTGGTAGTGTCCGTGAAGTGGGCCTCCCTTCGTCTTCTCGCGTGATTTCTACTGCTCGAGGCAGTGCCGTCTTCCTTTCAGGATGGTTGACTGGCTTCCCTTCCCCCTTTCACTCCTCTTCTTGTTGGCGAAAGGGTAAGGAAATACTAGGAGAGTAAACCCCGGGACCCTTTTGAGGTCGAGTTAGAAGCATTTTTCTCCAAATTTTGACAAATTTTGGCAAATTTTGACAAAGCGCAAAAAAGTTTTTGGCGAGGGTTGTCATAATTTTGACAAATTTTGGCAAATTTTGACAAAGCGCAAAAAATTCCTTGGCAAGGGCTGCTACCCATAATTTTGGCAAATTTTGCGAAAGCGCAAAAAAACTCTTCGGCAACTTTTGGCATAATTATGACACATTTTGACACAATTTCGAAAAATTTTGAGAAAACTCAGAGGATGCCCTGGCATCATTTTGCCAAACTTTGACACAAATTGGCCACAATTTAGCAAAATTAGAGGAGCTTGAAAACCCGACCAAGGAACTTGGAAGCCCAAAAAACCCGGAACCCTTGGCCAAGGGACGACCCCCGGGCGGTTGTACCTATTTGGGGCGCTTGGCTGCGGGGTCTGTCCAACTGATCAGACCACTCGTCGGACCGCGTCGACAAACTTGGAGCGCTTGCATGCCTGTGGGATCTGCTTGGCCAGAGTTGTCAGATCGGTCGCGTCGCCTCTTTTGGATTCCAAAGCCCAGCAAACTCGGGGCGGGTGCCTGGCTGACGGGTCTGGTTTGATAAAGGAGGCGGCTGGGGTTTGGGAGATGCAGCGCTTGATGAACACGTCCGGGCACCCCAGCGGTGGAGCCAGGGCTGGCACTGGTGTCCACCGCTGGGCATCGCTTTGAAAGTATGGCATCCACGTGCGCTGCGGGTCGTGCCAAGATTCATCATGGGGCAGACATTTCGGGGCTTTGGCGTGCGGCGCTTGATAAACACGCCCGGGCGCCCCGGCGGGGTCGGGGTTGACACTGGTGGCGGTGTCTCCGTCAAGCGCGGGGCATCGCTTTGCGTGTGTCTTTCCCCGCCTGTGTGTTGCGGTTCTTGCGCCCAGAAGGTGGCCCACCGGCTTGGTATGGGGCCGCACGTTCTTCATTTGCGTGCGGGCTGTTTGCTTATCTTCATACCATGGGAATAGAAACCGCCGGACCATATTCGTGCGAATGTAAGCCCCCACGTGCATAAAAATGAATCCCAATGCACGGGCGTGCTCGGTCTGAGATTATGCCTATCCCTTTTCGGTCGTGTCGGTCAAAGTCTGTCAGCTTTCAGCCGCTGCCTGTGTTTGTGAAGTGTTGCAAGCCTTGGAAGTATGAAGCGTCTGGGCCTTGTGCTAAGTTCTGGCGGTGTGGTGCTGATAGATGGCGCCCAATGTTCAAAGGTGACGGGAAAGAAATCCGGCGTGAGAATGGAAGCCCGTCGGTGCTGGGCTGGTGAAGTAGTTTCAGCGTGAGAGTGGAAGTCTGTCAGTTCTGGAATGGTAAAGAAATTCAGTGTGAGAATGGAAGTCCGTCAGTGCTGGAGTGGGATCATGTCAGTGCGATCCGCAAACCCGTAAAAGTTTCTATGTGCGACCCGTAAAAGTTTCAGCGTGATAATGTCTGCTCTTGCTGGAATAGGATGGAGGCTCGGGCCGTATCCCTTTGCGCTAGGTCAGTGTTGGAATGGGATGCGTGTGCGATCCGTAAAAAGTTTCAGCGTGATAATGTCCGTTCTTGCTGGAATAGGATGGAAGCGCGAGCCGTAAAAAGTTCCAATGTGATCGCGTCAATGTTGCGGGAATAGGATGGGCGTGTGATCCCTTTGCGCTAGGTAGATGCTCACAGTGCCACCAAGTGGATGTGGTCATGTGTTTGCTTTTTCTTTGTCTGTGGATGGAGGAAGGTGGGCGATATATTGACTCGTAACCAATGTTGTCGCTAGTATTTTCTTACAACTGGCGGAGAATATTCATGGCTGGTGGTGGGTATTTAAGACTTGCCGGATTGGGTGTCTTGTGTTTAGATGTACTACAGCAGTCGCCTGAAGAGTATCGCCATCACCTTAGCACGGGAGTGCGGTCACGCTTTGCATGTGCTACAGCTACACGCCACTAGCTTGGCGCATCTTGGTGCTTATCTAGAGCTTGTTGGCCTCATTTGGTTGGCCTTGTGTTTGTGTTTAGATGCAGTGGGCAGGCCCTTTGCATGTACTCGGCTACACCTTAACACAGACGAGAGAGAGAGAAGGCGCAAGCTTGTCCCACTGGTCTCACTGTGATGGCCAAAAGCAAGAAGCGCGGCCCAGGAAGTCCAGAAATGCACCAACATCACGAAGGAGGGCCGACCAGCCGGCTCCACTTAGTTTCTCACATCGTCTGGCGCCTCTTATCGTTCTACTTTTTGGCGACGTGCAGTCAGTCTGACGCCTCTCGTTTTTCCGTTGTCGCATGTGCTTGGTGTCCAGTCGCATGCACAGGCCTCATGCTTCTGGCAAAGTCTCAGAGGCAGCGTGGCGAATGGCGCCACTCTCATCCCTGTGGGCTGACCTGTCCCACCCCTCACACAGAGAATGGGCGCGGGCTATTATTCAAAATTAGCGATCCCTGTGCTACTGCTACGGCGGTCCTTGTGCTTTACAGCCACGGCCGCGGTGGCTGGGTCTTTGGCTTCCTTTAGTCGACGGCTCCGGCGCGGGCGGCGTCGTGGGCTGAGTCCCTCGGCGTGAGGCCTTCGCGTGCGGATCCTCGTGGGCCCCTCTCGTCGTCATGTCTGCGCCGCGTTCTCAAGTATTCTGGCTGGCCTCAGTCTGACTCGTCACCCTTCGCCGCTTTTTTGCTCTTCTTTCGTTTATCTTGGCCTGTCATAGTTTGCCACTTTTTGACCTAGTTTGTCAAAGTTTGTCACTTTTTGACATAATTTGTCAAAATTTGCCAAAGTTTGTCACTTTTTGACATAATTCGCCAAAAGGTGACAAATTATGTCAAAAAGTGGCAAATTTTGACAAATTATGGCAAAAAGTGACAAATTTTGACAAATTATGCCAAAAAGTGGCAAACTCTGTCAAATTGTGCCAAACTGTGACAGGGCTGACAGCCGCAAAAGTTATGGGCCTTTTGCTACAAACCCGGCAAAGCAAGGGGAGGGCGGTGCGCCAGGCGGCGCGGCTCTTCCCAAGCGTAGCCGCCGGCCGGCCGCCCCGGCGCTTCTCGCGCTCGGCCTCCTACCTAAGCCATGTCTGCCGCCTCCCACCCGTTGGACGTAGTCGGGGCGCAGCCGCTCAGGCTTGGGCAATCTTGTCGGCCCGGTCGTGACCATGCAGCGCGCCGGCCTCGGTTTCGGCGGTTCTTGCTCTCGTCGAAAATTTCGACGAGATGGCCCGCCAGGCTTCCGCTTCTGGCCCTCTTTCTGATGTCTTTGCTGTTGTGTGTTCTTTCTCCCTCTTGGCTTTTTGCTTCTCTCAGTTTGTTGCCGATCTTTTCCCGTCTATCGCTCTAGTGCGCTCGGCCTGCTCTCTGCGGTTCTTGCTCTTGTCGGAAATTTGGACAAGATGGCGCCCAAGGCCTCGCCTTTTGGGGCTGCCTGCGTCGGCGCTTCCACTTCTTTGGCGTTTAAGACCTTGGGCGCGCTCCTTCGGGTGACTGGGCTCGCCTGTGGCCTCCTCGTGATCAGTCTGGCGCAGTCTGTTCTGGTCGGGCGGGCTCGCTCTGGTCGGGTGAGCTTTGGCCCGTGTCAACAGTAGCAGGCGTGTGCGTTTTCGGCAGCTCTTGCTCCTGTCGAAAATTTCGACGACTTTGCAGGCCTCTGCGGTTGGCTCTCTTTCTGCCTCTTGCTCGAGGGGCCAGCCTTGGGCCTTCTCATGCGCAGCAAAGAAACTGGCCCGCCCCAGTCCTGGCTGCTCTCACCGTTGTCGGAATTTCTTGACTTTTAGAACCGCGAACACCCCCCGAGCCGGTTCGCCGTCTTGTCCGCTGCGGTTGCTTGGTTCTCAGTCTCGCGCAATCATTTCGCACGTGTGGGAGGGGCTGGGACTCGCGGGCGCTGAGACCCCGCAAACTTTTGAGGTAGACTACCAGGATTCTGGACTCTTTAAAACGACTGAAACCTTAGAACGAACTTGAAAGGAGGGACACACTACACACGCGCGCCACGCTCCTCGGCGCGTCACCCCGTCACGCAGGTACACGCTCACACGTCGTCTGAAAATGAATGCTCCAGCGTGCGTCACGCTCTTGGCCTCAGGTGGGTGCGTATGGCTGTCAAAGGGTTCTTTTACACGCGGGGGGCGAGGATCCCCGGAGGGACCCTTTTTGGAGGTGTCTGCCGGGGGTGGTGCACTTCTAAAGGAGTCCATGGGGGCTTCCTCCGCTTCCTTCCAGCTGCCTGCGTGTACCCTAAAGGCCTCCTATCTGCTGGCCCCTCGCCGGGGCAGCGGCGTGCCTGTTTTGGAAGGCCTCTGAAGGCGGCAAAAGGCGCAAGGCTGGACCCCCGGGGCCGTGCGGCTTGTGCCTTGTCGGCCGTTGGTCATGGGTTTGCTGGCTCTTGCCACGCATTTGATGAGGGCCGGCAACCCAGGAAAAGGAGCCAGGCTTTGGGACTGTGGCTGCCCTCGGCGGCTTTCTACCCCGGAGGCCTCCGTCTTGCGGGGTGCGTCAAAACTTGGCGCGCCGGGCGTCCCCTTGCGCCTCTCTGCATGTTCCCAGCCTCCTGGCAGGCCTTTGCTGACCCTCGCGGGCTTGGCCTGGGGGCCGGTGTCTGGGGTAGAAGGCCGCCGAAGGCGGCCGCGGTCTCTTGCGGCAGGCTGATGACCAAGGGCCCGGAGGGTACAGGCCACACAGCTAAGGGGGTCTGTCCTTGCGTCTTTTGCCGCCTTCCTTCGGGGGCCTTCGCTCCACTCCTGGCGCAGTGCTGCGGCGGTGAAGCACGTCGGCAGCCTGTAGGGCACACGCAGGCAGCCGGACGAAGGCAGCGGATGAGGCCCCCTGGACCCCTTTCGGAGTGGGACACCTTTGGAAGCCTGCCACCCCCAGCAGACGCCTTCCAAAGGGGTCTCTCTGGGGGTCTACGCCCTCCCTTACGCTAGGGGGGGCGCTACCCTGCACCTTGGAACATTTACAGTTGTTGTAAGTATTCTTGTTGGGCGTATTCTTTTAGGAGCAGATATTACTATTGCTGTATGAACCAAAAACATTGGTAACTAACTAACACACCTGCAGCTATCTTTAGCTGAGATCTCTTTCTTCGTCACTAATTAATATCCAGGTCAGCGCAGAGGAGAAGCACGAGCGGCACGGCTGCCAGAAAGTGTTCTTCTCAGAGGGCTTCAACAATAAAAGGCAAAAACAAATAGCAGCAGCCTTGCTTAAGCAAGTAGAATTATGGCCAGATACAGACTTTATTCTCTTTATCTCCGAGTTCGAGTACTAGAGCATCTCAGGACACACCGTGTCCAGTAGACAGTAACACAGTGAAGGTCTGCATCGATCCAGGATAGTGAACCACCACGGCGGAAATCAATGAAAATCTTCTAAAACAAATTAGAGGGGGTTGCGAGGTCAGCCCAGCGGTGGAACATTGTGCAGGCGGAGGGGATTGCAAAGAGCGGATCACGTTCATCAACGCGCCCGATGCCGTCCAGGCAGCAACCGCTGCGTTTCAACGCTCAACGTGGCCGAGTTTTCGGGTTCTCCACAGCATAGGCAGGAGTGACCAGGTGGGAGAATTCGCTGAGTGGGGCATGGGAGATCTGACGACAAACATCCAAAAATACGATAAGGACAAATCCGGCAGTATATGTCCTGACGAGGCCGGCGATGCGGTGTTGGAGGGCGGCTTGAGTGCGGCTGTAGGTAGCTTGAGCGAAGTGTTCGGCAGCGCTTCCGGCGGAATGACGAAAAAAATGGTGCGAATGTTCAGCGAGGTTCTGTCTAAATGGAAGGCTGAGGGGGACCAAGACTTGGAGTGGTTTTTCCGGCGGGAGAATGTTACGCATGAAATTTAATCTATTTAGATAAATGACGAAAAAACGACAGCGCGCGCACGTAAAGCGCCGCAACCCTTGCAGCAACTTGAGAGACTGCGACACACATGAAAAACATGCAAAAACCTAAAGCAGTGGCATTCTTTGGCGCGTCGCATTCATTAGGAGGCCCTTGGTCTGGTGAGAAACTTCCCTGGGGCTTATTCATCGCCATCAACATGCGCCACAGTCAGAGACCGCGAGAGTGGCACTGCTTTAGGTTTAGCTTTCACGATTTGGCTTCCGTTCAATATTATATTTGAGCTTCATCATGCAACAAAGTCAGCCACTCTTAGTCTTAGAGGAGAGCTCCACTAGTACTCCTTTCGCGTTCTTTTCCTCCCTCAGAATTCATTTCAAGAATGAACGCGGAGAAGCGCAGCAGCGCTTCTGGCAGCAACGGTTTCGTAGAGGAAGGCGCGTCGCCGTGCATTAGTCTAAAACGTCTTGGCTCGCCATCATCTGAATCTGATCCGCAGAAGCCAACGGCGACGGCCGAGAGTGCAGCACCCCCTCCCCCTGGTCATGGTGATCCAAATCTAGAGCGAGAGCAAGGACTCGATCAACATCAATATGAAGAAGCTGCTGCACAACAAGAACATGATAACCACGAAATACCTGAGGATGAGGCTGCCACTGGGGGGTCTGAGGAGGCGGGGGGCTATGCTGCCTCAGTAAAACAAGACGTGGAAGCGGGTGATCATGAACTACAAAGCAATGAAAATAAGCTCGCAGCTGCGGCCGCAGGAGACGATGATGTCGGAAAGGCAGGTGAGGGCACAGAAGCGGCTAGGCAAAATTCAGAAACGGTTGATCCACACGACGTGATCTCTCAACAAATTGCGGGCCTTCGGCTCCGGAAGTACCTCCGCCGTCTGCTCAAACAAGTACTTTCCGACGGCACGTCGATGATCAAGAGCGTAGTAGATAAGGAGATCACCAGTACCAAGATGGACACGCAATTCGACTCAAAAGAGACGCTCTTTAGACGGCATCATCGAGATCAGCCGCTGCCGCGACCTATGGGTGACGGCGACCCAGCTGTTGCAGAGTTCGGTGTACATGATCTTGACGACGATGGCGACGACTTTGATACTGAGAGTTTTGAAGAACCCAAGTGATTCATCACTTCTTTCATTGCAGACGCAGAGAATAGGAAAGGACCGAAGCGGCAGCCGTATACGTACGTGCTCCCGTTGTAATCAGATTGGTTGTGGTACCGGTCCACGAGGACGACACTGCGACCACATCAATGAACAAGCTAGGCACGTAAAACAAGCTTGAGAAAGTCGACCCAAGCTCGTTCAAGAAATATGTAGCGTTGAATTATAACGGAAGATCGAAAAATTGCTGAGCTCTGCCTCTGGGTAGCTTACTGTACACTTGTTTCTAAGACAGAAAATTGACGATGGCGACGACTGAGACTACACGTGCAGCGTGATAATTCTCCAACTCATCATATTGAAATCATCCGACAGCGTGATAATTCTCCACCTCATCAGACAGCTTTTTTTCCAATACTATAGCAGAGTAGCTTATAGCACGCGTGGTGCATGGTGGAGTAGCATGGGGTGCATGGAGTGCATGGAACACCTGCAGCCTGCCCACGCATGGAGTGCATCGCAAGCGTGTAACGGTCGGGCACGCGTGGAGCATGCTCCGCCGAAGCTGGGTCTGCTAGGCTAGACGCCCCGAAGGGGGCGCTTGGTGATGTGTCAGGGTGTGACGTTACCGCTGCAGCTGGTTTATGGGGGGCCCTGGGCTAAGGGAGCCAGCTTGCGAGCGAGTGGGCGGGGAGTTGTAGCCCTCGGTGAGTTGTAGCCCCAACTATGGGCAATTAGTGCGTCGAGGGGTGCAGCCGGCGACGCTGAGGCTGATGCCTCGTCCGCCTTAAGGGCCCCCGCCCGCGAATGAGTGGCCTGGAAGTCTTCCTCGCCGTTAGGGTTGGTTGATAGGCCAGACGCACGGACGGGGAGCACTGTCTTGGAAGGACGTAACGCGCCCACGGGTCGCGACGCCGCTGGCGGCGCCGCAGCTGCTTGGCTGCGTGGGCGGCTTGAGGGCACCGCGCCTGAGCCGCGAGTGAGCGCGTCGGCCCGGGGGCTCTGCGTAGCAGTCGGCACTGGGGTTGGCGGGTTAGGCGTCTAAGGTGCCTCCCTCGAATACTGCGCTGGAGGCGTGTATACTCTCACGAAAAGCAAAACTTTCTTCACGCAAAATTTTTACGCATGGAGTACATGGAGCACCGGCCCCATGCTACTCCATGTGTTCCACGCACTTCATGCCATGCGCCTGGAGGAACCTTGTTATAAACTGCTTTGCTATAATAATATATAAGGAAAATAAACAAAACCAAAGAAGGAGCACAAGGGACAGCGGATGGATAGGCTTCGGTGTGTGGAAAGCTTTCAACGAATTCGCATACTGATTTGAGAGTTTTGGAGCTGCACTTAAGTAGACTCCCCCTTTGGCCGTGCGACTACTTTTTGTCTGAGTGAATCAATACGGGGAATCCATTGATATTCTGTCAAAGCGAGAGCGAGAGGGAGACGGAAAGCATATTGACCTTTGATCATCAGGCGATCAGCATGATCCTGGTAAATGGTATCTGTGGATGGTATGTTGTATGGTGAGTTGTATGGAAGATGTTGGTGGTGATCTGCCTCATCAAGTGAAGGGTACTCTACTCCTATCTTCTATCACTATCTTCTAGTCATCATCTTCAACATATGAAAATTCTACCTCTACGAAGTTGTAATATTTGCTTCGGCTTTATTTGCTGTAGTTTGTGTTTGTTCTCACGATTGACTTCTCATTACCCAACAGGTTTTTCGAGTTCATAAAGATTCATAAGTCTTTACCTCGCTATTCCACAAAAGTAGTCTATCCCACCTCGTTATTGTTCCCTCCCGACTACGTATTCCCCAAGTTAGTACTAACAGCCGGCAATAACTCGTATCAGCCTTCAACATAATGATAATTTGCTTATCATTTTTTCGTTCCGCTTTTAAAACTTGAAGCATAGGCTTAAAAAATGGCGGCCTTTACCAATGACGAGCTATACCAGTGGTATACTAGCTATACCAGCGATATCAAGCATGAGGTGAGCGACATGGTGGAAGACTACAGTACGACGGCATCGAGCGGCGAAGAGCAAGAGGAGAGCCAGCCCCGCAAGAAGTTCCCACCCCCGCAGGTGTTCAGCCAGGAGTGGACGAGGCGGCGCCGCTGGTGGAGATTTTTGACATCACGGAGGGCGGTGAGAAGGAGGACGCGGACGGACCAGCGGCGCCGCCGGCTTGGGCCTGGCCTGGGGACTTGTTCATGGCTTTCTTGATCGTGTTCATCGTTTCGCTGGCGCTCCTCAAGGGCGAGCGATGCCACCCCAGCACTGCCCTAGCTGTGCCAATGGAGCGCGGGCCTTTTTTCAGCCTACGCTGAAGCACCCCAGAAATAATAACAAACTACATCGGCCGCGCTCGCCCACATATCGACAAAGTGCAGCCAAGCTGAGCGCGACAGGCATCAAACTACAACTACTCGGTAACCAACGCCAAACAAGATAATATCTAGCATGAAAGGCCTAAGTCAGTCGTGTGAGTAAATAAGTCTAAGCCAAGGCTGGCAAAGTAAAAAAGGGCTAAGCAAGGAAAGCGAACGAAGTGGAACCGTCCGCGACAAGTCAAACGAGGCTGCAAGTGATAATCAGTCTCCTCAGTTTAGCCAAGAATGTTTGTCCCTCCATCTTCCAAAGCAATAGTTATCAGTCTCAATACCAAGCAGACATGGTGATGTGGCTTGTTAAATGAAAGAGGTAGTAGAAGAACTAGAATCTGAAAGAGGTTTTTAGTCCTCTACATACTAAATGGTAGAGATGATCTGGAAGTACTGCTGTCAAGACAGCAGGTACTTGGATTGCGATAAGCATGGCGGTCTGTAGTAGTCTAGCATCAGACCAGCCGAAGATCAACCATTATAGTTCATTTGTACTTGTTCCTGGACACAACTTCTACTACAACTTCCACGAACACTTACTTTCTCATTCTCGGGTTTGGTTTTGGCTTGTAGATAAAGATCATAGAACTCTTATTTGATTCAAAATTTCGGAACGCTAAGTGTACTAGTACCGCTTCATACGATTATACGATCTACTTTTTTTGTTCTTGTGACGAGGGTACTAACTAACGAAATCTACGTCTAACTTTCGCTGAACAACATACCTGGTGGCGCTGTGTATGATGGAAAGACGACTTTGCTAGTTGATCTAGACCATTTAGATTCGAGCGGAGATCAAGAGGGTCACGATGACCCTGCAGTTGGTGTCGTTGGAGAAGTTAGAAGTGGAATATCAAGCGGTGCAGATGGTGTCAAAAATGTGGAAAAGAATGAGGAGAAGGCGCGCTCATCTTCTTCATCCAGGAAATTTCTTCCTCCATCAGAGCTCGTTTCCACAGAAGGGTACATCAATGAGAACCAGAAACGTTCAGCGTTCTTGAATGATCTGACAGTGGGGAATCGGGTCTTCGCCTTGTGGGGAGATAACTACATCTTCTTTCAAAAAACCTACGATGGAGCTCAACTACGACTTGGAGCTTACATCTATGTGCCTTCTGAGCTCTTGCGCGGAAAAGGCTGGATTTGTTGAGGAATGGCATGCCGATCGCATCGAACAAAAATGTTCCTTGCACATTGAACAGCAACCACGAACGTGGAAAGGCGGGATGGTTTTTCGGTATCTTCTCGCACGAACGCGGAAAAGTGGCGAATTTGAATCACTTAAGTAATAAGGACGGTCGGTCTTCGTCTTAGCCTCTCAACATCTTCGTTGCAAGGGGAGAAGTAGAACGAAAGATGCATCATGGTCTCGATCTGGGGTATCGTTCGTATTGTTATTTTTGAAGATATTTATAATTCTGCATTCTCTTTGTAGGCTGTAGGAGGACGCTATAACGAACGGGGGAGGGAAGAAGCGACTTCTTAGTGCATACAACAGAAAGTCGCGAAAAGATGAAGCTACAGAAGTAGATCATTCAGTTTGGATAACCACAAGCAGCGAAGGCCCCAATCGTCCGAGACGACGACTGTCAGAGGAAGACTCGAATACCGCGAAATACCTGAAGACGCGGACCTCTGAGGAAATAGAGGATGGTGCTAGTTTTGGTGTGGCAACCACTGCGGGCCCTGTTGTTAAGAACAAATTTTCTAAAAGACGAATAGATGCTCTCCATGTGTGCTGGTAACTGGTTTTGTGTATTTCTTTGATGAAAACACGGGATTCCATGGAGTTGATCTTGAAGTAGTCTGCTCGAAAAGTGACTAGAACAAGAAGAACAAATTTGCAGGAAGTGAAAGTCCCTCTTCTTCTTCCGAGAACCGTCTCAGTGTTGGTACTAACAAATCAACATCATGAACAACATCTACTCTGTGACTCACCGTACTAAGCCGGCCCAAGCTTGGGCCTATCTTAGACCCTCTCGGTATGCCTGACGTGATTCCACCGCGGCAGCATCTGATCCCCTGCCAAACCTGCACGAGTCAAGAGAATGGACGCCCTGCATGTGCAGGCTTTGCCGGTCTTGTGTCGTGCTTGTTCTGTCTTGTATGTTTCAATGGGTCACATACTCACATCAAGAAGCTACCTACAACGCGGACGACAGCTCCTCCATCGCAACTCCTCCATCTCATTTTTAGGTTCAGCGACAGGCTCTAGTGGGGATGAGGCCGCCTTTTCTGCAGCATATTTATCGAGTCCGGCATCTAGTCGAAGTAGAATCGAAGAAAGACCAGCAAAATCCGGACGCATTCAAGCCACGGCCATCACTGTAACACTATCTTTGTTTCATATTCTTGCTAGGGCCAGGAGCTGATTGAACCATCACCATGGTTAGTGCCTTCAATTATCATGTGAAATTTGCTGCTATACTTGATTCCTCATCACGTCACCACCAACACGTGATGTGCATTCCACTCTCCATCCGACATCAGATACGAGGGTCCGGGTCAAACGAGTTTCCGCACAAGAGATACAGACGATTTAGGGCGCGACGTGCGTGGGGTAGATACGTATCCGGAATCCAGCACTGAACTTTTCTACAGAATGATCATGGGAAAGATGCCGGTATTGCTGATGAATTTCATTATCATTTTCGGCTTTTTGAAGATGTTGGTTCATGTTATTAATGTAGATCATGCTTTGCTCGTGCATGTAAGAAGATGAGTAGAATTAGTTTATCTTGATGATTCTTCTATAATCAATATCTTGTTCGTCCTCCAGGACCCGCTTCCCGAGAGGTCCTCGCCTTCAAAGAGCCTTACAACTAGGCAAAGACCAATGTCACAGAACGGACGGAGGCCCATAGGGCCGATGCCTGTGCAGACATCGACGAGGCCAAAGAGTGCTCCTCTAGTCAACAACTCACAATAATATAACCTCCAAAGTCGCAGAGGGATAAATTGCGATTGGTACCACTTTACTCCTACTACTATTTTTGATCATGTGCTGATTTAGACTACATATCTTTATCTATGTACTACATCTACATCTACATGTGGTTGTGGATTATATTTTTCTCCCTTGCTTAATAAGGCGGGCGAAGGCGAAGAGTGATAGATTTAATTATCGTTCATTTCAAAAATATACAACAGGTGCGGCACCTTCACAACGCAACCAATAGAGTTAGAGTTGGAGACGGATATGCCAGCATCCGTTCAGCGAGCTTTAGACTCTACCGAGTTTGCGAATGTCGCGTTGTCGGCACCCTCTGCCGATTGTCTGATCCCTGGTCCTAGAGGAATTCCAGACGTCACGAACAACAAGAAGAAGAAAACGAGCATGCAGAACCTGAAGACGCTGATAGAAGCACAGAATGATGATGTGATTCGACTTGTGATCATTCGCTACTTACTTAGATTATCTATGTAAGTAGATAGTTATTATATCCTTCCTTTTTCTTTTCCTAGTTAGCTTGGCTCCACCCATATATAGATAGTTATTATATCTTTCTAAGTTAGATATTATTATATCTCGGAGGAGGCTGTCTGTTTTATAATAGAGTAGTTTATAGACGGAGGGAAGGTGGGCACGGTGCGCGACGCTGGGCCGCTGGGCGGCCACGCTTGGCCCGGTGGGCGGACCCTTGGCACACATGGGGGGAACGGTGGGCGCACGCTGGGCGCGTATAGCGTTGCCCCGCTGCTTCCGCCAATGTACAACGTCGGAGCCGAGGGCGGCGCGGCGCTGTGCTCCTTTGCGGAGTGGCCACGCTCTCGCTGCTTGCGGTGCTTCGCTGCTGTATGCCGTGCCGCCTGGGTGTGTAGAGTGCGGCGCAGCGCTGCAGTGTGCCTCTTCAGTGCTCTGCTGCAATGTGCGGCCAGTTCTGCTGAGGGGTATTCCCAGGCGGGCCAGTAGGTGGGCGCCCCGATTCGTATGCAGCTTGCTGCGGATCCAGGGCGCATGCGCTTACTCTGCCAGGGGGCTTCAGAAATGGGCGCGCGGAGGGCGTTCCGATTTTTGACCCCAAGTATCACGGTGGGCGCACGGTGGGCGACATCTTTCGCAGAAGGCCCACTTTTGGGCCGCCCAGCGGCCCAGCGTGCCAAGCGTGCCCACCGATCCAATCCTGGGGAGGGAATAAACTTTCCTATTATAATTTTTGGAGGTCACCTTCATTCCGACTACAGCTGATTCTTCCTTTTCTGCGAACTGACGTCTACTTTATTTGTTATTTGCCTATGCTGTCCCGCAATCCCACCCTCCACCGTCCCTTCACAACCAGGTGTGCCAACCGTCGTTGCTCGGTGCTGTAGCTTTTCTTGTATGTATAGCTGGAACACGAAGAATTCCCCTACTTATTTGCGTTCCAGACGCCATCTTCAAATTGACCTGATGCAACGAACGGCACGAAAGGAGACAGGGGAAAGATTGCCGGATGTGGCGTTTCATAAAACGAACTGATAGAATTAGAAGGTGGACGAAGATGTTTCTCCACAATGTCTTCAATCTTGACAGTTGAACTCGATCTCGAAATATCATCCTTGATTGTACTAGTGAACGATATTGTTCCCATTATACAAATGTAAAAAAGTGGCCCATATCAATCTTGTCGAACTAACTGTTTCAAATCTTCATGCGGTTGGTAGCCCCGACAGAGAAAACAAGGTCACGCCCTCTTCATGACCTATCTCCATTACGTTGAGTCATAAGTGTGGTTAAGACGAGTAAACACGTATAATTCAATCATCGACATGGACATAAACATCCCACCGGTAGTACTATTTCTACGTCGATGCCGCATAAGAGACCTCATCTCCTTCCCCCATCTTCCCTAATCACGGATGCTACAAGTAGTCTTTGTTTACGCCCATTCAATGACTTTTTATTTACTCATGGCGATTACGAGAACTAGTACTTACGTACTACATGATGTTGAACTTTTACCTGAACTGTTCTTTCCTTTGTAATGATTAACGAACCACATTAATGTCCACAGTACTAGACTTCGACTTTGACAAATATATATGACATAAATGATCTTGATGGTAAATGAACTAGGTAACAAACTAAATCATACCTACAACTATACCTTATCCTTACAGTTTGTTACTTTTTCTGTGCGTAATATTAATCTTCAATCTTTTTTACTGCTACAACAGGGCAGGCTACTTACCACTTGCTGGAACATGGATATTTACGTTGACTTTGATGTTCAACACATGTTGAAACAGTACTAGAGTTCCATTTTCCTTCCTTCCCAGTTTTTCAGATGAGCTAGTATTTCACTCTTGTGCGTGAGATTGTCTAAGACACTTACTTCGTAGCCCCTGGTGATGAAGATGTTGAATTTGAAACAGCTGCTTTCTTAATGTTGATGGTGTAACATGTCGGAGATTGTCTGTGGTGTTTCGTAATCGGTCTTCTAGGCAAGTACGTAGAAGAAAAGCTAGAAAGTTGGATGTCGATGCATGTTGATGGTGTAACATGTCGGAGATTTTCTGTGGTGCTTCGTAATCGGTCTTCTAAGCAAGTACGTGGAACAAGAGCTAGAAAGTTGGATGTCGATGCATGCTGAAGAAGAGAGAGAGACCAGCTGCGTCTCCAGCTCCACGAGCTCAGATAAAGCATACCGGGTTCGGTCAACATCGGCTAACTTTTGAGCGGGATGAGATTTTGATCGTATGGCAGACTCAGACCACTCCACTGCACCAGGCGACCACCACCACCACCGCCATTACCTTTGCCACATCCTTGCCCATGCAACTCCCAAGCAACGAAAATAAATGAATCCATAACTCACCCAGCAAAGAGCTTGGCGAGAGAAGCCTAATTATGACACGTTCTTGGACATCAAACCTAGCAGAGATTTGACTAAAGAAGATTCTGACTGTCTTTCAGTGATGTGGTAGGCTGTGCCCTTCTTGTGAGTGAGAACTCGGATCACAGACACAGTGGCTACCTCTCTGACTGCTAGTACTAGGTGGTGGCAGTCCCGGAACGAAGTAGTGCGGCTCATGAAAATCAGCACGCTCAAGTTGGAAATAGTGTCACGCTAGGCCAGGCGCCTTACCTGCGCAGTGCGTGTTCGACTTTGGTGACAAGTAACTGCTGGTAAAGTACGCAGCAGACCCTGAGAAAGGATGGGCGTGCTTCTGAAGCTTCTGCCAGATGCCGAGGACATTCTGCAGGACGCCATGTCAACCACCGCGCCAGCGCTTCCGGGTGCGCAAGCGACGGTCCAGGGAGGTGAAACAGATTCACATAGTTTCTCTCGCGTTGGACTTCGTCGGCCTTCTGTGGTGCAGATGAGCAGCGTCAGTCCGTACGCAGCTGCACGCACAAGAAGAGTGCCTTTCCTCCGCCTAGGCAATGAATCCGCTGACTCTCCAGGGACACGCTTTTTTTCTAAAGCATTAGCACCCGGCCGCAGCGCAGCAGCCGCAAGCGGCAATCGACAGAACGTAATAGACGATCGCGTGTGCCTCGCTAGTCGTTTGCGCGGGACTGCTTTTGGAGCACAAGCTCAAGCACCTAGACCTCTTTCAGCTCGCTCACATCGCCGCTACTCTTCGACTCCGGTATCTATTAGTTTTTTATTTTATCAGAATGGATTTGCATGCATATGCTGATCTCCTTGTTGTTATTCACTCTTTTCTTCATTTTTGCAGACAGTGCTGTGAAGATGATGCACTTCATCGCTGTGGAAGGAAAATGAACTTTACTCATCCTCAAAAACCTACGCACTTCAAAAACCGAATTTAATTTTACCGCTTGGCCATCTTCTATCCCTATTCAAACTAGGCAAGCGGACAATCGGAGCAAGCGCAGCCTTCATCCTCGACGCCGACGGCCGGGTGGAGTGGTGTGGTCAATAAGGTCTCGCTTAGTAACTCTGAGAGTACCGAAGATAGATGCGTCGTCGCTCTCAAGGAAGCCGGGACGCTGCTGGAGGCGGAGATGACGAACAAGCTGACACCCGGCACCCTAGATACCTTGAACGCAAAAATCAAAGACTGCGAATTCCCAGTGCCACTCTTTAAACTCGCAGCTTCACTGCGTGCAAATCCAAACCAGGTGACACGAGCAGAAAGCAAGGTGCAGCTGCTCCGATTTGGAGCCGCGAACCTATTCGCGCAGATCGACGACCAAGGCTACATGATGGAGGATGCGACACACAGGGTACAGATAACCACATAGTAGCCGCATCTTTTTTAGAAGCGGCCGATGACGTTAAGGAAGTATATTTATTGATATATCCACAGGGGGGGCGTGTTTCCTTGTGTCATACATATGCCCCAGGGCGCAGGGGGGCCCCCGTAAGTAGAACTTGCGAGCGCCCCATCCTATAGACCGCGGACCGAGTCCCCCTTTCCCCCTATTATTAGGAAGAAGGACGCGCTTGCTCCTACGCGTGAGGCGCCACGCTTTTGAGCGTGATTGGGGCGCGACGCGTCACGCTTATGAGCGGGGCGCGCCCCGCTTTTAAGCGTGGCGCCTGATGATCTGAGGAACATTCGCGGGAGGCCTGACGATCTGAGGGACATTCGCAGGGGGCCTGATGGTCGGAGGGATATCACTGGGAAGCCTGACGCCCTGGGGGACTGACATCCGGAGGAGACCTGGCAGCCTCAGGACCATTCGTCGGAGGCCTGGCGACCTGAAGGACATCCGCGGGAGGCTTGACGCTCTGAGGAACATCCGCGGGAGGCCTGACGACCTGAGGGACATCCGCGGGAGGCTTGACGGCTTGGGGAGCATCTGGGGGAGGCCTTAGGACCTGAGGAACATCGGGGGGGGGCCTTACGATCTGGGGAGCGTGCTATCTTTGGGAGGCCTTACGATCTGAGGCCGGGGGGCCATGTGATAACGATCCGAGGAACATCCGTGGGGGGCCTTATGAGCTCAAGAGCATCCATGGGCGACCTTATGAACCCAAGGACATCCGCGGGCTGCCTTATGATCTCGAGGACATCCGTGGACCGCCTTACAATCTCAACCGCAAGAACATCTGGGGGCGGCCTTATGCTCTGAGGGGTCCAAGCTCATCCACTCTTCCGAAGTTGCTAGCTTGTGCGCGTTCGCAAATTTCTTTGCAAATACCTGCAGCCCAAGAAGCTGCGGCATTCTTCTCCAGATGCGCCTGGTCAGAGTATATTTGGAAAGCGCCGCGCCTGGCAGTCACCGTTGGAGGAAAATCGTAGCGGAAAGTTGCCAACGCTCACACGCGCGGCCTTTGTCCTTGTCTCGTTAACATGAAGCCAACAGGAGCCCCGAAAACAAAACCGACACAGCCCACACACGAGCAGGCCAGCCAGCCACTGCGCTGAGAGCGCCAGACACAGGCTGGCGAACCAGTCTGCGGCGCAGCCACCCGTCAAGTCCTCAAGTGAATGCATGACACCAGACCAAAAGCCCCCCAAGTCTGGGGAGACGAGAAGCAGAGGAACCATAGAAACCAGAGACAGCGCGGAGCCTTATGCGGTGCTGTTGCAAATTATTGAGAATCCGTTCTGGGCGGTCTGCTTCTGTGCTTTCATCAGAAAAAGGAGCATGGAGGGCGAAAGCTTTAGAACTTTCGCGGAATGTTTGCGGAAAGTTTGCAAGAAGTTTGGACAATGTCGGAACTTCGTGCGTTTATCTTTTCGGGGCCAAAGGCTCCGGAGATGTTCCTCGTCGGGGGAGTTCTTTCGCAAAGTTTTTGCTCTTGCCAAGACTTTTTTTCAGCTAGAAAAAGAAAAACGAAGCGAGAGCCACCCCAGGCGCCCGAGCGCAGAAAGATGGCCAACGCCGCTCCGCTATGCCACTGCTTCGGCTTCCCCGCTTGCGTCTCCCCTGCCTTCTGCCCACCTCGAGGAGCTTGCACAGGCGTGCCGCGGCTGCATTCCAGGCGGCGCCGGTCATGCCTATGACGTGCGGGCGGTCCACACGCACCCGGCGCCGGGGCTGTTAACAACTGCACACGAGGCCGCGCCGGTGCCTTTTTCGTACATCTTTGCAAACACAGAGACAACGAGAACGGAGACCAGCCCAGGCAACTCCGTAGCCATTTCGGCTCAAGGATCTAAAAGCGGGGGAGTTTGTTGGCATGGATGTGCTTGAGCGTGTTCTGATTCTGTTGGCTGAGAAGTGAGGGAAGCGAATGAAAAGCATGAACAAAGGAGCGCGCTTCTGTTTGAGTGTTTTCCACTCTGTTGAGGGTTGTAGAATAAACACGAAGAAAGTGGGGGGCTATATTAAATAGCATTAGCTTAGTGACGTACTTAAGGCACTAATATGGAAAGCCTTGCCACTCTTTCCCAACAGGATATAATGGCTCTTCGCACGTTGCAGCTACAGTCTGGACCTTGAAGCACGCCCCGCCTGGAAGTGCCTAGCGTTCTACCTTTGTCAAGTTTGTCACCGGTTGCATCGGTGCCGCATAGGTTACCATCCTCGCTTCGCGTGTAAGTAGAATTTAACTATAGGACTCATAGCACTGATGTCCTTTCTTTGAATTCGTGGACCCCCTAGCAAATTTATTGCAGCGGTTTAGTTCTTTTCTTTCGCTTTGGTTTCTTGTCCTAGAACGCTCTTCACCGCTGCACCTAAGTAACAGGCTCAGGGCAATAACCTGCCTGACCAACCACCGCGTGGCCATAGGTAAGAAGTAAACCGGAACTATTTGAGACCACGACTAAAGTCATTAGCATCGTTCAAAACTAACGGGCTAGCACTAGGAAACAAAGCGAAAGAGGTTGCAAGCGGTGCAATTTCAAGGGTCTGCCTCGCCTAGAATTATTCGCGCGGATCATTAGCTAACTATCCACGGAAGTAACTCCGTAGAATTCAAACAAACTCAAAGAACAGAGCCGGCTGCAGTTCACTAAGGTAAGGGCATAAGTTACAAAACCAAAGCTCTCAGGGAGAGCGCTAGAAACTGTTTTTTAGCTCCCTTGACTATTTTGAAAGCTAGCAAACAAGTGAGAAGAAAATAGATTAAGTCCAGCGGTGGTGGGGTATATAGTAATGCAGACCGTTGCGGACTGTCTTCAATGAATAAGGCCACGGAAGTGGTGGCCTTGCAAGTTAAGCTATGCCGCTTCTACAAGCATGGAGGTGGAGCGGCCTCTTTCTACATCGTGAACGGGCGGGGGCGTAGAGTCTTGCTGCAGTTCACTGAGGACCCGGAAGGGGCGGACTTCGACAGTATGAAGGTGGTGAGGACGATGAGGAAGACGAAGCGGAAGAAGATGCGCAGGAAGCTGACGAAGACGAAAATACCATGGAGGAGCCAGAGAGCAAGAGCAACAAGAAAGCCCCCACTTCTGCACTACCAGCAGGGACGAGGGTGATTCTAGAAAATCCTCCGAAGATGTCGCAGGCTACCGGTTCTCGCATGGAGTACATTACCGAGGTAGCTGAGTGGCGTCGGATGTGCGGCCAGTATTTTACTTCGGATGCGGAAACGCTACACATTTTTTGCAAACAGGCTCTGGATGGGCTGCAACTACGTGGAGCGCTGAGGCACGAGACCCAGTGGGAGCCTTTCTTAGCGAAAGTGAAGGAGTTACATTTATCCCCCCGATGACGCGCAGCAGAAGCTTGTCGCTTGGAGTACGCTAGTGGACTCCGTGAGGGGGAGCACCTAGGACCCCGGGAAAGCTCTGCCTACAAGAATGGGCGAACGCTCACACCGCCACGCAGAGGGCTGGCGTGCTGATTACAGAAACCTTGGCTGGCGTCTTTCTTTTCCAAGGCGCAGAGCTATCGGAAGTGGAGCGCACGGCGGTACTTCTTGGCAACATCAAGGGCGACCTTAAAGCTGACAAAGTCAAGCAAGCCACTCGGAAGGCAGCAGCGGAGGTCGTCGATGAGTCTACCCCCATGAGCAAAACGGCCCTGACAACAACCGCGAAGAACTGCGGGCATTGTGGAAAGCCGGGGCATGTTGTGGCCTAATATTGGAACAAGCGCCCGCGCCTTAAGCCGGGAGGAGCAGCAGCCAAGAGCGGCGGCAAGGGCAAAGGCAAAGGTAAGAAAGACGGGAGGAAGGCCTGAAGGCCTACGGGAGTTGTTTTCGATCGATGTCGGAAGTTTCGAAACAACTCTCAGCGAGGAGTTACAAAGAGGGGCGGCGCGTAAGGTGAGACTGAAAGTAACCACTGACAAAGAGGAGGAGGCAGGTTATTTCAGTGATTTACATAGGAGGCAAAGTAGTCCAAAGGACTACGGTCAAAGTTTTTGATTGACTCAGGCGCTACAGCGCACATAGCTACCTAACGACTCAAACTTGTGAAAGGACAAGCTAAGCGCAACAGCTAACATTACGCGCGCAGATGTGAAGAGATTAGAGAAGCTAGACACTTGCGAGGTGCAAGATGTGAAGCCCAAGAAACTGACCGCCGAAAGTTTCCGAAAGTTTCTGAAAGTTCAACGCATCGACCGACCTCTGACCAATCAAAAGGCTGAAGCGCGTGGCGCGATTCTTGCCGCGCGCCGCGGCTCTCTTTGTTGCTCTCTCGCTCTGTCAGTCTCTGCCCCCTGCCTGTCACACCGGGCCCATCTTCACTCAAAGCGCGAAGCCCGCTGCCCTTTCTTAGGTGTGTGCGCGCTGGCTCTTTTATTTGTCAGCCTCTCCTTCACTCTGTCAGCCTCCGCCCCTCTTCGCGCGGTGGGTCTTCGCCGTCTCTGTGCGAATGTGTGGGGGGCTACCTTACTGGCAAAAAATAACTAGCCAACGAGCCCCCATCGCTCGACACATGCACCGACGCCGTCGCGCTTCTTTTCTTATTTATTACATGATTGAAAGCAGGGAGGCGCGCTAAGTTCTATACATGCGCACACTTGCAGCACTGCCTAGATGCTGGGCTCATGCATGTGCCTAGAAACCCACGCAAGCGCGCCAGAGTCGACGCGTCTACTTCTACAGAGAAAGGCGCTGCAGCTTCCTTTTGTCAGCATCCATCGATCTTGCCAAAAAGAAAGCAAAAAAAAACGCAAAGAACAAGCCACCGCGTTTTTCTGTTTTTTTCCGTTTTTTTCCGTTCTCATATTTCGGCTCACTTTTCCAGCTTCTGTCTATTTCCGTTTCTTACTTTCCGCCTCCCTGTTTCCGTCTTCGTGGGTTTTTTCTGTTTCTTTCCGTCTTTTTCCGTTTTTTCTTGTTCCTTTCCGTTTCTTTCTGTCAAGAATTTGTTTCCGAAAAAAATTAACGGAGAAAGCCGGAAACTTTCGGAAGCTTTCGGAAACTTTCGGAAAGAAAGAGACGGCGAAAACAGAACGAAACGGAAATAGACGGAAAAAGACGGAAGCCTGACAGCCCCAAATATGAAAACAGAAAAAAACGGAAAAAAGCGGAAAAGGGCGGCGGCTTGTTTGTCTTTCGGAAACTTTCAGAGGGCTTGGCGTTTTTCGTTGAGATTTCGACAGGCGTGCCGCCTACTTGTATAACTGTTGGCCAAGATCGCAATCCTGGAACTAACACAAAGATCCACCAAGATCCTAGGGATGAAGATCAACGAAATGACCAAGATCGCCAGGCGAACAAGGTACCCGCCGGCACCACTTTCAGCGCGTTGGCCTTAGTTGGCGCGGGTGTCGAGGTCGACGGTTTTCCCCTTCTCTCTCTCGTTTGTTGTCTCAAGCATCCCAACACCGTCAAGGACAAAGCACCACAGGAAAGATCTCAAGGAAACCGACAGACCTAAACGCATGCAGTTCCGCAATCAATGAGCAACAGGCACAGGACCTCCAACGTATTCAGATAGCAGAAAAAATGAATGCCCATAGCTGTAATCAGGTTCGTAGCGTCTTGCCAGTTCTGATCAATGATGGGCATCGATGTAGGGCGATCGTATGCGATCAATGGCGATAGCATAGGCGTTCCCATATGAAGCGCGTGAAGCTTTCCCCATCATGGTACCCCAATGAAGAAGCTGAGACTTCCGCCCTGCAACCTAAATGAATACCCACAGGGATCAAACCAGCCAGAGGCCATCTGTCTCAGGTTGTGGGGCCAATTTGCATCAAGTTCAGCGCTTCTCACCGAGAAACTACACGTGACTAAACGGTCTGCGTTCGAGTGGTCCAGCACTAGCCTGACCCTTGAGCTTAGAATAGAGTAGAAATCCATCTAGAAACAGCTTCTCAAAATGTCCGGCGATGCGAAAAAAAATTTCGAAGAAACTCGGGCAGAAGTCTGACCGGCGAGAATGGCAGCGCGCCACACGTCAGGAAGCTAGCCGCCTCGGCTTGCTTCAAAACTGCACGAATGTAGTTGGCGTGCCGGCAGCTCCTCATGGTATTCCCAGCGGAGTTATCGCCCGGGAGGACGCAATCCGTCAAAAGTGGCGCAACCTGAAGGACGCGGTCGCCCGTAGTCTGAGAGGTGCCGCTGCGTCGTTCATAAACAACCAGAACGATAGCGGTCAGGTGGATGCGATGGATGCAGGTGGGGCTGTTGTGCTCCTGCGTGGTGTAGGGCACTCCGATCAAAACAACCGCCAGGAGCAACGAATCAAGGCAAAACTTCTCGCGGATGGTTTGCTGAAGTTCCACAACACGGAACAGCTTGCAGATGTCAAGGGATTCTTGTCGAAAGTCCGGGACATCGTGAACCAGTCGCCCACCGTGTACCCGCCGGAAGCAGGAGCGCGCCGCCAGAAAGTGACCAGCAGAGTGGTGCACTGCTGCAGAAGTTGCCCGAGCTGTTCTGCAAGAACTTCAAGGCAACGATCGAACGCATGCAGGAAGAGGATGGTCTGACATTTGACCAGATCGGTGACCGACTTGAGAAGCGTCTTGCGACGTTGATCGAGGAGGGAACCCACAAAGTTGAGAGCGATTCCTTCGGGAAGGCGTTCCCGGTCAATGTTCAGGAGACCTCGAATAAACGCCCTCGGGAGGAAGACAAGAGGATGGCGAGGAAGTGGCCAATGAAGGCGGCAAGATCTTTCTGTCTAAAAGTGCCCTCAAGCGCAGAGACAATGAATGCCCATAGCTGTAATCAGGTTCGTGACGTCTTGTCAGTTCTGATCAATGATGGGCATCGATGTAGGACGATCGTACGCGGTCCATGATGATAGCATAGGCGTTCCCATATCTATGAAGTGCGTGAGGCTTTCCCCGTCATGGTATCCCAATGAAGAAGCTGAGACTTCCTCCCTGCAGCCCCAACGAATATCCACAGGGATCAAACCAGCCAGGGGCCATTTGTCTCAGGTTGTGAGGCCAATTTGCATCAAGTTCGGCGCTTCTCAGATCTCTCGGCGTGTCGGCCTTGTCTTATGCCTGTGCGCGCGTGTCTATGTAATAGACACCGGCAGCACGCTACTAGCCACATGCAAAGAACTGCCCCCCAGCAGTAAGGTGGCAGGCGAGCCTGCTGGCCTTGCTGGGTTTAGTTCTTTAGTGCCATCAGATATATCTAGAAGCTAACGAGTAGGCGCGTGCGATAGTTTCAACCAATGACAGAGGAGAGGCGCCGACGCAACTGCGCACATATAAGATATAAGCGAACAGCCCGAGTCTTGAGCACGTGGGCCAGCTCGGTCAAGTATGTGCGCAGCTGTCGGCCACCTTGTTGCTGCTTGGTGTGTTTTTGAATATCTACGCACATGCGGGGGGGGACGTCCGTGGCATCTTGCGGGGCTGGCTCGCCTACGTATATTATAGCCAGGGCTATATCTGTCGAAGAACTGGCCGGGCTTTTGGCTTTGCCTTTTGTTCAGCAACAGGCGCAAGCATGTAAGTGCGCTAACAGTCAACCGGCTACCTAAGTTCTTGGGCATCTCACTGAAAAACGGGAAGAGGGGGCTCCGTCATAAGATAGCGCTTAGCTTGGCCTCTTGTCGGTCTCGTTCTAGAGCTTTGGGGGCGTTTTACTATAGCGCTGACGGCTGTGACGGTTCTCGCACTATGTGAAAGTGACGCTTCCGCTTTGTTCGTACAGCAAGAGGCTACGCCTGACTGAGGGCCTGCCGCTCTTTTTGAGCTGTGTGACTTTTATGATGTATTTCGTGCGCATCTGGCTGCAGATAGTAGCGAGCTGATTCACTTACAGCGTGGTGACTCATTACTCAGCCCCCATTGCTGGAAAACGTTAGAGGCCCAGACGGTAAATGTAACCACATCGAAAAGATCGCAGCACGTCGAGGGCGTGGGAGTATTCTGACTGGTAACGTGAAGGACCTCGCTCAGAAGTCGCGCCTTTTGTTGCCTGACAGTCAAGCGGGGCGATTAGCTGGCGACGCGATTCTCCGCAGAGGGGTTCGCTGCGCTCTCTTTCTATTCTCGTCTTAAGCTTACTATTGTTGAAGATAACGGCCAGCAACTCAGCTAAGGGGATAAGGTTACTAAATCGGCTGGCTGAATTATTAGCAAAATTGAGGCACAGCTCAAGGCCTGCTTATCTCTTTCTTCGAAGGGCGTAACTTGATGGATCAACTTGCAGGAGCGCTACGGCAGGAGCTGGGCGCATTGAATAAGGGAAAGGGGACCCATCTCGCGAGCCACTTACTTCGAGGCGAATCCTAGGCATCAAGACACTGGCGGGCGGTCTCTTAATGAGAGCGCCGCGCGCTATTTTTGTACCTTGTGGATTTCTTAAACACCCACGACGATAGGCCTGGACACGTGCGGGGGGGCACTGCGATGGCATCCCAAGAGGGACGACACTTAGCGCCCCAAAAGTACTGAAGTAGGGGCTGGCTCTTATACGAGAGAAGACGCGGATGGAACCCGCGGGAGCTGATTCAAGTGCTTCAGATTAGGCAGTGGCAGGGGTGTGGCATGGCGATGGCTGTCGCTGTGGTTTGGTAGCCGAGCCTGAGGGCGAGCGGGCGAGGGGAGTCGGGTCGTGGTGTGTTCTGTTATCTCCACGCCACTCGTCTCGGCTTGTTGCCTGAGCTAATCCCAATGGCTTCAGGTCAGCGCCAGCCCGAGCCCTGCCCAGGCGTCTGGGTCCCGTTCTCTTCTTTCTTGCTTCAGGTTCGGCGGGGCTCGAAGCCCAGCGCCGCTTCGCTTTCGTCTGAGCTGATCGGCATTCTCTTGATTTGTGTTCGCATCAGCTAGCGAGGCGGGAGCTAGCTGGGGCGCGCGGCTGGGCGTGGCTGGGCTTAGTAGCCAGAGCGAAGCAAGCACAAAGATAAGAGGCCAAATGGTGAAGCACTGGACTCAGAAGCGAACAAAAGACCACCGCCGTGGCGGTGCTTGGGTTTCGCAGTCTTTCGCTTGTTGGAGACCACCGCGTCGATGCGAAACATGGCCGCGAGATCTTCGCGAAAAGTTGCCCGGGTTGGTCTTCGTTGCCTCTGTCTTTTTGAGTATGGAAAAGGAGGCGGCGCGGCCTCGGGTGCTTTGTCTTTGTGTTGTGTTCCTCTGTTGTTGACAGCCCCGGCGCCAGTTGAGTGCGGACCGCCCGCACGTCATTGGCGTCGGCGCTGCTTGGAATACAGCCGCGGCACGCCTGTGCAAGCTCCTCGAGGTGTAGAGAACCCGGGCGGAGGACGGGGGAAACGCAGGCGGGGAAGCAGTGGCAAAGCGGGGCGGCGTTGGCCATCTTTCCGCGCTTGGGCGCCTGGGTTGGCGCTTCGTTTTTTTCTCTATATGAAAAAAAAAAATCTTCGCGAAAAGTTTGCGAAATCTTTCAAAAGAATCTTTGCGGAATCTTTCCGAAAAGATAAGCGCACGAAGTTCCAACATTGTCAAAACTTGTAAACTTTCCGCAAACATTCCGCGAAGATTTTGAAGCTTTCGTCTTCCATGTTTTTTTGGTGAAGACATGGAAATAAGTCGCCGAGAACAAACTCGCAACAGCTTGCAACGAAACCGCATGGGGCTCCGCGCTTGTCGTCTGTGGTTTTTGTGGTTTCTCTGTTCTTCTCTCCAGGCTTGGGAGGCCTCTGGCGTTGTGCATTCGTTTGAGAATTTGGCGCGAGGCTGCGCCGCGGACTGGTTCGCCGGCTTGTGATGCTCTCGGCGCAGTGGTTGGCCTGTCCGTGTGTGGGTTGTGTCGGTTTCGTTTTCGGAGCTCCTTTGGGCTTCGTTTTAATGAGACAAGGACAAGGGCCGCGCGCGTGAGCCTCGGCAACTTTTCGCCAAGATTTTCCGCCACCGGTGATTGTCGGGCGCGGTGGTCTCCAACGCTTGGAAGAATGTCCCCAGATTTTGGGCGTTTTCACTCATGTCCCCGCATTTGCATAAAAGCGAGACACTTGCTGCCACGCAGTCGCGTTTTTTTTTTTTCTGCGTGGTCAGTCGTCCAGAAATGCCGCCAAGAAAGTTTTCCCCACTCTCAAAAGCTGAGCTTGTTAACAACAAAGGTGGGCTTGAACGTGTGCCATGAGTTTCGTCTGAGTTAGGGCACGAGTTAAAGCGCAAAGCGCAACCGCTGGGGGGGGCTCTAACATGATCACACAGGTGAACATCCTAGAGCAGGATCGAAAGGCTTTTGGGGCGTCTTTCTTCTGCGTAGTCACATTCCAGGTTTCTTCGGCTCTGGGCTTGCTCCGCACGAAGTCACTGCTAGGCTTGGCCGATGGTTAAGCTAACTGGTAGCGCAGTCCGTCTCCACGGTTTAGGTCCTCTGTGTCTAGTTTGGTTTTACTCTCGTAGCGGTCAACTTTTGCCAATGCGTCACGACTCGACTGCTCCGCGTATCTAATCTTTTTGCTCATATGACATCTTGCGTTGGCGTCAGTTTGTTTCTCAAGTGCTGACGTGTCTCCCTAAGTCTAGAAGTGTAGGCTTGACGATTAGGAGCGTAGTAGGTCGATTTTTGCTATTTGTTGGTCATGTATGGCCCAAGCCTCTCGGATGCCGTGTTGTTCTGTTCTCAGTGGCTCACGCTAAGCCTCGCGCTCGACTGTCATCGGGATGATCTCGAAGGGCACGAATGTCAATGATCATGGATGCTACTTCCAATGCTCAATCATAGTGATCAATGGATAGACTGGGTATGGCTATCCTGATCCTAGTCGTATGATGCATGTTCAGTCCGATCCCTTCTGACGTGCTTACGTTGATGATGAGTCGTGGCCCATCTTACCCAATGAACCAAACAGGGACTACACCAGCCAGTGACCATAAGTCGCCGGCAGGTATACGGGGACTTGCTTGCGTTCAAGATTCAGACTTTGCGTTTCCACTGACTGAGATACGAACTTGGCTCGGAGGCCTGTGCTCTTCCTTGTGGTCCAACACTGGCCTAACCCTTGAGCGGCAAAAGTGAATAGATAACTGGAAGTACAGCAGTGAAGTAAGTAAATCCATCAAAATGCCCTGCGACGCGAAGGAGATCATCAAGAAGCTAGGACAGAAATCCGACTGGCGTGAGTGCTGTACGTCAAGAAGCTAGTCGCCTAGGTTTACTCGAAAACTACACGAATGCAGTCAACGCGCCGGCCGCTCCGCATGGTGTGCCGCAAGGTAATACTTACCAGTCGCGAAGACGCGACCCGCCAGAAGTGGCGCAACCTGAAAGATGCAATCACTCGCAGTCTGAAAGGTGCGGCCAGGTCGTTCGTCGACAATTGAATCGGAACAACGATGGCGCGGTGGACGAAGTGGATGCTGGTGAAGTTGTTGTCTTCCTTCGTGACCAACAAGGGAACTTCAACGCGAACAATCGCCAGGAGCAGCGCATGAAGGTCAAGCCGTTGTCGGAGGGACTGACGAAGTTCCACAACAGCGACCAGCCTGCTGATGTCAAGGAGTTCCTGCCAGAGGTCCGTGACATCATGAACCAGTCGCCCGCCGTCTTTCCGCCGGGTGCAGATCTGCCCGAAGCTGATCAACAGAGCGGGGCGATCCTGCAGAAGTTGCCCGAGTTGTTTTGCAAGAGCTTCAGGGCGACGATCGAGCGGATGCACGAAGGAGATGGTCTGACATTTGACCAAGTTGGGGACTGACTTGAGAAACGTCTCACGACGTTGATCGAGGAGGGAACCTACAAAATTGAGATCGATTCTTTCGGGAAAGCGTTTCCGGTCAATGTTCAGGAAACCTCGAACAAGCGTCCTCGTGATGATAAGAATGAGGATGGTGACGAGGTAGAGGCCAATAAGGCAGATGGTAAGGCTTTCGCTTCTGCTAACGCCCTCAAGCGTTTCAAGCAGAAAGAAAAGGAAAAGGCAGTCGCCGAGGTCTACAACTCTTACGGGTACCAACCCAAAGGAGGGAAGAACGGCGGAGAAAAGCCGAAGAAAGATAAAGGAAAAGGAAGTAAAAACACCTATCCACCCCGCTGCTATTGCTGCAACAAGGTTGGACGCAAGTCCTCCGAGTGCTGGCATAACACGCAGGCCCTTCAACAGGGACAGGGAAGCTGGACTACCGGAGCCCAGAGGCAAAAGCTGGAAAGGGTAACCAAACTGGAATGGTGCACATGTCGCAGATTGCGGAGCTGTTCAGCGTCATGAACTCGCACAAGCAAGGCTGAGCGACGGAACCGCACGAAGCTGGGAAGTGTTCGCTGAATTTCGAGGAGGATGAAATCACGACAGATGTTGATAATCATGATGATAGCTACAACGGATGCAGACGGTTATAGTTTTACAACCTTGAACACTAGAACATCAGAAGACGCAGCTCTAGTCTTTCATGACACAGAGGCGATTTCGATGAAATTGGCAACAACATTGGTAGAATAACTGGAAGCGCAGGCACCAAAGACGGGAGGATAGGAAAACTCAAGAGCAACGTGCTTGGATTAAAGAATGGAGCTAAGTTTATTATGAGTCAGGTCTTGGGAATATAGATCGCGCACTGCCATGGTTAGGAGACGGAAACTGCTCGCAATTAGGGTGGGGATTCAACTTTAAAGGCGCCGGCGGTTGTATCGTGCACACGGACACCGGCCAGATGCTACCCACCAGAGCCCACCCACGCTTGCAGCTACCCGCGCTTACATGTGCTGTAGTTTCTTTGGAGACAGAATTGAAAATGGTTTGATTTGTACATCCATCGAAGAAGGTGCCTCCAGTTGCTATCTTACGAGATTAGAACTACACAGAAGACGCGGATACTTTCACGTAGACGGTTTACAAGTTAGCTGCCTTGGATGCGACCTACATAAAGGACAACGAAAAACCCATGCAAAATCTAGAGACGTGACCACCTACAAACCCGAAGCGAACCCCTCAAACTACTAGCAATAGACTTTGCTGCAGGGATAGAACTTATTTCAGTTAGATCTATGGGATGCGTTCTAGTCGTCATATGTGACGTAGTTAGGAAGGCGCTTTGTGTTGTCGACCGCTCAAGCTGAAGAGTGTGTGACTGTGTGGAGGAAATAGAACAAGTCATAAAAGGCATCCGCCAGGACTACCCCTTATCGCTAGATGACAAGGTAGCGTGGTTCATCTGGAGGGATGGCGAGCCAGTCCTCGGCAGTGATGACATGACCAAGCTCATGCAATCGCTGCGGGTCTCAGACAGTCCGGCTGCTCCATATAGTCCGGGAATGAGTGGGGCCGTCGAAAGTTTTATGCGGACCTTGTTCGGCAGTGTGAGAACAATGCTAACGAAGGTCGGCCGACGTCTCTGGTGTTACCCTTACTGTGTAGAGTACGCTAGTGACTGCTGGGACCGTCTTCCGCATAATTACGCGAAAACGCCAGAACGCGACGACAGGAGTCCAGTAGAGACTCTGGAAGAAAGAACTGGTAGAAATGCCCCCAAAAGCAAAATCGGCATGCTCCGCCGATTTGGTTGCCTTGTTTACTTTCGTGAACGGCAACAGGGGTTCACGAAAGTAAGGGGGGTTCTTGTTTACTTTCGTGAGGCTGGGCCAGCAATCGGGGTTCTCTGGCACGGGGCGCGCCTCAGGTGGCCCGACCGGTGTCGCCGAAGAACTGTATGCTGACACATTAGACAAGGAAGAATCTGGTGTGGCTGACTCTCTTAAAGGTGTTTCACTTGAGGAGGGGAAAGCTGAGACGAAGGATGGAATCTCTGACCCGCCTCGTCCGATTAGATCGAAGCCGCTATCTCCCGCGCGTGTTGTGGCAGGAGGCGAACGCCATACACAGACACGGCAAGAAGCGTGGCCGACCGAAAGGAGCCAAGGATAAGGCTGGAGGCAGGATTCGTAGAACAAAGAAACAAATGGAAGAACTGAGAAAGAGGCTGGCGCTGTTCGCGAGTGCTCTTGGTGGCACGTGTGAGATAGACGAAGATGAGGAAGTCGTCGAGTCGCATGTGATATTGTCCGTAGCTAATGCGTTGGAGAGTCCTGAAGCTGAAAAGTGGAAGGATGTCGTAGACATTGAGCGCGCGAGACTAATAGCCTTTAAAACGTGGGAAGAACAGAAGCTACTGACGAGCAGCTATCGACCGCGTTGCAGGCTCTACCAATTGCAACCATACTGACAAAGAAGAGACGTGGAAAATACAAGGCAAGAGCCTGCGCACTCGGTAATTTAGATCGTTCGGGAGAGCTAAACGCCTTTGCTCCCGTTGTGTCGCATGCTGCTAGGAGGTTGCTCCTCATTTCTGCTGCGTCAGAGGGGGACTATGTGACCCCGTTCGATTTAGATTCAGCGTTCCTAAATCAATGCTGAACTCGATCGAGATGTCTACTGCCGTCTTCCACCCATCTGGGCGAAGCAGCATGGGCGTGAGATCGTGAAGCTCAAGAAAGCTCTATACGGCTTGAAGGATGCACCACGGGCATGGTTCAAGAAGTATTGGAGCCCGGGGCCGCTGGTAGTTACCACTTTCGAAAAATTCCGCAAAAATTTGAAAACCCAAGACCCAAGCCCAGCCGAATGCACAACCAACCACCCCAGAAGGCTCACACACCTAGAGGCACCCAGAGACGGAGACAATGCCGAAACGGCGAACCCCTGAGCAATCCACGACCCGAACACAAGCCGAGCGCCTGCCTCAGAGCCTGCAATCAATCAGCTAGCCCTTGCCCCCCAGCCACCTTCCAGAGCCCCCCGGGGAGAAAGACAAAAGGGCCCACACCTCGAGACCACCGCGCCCCCCCTCACTCCCGTCCACCCCTGTGGACCCAGGAATGAAAATAATTTCCGAAGAAATTACTTTCATACCCAAAATAAATTATTTCTAGAAAATTTCTAGAAAATTCCTAGAAAATTCTAGAATAATTTATTTTTTGCCATCTTATGCGGCTATATTATTCCAAAATAATTTATTTTGCTAAAAAAGGGCCCACCGAGGTGCCCACGAAGGCACCCCGCAGACCCCTGCGTGGCCCCTTGGGTAAGAATCGGGCACCCGAGCCCCCAGGAGGCCAGAAAGCTAAGCAGCGACACCGCCAAGCCCTAAACCTGTCGCCCCGACTGCCCTTAACCCACCGAACCCCCAGCGCACCTCTCTGCCACCGAGCTCGACCACCAGCACCCCGCTCCGATCCAAAGGCCCACCCCAACCCCCTGCGGCCTCCGATCATCCCAGCAGACAACTACGCCACCAAGCAGGCCCCTGAGCTCCTGCAGAAATACCCGCCCAAACCTGCCGAAGAGATACCCACACAAGCAACCCACAACGCCAAGCGATTGGAAATTTTTTGGGAATGTTTTTAAATAATAACTCCTCGATGCTCAGGGCTCCAAGAAGTACCGCGAGACTCTGGCCAGTCTTGGTTGGGGGCCGTGTACTTCTGCGCCTGGATTGTGGCGCAAGCCGAGCAGCAAAGCACCAGGGAAGTTTCTAAAGATGTCAGTCTACGTAGATGACAATCTTGCTACAGGTCCTGACCAAGATGAGCCCAGGACCGAACTAGGCCTCATTTTCTCACGTGCTCCAGGCCGTGCGATTGATGTCGAGTCAGTTCTGACCCCGTGGGGTCGCGAATGGCTAAAGTTCGACTTCTTAGATGCGATCGTGTACTATGGCCGTGAAGCTAAGGCGTTCCGACTATGCGTGGAGCAGTACATCGATAAAATTGCTGAGAAGTATAAAACTCAACCAGGGAAACCGGTCCACTCGCCCAATTTTGACGAAACAACTTTTCTGGAAGACCGGATCAAGATAGTTGACTGGTATCCCTTTCGTGAGGTAGTTGGTGCCTTATTATGGGTAGCTGTAACCGCGCGCCCGGGCATCTACTCTGTACCGGTAGCGGCGCTGGCTAGACATGTCAGTAAACCCACGCCCACAAGAATGGCCAAAGCAGCCACGAAAGTGCTGAAATATCTGGTGACAGCAAAAGACCAAGGAGTAGAATACTCGCCAGAAAAGGGAGAAGAATTCAACAAGATACATGAGAAACTTCTACCAGAAGGCAGAGACATGCCAGAAGTGAACATATTCAGTGGTGCTGGTTTCGCCAATTGCTGACGATCAAGACAATGAGAAGCGCAAGTGGATCCATGATGTACTACAAAGGTACACCAATAGCGTGGAGGAGTAACAGACAAACCGTCAGAGCCTGCTCAACGGCCGAAAGTGAGTATATTGCAGCCTCTGACACAATAGCGCTCAGCGAGATGCATGACTTTGCGGACTTCTATAGGCCTCTTCCAACTCAGTTGGTACACACACAAAGCGGCTTGCCACCCTCCTTAGACAATGCTGCATTGTGGATAGGCAACCAGTCTGCAATCACAACAGCCAAAGCAACAGACACTCGCTCTAAAAGTAGACACTACGCTCTACGTTACTTAAGAGCGCGTGACGCTGCTTGCTAGTAAGATCGTGCTCTGTCCTACCAACTTGATGAAGGCAGGCCCACCTTCGAAAAAAACCTGCAGCGCCACTCAGCGTAGACTTATGCTACACCACGTAGATAACATAATAACTAAGAGTAGAGACGATAACTGTGACCCCTCTGATGATGAAACAGATTGGGACGGTTTAGCTTACTATAGCGTAGTATATTCGGTTTATTTTGGTTTCTAGCATACAGTAGCCAAGACGCTAAGAGATATGATTGCCGTGAGCGTGACATGGTACACAGTGAGCTGAGGCTGTCACGTGAGACAGACTTCGACCCGCATCGATTGAGGAGGGGCGTTGGTCATGTATGGCCCAAGCCTCTCGGATGCCGTGTTGTTCTGTTCTCAGTGGCTCACGCTAAGCCTCGCGCTCGACTGTCATCGGGATGATCTCAAAGGACACGAATGTCAATGATCATGAATGCTACTCCCCATGCTCAATCATAGTGGTCAATGGATAGACTGGGTATGGTTATCCTGATCCTAGTCGTATGATGCGTGTTCAGTCTGGTCCCTTCTGGCGTGCTTATGTTGATGATGAATGGCCCATCTTACCCAATGAACCAAACAGGGACTACGCCAGCCAGTGACCATAAGTCACAGGCAGGCGCGCTGAGGCTTGCTTGCGTTCAAGATTCAGACTTTGTGTCTCCACTGAGATACGGACAGACTTGGCTCGGAGGCCTGTGCTCTTGTGGTCCAACGCTATTAAGTGACGCGCTTTGTTTTATGTTTTATCTTTCAAGTTTTCACTTATTCGGTTGTCGATGTGATGCCCTATGATGGTTTCAGATTGTGTCTGTCTGCGATGTTTCAACTTCGGAAGTCTATGCGTGCTCCTTTCGGATGGGGTTGGGGTTTCTCTCGTTATCAGGACGCTTCAGCCTACGCCAAGTCGCTCTCGCTTGGAACAAGTGACAGGAAGCCTCTACCTTTCAGATCTCTGCGCGATCTCTTTCTCTCCCTGATGAGGTTGGTTCGCTTAGTCTTAAGGCTGTCGTAAGAGTTATGTCCACTGAGTTTTTTAATGTTGTTGCAATAACTTGAAGGATTTGAGCGGTCGCCTGAGGTCGATAGGGTTAGCTGGGTTTGACTTTGTCGGGCCCAGTTTTGGTTTCGGGGGCAGTCTTTCTTGTCATTTCCTTTCATCTGCGAGAAATAAGATTTTTCAGATTTTTCTCGGGTTGGAAAAGAGACCTTACCTCTCGAGAAAAAAGCTAAAGAAACGGCTAAAAAACGGCTAAAGTTTTTAGTCTTTTTCCCGTGTGATCTCGCTTAGAAGTCGCCCGCTTTTGCTTTTGGGGTCGGTTTTTTTAGAGCGCGCCCGCTGAGGTTCTTTGGAAAGATGTGCCGCCGACTTTTTTAACCGTTCGTTCCCAAAGTTGGCGACTTTTTAGCCGTCATCAGGGTCAGCCTCAGCCATTTCCTTTGTTTGCGGATTTGTCGCCTTGATTGGTGGCCGTTTTCTGGTTTTTTAACTGGTTCCCGCGCGGTCTTGGGAAGCTTGCCTTCGGGCAGCGCAGCCGTGACGCCGATGGCTGGGTCGCATCTGACGCACCTGTCGCATTCCCTTGGCAGGCCTCGAGTTGTGGCGTGGTGCTCGTGCAAGCGGCGCGGGGTTGGCTGGGTGGTGCGCGTGTGGACGTTGAGGCCCCGCATCGTGCAGCGCTTGCCTGGGGTGGGGTTGGGCGTCCACGTCTTGGAGACCGCCGCGACGATGTGAAAGACGTGCGCGAAATCTTTGCGAAAAGTTGCCGGGGCTGGTCTTCGTTGTCTCTTTGCTTGAAAGGCCAAACCAGGCGCCGAAGCGCCTGGCGCTGCTTTTCGTTTGTTCTGTGTTTCGTCGTTGGTGGCAGCCCCGGCGCTGGTTCGTTGTGGACCGCTCGCATGCCGCTGGCATCGGCGCCGCCCCGGGTGCAGCCGTGGCGCGGTTGTGTGAGCCCCCTGAAGCGTCGGACACCGGGGCGGAGGACAGGGGAAACGCAGGCGGGGGAGCAGTGTCGCCATAAGCTGGCGGCGGCCATCTTTCCCCGCTTGAACACCTCCAGCGGCTTCCTATCTCTTCTGTCACTTTAGAAAAAAAAAATCTTGGCGAAAAGTTCGCGAAAAAAATCTTTGAAAAATCTTCGCGGAATCTTTCCGAAAAGATAAGCGCATGAAGTTCCAACATGGTCAAGACTTTTAAACTTTCCGCAAACATTTCGCGAAGATTCTGAAGCTTTCGCCTTCCGTGTTTTCTTGGTGAAGACATGAAAACGAACCGCCAAGAACAAGCTCGCGACAATGTGCAGCGGGAGCGCATAAGACTCCGCGCCTTCTGTGACTGCTTTGTGTGGTCTTTCATTCTGTTTCTCTCTCCAAAGCTGTGTAGCCTTTTAGGCTGTGCATTTGTTTGGAAATTTGTCGGGCGGCTGCGTCGTAGGCTGGCTCGTTGGCTTGTGGTGCTCTCAGTGCAGTGACTGGGCTGGCCGTGTGTTGGTTCTGTCGGCTCTGCTTTCAGAGGCTTAGCAGACGCCGCGTGAATTGGGCAGGTGTGAAACAAGCGGCGCGCGTGAGCCCCGGCAACTTTTTGCCAAGATTGTCCGCCGTCGGCAGTCTTCGGGCGCGGCGGTCTCCAGCACGTCAGTCAGGTTGCGTGGACTGGGTCGCGTGGTTCGGGAGTGGGTGCCGGGGTCACGGTTCGCTGGCTCCTCGAAGTGTGGCCTCAACGTCTGCGCCGGTGAGCCTCGCGGGCTGGTGTGGTGTCGGCTCTTTGTGTCGGGCCTTTTCTTGAGGTGTCTGCCTCGAAGTGTGTGGGGCTGCTTGCTGGAGGCCGGCCCAGGTGCATGCGCTAGACTCGCGGGCGCCTGTTATAGCATTGTGGTGGCACGGGTTCGCCTTGTGAGGTCTTTCGGGGGTCTCTTATGTCGGCTCGGTTGTTGCCCCCCGGCAGCCAGATCAGCTGGCGCGGGTGTGTTGTGGTGTCTGTCGGTCGGGATTCTCTCAAAGCTTGAAACTTTTAGCCAAATTTAGGCCGGGCTTGTCTGGCTATAGGCTTGGGCCTCACCTTCTGGGCCGCGTCTTAGTCAAGTCGCTGCCAGCTTCGTGGGCTTCGCTAATACTCTCACGCCGTCCCACATGCGCGGCGCCACGGTCTTCGGCGCGTCACCCCGTCACGCAGGCGCACGCTCATGCGTCGCTTGAAAATGAATGCTCCAGCGTGCGTCACGCTCTTGGCCTCAGGTGGGTGCGAGCGTACGGCTGTCATAGGGTTGGTTCCTTCACATGCGGGGGGTGAGGATCCCCGGAGGGACCCTTTTTGGAGGTGTCTGCCGGGGGTGGGACACTTCTAAAGGCGTCCATGGGGGCTTCCTCTGCTTCCTTCCAGCTGCCTGCGTGTACCCTCAAGGCCTTCTATCAGCGTGCCTGGCTTGGAAGGTAGGCCTCTGAAGGTGGCAAAAGGCGAAAGGTTGGACCCCCGGGGCTGTGCGGCTTGTGCCTTCTCGGCCCTTGGTCATGGGTTTGCTGGCTCTTGCCACGCATTTGATGAGGGCCGGCAACTCAGCAAAAGGGGCCAGGCTTTGGGATTGTGGCTGCCTTCGGCGGCTTTCTACCCCGGAGGCCTCCGGCTTGCGGGGTGCGTCAAAACTTGGCGCGGGCGTCCCCTTGCGCCTCTCTGCATGTTCCCAGCCTGCTCCTGGCGGGCCTCTGCTGACCCTTGCGGGCTTGGCTTGGGGGGCCTGCGTCTGGGGTAGAGGGCTGCTGAAGGCGGCCGCCGCGGTCTCTTGAAGCAGGTTGATGACCAAGGGCCCGGAGGGTACAGACCACACAGCTGCTAAGGGGGTCTGTCCTTGCGTCTTTTGCCGCCTTCGGGGGCCTTCGCTCCACTCTTGGCGCACTGCTGCGGCTGTGAAGCACGTCGGCAGCTTGTGGGGCACACGCAGGCAGTTACCCGGACGAAGGCAGCGGAGGGGGCTCCCTGGACCCCTTGCGGAGTGGGACACCTTTGGAAGCCTGCCACCCCCAGCGCATGCCTTCCAAAGGGGTCTCTCTGGGGGTCAGGCTACGCCCTCCCCTACGCTAGGGGGGGGCGCTACCCTGCACCCTGGAACGTTTCCAGTTGTTGTGAGTATTCTTGTTGGGCGTATTCTTTTAGGAGCAGATATTACTATTGTTGAAATAAATTTTGAACCAAATAAAACATTGGAGGTAACTAACTAACACACCTGCAGCTATCTTTAGCTGAGATCTCTTGCTTCGTCACTAATTAATATCCAGGTCAGCGCAGAGGAGAAGCACAAGCGGCACGGCTGCCAGAAAGTGTTTTTCTCAGAGGGCTTCAACGATGAAAGGCGAAAACAAATAGCAGCAGCCTTGCTTAGGCAAGTAGAATTATGGCCAGATACAGACTCTATTCTCTTTATCTTCGAGTTCAAGTACTAGAGCATCTCGGGACACGCCGTGTCCAGTAGACAGTAACACAGTGAAGGGTTGCATCGGTCCAGAATATTGGACCGCCACGGCGGAAATGAGTGAAAATCTTCTAAAAAAAAATAGAGGGGGCTGCGAGGTCAGCCCAGCGGTAGAAAGTTGTGCGAGCGGGAAGGACTGCAAAGGGCGGATCACGTTCATCAACCTGCCCGATGCCGTCCAGGCAGCAGGCGCCGCGTTTGAACGCTCAAATTGGTTTAATTTTCGGGTTCTCCACAGCATAGGCATGAGTGACCAGGTGGGAGAATTCGCTGAGTGGGGCATGGGAGATCTGACGACAAACATCAAAAAATACGACAAGGATAAATCCGGCAGTATATGTCCTGACGAGGCAGGTGATGCGGTGTTGGAAGGCGGCTTGAGTGCGGCTGTAGATAGCTTGAGCGAAGTGTTCGGCGGCGCTTCCCGCGGAATGACGAAAAAAATGGTGCAAACGTTCAGCGAGCTTCTGTCTAAATGGAAGGCTCTGGGGGACGTCCGCTTGGAGGAGTTTTTCCGGCAGGAGAATGTTACGCATTGGGTTTTTTAGTCGATGCACACACGTAAAGGTCCATGATCCTTGCCGCAACTTGGTTGAGAGACTGCGGCACACATGAAAAACATGCAAAGGCCTAAGGCAGTGGCCCTCTTTGGCGTGTCGCATTCATTGGAAAGCCCTTGGCCTGGTGAGAAACTTGGCTGAGGCTTCTCAGAGACCGCAAGGATGGCACTGCTTTAGTGCTTAGGTTTAGCTTTTACGGTTTGCCTTCGGGTGACTTCTAACGCTTGAAGTTTATACAACAAAGTCAGCCACTCTTAGAGTAGAGCCCCACTAGTAATCTGGATTCAAGTCCTTTCGTGTTCTTTTCCTCCCTCGGAATTCATTTCAAGGAGGAACGCGGAGAAGCGCCCCCGCAGCGCTTTCGGCAGCAACAGTCTCGTGGAGGACGATGCGTCTCCGTGCATTAGTCTCAAACATCTTGGCTCGCCATCATCAGAATCTGCTTCGCAGACGTCGGCGGCTCAGGACCAGGATAGTACCACGGGGCCAGAAGGTGGCCAAAGTGGTGGTCAGGGGGGGCAAGTACATCAACAACATCAAGAACATCAAGAACATCAAGAACATCAAGAACATCAAGAACATCAAGAACATCAAGGACATGATCATCAAGTAGAACTTGGAGGTGCTCCTGTCGATGGGGCCACAGGAGATGAAGATGGAGAGCTAGGAGACGGAGTTGAAGGCAAAAATGTTGATGAACATGGGCATGGGCCCGCAGCTGCGGGAGACGGTCATGATCTCGAAAAGGCAGGTGAAGGTACAGCAGCGGCTGGGCAGAGTTCACAAACGGTTAATCCACTCGACGTGATCTCTCAACAAATTGCGGGCCTTCGGCTCCGGAAGTACCTCCGCAATCTGCTCCAAGGTGTACTTTCCGACGGCACGACGATGATCCAGAGCGTAGTAAGTGAGGAGATCCCCAGTACCAAGATGAACATGAACAGGAAATTCGACCCAAAAAAGATGTTCGGTGTATCGCATGAAATAAGTCAGCAGGCGGCGGCAAATTCGGGTGATCGTGGTGCTGAGGATTCTGAGATTTTTGATGATGGGCGTCATTCTATGGAACCTCTCTGATCATTCATCAATTCTTTCATTGCAGACGCAGAGAATAGGAAAGGACCGAATCGGCAGCCGTATGCGTACGTGCTCCCGTTGTAATCAGATTGGTTGTGGTACCGGTCCACGAGGACGACACTGCGACCACAATGAACAAGCTAGGCACGTAAAACAAGCTTGAGAAGCTCGACCCAAGCTCGTTCAAGAAATATGTAGCGTTGAATTATAACCATAACGGAAGATCGAATTGCAATTGCTGAAGAGCTCATCTCCCTCTGGGTAGCTTACTGTACACTTGTTTCTAAAACAGAAAATTGACGACGAATGAGACTACAGGTGCAGCGTGATAATTCTCCAACTCATCATATTGAAATCATCCGACAGCGTGATAATTCTCCACCTCATCAGACAGCTTTTTTTCCAATACTATAGCAGAGTAGCTTATAGCACGCGTGGTGCATGGTGGAGTAGCATGGGGTGCATGGAGTGCATGGAACACCTGCAGCCTGCCCACGCATGGAGTGCATCGCAAGCGTGTAACGGTCGGGCACGCGTGGAGCATGCTCCGCCGAAGCTGGGTCTGCTAGGCTAGACGCCCCGAAGGGGGCGCTTGGTGACGTGTCGGGGGGTGACGTTACCGCTGAAGCAGGTTTGTGGGGGGCCCTGGGCTAAGGGAGCCAGCTTGCGAGCGAGTGGGCGGGGAGTTGTAGCCCCAACCATGGGCAATTAGTGCGTCGAGGGGTGCAGCCGGCGACGCTGAGGCTGATGCCTCGTCCGCCTTAAGGGCCCCCGCCCGCGAATGAGTGGCCTGGAAGTCTTCGCCGTTAGCGTTGGTTGATAGGCCAGACGCACGGACGGGGAGCACTGTCTGGGAAGGACGTAGCGCGCCCACGGGTCGCGACGCCGCTGGCGGCGCTGCAGCTGCTTGGCTGCGTGGGCGGCTTGAGGGCACCGGGCCTGAGCCGCGAGTGAGCGCGTCGGCCCGGGGGCTCTGCGTAGCAGTCGGCACTGGGGTTGGCGGGTTAGACGTCTAAGGTGCCTCCCTCGAATACTGAGATGGAGGCGTGTATACTCTCACGAAAAGCAAAACTTTCACGCAAAATTTTTGCGCATGGAGTACATGGAGTACCCGCCCCATGCTACTCCATGTGTTCCACGCACTCCATGCCAGGCGCCTGGAGGAGCCTTGTTATAAACTGCTCTGCTATATTATAATAAGGAAAAACAAAACCAAAGAAGGAGCACAAGAGACAGCGGAGGGACAGGCTTCGGTGTGTGGAAAGCTTTAAGCGAACTCGCATACTGATTTGAGAGCTTTGGAGCTGCACGTAGACTCCCCCTTTGGTCGTGCAACTACTTTTTGTCTGAGTGAATCAATACGGGGAATCCATTTATATTCTGTCAAAGCGAGAGGGAGAGCATATTGACCTTTGATCATCAGGCGATCAGCATGATCCTGGTAAATGCTATCTGTGGATGGTATGTTGTATGGAGAGTTGTATGGAAGGTGTTGGTGGTGATCTGCCTCATCAAGTGAAGGGTACTCTACTCCTATCTCCTATCACTATCTTCTAGTCATCATCAACATATGAAAATTCTGTCTGTGCTTGAGTGATGTCTTTTATTTCGGTAGATGTGAGTGCTGCTGGTGCTGGCTGCACCAAGAAAATAAAGATGTTGAGTTGTGATCGTCGAAGTATTAAGTTGCACCCCTCCTGTGCCTGTTTGCCCAGCTCTCTTATTCTGGTCATGCATTGGCAAGCTTCTACGAAGTTGTAGTATTTCTTTGCTTCGGCTTTTGCTGTTTGTTCTCACGATTGACTTCTCATTACCCAAGAGGTTTTTCGAGCTCATAAAGATTCATAAATCCTTACCTCGCTATTCCACAAAAGTAGTCTATCCCACCTCGCTACTGCTCCCTCCCGACTACGTATTCCCCAAGTAATAACAGCGGGCAATACCTCGTATCCGCCTTCAAGATAATTATTTGCTTATCATTTCGTTCCGCTTTGAAAACTTGAAGCATAGTCTTGAAAAATGGCGGCCTTTACGCATGACGAGCTATATCAGTGGTATACCAGCGATGAAGATGTCAAGCATGAAGTGAGCGACATGGTGGAAGACTACAGTACGACGGCATCGAGCGGCGAAGAGCAAGAGGAGAGCCAGCCCCGCAAGAAGTTCCCACCCCCGCAGGTGTTCAGCCAGGAGTGGACGAGGCGGCGCCGCTGGTGGAGATTTTTGACATCACGGAGGGCGTTGAGAAGGAGGACGCGGACGGACCAGCGGCGCCGCCGGCTTGGGCCTGGCCTGGGGACTTGTTCATGGCTTTCTTGATCGTGTTCATCGTTTCGCTGGCGCTCCTCAAGGGCGAGCGATGCCACCCCAGCACTGCCCTAGCTGTGCCAATGGAGCGCGGGCCTTTTTTCAGCCTACGCTGAAGCACCCCAGAAATAATAACAAACTACATCGGCCGCGCTCGCCCACATATCGACAAAGTGCAGCCAAGCTGAGCGCGACAGGCATCAAACTACAACTACTCGGTAACCAACGCCAAACAAGATAATACGTACCTAGCATGAAAGGTCTAAGTCAGTCGTGTGAGTAAATAAGTCTAAGCCAAGGCTGGCAAAGTAAAAAAGGGCTAAGCAAGGAAAACGAACGAAGTGGAACCGTCCGCGACAAGTCAAACGAGGCTGCAAGTGATAATCAGTCTCCTTAGTTTAGCCAAGAATGTTTGTCCCTCCATCTTCCAAAGCAATAGTTATCAGTCTCAATACCAAGCAGACATGGTGATGTGGCTTGTTAAATGAAAGAGGTAGTAGAAGAACTAGAATCTGAAAGAGGTTTTTAGTCCTCTTCATACTAAATGGTAGAGATGATCTGGAAGTACTGCTGTCAAGACAGCAGGTACTTGGATTGCGATAAGCATGGCGGTCTGTAGTAGTCTAGCATCAGACCAGCCGAAGATCAACCATTATAGTTCATTTGTACTTGTTCCTGGACACAACTTCTACTACAACTTCCACGAACACTTACTTTCTCATTCTCGGGTTTGGTTTTGGCTTGTAGATAAAGATTATAGAACTCTTATTTGATTCAAAATTTCGGAACGCTAAGTGTACTGGTACCGCTTCATACGATTATACGATCTACTTTTTTTATTCTTGTGACGAGGGTACTAACTAACGAAATCTACGTCTAACTTTCGCTGAACAACACACCTGGTGGCGCTGTGTATGATGGAAAGACGACTTTGCTAGTTGATCTAGACCATTTAGATTCGAGCGGAGATCAAGAGGGTCACGATGACCCTGCAGTTGGTGTCGTTGGAGAAGTTAGAAGTGGAATATCAAGCGGTGCAGATGGTGTCAAAAATGTGGAAAAGAATGAGGAGAAGGCGCGCTCATCTTCTTCATCCAGGAAATTTCTTCCTCCATCAGAGCTCGTTTCCACAGAAGGGTACATCAATGAGAACCAGAAACGTTCAGCGTTCTTGAATGATCATCTGACAGTGGGGAATCGGGTCTTCGCCTTGTGGGGAGATAACTACATCTTCTCTCAAAAAACCTACGATGGAGCTCAAATACGACTTGGAGCTTACATCTATGTGCCTTCTGAGCTCTTGCGGAAAAGGCTGGATTTGTTGAGGAATGGCATGCCGTTCGCATCGAACAAAAATGTTCCTTGCACATTGAACAGCAACCACGAACGTGGAAAGGCGGGATGGTTTTTCGGTATCTTCTCGCACGAACGCGGAAAAGTGGCGAATTTGAATCAGTTAGGTAACAAGGACGGTCGGTCTTCGTCTTAGCCTCTCAACATCTTCGTTGCAAGGGGAGAAGTAGAACGAAAGATGCATGATGGTCTCGATCTGGGGTATCGTTCGTATTGTTATTTTTGAAGATATTTATAATTCTGCATTCTCTTTATATATAGGCTGTAGGAGGACGCTATAACGAACGGGGGAGGGAAGAAGCGACTTCTTAGTGCATACAACAAAAAGTCGCGAAAAGATGAAGCTACAGAAGTAGATCATTCAGTTTGGATAACCACAAGCAGCGAAGGCCTCAATCGTCCGAGACGACGACTGTCAGAGGAAGACGCGAATACCGCGAAATACCTGAAGACGCGGACCTCTAAGGAAATAGAGGATGGTGCTAGTTTTGGTGTGGCAACCACAACGGGCCCTGTTGTTAAGAACAAATTTTCTAAAAGACGAATAAATGCTCTCCATGTGTGCTGGTAACAGGTTTTGTGATTTCTTTGATGAAAACACGGGATTCCATGGAGTTGATCTTGAAGTAGTCTGCTCGAAAAGTGACTAGAAGAAGAACAAGTTTGCAGGAAGGGAAAGTCCCTCTTCTTCTTCCGAGAACCGTTTCAGTGTTGGCACTAACAAATCAACATGAACAACATCTACTCTGTAACTCACCGTACTAAGCCGGCCCAAGCTTGGGCCTATCTTAGACCCTCTCGGTATGTCTGACGTGATTCCACCGCGGCAGCATCTGACCCCCTGCCAAACCTGCACGAGTCAAGAGAATGGACGCCCTGCATGTGCAGGCTTCGCCGGTCTTGTGTCGTGCTTGTTCTGTCTTGTATGTTTCAATGGGTCACATACTCACATCAAGAAGCTACCTACAACGCGGACGACAGCTCCTCCATCGCAACTCCTCCATCTCATTTTTAGGTTCAGCGACAGGCTCTAGTGGTGATGAGGCCGCCTTTTCTGCAGCATATTTATAATCGAGTCCGGCATCTAGTCGAAGTAGAATCGAAGAAAGACCAGCAAAATCCGGACGCATTCAAGCCACGGCCAGCACTGTAACACTATCTTTGTTTCATATTCTTGCTAGGGCCACCAGGAGCTGATTGAACCATCACCATGGTTAGTGCCTTCAGTTATCATGTGAAATTTGCTGCTATACTTGATTCCTCATCACGTCACCACCAACACGTGATGTGTATTCCACTCTCCATCCGACATCAGATACGAGGGTCCGGGTGAAACGAGTTTCCGCACAAGAAATACAGACGATTTAGGGCGCGACGTGCGTGGGGTAGATACGTATCCGGAATCCAGCACTGAACTTTTCTACAGAATGATCATGGGAAAGATGCTATTGCTGATAAATTTCATTATCATTTTCGTCTTTTTGAAGATGTTCATGTTAATGTAGATCATGCTTTGCTCGTGCATGTTGTAAGAAGATGAGTAGAATTAGTTTATCTTGATGATTCTTCTATAATCAATATCTTGTAGTTCGTCCTCCAGGACCTGCTTCCCGAGAGGTCCTCGCCTTCAAAGAGCCTTACAACTAGGCAAAGACCAATGTCACAGAACGGACGGAGGCCCATAGGGCCGATGCATGTGCAGACATCGACGAGGCCAAAGAGTGCTCCTCTAGTCAACAACTCACAGCTTTATAACCTCCAAAGTCGCATGGGGATAAATTGCGATTGGTACCACTTTACTACTAACTACACTATTTTTATTGATCATGTGCTGACTTAGACTACATATCTTTATCTATGTACTACATCTACATGTGGTTGTGGATATTTTTCTCCCTTGCTTAATAAGGCGGGCGATGAGTGATAGAGTTAATTATCGTTCATTTCAAAAATATACAGCTGCGGCACCTTCACAACGCAACCAATTGAGTTAGAGGTGGAGACGGATATGCCAGCATCCGTTCAGCGAGCTTTAGACTCCACCGAGTTTGCGAGTGTCGCGTTGTCGGCACCCTCAGCCGATACTCTGATCCCTGGTCCTAGAGGGATCCAGACGTCACGAACAACAAGAAGAAGAAAACGAGCATGCAGAACCTGAAGACGCTGATAGAAGCACAGAATGATGATGGTATTGTTCGACTTGTGATCATTCGCTACTTACTTAGATTATCTATATAGATAGTTATTATATCTTTCTAAGTTAGATATTATTATATCTCGGAGTAGGCTGTCTGTTTTATAATTTTTGGAGGTCACCTTCATTCCGACTACAGCTGATTCTTCCCTTTTCTGCGAACTGACGTCTACTTTACTTGTTATTTGCCTATGCTGTCCCGCAATCCCACCCTCCACCGTCCCTTCACAAGCAGGTGTGCCAACCGTCGTTGCTCGGTGCTGTAGCTTTTCTTGTATGTATTATAGCTGGAACACGAAGAATTCCCCTACTTATTTGCGTTCCAGACGCCATCTTCAAATTGACCTGATGCAACGAACGGCACGAAAGGAGACAGGGGAAAGATTGCCGGACGTGGCGTTTCATAAAACGAACTGAGAGGTGGAGGAAGATGTTTCTCCACAATTTGAGCCCAAATGAACAACTTCAACTTCAACTACTTCAACACGAACTCAAATGACACCAATCAGGGTGCTGCGGGGGAGAATAAGCTGGGTGGTCTTCAATCTTGATAGTTGAACTCGATCTCGAAATATCATCCTTGATTGTTGTACTAGTGAACCCCATTCATTGTTCCCATTATACAAATGTAAAAAAGTGGCCCATATCAATCTTGTCGAACTAACTGTTTCGAATCATGCGGTTGGTAGCCCCGACCGAGAAAACAAGGTCACGCCCTCTTCATGACCTATCTCCATTACGTTGATTCATAAGTGTGGTTAAGACGAGTAAACACGTATAATTCAATCATCGACATGGACATCAACATCCCACCGGTCGTAGTACTATTTCTACGTCGATGCCGCATAAGAGACCTCATCTCCTTCCCCCATCTTCCCTGATCACGGATGCTACAAGTAGTCTTTGTTTGCGCCCATTCAATGACTTTTTATTTACTCATGGCGATTACGAGAACTAGCACTTACGTACTACATGTTGAACTTTTAGTTTTACCTGAACTGTTCTTTCCTTTGTAATGATCAACGAACCACATTAATGTCCACATTACTAGAATTCGCATTTGACAAATTATATATTATATGACATAAATGATCTTGATGGTAAATGAACTAGGTAACAAACTAAATCACACCTACAACTATACCTTACAGGTTGTTACCATTTCTGTGCGTAATATTAATCTTCGATCTTTTTACAAGAGGTACATACTGCTACAACAGGGCAGGCTACTTACCACTTGCTGCAACATGGATATTTACGTTGACTTTGATGTTCAACAGATGTTGAAACAGTACTAGAGTTCCATTTTTCTTCCTTCCCAGTTTTTCAGATGAGCTAGTATTTCACTCTTGTGCGTGAGATTGTCTAAGACACTTACTTCGTAACCCCTCCTGGTGATGAAGATGTTGAATTTCAAGAGCTGCCTTCTTAATGATGATGGTGTAACATGTCGGAGATTTTCTGTGGTGTTTCGTAATCGGTCTTCTAAGCAAGTACGTAGAACAAAAGCTAGAAAGTTGGAGGTCGATGCATGCTGAAGAAGAGAGAGAGACCAGCTGCGTCTCCAGCTCCACGAGCTCAGATAAAGCATACCGGGTTCGTTCAACATCGGCCAAATTTTGAGCGGGATGAGATTTTGATCGTATGGCAGACTCGGACCACTCCACTTCACCAGACGACCACCACCACCCCAACCCGCATTACCTTTGCAAATGCAACTCCCAAGCAACGAAAATGAATGAATCCATGACATCCAGCAAAGAGCTTGCCGCGAGAAGCCTAATTATGACACGTTTTTGGACATCAAATTCAAACCTATCTTTCCTTTTTCTTTTCCTGGTTAGCTTGGCTCTACCCGTACTATAGAACATTCTGACTGTCTTTCAGTGATGTGGTAGGCTGTGCCCTTCTTGTGAGTGAGAACTCGGATGACAGACACAGTGGCTACCTCTCTGACTGCTAGTACTAGGTGGTGGCAGTCCCGGAACGAAGTAGTGCGGCTCATGAGAATCAGCACGCTCAAGTTGGAAATAGTGTCACGCTAGGCCAGGCGCCTTACCTACGCAGTGCGTGTTCGACTTTGGTGACAAGTAACTGCTGGTAAAGTACGCAGCAGATCCTGAGAAAGGATGGGCGTGCTTCTGAAGCTTCTGCCAGATGCCGAGGAAATTCTGCAGGACGCCATGTCAACCACCGCGCCAGTGCTTCCGGGTGCGCAAGCGACGGTCCAAGGAGGTGATACATGTTCACCTAGTTTCTCTCGCGTTGGACTTCGTCGACCTTCTGTGGTGCAGATGAGCAGCGTCAATCCGTACGCAGCTGCACGCACAAGAAGAGTGTCCTTCCTCCGCCTAGGCAATAAATCCGCTAACTCTCCAGGGACACGCTTTTTTTCTGAAGCATTAGCACCCGGCCGCAGCGCAGCAGCCGCAAGCGGCAATCGACAGAACGTAATAGACGATCGCGTGTGCCTCGCTAGTCGTTTGCGCAGGACTGCTTTTGGAGATTTTTTTGGAAATAATGGAGCACAAGCACGAGCACCTCAGTTGCTTCCTCCACAACCGAGGCCAAAGCAAGCGTGGGGTTCCATGGTACCTATTAGTTCTTTATTTTATCAGAATGAATTTGCATGTATGTGCTGGTCTCCTTGTTGTTAGTCACCGTCTAGTCCATTCATCATTATTTTATCACAATAAATATAACTTCATTCTTTTCTTCATTCTTGCAGACAGTGCTGTGAATATGATGTACTTCATCGCTATGGAAGGAAAATGAACTTTACTCATCCTCAAAAACCTACGCACTTCAAAAACCGAATTTAATTTTTCCGCTTGGCCATCTTCTATCCCTATTCAAACTAGGCAAGCGAACAATTGGGGCAATCGCAACCTTCCGCGAGGCCGACGCCGAATCCCGGGGAGGTTGGTGTGATCAATAAGGTCTCGCTTAGTGACTCTCAGACGACCGAAGATAGATGCGTCGCCGCTCTCGAGGAAGCCGGGACGCTGCTGAAGGCGGAGACGACGGACAAGCTGGCACCCCACACCCTAAGTACCTTGAACGAAAAAATCAATGACTGCGAATTCCCCGTGCCACTCTTTAAACTCGCAGCTTCACTGCGAGCAAATCCAAACCAGGTGACACGAGCAGAAAGCAAGGTGCAGCTGCTCCGATTTGGAGCCGCGAACCTATTCGCGCAGATCGACAACAACGGCTACATGATGGAGAATGCGGGACACAGGGTACAGAGAACTACATAGTACTAGTAGCCGCATCTTTGTAGAAGCGGCCGATGACGTTAAGGAAGTATATTGATATATCCACAGGGGGGGGGGCGTGTCTCCTTGTGTCATACATATGCCCCAGGGCGCAGGGGGGCCCCCGTAAGTAGACCTGGGGAGCGCCCTATACTATAGACCGCGGACCGAATCCCTCCCCCCTTTCCCCCTATTATAAGGGAGAAGGACGCGCTTGATGCTCCTACGCGTGACGCGCGTGAGGCGCTACGCTTTTGAGCGTGATTGGGGCGTGACGCGTCACGCTTATGAGCGGGACGCCCCCCGCTTTTATGCGTGGCGCCTGATGATCTGAGGAACATCCGCGGGGGGCCTGACGATCGGAGGAACATCCGCAGGGGGCCTGATGATCTGAGGGATATCAGTGGAAAGCCTGACGACCGGGGGAACTGACATCCGGGGGAGACCTGGCAGCCTGAGGACCATCCGTCGGAGACCTGGCGACCTGAGGGACATCCGCGGGAGGCTTGACGCTCTGAGGAACATCTACGGGAGGTCCGACGACCTGAGGAACATCCGCGGGAGGCTTGACGACCTGAGGAGCATCTGGCGGAGGCCTCAGGACCTGAGGAACATCCGGGGGAGGCCTTACCATCTGGGGGGCGTGCTATGTATCCTTGGGAGGCCTTACGATCTGAGGACCATCCGCGGGGGGCCATGTGATAACGATGACGATCTGAGGAACGAACATCCGTGGGGGGCCTTATGAGCTCAAGAGCATCCATGGGTGACCTTATGAACCCAAGGACATCCGCGGGCTGCCTTATGATCTCAAGGACATCCGTGGACTGCCTTACAATCTCAGCCGCAAGAACATCTGGGGGCGGCCTTATGCTCTGAGGGGTCCAAGCTCATCCACTCTTCGGAAGTTGCTAGCTTGTGTGCGTTCGCGACTTTCTTTGCAAATACCTGCAGCCCAAGAAGCTGCGGCAGTCTTCTCCAGATGTGCCTGGTCAGAGTATATTAATTTGGAAAGCGCCGCGCCTGGCAGTCACCGATGGAGGAAAATCGTAGCGGAAAGCTGTCAACGCTCACGCGCGCGGCCTTTGTCTTTGTCTCGTTAACATGAAGCCAAGAACAGGAGCCCCGAAAACAAAACCGACACAAGACAACCCACACACGAGCAGGCCAGCCAGCCACTGCTCTGAGAGCGCCAGACACAGGCTGGCGAACCAGTCGGCGGCGCAGCCACCAGCCAAGTCCTCAAGTGAATGCATGACACCAGGCCAAAGGCCTCCCAAGTCTGGAGAGAGAAACAGAGGAACCATAGAAACCAGAGACAGCGCGGAGCCTTATGCGGTGCTGTTGCAAATTCTTGAGAATCGGCTCGCAGCGGTCCACTTCTGTGCTTTCATCAGAAAAAGGAGCACGGAGGGCGAAAGCTTTAGAACCTTCGCGGAATGTTTGCGGAAAGTTTGCAAGAGGTTTGGACACTGTCGGAACTTCGTGCGCCTACCTTTTCGGGGGCAAAGGCTCCGGAGGGAGGTGTTCCGTGGGGGAGTTCTTTCGCAACGTTTTTGCTTTTGCTAAGATTTTTTTCAGCTAGAAAAAGAAAAAAGAAGCGAGAGCCACCCCAGGCGCCCAAGCGCAGAAAGATGGCCAACGCCGCTCCGCTTTGCCACTGCTAGCTTGCTCCCCCCGCTTGCGTCTCCCTTGCCTTCCTCTCACCTCGAGGAGCTTGCACAGGCGTGCCGCGGCTGCATTCCAGGCGGCGCCGGTCATGCTTATGACGTGTGGGCGGTCCACACCCACCCGGCGCCGGGGCTGTTGACAACAGAGAAACACAACACAAGCACAAAGCACACGAGGCCGCGCCGGTGCCTTTTTCGTACATCCTTGCAAACACAGGGACAACGAGGACGGAGACCAGCCCAGGCAACTTTTCGCGGAGATTTCGCGGCCATCTTTAGCACCACCGCGGTGGCCTCCAAGTAAATGCTTAAGCTAACAGGCGCAGGCGCTGAAACTGCCCGCGCAGTGACTGAGTTGGAGAATGCTGGAAAACAGCACAAACGTGCAGCGAATTACTTAGATCAACCAGCCCAAAGCCCTCGCGCCGAAGGAAGCCCGCACGGCTGGACTTCGTGCTTTGCCTCTTGTTGGTTTCCTTTCTTGCTTATTACCCTCTGCGCCCTTGCTTTAAAAGAGCCACACGGCTGAACAAGCTCAAAAAGCTCACACCAACTGAGTCTGTGAGGCTGCCTAGCTACCATTTGGGTGCATCTTGGCGCATGTTCTTGGGGTTGATCATAAGGCAGCCCGCTGACGTTTTTGGGCTCATAAGGTCGCCCGCGGATGTCTTTGATTTCATAAGGCTGCCCCCGGGTGTTCTTGAGGTCACACGGCCGCCCCCGGATGTTCCTGACATCATAACTAAGGCCGCCCACGGATGTGCCTCAGATCATAAGGTCGCTCGCGGATGTTCCTCCGGTCGTATGTAAGGTAGGCCTCCCCCGGGTGTTCTTCAGATCGTAAGGTCTCCTGCGGATCAGTGTTCTTCAGGTCATCGGGCTGCTGTGTGGCCGTGGGACTTATTGAACGCCGTCTAAAGGGGACCCATCTCGCGGGCCACTTACTGTTACTTCGAGACTAATCCTAGGCATCAAGACACTGGCGGGCGGTTTCTTAAAGAAAGCGCCGCTCGCTATGTGCCTCGCGGATTTCTTAAAAGCCCACGACGATAGGTCTGGACATGTGCGGGGAGGCACTGCGATGCCATCCCGAAAAGAACTACTCTTAGCGCCCAAAAAGTACTGAAGTGGAGGCTGGCTCTTATACGGCGAAGACTTTTTATGCGCGCCGCTTTTTCTTTTTCCCCTGTTCGTTGGGTTCGTTTCTACCTCCTGGGCCTCAGGGTGTAGTGCGTGAAGTGATGGGACTTCAACAGGGCCCAGGCTGCGTTTTTATCTGCGCTCGTTATGGTCTTGCTGATGTTTCTCGTGGCTGGTTTCGTACTCACTCTGACTAAGAAACTTCGTGGAGTAGATTTCAGCAGCTATGACCCGGCTCAGGTAGGTACTTTCGTCCTCGTTACTGACACCGGAGGCAGTGCCATCCGCGGCACTAAGTCAGAGGCTTACACAGGTGAGGCTGAAGCCCAAAAGTCTTGCGAGATTGAACTTTTACCACCGGGACACAAAGCATCGGGCGCAATTTGTCTCCACGTAGACGATACCCCTCGGGGAGATGGCGACAAGTTCCATCAGGTGCGTAAAGAAGTCGCTTCGTGCTTTCTAGTAGGAGACAACTGGGGTGAAGGCCTTAGGCCTTTACTTCGTTCAGTCCTTTGCTATTCTTGGTCGTGGCTTAGAAGTTTACGAAAGAGACGCAAGCCGCAGGCGCTCGCCCAAAATTTCGCAAGAAGGAAGCGATGGGAAGTCATTAGATGAGATGACTACTCAGCCCGGGAGGGTGCTGGCCTTGGGAAAGCCTTAGAAACAGCTTCCCGCAGTCTTTTTCGTGCTATGGTTGGTTGGCCGCCTTAGCTGGATAACTTACAAAACAAGGCCGGGCTTGTTATCTGGCGCCTTCGTTCGCTGGTGCTTGCTAGGGCAGTTGTGAGCTTTATTTGGGGTGGCGTTATTGCAATAGCAATCGCTCTAAGCAAAGCTTTGAGTTTGAGGACGGCGATTTTTCATCGTGGGAATGGCATTCGCATGCACCCCATGAAAGTGGAAAAACGTCGCACCGCTGCACACTGACCGGCGCAATTTACAACCGTCGCAAAGCTTGCCCGTCTGTTTATGCTGGTAGGTGCGTTTTTCATATCTGGCTACGAACGGCGTCGACTACGGCCGAAGCTTTTACTTTACACCGGCGAGCCTGCAGACCGTTCGGCGCCAGTATCTAGTGAGCCCACATGGGTCCGCGCTTCTCTGATATTTTGGAGACGCAAGCCGCGGGGACTTTTCCACGGGTGGCGGCAAGTCGTTGAAGGGTGGGCGTGGCAACAAGAGCCCAGAAACGCTCGCGCAAAGAATGAAAGCGCCATGTCGGCGCCGAACTACGAAGAACCACAGACGGGCATCGCCTCAGGGCTGAAACGTCTCCGCAACGTTTTGGCAGCGAGCTGGGTGGGCTTTGAGGGGGATTCGTCAGAAAAGTGCGCAGAAGCGGCGGCCGCTGCTCGTTTCTGCGACTTTTTCTGGTCGTTGTTTCGCCGTTTCAAATTCGTTCTCCCGAGATTTCTGGGGCTGAGCCGTTGCAGGGCCGCCAGGATTTCTGTCGGCTGTTTGTGGTGGCTTTTTCTGGTTCTCCGCTGGCGTCAAGGTAGGTCGCTGCCCAGCCAGGGAGGCCGCGCTCTCGCTTCGTGTTTTCCATGTCTTTGAAGGGAGGGGCGTCTTGTGTGGTTCTGTTCGTCTTCATTTCGGGCACTGTCCCAAAGGTGCCACCTTTGGGAGGCCCATGGGCATGCGCTTTGTTCCTCTAGGGATGGGAAGCGTTCCAGCACGTGGGTCGCTGTTTCTTTGTGTGTGCTACAAGTAGCAGGACGCAGGCAGCAAGAGCATGAAAGCCGAAGGGGCTGCTGGCTGAAGGTGGTGGGCACAAGCAACAAGCCGGGGAGGGTGCAAGGATCTACAGCGGGCGCGCGTTCTGGGTCCGTCGTGGGTCTGTGGTCGCTCCCTTCGTTCTGTCTTCTTCACCGTCTTCATAACTGCAAAAGCATACACACAGGTGAGAGGGCTGGGGGACTGAGACTCTTCCATGCCCCAGCTTTTTCCTTCCTCGTTTCTTTTATATTGGCTTCGGTTTTTCTGTGCTCATGTAGGCCAAGCGGCTGCTGGGTATGTCTCTAAGTGCTTAAGTAGGTCCTTGGGTGTTTTGGATTTTTCGCCTCGTAGTTTCTGTCTCAGGTGCTGCCTGTCTTCAGGCTGTGGCTCTCCATCGCTAGCGCCGCGGGCTCTCCGCATGGTGGTGGCGGATGTCTCGGCGGGTGCCGTCGGTTGTTGGTCGGTAATCCTTGCGGGTGTGTCTGTGGTTGGGGTTTCCTTGTGTGTTGTTTTTCGTCTTTGTGTTGTGTCGGCGGCTCTTTGCTAGGTTTTTGCAGGTTTCAAATTAATCTGCCAGCCAGCGCTCTTGTTAAAATCTGGCCAAAAAAGTCGGGCTTTTGGGATCGCGGGGCGCCTGCCCTGGGCCGTTGTGTGTCTGTTTCGTTTTTGGGGTTTTTCTGCCTTTGTTCTCTTGTTGTTTTGTTGGTGTATTTGCGAGCGATACGGGAGACGCTTGCGGGTAACGCCCTTTCTTGGTACTCTACAGGGGTTTCGCGGGTCTTGAAACCTGCGGCAGCGGATCAAAGGAGGCGACCGAAAAAGCCCCCGGCCCGCTTTTTTCGGTCGTTTTTTTCGTTCGGTTCTGGTTCTGTATGCTTTGGCTGGGTGGCTCGGCTCGGGGGTGCATGTCTTAGGGGTGGCCTCGGTTGGGGGGTGCATGGCTGAAGTTTGTCAAGATGACGATGGGCCATCGGCCTTCGGGTCAAATTATGCTTCTGGTCTCCTTGGTATTTTCGTGCTCCGTCTTTTCATTGGGTTGGGCTTGTTTGTGTTTGTCTTCTGTTGCTTGGTCGTCTTGCCCCGCCCCCTGTGGAGGAGGGGCCGGGGGCATTCGGCGGATTATCTCTGCCTCTTGGTGCCCACACTGAGCCACGGCCCCGGGGCTTGACGATTGGCGCAACAGCTCGCGCGGAAGTGCTGGGCCTCGCGCTCGAAGGGTTGGGGGACGCGGGGGGGGTCGTGCCTGGGCTTGGGGGGTGGGGTCCCGTTGGCCGGTGGCCCTTCCAAGTCGACGGTTAGAAAACGGGCAAAATTTTTCCGGCTTTTCTCGTTAAAATTTTTCAGATTTTTCTCGGGTTGGAAAAGAGCGAGAGACCTTTCGAGAAAAAAGCTAAAGAAACGGCTAAAAAAGGCTAAAGTTTTTAGTCTTTTTCCCGTGTGATCTCGCTTAGAAGTCGCCCGCCTTTGCTTTTGGGGTCGGTTTAGAGCACTCCCGCTGAGGTTTAGAGCACTCCCGCCGACTTTTTTAACCGTCCCCAAAGTTGGCGACTTACTTTTTAGCCGTCATCAGGGTAAGCCAATTCCTTTGCGGATTTGTCGCCTTGATTGGTAGCCGTTTTCTGGTTTTTTAACCGGTTCCCGCGGGGTCTTGGGAAGCTTGCCTTCGGGCCGCGCAGCCGTGCCGCCGATGACTGGGTCGCATCTGACGCACCTGCCGCATTCCGCTGGCAGGCCTCGAGTTGTGGCGTGGTGCTCGTGCAAGCGGCGCGGGGTTGGCTGGGTGGTGTGCGTGTGGACGTTGAAGCCCCGCATCGTGCAGCGCTTGCCTGGGGTGGGGTTGGGCGTCCGCGTCAGTCAGGTTGCGTGGGCTGGGTCGCGTGATTCGGGAGTGGGTGCCGGGGTCACGGTTCACTAGCTCCGCGAAGTGTGGCCCTAACGTCTGCGCCGGTGAGCCTCGCGGGCTGGTGTGGTGTCGGCTCTTTGTTTCGGGCCTTTTCTTGAGGTGTCTGTCTCGAAGTGAGTGCGTGGGGCTGCTTGCTGGAGGCCGGCCCAGGTGCGTGCGCTAGACTCGCGGTTGCTTGTTATAGCATTGCGGTGGCACGGGTTCGCCCGGTGAGGTCTTTCGGGGGTCTTTTATGTCGGCTCGGTTGTTGCCCCCCCGGCAGCCAGATCAGCTGGCGCGGGTGTGTTGTGGTGTCTGTCGGTCGGGATTTTCTCAAAGCTTGAAACTTTTAGCAAAATTATGGCCGGACTTGTTGCTTATAGGTTTGGGCCTCACCGTCCGGGTCGCGTCTTAGTCAAGTCGCTGCCAGCTTCGTGGGCCTCGCTAATACTCTTACGCCGTCCCACACGCGCACCACGGTCTTCGGCGCGTCACCCCGTCACGCAGGCACACGCTCATGCGTCGCTTGAAAATGAATGCTTCAGCGTGCGTCACGCTCTTGGCCTCAGGTGGGTGCGTACGGCTGTTATAGGGTTGGTTCTTTCATATGCGGGGGGGAGGATCCCCGGAGGGACCCTTTTTGGAGGTGTCTGCCGGGGGTGGGACACTTCTAAAGGAGTCCATGGGGGCTTCCTCCGCTTCCTTCCAGCTGCCTGCGTGTACCTTCGAGGCCTTCTATCAGCGTGCCTGGCTTGGAAGGCCTCTGAAGGTGGCAAAGGGCGAAAGGCTGGACCCCCGGGGCTGTGCGGCTTGTGCCTTGTCGGCCCTTGGTCATGGGTTTGCTGGCTCTTGCCACGCATTTGATGAGGACCGGCAACCCAGCAAAAGGGGCCAGGCTTTGGGATCATTGTGGCTGCCTTCGGCGGCTTTCTACCCCGGAGGCCTCCGGCTTGCGGGGTGCGTCAAAACTTGGCGCGGGCGTCCCCTTGCGCCTCTCTGCATGTTCCCAGCCTGCTCCTGGCGGGCCTCTGCTGACCCTTGCGGGCTTGGCTTGGGGGGCCTGCGTCTGGGGTAGAGGGCTGCTGAAGGCGGCCGCCGCGGTCTCTTGAAGCAGGTTGATGACCAAGGGCCCGGAGGGTACAGACCACACAGCTGCTAAGGGGGTCTGTCCTTGCGTCTTTTGCCGCCTTCGGGGGCCTTCGCTCCACTCTTGGCGCACTGCTGCGGCTGTGAAGCACGTCGGCAGCTTGTGGGGCACACGCAGGCAGTTACCCGGACGAAGGCAGCGGAGGGGGCCCCCTGGACCCCTTTCGGAGGGGGACACCTTTGGAAGCCTTCCACCGCCAGCGCATGCCTTCCAAAGGGGTCTCTCTGGGGGTCAGGCTACGCCCTCCCCTACGCTAGGGGGGGGCGCTACCCTGCACCCTGGAACGTTTCCAGTTGTTGTGAGTATTCTTGTTGGGCGTATTCTTTTAGGAGCAGATATTACTATTGTTGAAATAAATTTTGAACCAAATAAAACATTGGAGGTAACTAACTAACACACCTGCAGCTATCTTTAGCTGAGATCTCTTGCTTCGTCACTAATTAATATCCAGGTCAGCGCAGAGGAGAAGCACAAGCGGCACGGCTGCCAGAAAGTGTTTTTCTCAGAGGGCTTCAACGATGAAAGGCTAAAACAAATAGCAGCAGCCTTGCTTATGCAAGTAGAATTATGGCCAGATACAGACTTTTTTTTCTTTATCTTCGAGTTCTAGTACTAGAGCATCTCGTGACACTCCGTGTCCAGTAGACAGTAACACAGTGAAGGGTTGCATCGTTCCAGAATATTGGTCCTCCACGGTGGAAATTAGTGAAAATCTTCTAAAATAAATTAGAGGGGGTTGTGAGGTCAGCCCAGCGGTTGTAATTTGTGCTAGCGGTTTGGATTGCAAAGTGCGGATCACGTTTATCAACTTGCCTGATGCCGTCCAGGCAGCAGGCGCCGCGTTTGAACGCTCAAATTGGTTTAATTTTCGGGTTCTCCACAGCATAGGCATGAGTGACCAGGTGGGAGAATTCGCTGAGTGGGGCATGGGAGATCTGACGACAAACATCAAAAAATACGACAAGGATAAATCCGGCAGTATATGTCCTGACGAGGCAGGTGATGCGGTGTTGGAAGGCGGCTTGAGTGCGGCTGTAGGTAGCTTGAGCGAAGTGTTCGGCAGCGCTTCCGGCGGAATGACGAAAACAATGGTGCGGATGTTCAGCGAGCTTCTGTCTAAATGGAAGGCTCAGGGGGACGTTGCTTTGGCGGACTTTTTCCGGAAGGAGAATGTTACGCATGGGATCTGGTCTATATCTATAAATATAAGTGACGAATGACAGCGCACGCACGTAAAGCGCCACGATCCTTGCTTGCAGCAACTTACTTGAGAGACTGCGACACACATGAAAAACATGCAAAAACCTAAAGCAGTGGCCCTCTTTGGTGCGTCGCGTTCATTGGCAGGCCCTTGGTCTGATGAGGGACCTGGCTGAGGCTTATCCATCGCCATCAACATGCGCCACAGGACAGCCAGAGACTGCGAGAATGCATGGCGCTGCTTTAGGTTTAGCTTTCACGTTTTGACTCCAGGCGACCTCTAATATTTGAAGCTTAATATGCAACAAAGTCAGCAACTCTTAGAGTAGAGCTCCAGTAGTACTCTGGATTCCAATCGCCCTCTCGTGTTCTTTTCCTCCCTCAGAATTCATTTTAAGAAGGAGCGCGGAGAAGCGCCCCCGCAGCGCTTCTGGCAGCAACAGTTTCGTGGAGAACGGTGCGTCTCCGTGTATTAGTCTAAAACATCTTGGCTCGCCATCGTCTGAATCTGATTCGCAGAAGTCGACGGCCGAGGGTACTGCAAGTAAGACGCCATCCTCTCCAGCCGGTGATGGTCTAGGTGAGAACGGAGACCAAGGTCAAGCAGATGGGCGGCCACCTGATCATGCTCAAGATGATGACGGAGCATCGGAGGACGAGGGCCCCCATGCCTCTGAGGCGAAAAATGAATCAGTAGAAGAACAACACGCGGAAGAACTAGAACAGGGAAATATCAGTGAACATGAGTCCGCAGATGCGGTAGACGATCGTATCGAAAAGGCAGGTGAGGGCACAAGAGCGGCTGGGCAGGATTCACAAGCGGTTGATCCACACGACGTGATCTCTCAACAAATTGCGGGCCTTCGGCTGCGGAAGTACCTCCGCGATCTGCTCAAACAAGTACTTACCGACGGCACTGCGATGATCAAGAGCGTAGTAAAAAAGGAGATCACCGATGAGACGATGGAGAGGCAAGTCGACCCAAAAGCGATGTCCGTTAGATGGGAATATGGAGGTGAGCGTGAGCAGCTGGCGAAACCTCAGGGTGACGCTGGCGCAGTAGAAATGAGTGACGATGAGCTTGTGGTTGACCTTGACCAAGTACGTGGAAAAGTTGTACCAGATTCTTAATATTTGCCTATCGCTATGAGACGGTTTCTAGACGTCTAAGAGAAAGAACAAACTGCCAGCAAAAATCAAAGAGACAATCACACAGATGATCATGAACCCATCCTAGAAGCACCAATCTCCAAGAAGTAAACTAGCCGGCTAATTTCCCTCTATGGTTCGGAGGTCGTTCGTAGTCCCTCTCCGCAAAACATGAGCTTCATGTTGCAGCAGATCCAGGACTCTCCACGCAGAATATCTTCAAGCAGATACCATATCTATATCAATCTGAGATCATTTCTTCTTCAGGTTGAATGCACCAGGAGGTCCAGGAGGACCCTTGATTGATCGAGGTTCCATCATTTTCATACTAGAAGTACAACATACAATGTGGGAATAAATGCAAGACGACATACACCGTGTGAGTAGAAGTACAACATACAACGAGCACATGAGAATAGATACAAGAATAAAAAGCCAAAAAAGAATAAATGCCCAATTGTAAAATCCCTTCGGATAGTGAACATTTCCTCTTTGTAATGTTTGACTACTTACCCCCCGAATGGGTAAACTACTACTACTGGCAAGAGGTAGCTCTCCACCATTTTCATACTAGAAGTACAACATGAACATACAACGTGGCAAGAGGTAGCTCTCCACCGTTTTCATACTAGTACAACTTGGCTGGTGCAGACCCAGTCCCAGACGAGGTAGCTCTAGTTGCTAGACTAGTTACCGTCTAGTCCTCTCATCATCATACTAGTAAATAACTACGCTGCTCCACGACCATATTCTTGTTCTTCATAGTACAGGTTTTGAAAAACGCAATTCGCAAACTGAGAAAACGCCATCTCATCTTGCTTACTTACATTACTAATACAAAAACGTTTACTTCGATTAAAATAGAGTAATATTCTGTTTCTATTTAGCCGTCCCTCATTCGTGCTTAACAAACTGGCTCGTAAACAAGATTACCTACCACCCTCGTATAAGTATTTATTTCTCTCAACGAGTCTTTATCTTGTTTTGCTTTTTACTTGTGTAAGGTAAAAACCGATCTTCTGAATAACAGTTTTGTAGCTTGCGAACCAAAAAGATGTCCTTGTACACCACCGCACTCGCTCCCGTCGTGGTCGGCGGGGTCGCTTGGCTTTTTGCCAGTGGCCGCAGCTTCATCCCACGACTTTTATCTCACTTTGATCTTGATGATCCTGTCCTGCATCTTCTTGTCTTCGCCGTGGAGGTGGTTCTGGGTCTCCTTCTCGCTGGCTTTGTTCTGGCTTTCGTCATTCGGGTATTTTTCAATTCGTTTTTGCGTGGCAAAATCTGGACGATGGATTGAGGAGAATGTCTTCAAGCCCAACTCGATTTCCGGGAAAACCGTGTTGGTCACAGGAGGAAACTCCGGGATCGGTTATGAAGCCGCAAAGCAGCTCGCGGTCGTCGTCGGCGCCACCGTCGTAATTGCCTCGCGCAACATCAAACGCGTGCGCGAGGCATGTGAGAAAATCAACAAGGCCGTATTACAGGAGGCGAAGGGGGAAAAAAAGGGGTCTGCCGTTGCCATGCAGATGGACCTATCCTCCTTGGATTCCGTGAAAGCTTTCGCGAACGAGTTCCAAAAGACATATTCTAAACTGAACGTTCTGATTCACAACGCCGCAATAATGTATTTCCCGAACTTTGAGGACAACAACGGTCGCACCGAAGACGGCTTCCCCAAACACATGCAGGTGAACCATCTGGGAGGCTTTCTTCTGACACAAATGCTATTTCCGCTTCTGAAAAAAAGCGGGACCTCGAAAGCAGATCCCTCCAGAATTCTCTTCGTGACGAGCGGAAGCATGCAATACATCTCACACGGCGTGTGTTTTGATGACGAACTCTGGACTTCTTCACAGACCACGGCCACGTCGGCGAATAAGAACAAGAAGGATCATTCGGCCAGTACTGGCACTGGAGGTACTGGTGGAGCTCCTACTGGAGGTACTTTTGGTACAACTGCTTCTGCTAAAGAAATGCAAATGACAAGATTTTATCCTGAGACGAAGCTGATGAATACTTTGGTGATGAAGAAACTCGCACGCATGCTTGATGAGGCAGCAGCTGCCTCTTCGTCTTCCAACGTGAATGTAATCACGACGGCTATGCATTGCGGGTTGACCGCCACGGGCATCAATACGGACCAAGACCCCGCTCCCTGGGTGTTGAAAGTCTTGATTTATCTGTTTGCGCAAGATTCGTACATGGGATGCTTAGGAGAAGTTTTGTGCTCCACCGAAAAGGCACACACTGTGGTGAAGAACGGCTCCTATTGGGGACCCGACCTACGCTGGATCGGCTATCCGATCGAGGTGTCGAACAACCGCATGCACACTCCACCCGCGAAGTATTTGACTGAAGAGGAGCAAGACCTGCTGTGGGAAAAGTCGGAAAACGCGCTAGGAGTGAAATTCGAGATCTGAAGATGGACAGAGGATACTTCATCTTCTAGGATTGATGTGTGAAGGAGGCGATGATCAAGAACTACGGTCACATCAGACGAGGCACATACATGAAGTAGAAGGTTGAAAAGACCACGCGCCGCGCTTTCCAAAAACCATTTGGAGATGATCCTACGACCTCAGCGTCGCGAATCTTTATCATTAACTGCAGCTACAACAGCACACAAAACTCATTTTATGTTTAGGCGCACCCACATCGTTAAGGCATGAATGGCAAATCATGATTTCTTGCTCTGCAACAACAAAATCGATAAATAATGTCGGGATCTAAATTTTTGCGCCTTAAAATCATAAGTACTTATCTATTTTTGAAAACCAGCAGTTTTTCCAGATTTACTAGTTGTGAGTCGTAGGGACCTGAATCAATAATTATTTGTCCTATACGACACACCTCTTCATAATTTTTGTCCTAAAGTCAGTGTCAGTCTGTATTTCAAGGTTCTGCGTCCTTCCCTATCCTCTGCAAATATAGTGACTTGCTTATTAGCATTAATAGAATGAATCGTATTAATATAATAACCTTACATAGGTCACCCAACATCCTCGGAGGCGAGCAGGTGCCTGTGAGGCTCGCTGTGAAGGGTTCACAACCTAACCTAACCTTCTCAGATGAACAATCATCTACATCTTCTTCATCTCAAGAATGGAATACTTAATTGAGACGTTGATTGTACTAAGTAATGACAATGAGTTGGTGGCATACGCATATCTTGCCTATGCTAAAGGATAATCAAATCTACGGTGAGTAATTATGGAGTTGGAGGTGCCCATTGTTGTTGGGCCTCGTACCGAGGTTTTTTTGATCTTTCTTAGGGTATACTACTAGAAGAACTAGTGCTAGGCTACTACTAACTAGGAACAACAGCAGCTGCCGAAAGGGCGGGTATTCCTGGTCCCTTTATTATTCTCTGCTGAGCTAGGCGGCCTCCTCCACAAGTAAAGGTTAAGAGGAGATTACGATTACCTTACTTGGGTACTACGTCTTCTCAAAATACCATTTCGCAGATTTTTCGCCAAGATTCATCTCTTTCTTGTTCGATAAGAAGGACTGTTGAATCCAAAGACAGCACGCCGTTGTGACTGTTGCAACACAACTACTATGAAGGCAGAGAAAAAGAGTGATACTAGAAAGATACCAGGAGAAACATTATAATAGCGCGCTAATTGTTCCGGGTGTGAGTGTGGCGTTCTTCTTGGTGAAGAACTTACTGCAGACTAAGCTGCAGGTTACTGTCGGTCATTTATGACCTTTACATGCACACTACCGTGATTCCATCAGTCTCGTACTCTCTTATCTGTCTCGGCGTTTTCTCTTATCGGTAAACTCCTTGTCTAACATTTCCATCGTTCTATGCCTGCTTTTCTTTCAGACCACAGCACGAAGAGGGCCTTAGAATGGATAATCAGAAGATAAAGAGATCGAGGTAGTTGATCCTGAAGTTGTTGAGAACACCTTGCCGTATTCAGTCGGGAAATCAAGGAAAGGTGATCTGTTTCCCACCCCTCAACCTCACAAGCACGTCACCAGAAGCAGGTCTTCTACATCTTCTAGTACTTAACCTGTGCTGCTTATTCGTCTTGCATCAACCAGAACACATCACATTCGCTTGTTCGTGACAATCTTTGTGCTAGAGCAATTTACACGCCGTAAAATATGTCAGAAAAATCTTTATTAGGAATAATCGATCACAGGTTAGCTTTGTTGACGTGTTGTTTCGTCGTGAGAAAAGACAATGACAGTTCTTCCCACGACCTCAACTTCACCAGAAGTGCCCGGTTCACCCACTACAGTGAAGACTGAAGATAAAGAGGCACAACAAGAAGAGGACCAAGCACCAGAGCGACCCTCACCAGTGCAACTTTCACCTTCAGTGGTAGTTTCCAGCCTCAAAGAATTGGAGATATCCGACCGCTTTCTGAACTTTCTCACTGAAGTGGAGCAACAGGAACTAGCAGCATATGCAGCAAGTCTTGACGAGAAACCTGTTGATTATGGAGTAGGCGGAAAAGGAAATGTTGAGGACGAGGACTTGGACTCAGACGGAGAGGCATCTACATTTTTAGAACCAGGAAGAGGAGACATAAGGTCATCTTCATCGCGCTCCTCTACTGAGGAGGAATCCAAAAAGAAGCCGTTTAGGTCGTCGTCGGGAACCACTTTCACGGAGCTGTGGGGTATTTTCCATCAATCGTTTCTAATCGTCCTGTGACCTTAAAAATAAGGAACAACAACAACATCTTCTGTGTACGTGAGTCCAAAAAACAACAAGAACATCTGTGTACTTGAGTCCAACAAGAAACAATAATTTCATCAAACTAAGTATGTGTACTTGAGTCCAAAAAACAATAATTTCAAACTAACACACATCAACAACAACAAGGTGGTTCAATCGAAGGGGAAATATTAGACATTGCGAATAGTCTAGACGACGATGGCGAAGGTATTTTTGCGGGTATGCTGGAATGCTGTTCGCGCATCCGCGAATTGAAGAGTCGGATGTACGACGTATCCTCATCTGCGGGAGGCGAAGTAAATGAATCAGGTGGATCATCAAATGAAGTTGAAACATCAACATCTTCTGATGCTCCAAGCAGGAAAAGAAGTTTCCCAGCAAGGAAAATGAAGAACGCTGAACAACAGGGTTCTTTGAATTCGAGGCCCCCTGGAGTTGGAGCAAGTCGCGACAATATTAGAAGTAGTGCGTCTTCGACGAGTGCTAGTAGCGGCAAAAACAAGATACTTTCCTCGTCGACTAATAGAGGGGTGATCACAAGAACTCCAGCAAGCAGTGCAGCAACAGGAACAGCCAAGACCACGATGACTGGAGCCACTGTCAATGATCCGTCGCCATACAAGCAGAAGATGAGCGCTGTGTTGACCACATCTGCTTCGCCGCGTAAGCGAAGAACACGACCAGCCCGAATAGATTTGGAAAGCTACAGAAGGGAGATGGAAAAGCAGAAAGAGGAATTGAGGCGTAAATACGTGACCACGACCACTAGCGAAGGACAAGAACGAGAAGAAGCAAAACCACTCTTGTTCCAAGGTTTCGACGATGAAGTCCATCTTCAATCTTCTGCTAAAAAGATGGCGATTTCAACTCAATTGCTAGAGAGCACACGGAAAGAAATCGACAGCATCATCCGTCCTTCACTCGGCGAAGCGGCTTCAACTCTGGAATCACCAGCTGAAACGTTAAGGCTAGATACTCAGTTCATCAAAAATGATCTAGTTTTCATATTATGGGTCACGCACAGTTAAAGTTACCGTTGGCTTTCCACACGACGTACTGTTAGTACTTTTGGTTGCCCACCTGCTACTTCTAATCTCCTTGCCACCAGCGAACACCACCCTCGCTGGAAGGGGTAGCAGTTCCAGCAGTCTTACGGGAAGCAGTTCATCTAGTTTGTCTATGCGTCGTGTCGCTTCTTCGGTGAAGATGTTGTTTGAAGTGGATGACGTATTGCCTCCACGTAACCCTCCGCCTCCGCAACTGCAGCACTTAGCGAGCAAGAAACGTCCTTCTAGAATCGACGCTCCATCCTCGGTTGTGTCAACACGTGCCAGCACGAAAGAGCTTCACCCGATTGTTCCTGAGATGAGATTACTGTTAAGCTAGTGCTTTGTTTACTGCTTAACAGACACTGTCCGACTTTGTATTTTCCATTTTGTAAAAAAAAATCTGTTCTTGTGATTGAACTACTCCTAGTCAGTGCTCTTATCAACAAGATACATACTCAAAATCATAGTGCGACCTGCTTCTTAAATCAGTTTTGATACGCAATGTCATTCTTCAGTATGAGAAACACATTGGTGCATACGACTTCTACATGGCATAGAGATTCATATTCCTCTTCAGTGTACGTCACGAAGAGCAACCTACTACATACAACAAATTGTATCTACGTATAACATGCTCCTGAAGTAAATATGTGGTTATCACAATTCTTCGTATAATTCGACGACACGCGTTGTACAACGAAACCAAGCTAACACATCATTCTTTCACAAGTATATCCTACTTCTACATCCTTCTATTCTACACATTATAATTTTGAAACTTCACATTCACATATCAAAAATGTCCCTTAAATTTGTTTTGTCCTCTTGTCCACAACTCCCATACTGATCTTCAAATTTTTACTTCTCTCACATTCACATATAGTACAAGAATTAGACATAAAAACAACAACATCAAGTCCATTCTCCAACACACGACTGGAGAAACCTATCGCTCTCTGACTACAGCTTTTTATTTGGATGATTCATCGAGAAGATCTTCTACTTGAAGCAGAATCCACAAGACAGAAATAGGAAAAACTCCGTCAGACCAAGACCCGGAGCAAGATGACGCAAGGAGACGCGACACTGGTTGATCAACTGGGGAGCGGAGGAATACTAGTGGCGCTAAATGCAAGTGAAACGAGAGGAAAATGAGAGCAAATAAACGTGGAAGGAAAGTAGATTGAAAAATATTCAACACATGATGAAAGCAGGAATTTTCAAAAAGGAGGTTCATCTGCTTGTAGAAACATTAGATGAATAATGACAATAGGGGACATCACAAAATACAGATGAAGATGGTACAAATAAGCACGTGCTGTTGCTCTGAGCACTGCACGGAATGAAGATACAACTAGAGAGCCTGGTATCTCCAGAGCGGCTCTTTCTGTGTCATGATGGATCTAGCACAGATGAAGATTCTCATCCAATAAAACAATCACCATGTTGGACTGGTTTCTCGATTCTTTCTCCGCAGTGCTGCGGCGACCCTTCCAGAGGACCAAGGCGACCTACTGTTTCGTGGTTTTTGTAGTCCTCGGTTTCTGGTTCTACTACGTCATCGACTTGTGGCGGAGTTCGAACTTTTTTTAAGGCCTGTTGGCACTCTCGGGTTTGCTTGGTTTTGGCTTGTAGATAAAAAACATAGAACTCTTATTTGATTCAAAATTTCGCGAGGGTACTAACTAACGAAATCTACGTCTAACTTTCGCTGAACAACACACCTGGTGGCGCTGTGTATGATGGAAAGACGACTTTGCTAGTTGATCTAGACCATTTAGATTCGAGCGGAGATCAAGAGGGTCACGATGACCCTGCAGTTGGTGTCGTTGGAGAAGTTACAAGTGGAATATCAAGCGGTGCAGATGGTGTCAAAAATGTGGAAAAGAATGAGGAGAAGGCGCGCTCATCTTCTTCATCCAGGAAATTCCTTCCTCCATCAGAGCTCGTTTCCACAGAAGGGTACATCAATGAGAACCAGAAACGTTCAGCGTTCTTGAATGATCTGACAGTGGGGAATCGGGTCTTCGCTTTGTGGGGAGATAACTACATCTTCTCTCAAAAAACCTACGATGGAGCTCAAATACGACTTGGAGCATACATCTATGTGCCGTCTGAGCTCTTGCGGAAAAGGCTGGATTTGTTGAGGAATGGCATGCCGTTCGCATCGAACAAAAATGTTCCTTGCACATTGAACAGCAACCACGAACGTGGAAAGGCGGGATGGTTTTTCGGTATCTTCTCGCACGAACGCGGAAAAGTGGCGAATTTGAATCAGTTAAGTAATAAGGACGGTCGGTCTTCGTCTTAGAAGCCTCTCAACATCTTCGTTGCAAGGGGAGAAGTAGAACGAAAGATGCATCATGGTCTCGATCTGGGGCATCGTTCGTATTTTTGAAGATATAATTCTGCATTCTCTTTATAGCCTCTAGGAGGACGCTCCTCTAACGAACGGGGGAGGGAAGAAGCGACTTCTCAGTGCATACAACAGAAAGTCGCGAAAAGATGAAGCTACAGATGTAGATCATTCAGTTTGGATAACCACAAACAGCAAAGGCCTCAATCGTCCGAGACGACGACTGTCAGAGGAAGACGAGAATACCGCGAAATACCTGAAGACGCGGACCTCTGAGGAAATAGAGGATGGTGCTAATTTTGGTGTGGCAACCACTGCGGGCCGTGTTGTTAAGGACAAATTTTCTAAAAGACGAATAAATGCTTTCCATGTGTGCTGGTATCCGGTTTTGTGTATTTCTTTGATGAAAACACGGGATGCTCATGGAGATAATTATTCTGCAACTTTCTTGTTGCAGCCATTTCTAATGATCCCTTTCAAGGCCCTCAACCACAAACTGCTGCTCCTGCCCTACGGCTAAAAGCATTGTCATCGTTTACGGAGACGAAAAAACTTCGTGGAGGAGTGTCAGCAGCGGCTGCTCGCGAGAAACAAGCTAAAGAACTGCGTCAGCGCATTGACACAATTGCAGATAGGAAGGCAGGGAGAACACCTCAACATGGTACAACAACTCAGCATATCAAACAAGACGATGCCGCTCATGCCCAGAGCCAGACGCCGCATCATCCTAGTATAGCTGGTGCAAAAACACAACCAGAAGAACACACACCGTCCTCTAGTGCAAGCAGTGGAACAGCAGAACAAGAAAGCTCAACAACTTTATGAAACCAAAATATGTTATTGTTATCATTACCATACTTTTCTACTTAAGATAAAACTTGATAATGATAACAGATTTATTTCTTTTCATAAACTTCACTACCTCTAGATCTAGTACCGCAAGTTCTAGGAGGAGATCCGCATCCCGGACCTGCCGCTCTAGTCCCGAAAGAACTACCCTATGCTTACGGAGGCGAACACGGTTTGGGGACTGTTGGAGGTGGAGCAGCAACTACGGCTTATCCTCACGAAAGCGGAACCGCCGAAGAAGACTCAGAAGAGGCTGTACCGGAAGTGCGTCTGTTTGTCAACTGGTCTACCGAGAAGTCAGCCTGTAATGAGCTCGCGGCATCTTTTGCTTATGCCTATATTTATAAGAAGTGAGTATGAGTATGAAGACGGAGTGAGAAGAAATTCCAGAAGGATGATAGTACGGTCTAGTTAACGATGATATTAGAAGTGAGTATGGAGACGGAGTGAGAAGAAACTCCTAATTCCCTTTACCCCTCGACACCTGGGTTCGCGTTGGCTTTACGATGGACCAACACGTCGCCCTTTTTATCGAAAACGAAATTGTTGGTGATACGGCAACACCTGAACGTGGCATCCTGCGGAATGGCAATACACGACTCAGAACCAAGAATTCGAAGACCTTCCTCAGCGACATGAGCACCAGACACCTTGGTCGAGGTACGCAGATAGGTGGTGCGCGGGGGGGTGGGTCGTTTTTCACATTATGCAAGGAACTGAAGTTCTTTACTTAGGAGGCGTTGTACAACCGCAGAAGTTCTCAGAAGTTTGTAGTGCTCCATCAGTTATAATGCTTCATCTAATCAGCGGCTTTCTGGCAGACTTCAGTATGCGTGTCTTTGATCAAGAGGTGCTTCGGTTGAACGATGGGGAGCTAACGAATATGCAGTCAGCGTCGGATACTTTCGCGGTAACGCAACCTACCGAATTTACACGCGCAAATCCACTTTTGTTTATGAATTCAGTCCTGATGAAGATGAACGAGTCCACTTTGTTTGTACTTATATGAACGACAACCAGACGAGAGTTGCTGTAGACTACAAGTTAGTAGTAGAAGAAGAAGTGCTTGTGGAAGCTAGAAATAAAAAGTTTAGAGAGTAGACAGAACTTTACTACAGATGATGAAAAGAAATCTGTTTAAAAATAAGTCTCTTCTTCATCTCCCCTGCCAGCGCCACTAGCAGCATGACAGTCTCAGATCCGACGTTGCTTGCGAAATACACCAGAGTTCCCGTCATCCATCTCTTCAACGACTGGGTAGAACGAGTTGAAGCGCCAGCGGGGTCCTTATGATGGATTTAGAATCGCACAGGCCCATCATGATCTTCATATTTATGAGGAGGACCATGATAGATTGAAAGAGTTTGCCCATTTTGCACTTTCTAATCCTAGCACCAGGCGACGTCCCCTCGCCAACTGGACACGGCACAACAACGTTAGACGTAACACAGCCTAGTTGGGTGTCGCAAATGAAGACGCATATGGACCACGTGCTGGCAAAGAAGTCGCGTCTGATCAGACCTAAGCGTGCCAAAGGAAAGGACTACGAGGACCTAAAAAAAGACCATGACGTGCTACAACAGTTGACTGCGAGTATTATGAAGGTCAGGCTTTTGGTTTTAGTTTTACCTAGATTGACTTTGACATGATCGACATCGGGAATTTTCGGAGTTTCATCTACAATCCATCGTGAACAATAATGATGATCCTACGCAGCTTCCTCTTCGACTGATCCTCAAATAATCCTCAAATAATGTTGCCACCCCGCCTCCTTCTAATATCCTGTCCAAGAACCATGATGGCTCAATATCATTCAACCGCCGCGTGGAGAAGACGACTACGGTTCCGCCTAAGCTCGATAACTACTTCGAGGGATCGAAGAATAAGAAGCCGGTTGACGTGAAGGATACCATGATTATGAACTTGTTGTAATTTAAATGTTCAACAACTTGTTGTAGTTAAAAAACTTCTCATGATCTGCTTCTATCTTTCTGTCAAGAACATGCATCTGCTGTACGACCACGAGCGCATTACTCAGTATTTGCAGGAGTTGTTGTTGAAAAATTGAAATTCTACATGCTGTACATTAAATACATTTAGTCCATTCTCTTCATCCTTCTAACCTCACATTCGGCCCAAAACCGATCGACCCATTTGGAGTGGTACCGAATGCCAATATCCAAGACGAGCTCGAATCTGAAGACTTGTTGACAGGCAGAAAGCATCAAAAAATCAGCGAAGAAACACTGGCGCATGGGGAGAAGAAGATGACGTACTTACTTGTTAAATTCTTGGTTGTCGACGTGCTTGGTTAATACGGGATTGTTTGTTTCCTTCTTCTGTGATACTACAGGCTTTGACTTTCCCTTTCTTGTTGTAAGACGTAATAAATTGCACCAACAAGTACTACCATGATCTTAACCGTATTTAAAACTTCTTTCAGCGCCGCGCCTTCTACTGAATCTACGTTCAAATACGAGCATGAGATGCAGGATGCAATATTAGGAGAGCTTTCGCAACACAATGGACCACTGAGACCGAAGACTTCACAGTCTTCCTTCAGAAACAAGGGAATGCAAGATGGCAGTTTGCACATTTTGAAAGTTATGGAACAAAAAATTAATTCCACTTGATACGGTATTATTAGTCACTTGGTTCTATGTTTTGAGTTACAGTTTACAGCGTTACCTCAAGTAGTGCTTGCTGTTAATGTTGGTTCGCGTCTGGTTCATCTCCACACTTGTTTCAGACTTACAGCGCGTTCTTCATCTCGACAATTTACATACTAGGACATCTTCACTGTCAAAAACATACAATACAATGACCTTCTAACAATGGACCCGCAGCTGCTTCCGGATCTGCATCCATAATGCTGCCAGGGGAAGAGGTCGCCAAATCGCCAGAGGGACTCCGCAGCGTGCACATCGATCCCAATAGGAAGAACTACTTTGACGTTGGCGAACAAGAGAAGATGCGTTTACGACAGAAGGGTGTGCCCGAAGAAATGCTAAACCCTGTGAAAGCGCCCGTAGAGAAAATAGAGCCACATCTGTGGGCTGAAGAGGTAAGGAACGAGATGCGTTTTGTTTGGGATAGCTACAGGGAGAAAGCTTTTGTTATGGAGGCAGGTCACTATGTGGTTTAGACATAGCCGTTTTATTGTGATGTTGGAGGTTTATAAGGTTGTCTAGAGGAAACTTCCTTACCTCGTCATCTTGAGCATGCTTGTTTTGTCATGGAGGCACGTCACTTCTACGTGGTAAATAGAATGCTGTCATTGATGCCGTGACCTCGATGAATACACCAATACACAGAGTGTCATTGCTTGTCGCTCAACACTTTCTCTTCTAATTTCAGCAATGACGAGATTAAGCCAGTAAGCGGCGTACCTTCGAACTGGGTGGGCGTTGGCGTGATGGTATTCGAATCGCTCGACACCTTGCTCCTGATGGACCTCCAAAAGGAATACGCTCAGGGATTGCGGTGGGTCATTATGGAGTCATGGATGTTGTTCTAACTTCTAAGTAAACAACATGAGATGAGGACTGAGCCTCAAGAATAGTAGAGTTCTTGTGTTAAAAACACTCTGATACGACTAGGACTAACACTGTGACACAACTAACACTGTCTTAGTAGTTCCTTCAAGTAGTTCAATATATCAGTCTTTTTCTTCAATTGATTCTCTAATTTCCAAGACCTGAAGATAGAATCTGAAGCGAAGGATGAGTGGGCGAGTTCCTTCGAGATCAACATCCGCATAATTGGTGGCCTGCTTGGAGCATACGCACTTACAAAGGAAACGGTCTTGCTGAATCGGGCACGCGAGTTTGCGGATCTTCTCCTAGAAGCGGGGGTTTTCAACGCAGCGAAAAACGGACACCCTCTCGCTCTACCAGAAGTGAATTTGAAGCTGAGACGCAGCAGACGGCATACATGGTCGCAGTATTTTGTGCTGTCTTTATGATCATGAGTTATTTCTTTCAAAATGAAGGGCGGATGAGAAGTAAGCAGACACATCTAGAGCTAAACAACTAAAGACAGATGAGTGTCGTGCAAATCTAGTTTATATAACAGCAAATTGAAGACAGGCAAGGAGCTGCCTTGTTCGCGTCTAATCCCCGAAGTCGGCACCTGGCAACTCGAGTGGCGATATCTGTCGTTCCTAACGAAAGACCCCAGATACCAAGAAGCCGTTGACAAGCAAGAAAGCCTGTTGCTTCACAGGACACCAAGACAAGTGCGCGGTTTGCTGCCGAACTTCGTGGACCCATCCGCCGTCATCGTGTCTCAAGACTACTCGTTCGGTAGCGGAGGAGACTCGTACTACGAGTATTTGTTGAAGTTAAATACTAATACAAATACTTTTTAGACTTACTTTCTAATCCCTACCCATCTTTGTTTTACCTCTAGAGACTTAGCCCTTCCAACAACTTACTTTCTAATCCCTACCCATCTTTGGATGCACAACGTTTTTCGAGAATCTTGTAACGATCCGCTGAAACGTGGTAGCATCGATTGTGGCGATGCCCTAGGCAACGGTCGAAAACGGGAACGAATGCGTGACCCTAGTGGTGATGAGATAAGACGACTAGAGAGCACTGTGGAGGAAGAGGGGGCTTCCAATTCCATGATGAAAAGTGCAACTCGTAGCAGACCTGAGGAGCCTAGAAGAGCACTTGTTTCTTCAGCATCTTCTAGTGGAACTGAAGAAGGCGAAGACACCTCAGCTTCTTCCTTTGTCGGACCGCACGTGTCGACCTCATCTGACAGTCAAGCAGTAGTCCTTCCTCCCACTCCCGCATCATCCTCTTCATCTTCTATAGCTGAGGTTCCTCCAACACACGCTGCACGAGAAATCCCTCTGGACCACAACATCTACAACAACAATGATCATGAAACATCTTCTACGAAGAAAACACCAAAGAACATGGAGGATTCAGACGAGCCAGAGGTTGGAGAGCCTAAAGCCGGCACAAATCCACCTCTTTCGCGTGAAAAAGCGCCTGAGGCCTATCCAGCAGAACTGCTTGCTGGAACCTTGAAAAAGGAGAGGTCACGGGAGGACAAAGACAAGGACATGATACAGAAGATTGTGGGGGATGCAGTGGCAACTGTGGCGCCGGCAGTTAAGGACTCCTTGTTGATCAGGATGTTGTAGACTCCATCTTCATCTCTAGTACAACGACCTTGTAGAATGTTCCTGAGCATCCTTGCGACGACTCTATCCACCAATTATAGGGGACAAAGGATTATTTATTGGATTTCTTCAGTAGGAAGGATGTTGGCTCCGCGCATTAACCTCTAAGATACATGGCGGAGGCACGACATTAGACGAAGCAGCAGCAGCGGACGAGGCAAATCGACAGGCAGGCAGTCTGAAAGGAATCGTCAAGCAAGAAGTGGAATCGACGAAAAAAGGCCTCCTTGAATGGAAAACGGCAATGTTCAGCTTGCAGCAGAAGATGCTGGTAACAAGAAGAACTACTTTTACTATACCTACTAAGTGGCGTGCACTTCGACTTCTACTGATTTTCAACATTATTTTTATACATACTATACTTACTAGTGCAGCTACAACAGATAAGATGCTATTTGTCTTCCAAGCACAACACGAACACAACATCACAGATCAAAGGCTTTCCACCGCATGAAGACCATCTCTTTCTTCGAGAAGCGAAGATGGGCAACCTGGTCAACCGCATGGAACATCTGGCTTGCTTTGTACCTGGGATGTTGGTTTTGGGATATCACGAGTTGCCAGAAAGACTACGCGATGACGCTTGGATGGACACGGCCACATCTCTCATGGACACCTGCGTCAACCTTTATCGCAGCAACTTCTTCGGTCTCGCATGCGAAGCGACAAGGTTTAGGTTAAAGCGGGATCTGGAAGGAAAGAAATTGACCTACTGCGACGGGGATGATAAGGTACGGATTCAGATTCTTTTGTCACTTGTTTTCTACCACTAAGAGCAATGCCAATCATAATGTAAACGAACTTTTAAGTAGAATAAGAATAATATTCAACTCGTTTTCTGTGCAGACAGAGAGACAGATCATCACCATCACAACTAGCTATGTCTCCTTTCCAGGTGTCACACCTCCGACCAGAAACGGTCGAATCACTGTACTACCTCTGGAAATACACCGGTGACTCGAAGTGGCAACGTGATGGGTACGAAATCTTTCGCGCGCTGAAGACCCATGCAAGAGCACAGTATGGCTACACTTCCGTCACTTGGCAAGCGCCAGAAAGGAGTATTAAGGCTTACCCTAATCCATCTTCTCTGGAAGCATTCCCAAGAGGCTTCATCTCAAACAAGGGGAAAAGGCACCTAGGATGCATTTCGGGATGGGTTAGCGTGAGCTCTAAGAGTAGTCCCAGAGCAGGCCACCTGTTCTTTAAGCCTCGACCACTAGACAGGCAGGAGAGTTACTTCGCAGCAGAGACGTTGAAGTACTTGTATCTGCTCTTTAGGCCACAAGACACTTTTAGTCTGGAGCGGTTTGTACTGAACACAGAAGGTCATCCGATAGAGAGGTATAAGCCGCCAGAAGGAAGCTTATAGGTGAAGTTTTCCTCGAACTTGATGTAGTTGCAATCACAAGTAGTGACACTTTGTTCGCCAATCTTCCCGAAACCGATTTAGATTTTCCCCAAACCCCACGACGTAAACCGTGTGAAGTCCACAACCTTTTTGCGCAGCTAGCATCCCACCCGTGGAATTCAGTCATTATAGATAAGGTGCCGAAGACTATCTTGCCGACAGTGTTCGTTATTCATTCTAAAACATCCAGTCAGCTCCACTTCCACAGAACAAGACAAAACTGATAAGATAATATGTGGCTCTGGTTCGCGGCGATCTTCCACTGAAGTATATGGCCAGCATAAAGTGAACAATTACAAAAAGTTCATTTTTTACTTTTTAATTTTTTTAGAGGTAAACTTAAGTAGTTAAAGTAGCTAGCTCAAGTGGTGGACTTGCGAAGGTGCTTTTGGTTGATGATGTGATTCTGGATGATGTGGCTCTGGGACGCGGCAATCTTCTACAGTCTGGAAACATAAAAATGCCGTCTTCGCAGCAGAAATGCGGTTGGTGTCCGACTTTGGTCACGACTGTACCACACGAAGAACATCAAAAGCCCTATTTTGGCGCACCCAAGGCGTCTAGTACTTCTTCAAGTACAGCAACATCTTCCGATAAAAAGTACGGATGGTCGTGGTCTGAAAACTACGTTGAGAACGTACTCAGCATCAGCAAGCAGGAGGAAGATGCTAGAGCCACCGCGGCCGCACAGGAGGAGCAGCAGGACAAGACCAACCTTGATGATGTCGCTGCTGCTGAAAAAGAACACGAAAAACCCAAAGATGTTGAAAATAGTGATTGGTCGTACGACAAAAGCTATCACTACAGCACACCCTCATCTAGCTCTACTTCTAGAAGCTATACCAAGCAAGTATACTGCGATGACTGCTGGAAGTGGTGGCGTGAGCGAAACAAAAAGTGGAAGGACACAAAACCTGAACCTCCGCAGCTACGCTTTAAAGTTTACGATCGATGTGTAGTTGACATTGATGATGATGACAATCATATTGGAGTAGAATCCTCTTCTTCAACTCGAGAGCATATCTTTGGATCCGCCATACCAAAGGGTGAAGTAATGTACTTTCCTGACTTTTACGATGCTGAGATGGCTGAAGAGATTTGGGATGCTCTTCTGACCGCCAGTCGTGGGGGTTCTTCTTGCATTGATCATGATGGTTCTACAAAGATGAGGGAAGATACTCTCATGTTGATGAAGTCTGGGGATAATTGTGTTAGCGGAGATTTTGATGTTGCCGACCAGGGCACTGGAAACGCAGTAGAAGCCTGGAGTTGGCATCATAAGCTTAAAGACATTGGAGAGAGCATTTGTGGTCTTCAGATCCAAACTCTGCTTTCAGACATGCTCAGAGATTGGGAGTCTCGTTTCGACGTAAAAGTACGAAAACACCGTGTTAACCTCTATACTGACAAGGACTGGAAGCCATTTCACCAAGATAGTCATGGGTACCATAAAGACGATACTGCTGGGGCAGAAGGAGAAGCAGCCAGACAACAGCAAGGAGGCTACTTCGACGACATCACCATAGCTGCAAGCTTTGGCTTAAAGTCACGGGATCTTTCATTTCGTTCCGTGCATCGCCCAGACCTTTTTCACATTCGAGTCGAGCAGTGTCCGGGAGATGTACTCATCTTTGACAAGTATGTCAATGATGTCTGGGAGCATGCTGTGCCAGAATTGGAAGGGACGCGCTGGTGGTCTTCACAAGAAGACGACGATCAGCACGATCAAGCAGTTCACAAGAATAACGTGTTTACTCGGGCAAGTATTATTGCATGGTGCTCTAGATGGAATTCATCGTCTTAGCTCTTGATTGCACATTTGCATTTGCAAGTACCACCACTGACGTGTGCTATTTCTTTGTCGAATACGACCAGGAGAACTAAAAGCTGTCTTCACGCACACACGTGTCCCGCATACCATCATTTCAAAAATCAGACTCACCTTTTTCACACTCATGATTAGTATCTATTAGATATAATCATTTTTATATATAAGTATGATATACGAGAACTTCTAGTTGAGAGAAAAGTGAGGGATGACCGAGAGAACAAGAGTGCTGGAAAGTCTCCGACGACTCAGTCGAAAAGGATACCATGACAGACTCCACTGTGACTATCGTGTCAATAATTTAGCGTCGACGAGGACGTTGAAGAACAACTTGAAAAATTGGCTAGGGTTGTTTTCATCGGCAGTCTGTTCATGACTAGAATTAGATGAACATCTCTCTATCCACCTTAACATGTGAACAACGTTAACGAGGAGGTAAGACGATCCGGAGAAGCTGGTGCGATGTGCGTCACGCATATTCGCCGACGCAGTGGGCGATGGGGAGGAACAGCTAAAGTGTGCTATTGCGTCTAGAGGTAGTTTCAAAGCAGCTTCATCTTACAACAACTACTACGCTGCGCTGGAGGAAGAAGCCGATCTGCACCAGAAGGCGAAACTACCACCTTGTTTTCCCTGTAGCTGTAGTAAGCTGTAGTAAGCGTAGAAGGCGAAACTACCACCTCCCTCCTAATAAAGGGCAACTGGAAAATGCAGACGTTTGATGAGATTCGTGGCCCTGGTGGCAACAAGCGGTCTAGTTCCTTCTTCGAATGTGAACGGGGATGCACCTTCAAATTCCTCGTGCAGACATTCATTCTTTAAGGATACAGGAGTGAATGCTTAACAAGTAAGTAGATGACAACTATGTAGCACTAGTATAGAAGCATTGACTTAATATTGTTATTTCTTATAATAGTTGTTCTACATCAGGGGTCGAATGTACGGCTTCTCCGATAGGTGTAGATTTGTGGCCGAATGTACGGTCTTATGCGCCCCCTCCAGTATATAACTTGTATGACATCATTAGTTGAGCGAGTTTTATTAATTGTTTGAAAGGGCGGTGGCAGATAGTCCTAACGCCACAAAAAAATAATAATAGGAATTGCGTCCTCTGCGACAGGGACACACACATGAACATAGCATTGACTGACAGACTTTGGGAGTTACCCCTGAAGCCAATTTAAATAGAAAGGGCAGCTCATGATCATGAATGTGGTGCACGTTCAGCATGTTATGATGTATGGTTCTGGTATTTTTGGTATAGCCTGAATTTGATCCTAAGGGTTCTCTTCTTGTTTTCCCTTAGGATCAAACTCAGGTTACCAAATACCAGAACCATTCATATGAGTAGTTTTCCACACTTCGCGACCTTGTTCTAATTCCACCTGATATCCCTGTCCGCCTTGCTCACAATATCGCTGTACAATTACCTTCTAATTCCACCTGATATCCCTGTCCGCCTTGCTCACAATATCGCTGTACAATTACCTTCTGATCCAGACGTTACGAGAGTCAGACTCCTACAAGGATGTGCGACTTTTTGCCGGCAGACTCTCAGGGGGCGCAGCGTCAACAGATCATTATGACTAATTAATATTGCATAATTGGGCTTGGGGTAGTTCAAGTTATATTTCAAGAATTTCTTGATCTTGTCCTCGTAGTTGTAGAAATAGAAAAACACGACTGAACAACTAAAACAAGAAGAATGAGTTGTCACCCGTCAAAAGCTACAGACCTTTTGTAGACAGACAAAAAATTTCTTCTTCTAATCTTCAACATCAGCACCTCAAGCAGCTACTACTCCTGACCCGGCCTCGAAACCGGTGGCAGCCAACAGTTTAGAGCTTGACGTGGATGCCGTTACAGAGAAGGCAGAGCTAGTGGCAGCGGAGGCTTTGATGGATGTAACTAGAGTTCCGCCAGTTGCAGCACCAGCTGTTGTACAGAAAGCACCAACAGAAGTTATGAGGATGTAGTCCAGGACTAGATGCATGCGTGGTAGTTTTTCTCATCAACACTTTAACCTACTTATTAAATCTATACTACTAGATCAGATCTAGACTTCATCATTGTTCTACTTCTAGTTGTACACGACCAAGTTCATTGCCTACTAGTACTTCACCACCAGAATCAGAAGCAAAACTTCTTCTAACAAAATAGTCCAGCAAGCTGCTCTTGCGACAACGGCACCACCTCCAGCCTTGACCAATCCTGGCGAGTCGTTTGGAATGGCTGCTTTTACCTCCGGAAAAGATGTCCTATCCTTCACTATCCCAGACGCCGACACGATCACATTCTCTGCATGGATATACTTACCGGAGATTCCGGTACTAGAAGGACTCTCGTCTGTTCTACGTGCGTTTCTAGGTGGTCTTTATTTAAGGAAAAGAAATCACACAAGGACATAGCTTAACTTTCCTGAGTCAGCTAAAGTCTACTAGCTTACCTCAAGTAGAGCAAAAAAGTTATTTCAATAGAGTTTAAGTGCTTTTCGCTTCACAGGGAGAGGGTGAGGGACATGACGTATGATGATCATGACATATCCAAAAATACCAATTTATCTACATCAAACTCCACCAGGGTGACGCCATGCCTTCCGAGAGTCAGAGCATCAAGACGATAGCGAGTACGAAGACTAGCGGATGTGAGTCCACTCCCGACAGCTTTGGTTGGGCTTTTTTTGTGCATGAATGGGGATCCTTGAACCAGCAGTTGCGACTTCAGTGGACAGTTGCAGGAACAGCGTGTCTAGAACTTCGTGCAAAGGCCTTGGTCAAGTACAACAAGTGGCAACTAGTAGGCTTTTCGTTTTCGGGAAAACGGGCTATGATGTATGTGGGGAAACAGTTACGGACGAAAAAGTAATCATGATGAATTTCTAGTAATGGTACTACTTACTCAAGGCGACGAGGAAGCAATCGTCAATTACTAGTACAACAACGAAATAGGAAAAGGAATTGTCGTGCTGCGAAGTGAACTATACTCTAGAAGAAGACGTAGAAGAAAACTAGAAGTACACAGAGACTACAAACCCTCAGCCTCCTTTTTTCCTTCATATCCCTTAGTCTTCAACTCCAAAGAACCTACTCTAAACCGATTCCGACCCCTCACCCAAAGGGACCTGCCGAAATCGTTTAGAGTAGGTTTTTTGTGAAGGCCTTTTTGCGGGATCGTCGGGCAGCAGAGCCTGGCCGGTTTTTGCAAACTCCGAAAAACCTACTCTAAACGATTTCGGCAGGTCCCACCTCACGACCATTAGCGTGTGAGTAGTTTTTTACGTTCCATACCTCCTTTTTTCCTTCATATCCCTTAGTCGCAGATTCCGAGACTACAAACCCTCAGCCTCCTTTTTTCCTTCATATCCCTTAGTCGCAGATTCCGATGCTGCCGAGGGCGATTTTTTCGCACGTGGCGCCTCTTACTCAGGTCCACTCTGGCCAAGAGACGAAGCAAATCGGGCTACCGATAAACTCTTCATAGGAGGTTTCAGACCAGAAGCACAGGGAATGCATGGATTCATTTATGGGACGAAAGAAATTTTTGAAACTTGATTGAAACTTGATACAGTGAGGAAGCGAAATCATGATGTAGATGTTGACATTGAGTAAAAAAAGTGATATTGATATTCTCAGCAACAGCATCTTCTAATTCTCGGGTTACATGCTCGATATCCGGTACTACGCGCATTCTTGGGGTACGGATGCGAAGCAGTTTTTCGACTTCTCGACAACGAGAATGGATGATGCCGTAGCACCAGATAAAAAGAACCTTTTAGACAAGACTAAGGTGAAAGCGCATATCCAATTCAAGCAGGCGCCAGGACCTGTCGAAAATAGGATAACGGGAGAGCCTGGAGTAGCGCAAAGCTTGATGAACCCGCAACAACAAGGAGCACCGGCGCCACTATTCAAGAGCGTGCCGTACTACCTCTTTTTGAATGTTGTCGATTGCAGATTTTGTAGCAAACAAATACAATTTGCCTCAGTCTCTCTTGTTGTCCCTTTCGTCGTAATTCTCCTTGGTATATCGTGTGCAGCTCCATATTAATCGCCAAGGCTATACTACATGTGATTCGAAGAAGTTGCGTAAGTCGTACAAGTACCTCCTCGGTTTCGCTCTCGTCCGAATAACCCTTGAACGTGGTCCGGAACCACCCCTACGCCTCCTCTTAGCCTTCCATCGTTGCGTCAGGCTCTCTTCAGATCGGTCTCAACATTTCACTTCAATTCGAACAACATCCCCCAAGACCAAAACCTGTACCAATAAAGTTTTCCCTCATTATACATAGTTAATTTGAATTTATTCTGTCAAGAAAGAAGATATCCGCAACACTAGTATTGCAAGAAAGAACATATTACAGCTCCGAGTACTACTAGTGGAAGTTCCTTGGTGCTGTCGTTTGATCTGCTGAAGCAACATTACTCCTATCACCCTTCATCTTGCTTCTTGCAACATCTTCATGAAATTCTTAGCGTGACTCCTGACAGATTGGCATTACTTATAGATACAACGACACATGAAGTAGGACAGGGGGATGCACAACGAACTGAAGCTTAGCACACGAAAATACATTGCTTCACGATTACTACAGTCACACACGACAGACTCAAACATCCACTAGCGAGCACATCAAAGAAATACAAAATCCAGAGTTGTCAATACCCGTCTTCTCATTTTTGTCATACACACTTCTTATCACGACAACATTCGAGTCATCAATCAAGTACATCTAAAAAAACCTTAAGTAGATCGAGCTAATAATGATCACCACGAGGACCATGGCATACAGAAAAAGTCGAACATGAAGGTGAACATCATCCAGAAAAATAGCTGAACAGACTCACTGGAAACTACTTCTACTTGCTTCTAGAAGATAGATAGATTTAGACAGGAGTCAATTTTTATAATCACGTAATCATGTATTCCTCAGCACAAAAACTTGTTGTTACAGCTGTGGCTGCGCAGCAACTTTTCCTAGGACTTAACGCTGTAGAAGTAAACGCACATGACATACATACACGCCACGGCGCCGTTCAGCCAACTACAGGCTATAATTCATTTTACATAGATCCAGATGAAGAGCTTCAAGATAGTCCTGTACTGGTAGCTAGTAGCACAAAGGATAATAGTGTAATACCAAGTCCTCAAAAACAAAATTCCCAAGGCCGCTCACAACAGAGTATTAACTTTCAACACCAATTTCTTCTAAATGCTAACGATTTAGACACTACTAGTCCTAGCATTGTATCTCCCCCAGCCGCCTCCCGGCAAAGAACCCCGCCCACCACCGAGCAGACCTCCTGCTGCGGCAATGGTGCACCAAAAGATTCCACTACCACCACCGCCACAACCTCTACTAGATACGTCGAGAAACCGGACTTGTCCTGGATCCCGAAGGGTCCAGTCAGCGACATCAATGAGATCACCGATGTCACACCACGTCCGGTGCTTAGTGATGCCGAGATCAAGGGAGCATGGCCCAGTCGGTGGACTGACAAATTTTCAGCCGAAGATTTGATGAAGTCACAGCGGGAGGCGGATTTGATGGCGGAAGAAGTCAGGAAAGAGATGGTGCACTGTTGGAGAGGATATAAGGTATATTATTTGTTAGTTGTCATATAGAAATAAGATTGATGGTTGTTTAGGTTTGTAAAACCAAAAATAAGATGAATTAGTAGAAGAACTACGATGAAAATATGATGAATATCTATATCTTCTGATTTACTTCTTCTTGTTCGTTGTAGTTCTCTCAACTTCAACTAGTACATTCCTCAGCAAATCACAAAACATCAATCCACTCGGAACTACCTCAGTCCACCGCTTGGGGTCGCGACGAGGTCCGTCCCGTCACCGGAGGTGGCCACAACTGGGTGTCAATCGGCATCACAATCCTGGACTCCCTCGACACGATCTACCTGATGGATCTGCAACAGGAATTTGCAGAAGGCGAAGATTTCGTCCGAAATCTAGACTTTGCAGCCGTCAGATCAGGTTACCATTCGTTGTTCGAGGTAACGATCCGAGGACTGGGTGGCTTGTTGTCCGCGTTCTTATGTTCACATGTCACTTGATGCAGCATCATCAGAGTGATCAGGTACAGCCTTGGCTGCACTTCTTTCACATTTATCTCATTTCCATGTCTAACCCTTTCCCTCTCCGGACACGACATTTTCCTGACCAAGGCAGCAGATCTCGGCCAAAGGCTTATGCGAGCCTTCGTACTAGAAAGTGGTTTGCCCAAACCACAGATCGATTTGGCTAGTGGCGGCTCTAGATGGGTGAATTGGGCCAGCGGGACTAATATCGCAGAAGTAGGAACCCTACAGCTCGAGTACAGATTTTTAGCGGCGCACACAAAAAGACAAGAGTTCTGGACGACCCCAGATAAGGCGTTCATGAAAATCGTAGAGAACAGTGAAAACGTGGGCAAGGGGTTGGTGCCGATCTTTTTGGGTACATTTTACAACTGTTTTTGTTCCTATTATTTCTAACTTGTACTACCCTTACCACAACAGATGAAACTCCAATCGCTGTTGTAGTGCCTTGCCATGAATTACAACTTTTTCTTTGTATTTGATTGTTGCAATACAACTACTCACTTTCCATTTCCAACTACCAGGTTCCAAGCAAGCCTCGGCTGCTAGTGGTTTCTTTGGGAGCAAGATATCTCTAGGAGCCATGGGAGACTCGTATTACGAGTATCTCATCAAACAGTACATCCAAAATGGGAAGCGAGATACGAGATATAAGAACCTTTTCTTATGGCGGAAGTATCTATTCTTGTTCTACTTCATCTTCATTTGCTCCTACTGTTCTATTGAAAATAAGTGCCACTGGTAGCTGAGTGTGCTGAAAAATGAAAATACTTCCCAGTATTCAAACCGCATTCCTCTAATCCCAGTCAAAGCCATGAACGAGATGATGGACCGCCTCATTGTGAAGACGAACCGAGGAACTATCTTCGTGGCTGAAGAGAACGGCGGTCGGCGTTTGGATCGCATGGACCATTTGGCCTGCTTCGTGTCAGGAATGCTCTTGTTAGGCGTCATGGAGCTCCCGCAAAGCGATGTGGACCCAAGGTGGTTTCCGGCTGCAGAGGGGATTGCGGAGACGTGCTATAATTATGAACCTGCTCTTCCTTTTGCTGTTTGAGAATGAAAATGAACTTGTAGTACCAGATGAAGTACTACAATTTAGGATGGAGAAGGAGCTGTTGTAGATGTACAACTACATTCACTTGACCTAGATCGTGCTCGACCACGACGACCGTAATATAAATATTCATGTAAGAAAGTACTCCTCAGACAGCACAGACATCCCAGCTTCAACAATCTAAATCTTTCTCTAATGAGAAATGTACAAGCTTGCGCGCACAGGCTTGAGCCCTGAATACGTCAAATTCGATGTCAACGCCAAAGAGGGGCAGCCGGATATCATCCTGCCGCCAGATGGAGCACACAACTTGCTGAGACCTGAGGCGATTGAGGCGATTTATTATATGTGGTACCTTTTCATCAGTTTCATCAGGTCGCGGATGACAGGTGAAAAACTATTCAAATAGAAATCGAATGACGATTAGAAATGCCAACTAACTTCTTGTTCCCACCATATTGTTGAAATCCTTGATGTAACCGGTCACACCAACCTCAACTTCTTCTTCCAAGGTACTACACCGGCGACCCGAAATATCGTGTTTGGGCACGCGAGATGTTTCTGGCGTTCAAGAAGCACAGCAAAGCCAAGTATGGCTACACGGCTCTCCGGGATGTCCGCAACCCGACCATTCGCAGCAACCAGCAGGAATCCTTTTGTTATGGGGTACAGTTTCACTTTCATTTCATAGAAGACTAGAGAACTTCTATGAAACGAACAACTCATCTTGACACACGATATAAGCAGTAAGAGATACGTTGACGTAAGTGGATAATGATGATGTGGCTGGTTGAGAACCACTTAACCACTTCTCTCCATATTTGTTTCCACTCATCCTAAGACACGATTAAGTACTCATCTTGACACACGAACTACAACTGCCTTCTCTCTAATCATCGATGGCTGAGACCATGAAGTATTTCTACTTGATCTTTTCGCCGCGACAGAGATTGGATCTCCATGAGTGGGTGTTGTCTACCGAGGCGCACCCATTCAAGATGCCAATCGAGATGCCGAAGGAGGGAAGATGAGGAGGAGATTAGCTCTTTCTCGAGGAAGGAGGGGGGAAGATGAGGAGGAGACTAGCTCTTTCTCGAGGAAGGAGGGGGGAAGGTTAGGAGGAGATTAGTTCTTTCTCGAGGAAGGAGGGGGGAAGATGAGGAGGAGGAGATTAGCTCTTTCTCGAGGAAGGAGGGGGGAAGGTGAGGAGGAGATTAGCTCTTTCTCGAGGAGGTGGAAGGTAATTAAGTATTACTTAATTAGAAGATCATTAAGTATTACTCACTTCTAGAAGAGTTCTACAACTGAGTAATCAGAGTTGACCTTGAGTGAGTCGGAGACGGGTCGAGAGGTCAACAGGGACAAGGTGTGTCCATATATTTTGATTTCTGAGCTTCATATGCAATGCATGCATGGATGCATAACAAAGTAAATTTGATGACGACTTGTCATGATTCTTGTACAAAAATTTTTGGGAAGGTGATTTTATTTAGTTCAACTTGAATTTTTCAATCTCAATTAAGAGCATTCTTGATTCAAACTCCTAGCCAAACAAATAGCACATTCATTGTTTTCTTGAAGTTACAGTTACACCATGATCGATGACGGCAAAAAATTACGTATTCAAGTTCTTCCCCATAGCAGTTACGTTTTCGTTCAGTTGCACTTCCACTTCCAACAACAGAAAAGCATTGCGGGATTTCCACTATTCAACATGAAGAGCTCTCTATAGCAAACCCGCCGTGCGATTTTCACTTAAAAATCGGAGAAACTACAGGAGCTCCAGACATACCCAGATGAGTTTGATGAAGACAAAAAATCGTCGAAGCACAACAGGTAGTACAGTTGTAAGAAAGTACTTAAAAGAGTTTAAACATTTTCCCGCATAACCGCAACCTTCCTTCCCATAATACCCATGCTGCATTCCCAACCCCACGCCACTTAATTCATTGATTCGCTGCACCAGCTATAAAGAAGACATGGCCTGACGTGATAGATGTTCTGTTGATCTTCTGACGCTTTCTTCGAAGAAGACAGCTGATCTTGATCTATACAACCAATGATCAGGAGTTGATTATAACAGAGAAGTTTATAGCACGCATGATGCATGGAGTGCATGGAGCGCAGATCTCTAAGGGGCGCAAGAGGCGCCCCCTTTAGCTCCATGCGATCCATGCACTCCATGCCATGGGAGCTGGCGAACCTTATACATTACTCTGCTATACTGCAGATCGTTGAAGAAGACAAGAATGTCTGTGCATTTATTTCGCTGAGTTTCTGCTGACGTTGTGTGAATATTCTAGAAGTTACGTTGTGCTGGGAGAGGGAAGATGACAAGGATATCCGTGATGTGGATCATTATTTTACCACGTGTTTATTATGTTGATCCTAGGCCGCGCTGTGGCTGCGCCCGTGCTGCGTCGAGAAAGTCGAAAATTGTAGTTTTATCATCATTTAGTAGCTAATAATTCGTCCACCGTGCTGTCGAGTGTCCGCTACAGCCTTCCACAATAAAAGAAATATCTATATCTATGTATATCTTCGTCCTCCGCAAACAAAAATATGTCTGAACCAGCACCCTCTCCTATTGTCAGCTTCGTCGCGGATTCTGTGGATCTGGCTGACCTCTACATACTTGGGAATAAGGGAGATGAAGGGCCTGAACAGGTAGAAGCAGAGAACCTCATAGATTGGGTCACGCGACATCAAAGTACGGAACAAGGGGATACAGGTTGTGGATCGAGCAGCGCTGTTGTCATTTATGAGCGTAAAAATGTGCATTTCTTCTATTGAAACGCACGGTTACAACTTAGTTTTTTTTATACTACGTACTGGAGGTAGTTGGTTTCTCGTGGTCACCGCACCATGTTGTAGTTGTTGTAATTCTTTACGGAGTATTATAGATACTTCTAGTCGTGCATGACCCACTTTCATCCTCCAAGTCGACAGAATGATCTGGTACGTATGGTCCAGAAGAGGCCTACGGACCTGTACAAACTAGGAGACGTTATGGAGCTTGTCCATCAGGACAAAGAGGCCGGTTGGGCTATCGGACGCTCGCTAATGTACTATACAGAACATGCCTTCCCGTTGGAGTTTACAGAGCAACTGTACTACGACTGGAACAAGAAAGTGGACGATGAAACTACAGATGCAACTAGTCGTGAGTCCCGACGTGATCCACGTCTTCTGAAGGCCCGTATAGCCGCACGACGCGCGACAAAAAACAGAGGCAAACTGTGTCCCTATGCTAAGTTGGTAGAAGAACCATTGGTGCAGCCTGCTAATGCCCAAGTGGCTCTTGCCCAGAGTAGAGCAAATGTGTGGTCAAATCGCATCGCAGTCGAGAAAAAAGAAGCCGACTTGGAAGAAAAACTACGAGAGCTTGAAGAAGAAATTATAAATCCCGGTGGTGGAGCAGCAGCTTCATCTTCTCGTTCCTCCTCAAGTAGAGGAGGAGGTCAACAAAATCAAAATCAACACTTGGCTTCGTCTTCCAGTACAACTGCTACAACAGGAGGTTCACTAAAAAATTACAGTACCACCTCGTCTTCAAAATCAAATAACATCAACGTCTTCCAGTGTCTCTTCGTAGTTGGCATTGAGAGTATACCTGGTTTTCGAGTGGTTCACCGAATTCTGGGTTTCGACCGCCGTAATTTTTCTAGTATAGAGGCTGTTGCCAAGGACGTGGTCTTGCGTGTGAGAGGTCGTGGAACGCATCCACGCGACAAGCACATCCCGCTTCAAATCCAACTTGCGGTGAAGGGTGCTGAAGCGTATTTGCTGGTAAGGCATATGCTAGAAATGCTGTTGAAGAAGATTTATGCAAGTTATGAGGAAAAAACGGGTGTAAGAGCAGCTGTTGAAGAACAAGATAGAACAAGTAGTAGAAGTTGTACAAAGATGAAAGAGTCCTCGTGTAGTGCGGAAGATTATAAAGACACAACTTCCAGCACTGGTGCTGCAGCTGAAGAACTTGTTGACGAGGAAAAGGAAGAGAAACAAGAGGAAGATCAGCCTGCTGAAGGACAAGACCTAGCAACTCCTGATGAAGTAGAAACGGTAGTTTCTAAGCGATGCACTTTGATGATGCCTCTGATCAATCTGCGCATACTGGAGCATCCAGAGAACTCTCCAATTGATCCTGACTTCGAAAAAACGTGTCGCGAAAGCAACACCCTTTATCAAAGCGAGGACCCCTGCGAAGACGTTGCTTTGTTGTTAGAAAGAAAGGGGACGGCGCCATGGGCAAGAAGTAGAGGAGCAGGAGGAGGATGACAGGATTCTCAGTTTTTGTTGAAGCAGAGGCATGATAAAGACTACAACTTTGAGAATTATCATGTCCGCGATTGGCTTGCTGCCTCTGCGCTCAAAAAAAGAAGATTAGAAGAGAGATTTACAAGAGTTCAAAACTTGATTGCCACTAGCGCGCATGCGCTGCTCGCTTTGCTGCACCAGAGGTTTACTTACCTAAAAAAGCCAGCAATCGGTAACCACGATAAAAATGAACCGCCCCTACTTTTATGGGTGAGTATATTAGGAGGTGCTCTGGTTTCTGTTGTAATTGCAGCCCCTGTAATGATATAGGTACCTCCAGTCCACCACAAAGTAGTTCTGTATTTCGGTTTTGTTCTTAGTCCCATCGGTTTATCTGTGAAGATGCAGTGAGTGGATTATGACTGAGAGACCCCGACACCCTCATCAAGTTGACTCAAATGCTATCGGTATTAGCGTAAAAGCTGCATCGATCTGTCATCGGATATTGACTGCACCTGCAGTTGTTTAAACAACTTATCAAAGCTGCATCTGTCATCGGATCTAGTGCAGTAGTTTAAAGAACTTATCATGTTATCGTTCCCCTCAAAACCCACTGGATCTCGTTCTGTGCAAGAAAAGACATTAGCTTCTGTGATGATATCTTGATTATGAAACATTACAACCTACCATGTACCCATGTACAAGAACTGAAGAATAGAAGCGAGGACATGCAGATCATGTATTGTAGTATTATTGAGTCCCAGACGACAATCATGATGTTGATGAACCTGAAAGGCTAGGCTTCTGACGATGCTTTCGTCTTCTACGTTTTCTTCCCCACAGCCACCTGCTTAGGCGAAAATGGTTCGTCTAGATAGGCGCGCCGGCGGGGCCGCTGGCCGTCCCGAAGACCAGGGGCAGTTTTTGTCTCGAGTCAAAACGGCTGTGCTTCAATCTGAAGAATTGTTGAGCGATGAAAAGACTCGACAAGGACTGGAAGCAGAGTTCTTGCCCTCTGTCCTCGGTCCGAGCACTGGTGGTGGTCCGTCGAATACGAAGGCTAAAAAGACTTCTGACAACACTACCACTGCCCGTCTCCTCGAAACTGTCACTCAGCTTGCTTGGGACACCCTTACTTCCGAGCGCAAGAAAATCGCCGACGCGGAGAAACGCAACGAACTGTTGCAAAAGCGGCAGGCAACGGCGCAAAAGGCCTATCTACAAGAAATTACGATGTTACGGGATCAAGCGCGACCGAATCGCCAACTCACATGCGAAGAGGAGGCGAAATTACACGAATTGGCGCCAAATACGCTATTTTACGAACCGATGAAGTACTTCTATCAATCTTATATCATATAAATAGAGTTCTTATAATAGAGTAAGTAAAATATCGGGTTTCGAGTTACTCGAGTTGCAACGAGTTGCTCGAGTTGCCGAAGCGAAGGGTTTCAATTCTGGAACGAGTTGCCACGAGTTGCCGCAAGATATCCGCTTCACCGGAATGCGGCGCAGCGGGGCGGTATGGCCACGGTTTTGGCTGCGTGGAGTGACGAAGTGGCTGCTTTTGTTGTTGCTCTCTCACGAAGGGGGCAATCGGTTGCGAAGGGCTCCCCAGCGAGCCCCCCCGGCTTTTTCTCTTGTAGCGTGTGGGCGCGCGTTTGAAGCGCCGGCATTGAGGGGCCGACGGCTTCGCCTCGTTGTGGTTTTTGTTTGAGGGAGGAGAGTGTCGCTGTGGCTTGTCGTTGGGTCGGTGCCAATCTCTCCCTTTTTTCTTCGGATGTGTGCGCGGCCAATGAGTCCCTTTTGGGGCTGGGAGTGGCAGTGAGTTCCCGTCTGCTCTGGAGAGCGGCCCACTCAGCCTAGGACGAAGTAAGTAGACTAGAGCACGCGGCGGATGCCTTGCGTGTTTGATCAAGTGGCTGGGAGGAGTTCCCGAGCTGAAGGTGGTTACTCACTCTCGTCTCTGGTGCGCATTAAGAAGAAAACCAGGGATCGGAGGCATGGCGTCGAGTGTCGTACGCTCCTGCTAAGGTATCTCGGAGCCTCATAAAGCTGCGCCCGAAGGGCGCCGCGCAAAAAATTACGGTGAGCAACTCGAGCAACCCGAGCAACCCAAGAAACTCGACCCGTGACGGGCCAAAAAATTCCTAATTCTATTATAAGTATTTTTGTTACAATTTGTGTTCGTCTTCGTGTACAACGTGTTACAGCTTCTTGTCGATGTCGACCAGCTGCCCGCCTGAGCGCCTGTTCTCTTTCCTTCAGTTCGGGTATGCTTCGATCATTTCGAACTATGCCTGTAGTTCTCTTTACTTCGATTCGCAGGTTCCTCGACGACGACACGCGTGACATCGTGAAGATGATCGTTGAGGAGCAAGTGAAACTAGTGAAGAATGAGGTTAATTTCGAAACCGAACGCATCGAACGGGCTAGCAAGATTGAAGAGATCAAGCAGAAGAAGGAAGATGCGAATCTCGAATACCTAGAAGCGGAAGCAGAAAAGGGACGCTTCTATCAGCGAAAGTGTGCTGAAGCAGAGGCTGAAGTCGAGCAAGAGAAGAAAAGAGGACAGGAGATCATGACACGTATCTACTGCTTATTTACTGTTACAACTTTATTAACTTATTTTTTCGGATCATGCACACGTCGCCGTCGTCATCAATTTCATCCATTCCAGCACCAGCTTCCTCGTGGAGTACTAGCAAGCTTGAAAACAAATGGTCTTCTTTCTTTCTCACTCACTCTTTTCTTGTTCCTCTTTTCAGGTCTAAACGCCCGCATCGCCCAGTTGGACGAGGAGCTTCGACTCAAAAGAGAAGAAGGTAAGGCCCGCGAGAGTAACAATCGAGGTTTGCTGGCGGACATCCAACGACAAAAAGACCAAATAGCCGACCAAACGAAAACCATCGAGACTCGTAAATCCGAAAACGCAGCGTTACAGGCACAAATAGCCCAAAAAACCGAAGAAGCTTCTTCATTAACCATTGCTTTGGAGAAATTGAAGAAGTCTGAGGCTGAACTCCTTATCCGATTGGACAAAGAGCAGAAAGAACTTCGCGCAGCAAATATGGACTTAGCTACCCAACTAGATGAACGAGATGAAAAACTACGGCATCTCGAACAAATGGCAGCATCGGCAAGAAGAAATGCGGATGAAGCGGAAGTAGAGAAGAAAGAATTAGAAGACACGCTGGAGGGGAAAACGAAGGAGTTCGAGCTAGAAATTTCGCATCTGCGTCAACAATGCGAAGCAGTGGCTTCGCAGTCTATGCGATTCCAGGAACAGAACAATGAACTAGTCTCAGAGATGGATGGAAAAGTGCGGGCGATTGAGTCTCTATCGTTGGAAGTGGAACAACTCGGAACAGATCTGGAACGTGTTTCAATAGCCTTGTCGGAAAGAGAAAGGAATGAAAGCGCTTTAGGCAGTAGTTTGAGCACGGAGACGGAATCAAAAAAGAAGTTTCAACAATACTGGAAGGAAAAACAAGCAGAAAACAAGGAACTGGTGGAGAAGGTAGCGTTGTTGGAAAAAAGACAGGCTGAACTGGAGATGGAGAAGGGGCAAAAAGTTATGGTTTGATGATAGGAAGCCGTTGTCGTACACCGATCTTTCTGAATATATTAGAAACTGGTCCTCCTCCTCACAGGCAGTAGAACTTCCTCCCGTGTATTTACAGACTGTCGTCGTCTTGACTTTCAACCTCTAATCAACAAAGCGATTGCTCAGTCGAGGTGGAAAAGCGCAAACTAGCCGATATCCGCTACGAAGAGGGCCTGCAAGAACTCGAGAAAGCTACGCAGGTTCAAGACGAAATGCGCGCTCAACTTGCCGAAAAAGATGCTGAGAAAGCAGACCTAGAAACTCGAATAGCAGAGTTAGAAAACGAAGCACGCGGCGCTGAAGCCGAACGCGTCGCTCTGGTGGCAGAGAAAGAAGAAATAGAAGCCCAACGAGAGTCGTTGGAGAAAAAGGCGGATATGCTAGAAACAAACGTGGTGAATCTGAAGAACATCGTGCAACTGAACAACGAGTTCTACGCGAAATATACTGGTGCACCATCAGCTGGTAGTTCTGCAAAGGATGCGACCCCGCGACCGCCTGGAAGCAAACAATCTTCATCTCGAGGAGGACCGCAGCAGTACAGGAGTGATCACGAAGACACTCGTGTTCTTCGTGTAGGAGTGGGCCACGCCGGAAGTAGTTTAAGAGGTCGCGGAGGCACCAGGAGTGGCATGCATTCCTCCTCATCATCTTCTGCCGGTGGAAGTAAGCGGAGTGGACGCAGATCCAGGTCAGACCGACGCTCGATGTCTGCGTCTCCGCACTCTTCATCCTCTTCGGGTGAAGATTCTTCCACCGATGGCTCGTCCGACAGCGAAGACGGGTCTTCCTCCGGCAGTGGTTCTAGATCCTCCTCACCAGGCGACGACGAGCGTACTAGCAGTGGCAGCAAGAAGAATATCAAGGACCAGATCGCGAGTGAGATAGAAAGGAGTCTCTCAAGAGCTGCAGGAGCAGCAGGAACAACTGAACAAGGGCAATCATCTTGTAGAAAGCGAAAACACAAAAAGAGTAGAAGAGGTACTAAGCGAAGTCGGAGAGTAGACGCCGAAAACGCTATAGAGCAAGCAGGTCCGGAGGGTCCATGGGATTTTGAGGAGTCCTTTGATGGCACTTTGGTGGCAACGCGACGTGGTGGCGAGTTCTTCGACGAGGGAGGGGCCGCATTTGGGGCTTCCATTATGGCTGAACAATTATATCAGTATCACTTACTCTTACTCATCGTCATCTGTTTCTTAACTTTATAAAATGGAAAGATCTAATATCCACGACCTCATTTTCATCTCTAATCCAAGAAGCAACGCGTTCTACGGTACCAAAAACTCCACCCTTTACCGCTCCTCAGTCCGCAGTTCCGTGCGACAGTCCAAGGCTACCGACTTTTGGGCCAATAAGGATGGCGCTTCCATGACTCGGTTCTGGGATCAACGGCAGAGCGTCTTCACCGAATCTCAAAAAGGCTTGCAAGCTTTAGACGAACGGCTGACGCAAAATCTACTGTGGAAACGACAGGTTCTGATGTCTAGGACAGCACAACACACGAAATACGAATCTGCTGTGACCTTTGATCGCAGATATGCGGGACATGATAGTGGTAGTGAGGACGGTGGGGAGCAAGGACGCGAAGATGATGGTGCGAAGAGACGAGGGCGAAGTGGAACTCGACCACATGGTGGAACAAGAGGGAAGTCATTGCGAATGGTGAAGTCGCTGACCTCATGGCCGACCACGGGAGCAGGTGGAGCTGCAGTGGCTGAGAACAAAGCGGCTGCTCCTCCGGTAGAGGTCGCTTCTGTGCGCGATGCATCTAGCGTCGCTTCTCCTGCTTCTACTGTCGGGAGTGGAGTCCTTGGTGGTGGTACTAGGTTGGAACCTCCTGTTCAAGACCAGGATCATCTTCAGAGCGGTCTCAATACCAGAAGCATTTTCTCGACTCGTCGAAATCGTGGTTGCATGTTGAACTCCAGTCGCATCCCGTCAAAAAGGCCCTCGTGGAACACGAGTGTCTTCACAGTAGCTAAGCAGGAAGAACGCTTACCGAGAAATCGCTCAGCTGGGTTGCGCGACGATTTTAGAGCCGCTTGGGGTTCTGACCGAGACACGCTACTGCAGAATGCTGCTGTGTTTTTGAAGCGAACGCGCAGGTGGCGAGGTAGGCCTAGTGAAGTTGTGGACAAAAATCTAGCGCGATTGCCGTTTTCCTTCGGCCCTAGCGCTGCGGCATCGCTGAACGCGACCCAGCGGCTCCTGAGTGACGGCGAAGTTTTTGGGGAGACGGCGACGAGAGCTGGTCGCCAGAAACAAGCAGGTGATGCTAGTAGCAGAGGGAAAGAAGTCTCCATCCAGAATAACGTGCCAAATGACATGACAGTTACTTCTTATTCTGACAAGAGTTGCACATCCTTTGTCCGATTTCACAGTAGTGCGGAAGAGCCGGCGAGGACATCGACTGAAGCTGAACAAGCAAAAGATGCCAGTGGCAACGCTGCCAGTAGTGCGACTAAAACTACCATGTTGACGAGCAATGAGGCTGCTGAGGAAAACGTTGCTGTTGCATCAACCAGAAGCACCGCAAGAATCGCACTGGATGGTCTCTTCGGTTTGGGTAATATCTTTCAACAAGCCTGTCCTGACGTAGAGGGCGAAGATACGCGCCGCATTATCGATGCCTACGGCTTGGTCGTGAACGTCGCGCATCCCCTTCTGTATCGTTCTGCACGAGGATACGGCGATTTAGCTGCGCCGCGTCTGCTGCGCAAATTAGGCGTGTGTGAATCCAGACGGGACGTGAAGATGCTACAAAAATTGCACAATTTTGGCGACCCCGATCAAGCTGACAACTACTTTTTGAGTGCCGCGGGTTTATCGGAATATCATGACGTAACTTTATTTGCCAGTTCGTTGTGCGGAGATGGAGGCGTACTCGGCGATGAGCACATGCATGACATCCTGTACAGTAGTGGAGGCTACGCGCCTGGTCACTTGATGGACGGGTCTTCGTACTACCACACTGGTGGGCAACGACATCATGAACTCAGTGGTGGTGGCATGCTTATGCGAAGAACCAAAGACAGTGCCACGTCCAGCCACAGCGGTTCGTCGGTCGGAGGGCGTGCTGATCCTAGGATTTTAGAGCGCATGGCACGGGGCTTGGCTATCGAACAACGACAAGGAGGGGGTATGAAGGAATGTGACGCGTTTCGTCGTGGTGCAGCAAAGGATGTGATGCGATCCACCTTTCCGCCCACTGGTGCCGCGAAAGAAGCGTTAGAGCGCAAGCAGCGTCGACGCGCTGAACGACACCTGCGACGAAAATACAGGTCGAACAAGTGGGTGTCCGCGGCCGCTCACGAGTCATCCGGTGGGTCAACACGTCGTGTAACTGGTGGCTTGATGGCCACTGATAACATGATGATGCGGGGAACACAGGGAGGCGCGCCAGCCTCGGAAATGGAGAACGAAGTAGAACATGTCATGCTTGGAGACGGGCAGGAACATGATCAAACCTCAACGCTGTACCGAGGAAGCAGAGGTGGCTCGCATAACTCTACCCAGCGGAGCAGCGGAGGAGGCGCGACTAGGGTCGACTTGCAATACGGCAGTGGACTGTCACTTGCAAGAGGTCCGCCAAGCATGAACGCAAGTCACAGAAGTCAAGCCTCCTCTCGTCGTGGCCACGATCATGACATGGGTGTCGAGGGAGACCAAAATTCCACAATGGAGCACGACCAGATCTCGCAAGCAGGAGACGACATGTCTAGCAGAAGTGCCTCAGAGCGTGGCTCTTCTCGCAGCGGCAGCGAGCAGGGTCGTGGAACAGTGAGAAGAGGGTTTTTACTGGTCGATCCTCCTGAAGATGGCATGGATCCGATGTCTAGCGCTTCTCAGACACACCGTTCTTCTAGTTCTCGAGAAGAAAGTGCATCAGAAATGTGTGAAGATGGCGCTGACGGCGCTAGCAATGTTGTGGGGGATGAAGATGAGGTTGATGGAGGGGGTGAACATGCTGTTGCTGGTGCAGGAGGAGCGATAAATTCCAACAACAGTTCCAAACGAAATACGAGAAGGTCACTGGCACAGAAAACAGGCTCTAGTTGGACGGAAACGAAAGCGCGATGGACGTGGACTGGTGTACATGCGAAGTTCGGGTCGCAAGAGATGCCGTCAGAGGCTTTGCGCAATGAGCGTCGAGAACGACAGAAATCGCTTCTGCAGTTGTTAGGTGAGATTCTGAATGTCGGAGTTGGGTCGTCGATGGCAGCTGGCGCGAACAACATCGATAATGTGGAGCAGGCTCTTGCCGGAGCCGCTGGCGCTGGTGGAGTTGTAGACCAACTTGCAACTGTCGGAGATGGTCAGCTGCCGAACGATGCTGCTGCTCAACTTGCCGCAACCTCAGGCGTTGATCAAAACGGACAGCGTGTTGTGCCACCGTGGGTGCGTGACATGTTTCTCAAATTGCGACAAGCTTTGTTAGACTCTCAGACCGACATTGCAGATCTGGAGATGCATCGCGATGGTGTCAATTCTCTACTTCAGCACAGTGAGAAACATGCAAAGGATTTACGCGTTCAACTCCACAAATACAGACAGATGCACGACACAGCGCAGAGTTCAAACGGTTTTCGAATCACTGGAGGCCCGAGCGGCAACATGTTAGGAACCGGTGGTATAGGACAGCTCGGAGGTGGTGCTCAGGGAGGTCAATTTTCCGCAACGCAACAGCCTTCTTCCGGGATACAATCACACACAGCAACGGTAACCAGAGGCTTAGGCAGAAGCATGTGGAATCAGCTGACTGACGATATGCAAGTTCAATTGCGAGCGACTGAAACTCAGCTGAGACACACTTTTAGCCGCTTGGATGTCGAGACACAGCAGAAGCTTGAAGCAGAAAATTTGGTTTCGGCTTTGGAGAAGGAGATCCGTCAACTGGAAGACACGTTTCGGCAGAAGGCGGAGGTACTCTGATTTTGTTTCCGTGCTTCGGCTTAACTCATAATTCCATGATCGATCGGGAAATCATACTGCTGCGGTCTACTTCCTTCCGCTTAGCTTTATCCACACTGACCGGAGTTTCGCTTCTTAGGGCAGGTTCCTTCACTTTCTTCACTTATACTTCTCACGTGATTTTTCTTGTTCTTCATCATGATCACTCTCATCCTATTTTCAACAGGGAACTAACTTCGAGAAATGGGACGGCTCGGATAACGAACTTTCAAGAGGGTACAATAGTGACGGCTCTGACGGTGGCAGCAATGCAGACGAGGACGCCGACGAGAAGAAGCCGAAACAGGGTCACGACCGTGACTTTGGCAGCGAAGCCGGGTCTGCTGGCGAGCAAAAAAAACGTCTTGAGATTGGCGGCGTTGTTCCTCCTTCATCGGATAATGATGGAGGGAACAAAACGGACGCAGCTGGAGGAGCAGACGACCACCATGCAGCTGCCGCAGCCGCTCCTGATGTGAACATCAAAGGTGCTTGTGCTACAACAAGACAAGACGAAGAGACACTTCTAGGATACACAAACAAGGAGCTGTTGGAGCGTGTGCGGGAGCTAGAGGTTGACAAAGAAGAGTCAGAACGCGTGATCCATCGTTTGCGCCTGATCATCAACGAGATGTCGATGCGGCTTGTCAGGTTGAAGAGCACTATGGAAGCGCATGAAGATCTCAATAATGGAAGGAACAAAATCCACGGAGAAGGCAATGCTGGAGGACTAGGCGGTGACGAGTTCAGCACCATGATGACGGGGTCAGCGCACAGTCCGATCCCGAATATGCGTGGGACCACAACGGCAAAGAACCAGATGAAGCAATCCGAAACAGCCTATGAGCGGATGTTCCGTCAGTGCGGGTTGGGTGATTTTATTGCCCGTGATCCTGGCAACGTTTTCAATCGTTTGTATCAGGACGCTCTAGCACGCGTTCAGCGATTGGAGGATGCGCAGATGCGACAGCAAACAGAGTCAGTGTTACAGATCTTTGGCAACGAAGAAGGCATTGTGTCGCCAGTTGTTGTGGAACGCGCTGCAAAAATCGCCACAGGATTCTCATCTGGAAAACTGAATGCTGACGCATTTGTTGTTGGAGCACCACCGCCAGGATCGTTTGCAGGAGCTGCTGGCGCGGCTGCTGCTGGAGATCAACAGTTGCAGCTAGCAGTTCAAGACTGTTCAGCACTCAGTGGCTGCGCCTCCGCAGCTGCAGAGACGTGTACGACATTGGCTAGTACATTCTTGCCGTCGACGGTAGCTGGTGACCCACGACACGAGCACTCACTGTCATCAACTTTCAACCCAGCATTGACCAAGGAGTCTTTCCAGTATTTCCAGCCAATCGGACAGGAGATGTCAAATTCTAGTTCGACGTCAACTGCGCCACCACCTCCGCTGCCTAGCAAGGCAGCACACGCGAATAGCGCCGCGGCAGGGACGTTTATGACCGACGATGGCCACCGCCAGCAACAAGAAGACATCTCCACTTCCCAAGTGGATGCTGGAGCTTCGGAACTAGGTGAATATTCTAGTCAGTACTACGATGACGCTGTTTCCGTGTTGCGCACAACAGGAGCGGTTTCGAATCAGTCATCTCTAGTTGTGCGGCCTGATAACGGTTGGTCGGCATCAGAGTCTTCTAATGATCATACGCGCACAGACGGGTTTCTGACACAAATGGAGACGACTACGAGAACAGATGAATATCCCATCGATCGCGGTGGTGAGAGCAGTGATCAGCAACTGGAGCTTTACAACAATGGGAATGCTGGTTCACCAGGAGGTGGTCGTGCTGGTCAGCATCACCTACAAGCCTTGCAAATACATCATCAAGAACAGCAGCAAAACGAGCCAGGAGGCGCGGGAGTTTCATGGGTAGGTCGGCAAGCTCCTGTGAGGCGGTTGTCGGATGCAGGGACGCATCGCGCTTTGCCACAAGCGGCTTCACCACCGATCATGTTGCAGGCATATCAGGCACCGGGTCGGCGATCTACGCGGGCCGGTGCTGGAGGGCAGAAAAATGTGATTTTAAGTCCACTGCAACAGTCACCACCAAAGCAGTTTTTCGTTGTGCAAGAAGACCCAAGCATACTAAACAACTCAGCGTCACTGTCGGCATCTATGTCTTCATCGACGAATCCGCCGCCTGGAACGATGAGTAATACTGTAAGCGGAGCAGGAGGAGCAGGTCTAGCTGCTGCGAGCAACGCCGTATCGACAGCCCAGCAACCGGGCACTCTAGCAACCCGTGGCGCAAGTCGAATCACAGGAGGCCTTTGTCAGGAACAGCAAATGCTTCGAACCGGTAAAGCGATTGAGACGACTCCTGGAGGAATCACAGGAAAACCCACTGGCGCAAGTGTGGTTGTCCCTTCTCCACTTGCTCTTGCTGTCGACAGTGTTTCCCCGATCAAGCTCTCTGCCTCTCCAGAAAAACTGAGCCCTCTTAAGGTCTCTCCGATGAAGGGTAAGAAACTGATGCCACGGCGCTTGTTTGAGCACACAACTGGAGTCGACGTCTCGTCAGAAGACGCGTACACTTTTACGTCTCCGTGGATGTCGAAGAATAGAGCTTTGTCTTCATACGAGCAGCTGAGTAATAGGGGAGAAACTGACAGTTTCCACCTCGCGTCCACACACTCGTCACCCTTCAAGAAGACGCCTCACAAACAGCCGATGTTGTCCCCACTACATCACGCATCACCAGCGGGCGTTGTATACAACACAAATGCGGCAACGTCAGAAAGCAAAGCAGCGGAGCGTACCTTTGTGGGGAGCTACTCGCGGAAGAGCCCCGCGAAGTCGTTGTGGAAATAAGCAGGTCCTGTAACGACTTACAATAGAAATAGACTCCCCATTCCGATGTATTCAATATGTTTTGACAATACTAGTATCTATACACCATTTTGTTGAAAAAATGCGGCATACCGAAATGTCCAAGCGAGGATTCATTGTACTTACCATCACACGACACGACTGGTATCAACATACAAGGTGTATATGCACAGCAACGACCAGCATGTAAATAAACAAATGCATCAACGTTAGTACGCTAATTCATTCATTCACTCATAGAGCAGGTTCACAGTCATCAATAGACAAGGACGAGCACGAAGGCCTGATTCGTGATTATGATAAAATTGAATGAAAGCACTAAGCCCAGAGGCCCTAGAGGGAGGGGACGTACTCCAGTTGATTTTGTACTCGCAATTGCAAGGAGCCGATTTTTTGGTATTCTTGGAGGTTGCTCGTCTTGAAAGAACATCCAATGTGAACGTTAAAGGCGCCAAGACTAGGCTCGAGAGAGTCCCGTCGAGGCTTTCCGAAGGATGAGTGGTTGTGTTTTGTCAAAGTTGGAGAACATTTGTTGCTGTGGCGCGAAGAATGTCTGAGACCAGCGTAGCCTTCACATACTCACTCCTCGGCCGGGGCCGGGGCGAGGAGGACGGAGACTATTGATCGTGATCCTCGTCCCCAAGGCAGATATGAAATGATCATGATCTTCTGGTTCCAAATCGCGGAGAAAATGACGATCCACAGGAAGACTAGGCAGTCGGTTAGGTTGTAATCTGAGTTTCTTGAGCAGTCTACCCCAGTCTGTTAGAGCTTGTCTAAAAATCTTGTACTTGCAGTGGTTGCGACAGAAGTGTCCTTTGTCTAAAACAACGCGTACTCAACATGCTGATTTCCGTCTTTTGTATGTGGGTGGTCGGTGGTGCTTGAAAATCAGTTGAAGATATTCCATGTGCAAAAAGACCGATACCTCTGCTGTTGATCCTTGTCAAAAGAAAATGATCAGGATGATTGCCTGGCTGTCGTGTGCCAAAGAAATGGATCATATACTCGATTTCTTGGCTCTGCCTTGCCATTGTGAAGGAAACTAAGCATCTCTGCTGCTTAACAATCCCGGCTTCCTAGCAATAAGTGTTTGATTTCAATAAAGTCAATTTTGATTGAGGAGCAATTTTGGTTGAGAAAAATAATCCTTGCTGCGGTAAAGAAGGTTAATTGTGTAGAACAAGTGACTAACATGAATAATATATGGCCAAGCAATGTTGATCAAGTTTGCGTGAAACCTCTCCTCCCTCTACTCTCCTTTCTGTCTTTGTGTATGAACAATGACGAATATCCTAATCCAAATTGCTCGTTTTGTGTGACTCTTATGTCATTGGTAGGAGACGACCCTCTTGGAGGTGAATCGGTACATTTTGTACATTTTAGTAACCGAATCTAAAGATACTTGTTCCAAAACCTTGATCATACACACTAGAGAACAATTTAAAGATGGTGGATGTTGTGACAGATAGTCTTATCGTGGCGCCATGCGTCTTGGGTCTGGTTTGGTCCGCCAAGGAGTGCATCTACTTGCGTAACGTCAAACTCGATGGGCATGCTGGTATGCTCACCAAAAACGACAGCCTCGGTAAGCTTCCGCGTTTTTGCACTTACTTGGTTTTGCAATGCTTGACTGAACTAAATGAGTCTACAAAAGGCACTTTCACATTCACTCCGACATGTGTCCTTAGCTGTGACGCTTTGAAAGCATTTTGGGTTTTTACCCCGTGCGACTCGTGTTCAAGAATTCGAATGCTACACCCCCTCACCTACATCCAGGCCAAGACGCGCAAAAGATTGTCGCTGCGATGACCGAGATCGCTGGCTACATCAGTGAGGGCGCTAACGCCTTCTTGATGAAGGAGTATCAGTACATGATGGTCTACATTGTGCTGTTCAGCTGCATCCTCACCCAGGTCAATATGGCTACCGTTGTTGCCTTCATCGTTGGTTCCGTGACGTCGATCCTCAGCGGATACATCGGAATGAAGATTGCGGTACTCTCTATTTTAGACGACCCTTGCTGTTGTTGTTGTTGTTGTTGTTCCTGGTGCTAATCCTGGTGCTAATGAGTCTCCTACTACAGAAACTAAAGAGAAAAATTGTTGTTTTTTCCGTATTGTGATTACCCTTAAGAAGATCGTTCGTGCTAACAGGTGTACACCAACGTGCGTACTGCTCATGAGTGCTGGAAGGACCTGGGATCCGGGTACGACGTTGCCATCCGAGGTGGCTGCGTTATGGGGTTGTCCTTGGTGTCTTTGGGTGTCCTGGCCCTCTACGGTCTAATCATCTTCTTTGATTCCGCTTCCGATCCCTTTGGCTTCGGAGCTGACAAGTCCGCTTTGTTCGACGCGATCGCGGGATTTGGACTGGGTAAGGAACTCCTTTAAAGCCGGACAAGAAGTTGTATTTGTAAGCACCTGTCGCTTTAGAACTTTACAAGAGAAAGATGAGTACGACATCCCTAATAAACCCTAAACCCTTCGACCATCGCCCTCCAACAGGTGGATCCTCCATCGCTCTCTTTGGTCGTGTCGGTGGCGGTATCTACACGAAGGCAGCCGATGTTGGTGCAGATCTGTCCGGAAAGAATGACTACGGCCTTGATGAGGACGATCCACGTAACCCAGCCTGCATTGCCGATAACGTCGGTGACAACGTCGGAGATGTCGCTGGTAAGACTTTTTTTGGAGTTTTTTGTTCAACATTGACTTAGTTCTCTTTGTTTTCCTTTCGACGAGGATCTACTGATTAGTTGCAATGAACGAGAGGAAGTGGGTCACCATACCGGAGAAGACTGCGTGTTCTTTCGCCGCTTCGTGAATCTCTGAGCGACGAGGACTCGCCCGCAGCAGCAGTCTTCCCTACCTCGACCTCCATCTCCCTCTGCACCACCACATCGCAGGTATGGGCGCCGATTTGTTTGGTTCCTTCGCTGAGGCCACCTGCGCTGCGCTCGTTGTTGGAGCCAGTTCCGCTTCCTTCGGAGCAACCGGAATCGCGAACAACTGGAATGCCATGATGTTCCCCGTCTTGCTTTCTTCTACGGGAATCCTAGTTGGTGTCGCCACTCTGTGCCTCGTCAACCAAGTCTATCCAGTCCGTGATCTGCCGGACATCGAGAAGGCCCTCAAGGGCGTGCTCGTGATCTCGACGGCGTTGGAGATTCCAGTAATTCTTCAAAATCTATAAGTTAAACAACTACACGGACTTATAATTTTACATTCGCAGCACATCACAACTTGTTGTTCCAGTTCATCTAGTGATTCATTCATACTAGCATGCTCTTGATACCCGCATTATTTCAAACCACCTTCAGGTCATTTTCATCTTAGCAAAAGTTTTCCTTCCGGACACCCCGTTCGACCTCGCTGAAAACGCCAAGGGTGTTACATGGTTCACCGCCGCTATCCCATGCGTCCTCGGAGCTGTCAGCGGACTGATCATTGGTACTTGTTGTTTTGCTGGCATATATGGGTCATAGGTATGTAAGAACCACGATGAAGGATAAAGAAGAAGCTTTGGTTTTCAAGGTAGAAGATGCTCGTGGGGATTGAAAAATTATCAGCACGTCGCTCGTCACTGAAATTAATATACAGGTTTCATCACCGAATATTACACTTCGCACTCCTACCGACCGGTCCGTGAGATCTCTGAGACTCAGCGTGTGTCCGCCGCCACCGGAATCATCTATGGTCTTGCTCTCGGATACTTGTCCTGCGTTATCCCAGTCGTATGCCTTGGTGTGACCATTTTGGTCGCTTTCACCCTGTGCGGGTCCTACGGTGTTGCCCTTGGCGCCATTGGTATGTTGTCGACCATGACTATGGGCCTGACGATCGACGTGTACGGACCCATCAGTGACAACGCTGGTGGAATCGCGGAGATGTGCGGCTTGGGCGCGGAAGTGCGTCGTCGCACCGACGCCTTGGACGCGGCGGGAAACACCACCGCTGCTATCGGAAAGGGCTTCGCTATCGGCTCTGCTGCGCTCGTCTCCTTGGCCCTGTTCGGCGCCTACTGCGTGCGAGCGAACGTACTTATAACTTCTGGGTTTCACTCCTCCACTCGTCGTCACATCTACTATTACAACTGTAGTTTTGCATAAAGTTGACAAGAAACAGTTCTTCTAGAACAAATGGAAGAACAAATGTTTAGTCTTCATTTAACCTTGACCACCGGAACATCACGAATATTAATTGCTAAAGCTTCCTCCATCCACCATGCATATCTCAGGTCGAAACCGTCGATATCCTCGATCCGTGGTGCTTCTCGGGTCTTCTCTACGGTGCCATGATGCCGTACGCGTTCTCCGCTATGACTATGAAGTCAGTCGGCGAGGCTGCCAACGATATGGTCAACGAGTGCATGCAGCAGTTCCCAAAGATCTTATCCGGAGAAATCAAGCCAGACTACCAGCGCTGCATCTCTATCTCCACAGAAGCTTCCCTGCGAGAAATGCTTGCCCCAGGAGCCTTGGTCATCCTGTCTCCTCTGATCGCTGGTCTCTGCTTCGGAAAGAACTGCACAGCGGGTGTGCTCTCGGGTACTATTGCTTCTTCTATTTGGGAAAACACACTCTTTGTTCGTAACACGACAGAGCTTCAGAATCTATCATACACACTTACTAGCTTGTTCTGCTCGTTTTTTCCATGATTCCTGAGGTAAATCAACAATTTTCATTTTGATCTCCCAAGAACGCCTTTCCCCAACCAGGTGCTCTCGTCTCCGGTGTCCAACTGGCTATCAGTATGAGCAACAGCGGTGGCGCGTGGGATAACGCTAAGAAATACATCGAAGCCGGTGGCTTGGGACCAGAGTTCGGAAAGGGCTCCTCCGCACACAAGAACGCTGTTACCGGTACTACATTACTTCTCTTGAAGATGCCCTCTACCTCTAGTTTTCTGATGAAAGTAGGTACTTAGATTGATGGTCGTATCGACAGTTGTCCTCTCGTCCCGTGCATGATGATAGCGTGTGGGCCATAAAATAATCGCCTGATATCTGGTGAACAAGCTTTTTTTAGGCATTATACCAGTAGTACATCAGAGGTTGGGAAATTCCTATCTGACCTCCTTCTCCGCGATTCGGAAATATGTCACTCATTTCTACCATGCTTTTTACTTCAGGTGACACCGTTGGTGACCCATTGAAGGATACCAGTGGTCCGTCTTTGAACATTGTCGTGAAGCTTTCCGCTATTATGTCTCTGGTCTTCGGATCCGTCATTGCCGAGTGGAGCAACCCGGTCACCGGTGGTCCATTCTGGTTGGGCTCCTCTGCAGTTGCTTCCAAGATCCCGACCAAGATGCAGTTGTGAGTATGCCTGTGCGGATAACTTCAACTCCGTCTAGGTCCACTTCAAGGACTACATCATCTTTCTGCGGTGTAAAATATCACTGGTCTGCAGTGAAAAATCAATCAGGCAAGACTTTTATCATCGTCCTGCGCAAAAGGACAGCATGATTCTGAGAAATCTAATGAAGAAACGGGAGTAATGGTCCATGATTACTCGACTGAGGTCATTCTTGACCGTGGATGAGCATCATCCATCATGGCCATTCTTTCGTAAAATGAATCGAGACGTCGTAAAAATGTTCCACCTGTCCCACGCTCGTGTAACTCAGGTCGTAGACTCTGAATTCCCGAATATCTAGTGACTAGTACAAGTACTAGATTCCCATAGAATTATGATATTCGCCTGAATACTTGGTTACATCTACATTCTGCCGCTCAGTTGTTGTAACAAAATCATAAAGGTGGTTGTAGTACATAATCTGAATCCAGCGCATGATTATTCAACAGGACATAAAGATAAAAAAGTACTCTGGGAAGAACAACATAGGATCTCTAGACATCATAAGAATGAAAACTTTTGCGCGGAAGATATGTAGTTGTATCGCTCGAAAATCTATCACTATCTCACTTCATCACTTCGTAAAGCATTCACCTCCTAACGTGATACGACATAGCGCAGCGCAGCGGCCTGTTCAGTCCGCGGATCATCCGATGAGTGCGCATATCGATGTCGATTCCCAATTTTCCGCGCGTTGTTGCACGTTATGTGGCACCTCTGTGCATTGTCGTCGAGTCGGTGGAAGTAGAGGCACTTCCGGAGGCCGTAGAAAATGGCTTTCCACTGTCGTCGGTCAAGAGTACATGGCAATTATGTTGTCATCAAGTATGGTTCCCTACTGTTCTTGCCATCGGTAATCAGCCATAATGGCTCTTGATACGATCTGTCATGGTATTATCCACTCTTTATCTGTGGTCACCCGTTCCTAAAGCTTAAGAGCAAGTTACATCCCCAGCACAACGCTACCACGATATTTATCTCGAATGAATGTAGTGCTAACGAAGCTGTCGGCATATTACGCGTAGGATGTACCATTAATGATAATGTAAGTAACTAATTGTTAGCGAGGACGGCGATAGTAGTACTAGGAGTAGTTGTGGAGCTGAATGCTTCTACGTACTATCGCATTAATGTGATAATGGTCGTAGCCCTCCTTTTCATTACCAAATCATGCCTCCTGCTTTCGACATTCTCCGGTCGACGAGCTTTGCCTTCCAAGAAGCTCTCGATGTGCTGCAACCGGGCGACGCAAAAAGCAGCCGGTTTATCGAAGGGGAGAGTTGGGTACCCTCGCATGCCAATGGAGCGGCTGCAGCGCTCAGGGGCAAGCTGGCGGATGCGCGTGCGTTGATGCGCGATGAGGGACAGGCTGAGGTAGCCTACGAGCGTGTTGAGGATCGCGCTGAAAATATCGCTGCTGGTCGTGACGGAAGCAACCCTTCTGGGGTCTTGAATACAGCCCAACTAGATCCGCGAAGCGTAACCGTCTTACCACCAGGGGAAGTGTCTTCTATAACGCCAATGCTAGAAGAGAAGTGCAATATCCGGCGTTTGGTAGCAGGAAACACGGCTAAACGGTTCAAGCATTTAGGCTACAAGCAAGGCTTACGCGGCGGGCGAGAGATCTGGGCGTTCCGACCGAAAGAGGGGTTGCCAGCAGAGGAAAACCTGATGTCAAATCCATCTTTCTGGGCTCGTGGTCGTTTAATACACGAAGAAGACTGCGGTAACGCTACCAGTGGATGCATCGGTGTCCGATGGCGAGATGGGTGGAATAGGAACTTTTTTACCACACCTAGATGGATCCTGGATCCGATGACGGAGAGGAATAGGACGTTTTTTGGTACACCAGATGAAGCGGCATCCTCGTCTGGTGACAACCTCCACAGCGCTAGTCTTTACAACAGCAAAGACTACGACCCTCGAACTTTTGTGCAGCTAGAAGATGGAATGGCTGGACGCGAAGCTCAAAATCTCGCCGACTTACAGGAGCATCTGCGAGCGTTCATGGGTGAGACGAAACTGAAGCAGTTGATGCATGATCCTGCTGATGCGATTGATGGAGCGGAGAAGGGAGCTGAAGCTCCTCAAAGTCCAGTCGGAGAATGGGGCAAGAAGGCCAAAGCAGACGCGGCAGCATCTGGTGAGGCACCACATGTAAAAGAAATAGCAAAGACTAGTTCTTCTAGTGCGAGTGGTGATGAAGACGCAGCATCTGGTGAGGCAGCTGGGGATGCAAATACTAGTCCTAGTGCTAGTGGTGATGAAGACGCAGCATCTGGTGAGGCAGCTGGGGATGCAAAGACTAGTTCTAGTGCTAGTGGTGACGAAGACGCAGCATCTGGTGAGGCAGCTGGGGATGCAAAGACTAGTCCTAGTGCTAGTGGTGATGAAGACGCAGCATCTGGTGAGGCAGCTGGGGATGCAAAGACTAGTCCTAGTGCTAGAGGTGGTTCTGAAGACAGTGCTTCATCTACTTCAACGCCCGCCACTCCAGTGGAAGATGATGTCCTAGGGCTGAGGATACGTGGTAAAGTCCTGGAAGCGGCGTGCTTTTCTTTCTACGGCGACGAAGGCGCATATGCCGATAAGCATGAGGGACTGAAAGCGAAGCGCGCTTACCAGGATTTGTTGCGGTTTGGCTTCAGAATTTTCAAGAATCCGAATTTTAGTAAGGCGCAAAGTGCAAGCGGTGATGGTGGAGGTGGAAATGCAGGCACCAGTCCTATGGATCTCTCCTCAACCGCAACTGTGCCTCCCGAAGCCGGGAAAGGAGGCAAAAAAGAGATTCCTAGGGACAAAGAGCAACGAGAACAGAGCCCCTTAGAGGAGCCGGAAGGGTTGAGCCACAAGATATGTCGGAAAAATAGAGGAGAACCAATTCTAGATGAAAAAGACTCTGCTGAAGCTGCTGGTGACGGTGACGGTGGCGGGATGGGAGAGGGGCAACAAGGAAAAGAAGGTGCTGGAAGTACTGCAACTTCTGAGAACAAGTCGCACAAGACCAAGAGCAAGCAAAAGAAGATGTCACCCACAGAGATCTTACTTGCCAATCGTGCTGCAAAGAAAGCTCCGATTGCTGAGGCTTCAGAACTCGCTACCAGAGGTGAGTTCATCGTCGAATATCCCAAGCGCCTCGATAACATCTGGGACCGGTTAACTTGTGAACAACCAGTCGGCGACTCGATCAATCGGACTAGTGCTCCACCACTCTTTCGTATTCTCCCAGATCACGATGTGGAAGGCGTAGACATTCCAGTTGCTGGCAGTGAAAAAGATGCTTCTAGTATCGCAGAAGCTGGTGTCGTGTCTGGAGCAGGAGCAGCTCCTACTACTGGTTCATCTGGTACGGTTAAAAGCAAAGACAAACTGATTCTCCGTCTTTTGCAGCGAAGAGCCAGCTTCCCACCAAATCGTGCGCGTCTTGCAGATCTTTTCAGCCGACAAACGCAGTGCAGGCCGAATTCAAAAGTCGACTGCTTTATCGCAACTGCCGAGAACCAGACGACCTTTTTGCATCATCTCCAAGATTAAGGGTCACGATAGTTCATCTTCAAGACAGGAATGAAATGTAAGTCTAAATGAATGAAAAAATCGACGAGGATGAGAAAGTTCATTACTAGAAATTCTCTCACTAAAGCACGACCTCCTTGTGTGAACTCTGAGAATTATATTATGTGGGTAGAAGATGAACCTGAACCATTGTGCTGAGCTCTAAGGAGACAAGAAACCTGGGACACATTTGATCTACGATGTGAAGTCGAATTCGTGGGCCGCGTGTGAGAAAAATCCAGCAGGTCGATTGCGTTGCGCGAAAATGCCTGTAACACAGTTTCCAGTCTTACCAATTTTCCCTTCTAAGGGTGATGATTGGTCTTGGGCTATTCCAAATCGTCTCTATGGTTTCCAAAAAGCTTTGCATGACGCGTGTACTGGAGGAAATGTGGTCAAAGATGTCAAAGAAGATTCTTCACAGAGCAATCTGCCTGAAACGCAGTGCATAAAAGACATAGGAGGTGAAGATAAGCTAGGAATATGCATGGTCACGGATCATATTTTCCGTGTGGCAGCAAAAATTGCGGCATCCGAAGAACATCACGCGGAAGGTGGCGCGTCGCCAGCTGCTCCGTTTGTCGATCTCTCGGATACTTATGGAGGATGGTTTATCGTTTCTTGTTTGCCTTTATTGCTGTTGCTTTTACTCAATACAGTTTTTTGTTGAACTATAATACAAAGACATGATGATTGATGGAGATTGACCACACGCAGACGAGATCATTTGTTGATAATGAAGATGGATTTACGGAAGAACGTTTTGATTCACTCCTACGCACTATTCCTAATCTACATATTGCTATACAACTTGTTCTAATCCCCCAAGCTGTGGGCAGCAGCTCGAAAGGAACTTGCACGTGACCCGGAACAGGTCGCGTGTCGAAACGCCAATGAAGTCTGGGTCATTCCTGAACGTGGCAGGGACTTGACTGTGGGTTCACAAGTCGAAGTTTTTGACCGTTCTCGGAAACCCAAAGTCGGCGAGTGGCTACGTGGCAAAGTCGAAGCAATTCTGGGCAAAAAGGATGGAGGTGACGACGAGGAAGAAGCAAATACGAATCATGGTGGAGAGCAGGATGAAGACGGAGGTGAGACATCAGGTGGTGATGAAGAGAACAATAAGGGTCCTTTCTTCACCTCCTTAGGAGAACCTTGTCCGGAAGAGGGTTGTGTGCGAGTCAGGTTCTTCAACCAGGATGGAACAGAAAGGAAAGATTTGAACAGGTCTCCGAATCGCGTTTATCCTGTTGACATGCCAAAAAGATTTAGAATCGCGCAGGAGATGGTTTGATTCTAGTTTCTTGTGCCACTGCTCGCCTCTAGCTCTAGGCGCCATCATTGAAGATTATAGAACTGGTGAAAGCGTGGACCACTACTTTTTGCTTTTCGGGCTGTTTTATGTATGAGTAGTTTTGAAGAAGTTGATGTGACGAGTCGTCTAGATCAGAAATCTGTCATGATCGGTATCATCAACTCGAAATCTAAGGAGATGTTCTTCAAAACAAGACAAGTACGAGCGTTCTTGCTTCTTCTAGACGAAAGCAAGAGATTGAGAAATATATTTAAGTGGTCGTGTTGTTTCTTGCACAAATTCTTATCTGTCGGCCGCAAGATGACTTTACGTATCATGTGTATTGCAGGTAAAACATGAGACATATACACCATAGTTAGGTCTTTTCGCCCACCTCCTCCCTTCCCCACAACATTTCTGTCATTTCCCAAACTGGACCGTCTATTATGAAAAAGTGCTTTCATTCTAGTTCTAAGTTCTACTTCTTAGTTTTTTTTGCAGGATTTTTTTTGTTTTTCTTCGCATCTTCTTCTAAATCTATGTATACTGCATCATCAAAATAAAAGCTTGATAGAGATATTTTTGATTGCACCTCACCGGCCTCATCTTCGTTCAGTGTCAATCATGATGTCTCGAGGATCTCAGCAAGTAGTAGCTCAAATAGCACGCGAAGCTATCAAGGTGTCGGCATCGTGGATGCGTTCCCCACTTTTACCGCAGTTTTCCAACGGTGTTGCAGGGGCGATTCGAGATTCAGCGACCAGAAAAGCGACTCGATCTCCTGCTGCAAAAAATACACACGTCGCGGAAGTGGTGAAAGTGATGGGCTACACAACGCCTGCGGTTCGTGACATCGGTGGAGCATCGTTGAGGATATCAGGACTCAGCGGTTCTTGGAAAGCTGGTGGATATCTATTGGGGATACGGTTTCCACGCGCGCATGCGCATTCCCATTTGTATCCACCTTTCGAAGGAGGAAATTCAGGTTGGCTCCCAGCCATTGCGGGAGTGCCGAACGAGCAGGGTCTTGACCGGTACGGAAACTCCCGGAAAGGCATGGCCGAAATAATGGTCATGGCAAGACCAATCGTTGCAAGGGAAGGGAAAGACCTGCACCACGACGACCACAGCAATAACAAGAAAATCATTGGTTTTTCGTTTCTACCCGAAGAAATTCTAAGAGAAGCGAGCGTTGCCGGTGGAGATATTGAGGTGATGGAGATTGAGCGAGTGACCGATTTCCATCTCGGTCTAAACGCCGGGCGTTGGCTTTGTTTAAGAATGAGCCAGATTTGCAAGGAAAATAGCTTCGTTCGACGAGGAGAAGAACAAAGAGGAACGAAGGATGATGGAGATGGAGTAGATGCTCCAACATCTAAAAAAGAACAAGTAGATGAAGCCAAATCGGAAGAAGACCAGGACACCAGCACGGAAGAATTCTTCAAAAGCACAGGACTTGTTTTTGATAGAACAAAGCTCGAAGAACCGCCAATGGACGCCTCCTATCTTTTCGACCACCTGGGCGGATCAGCGAATGCTGGAGTTAGTGGACAAAAAATACTACGAAAAGTCGTGGATGAAAGAGTTATATTTAGTGATGGTGCTGAAGTAGAACAAGTAGGCGCCATTATATCTGATGTAGAGAGAAAGACTGTTTCGAAACTGTAATAATTTTTCCATTGTCTTTTCATCAATTCAATTTAGTCTCATCAAACGTTGCTTGTTTGTTATCTTTGATGTTCGAAATCTACTTCGAGTTCGAGGAGGGCAGCAAGCAAGTAGAAGACGAGCTTCAACAAACTTCACAACGAACATGATGAGGAAGATGAGCTGAAAATGCATGGTCAGAGGTTGGTCGTCGTCGAGAAGGAAGAGCTGCTACCGATCGTGTCGCAAGAAATATAGACCCAGGTACCAAAAAAAAAAGTCGTGTCTGTGGCGGCGTGAATGAATCATGATAAGGAAGACGAGTTCTTGACGAGAACGGAGAGCAAACATATAAACAGCCTGTAATTGATGTGCTCCGGTTTTCATATTCTTTTGAAACACCAGTTAAGCAGCCTGTAATTGATGTGCTCCGGTTTTCATATTCTTTTGAAACAGCAGTTGTTTACAAGCAAATTGATCATGTGCTCCGGTTTTCATATTCTTTTGAAAGAGCAGTTGTTTACAATCAAATTGATGTGCTGCTCCGGGTTTCATATTCTTTTGAAACAGCCTTTGTTTGCAAGCATTAAGTTTGAGATAGTGTTGGTGATTGATAGACCAATTTTATTCTAGGTTTGAGCTCCTGCTTCGTATCCAATACTATTAAGGCTTACAACCATAATCCATCTCCGGAAGCATCCATCCCCAAGAAGCTCCTCATCCTCAAGGGGAAAAGGCACCTAGGATGGATAAGCATTTCGAGATGGATACGGGTGAGCTCTAATACTAGTGTGATCAGGATCTAAGTTTATCTTTATCCGAAAACTCTTCCGGCGGTAATAAACATCTGCCTTTTTTTGGCTGTATAGTTTGTTTGAGCGGGAAGATGCATGTTCGTTGTACTTTATCTACAATGTTGCTTTTCTTGTTATTGATGGAAAAAACAAGTGAATAATAGACAAAATGTTGAGCTGCCGCGCTGCCGTCGTCTCATCTCACGAACGACGAAACAAGATGAAGTGCGACGTTCAACTTTTTTCGCTTTACTTGATGAGGACCTCCTATCTCATCGCCTCGGTCAGCCAGGTCTTAGCTCAAAAGAGTTCTTCCTGGACTCAGCTCGACAACGGTGTTTGGACAGACGGTTCGTCCTATCTGTGCAACTGCGACTACGCATCTACAGACGCAGCTGGTTCAGGGTGCGCAACCTTGTCGAAAACCTGTGATGGAAAGACGGATGACGGGAGTAAGACAGATGACGGGAAGAGGAAGACAGATGATGGCAAAGGTGCTGGAACATCTTCAACTTCATCCGGAAGCAGTTCATCTTCTGGCGGTCTCGTTGTAGCCAGTACAGTGGAGCCGAAAAAAGATGGAAATTCTGACCAAGATGAGAATTCTGAAGATTCTGATAAAGATCCCACTAGCGGGACCTCCTGGAACAAGGACGTTGTAACAAGTTGTACAACAACCACACCAACCGACGGGCTCTCTAGTATAGGTGGGACACATCATTGTCTTGACGTTGCGTTTCAGAATACGGTGACGCGCAGATGTTGGTTCCAGTATGTGCCACAGGATTTGAGATCGCCTGCACAACTTACGAAAGTACCACTCGTGTTGGACATGCACGGTGGCGGAGGCTGTGCGGCTTCGCATGCATTATCCTACTCGACCTGGAGGCAGACGGCTGATGCGCTTGCTGCAACAGCAGCTGGAGGCTTTGTGGTCGTTTTTCCACAAGCTGCTCACCCCGCTGGAAATTGGGCAGCGACTGGTTCTGAGCCCGTCGTTGGCGACAAGACAGCTCACATTGGGGATATTGACTTTCTCAAGTTGCTGATAAGCCACGTTGTTACAGCTACAACTTCTGGAGGAGCAGGCGGCCAAACCCCTGCACAAAGACAGACAAACGCAAATCTCCAGATCGACCGCGAACGTGTCTACGCCAGTGGCTATTCGAATGGTTGTATGATGGCACAGCGACTTGCGTTTGAGGCTTCTCATGTGGTCGCAGGGATGGGCTGCATTGCAGGAAACATGATGAATTGGGAGTTGGGAGGTCGCGCGACTCGTACGCATGCCATTAATCGATTCTCGTTCTCTACTATGCCTGTGATACACGTCCACGGCGATCAGGATGACTCTATCCAAGGAACGATGTGGTCGTTTGCGTTGGGAAACCTTCAGAACTGGGCTAGTGTGCATGAGTGCAATATGGCGACGAGTGTGGGAGGAGCGTCCACTACAGTCTCGCCTGCTTTGGACACATCTCGCGCTCTTTCGGATGGTTACCACATCTACACCTACGGAACACCATCCACTTCGACGTCGTGTGGTGTTCAAGCAGGTTCATCTTCAACTGGTTCAAACTCAAAAATATCTGTGAAGCTACACCTAGTCCGAGCCCTCGGGAAAGGACACGACTCCATTATGCAGCCAAGTTTCGATGCTAGGAGACTCATCTACGACTTTTTGGCGCAATACAAACGTACTGCGATTGCAGTCGTGGAGGCATCCGCGTCTTTCGCCATGGCTATCCCTTCTTCGGTTCAGGATCCGCAGACACTGGTCACCGACACGACGTTCACAGCTCCTCTGATATCGGGCTTTAAGAATGCTGCCAATCTTGGAGTCAATGAAGAAGTCACGGTCAAATCAATTGCTTTTGCAAGACGGACACGGACACTTCTACAGGAGGAGGAGCAGCATTCATCAAGTTCAAGAACAAATCCAGACCCTGTAACAGCGGTCGTGAGTGACAATGAGCAGGTAGTGCAGCGTCATCTATCCGCGACGACTCCGCGTCAGCTGCAAGTCACTTACCGAGTTCAGACTACAGCCCAAAGTTCAGTGAACGCTCAATCCATCCAAACTCGAGTCCAGTCTATGAACTCCGATACCCTCAGAACAAGCGTCAGCAATGCTTTCACAGCCAGTCCCCCGTCATTTGGTGAAGTGGCAGTTACCAGCGTTGTAGGGTCACCGAGTGCAAGTACAGTTGAGGTGTCTTCGACATCTGGGGCGGCGTCGCCTGGATCTAGCAGTCAATCGCCTAGTTCCGGTGGAAATACAGAGGAAGCATCCATATTCTCCTCTGCCAGAAACAAAAAGGCATCACTGTTTCCTGTTCTTCTAGTCGTTTTTCCGTTGTCATCCTTACTTCATCTCTAGACTAGTTCTTATGGTTAATCATTTAATGATAATCGTTTTTACTTTCAAGTTTTTGTAGTACGACCTTTTTGAGATCGTCAGGTCCTTGTCGTGAACAGTAAGCATTCGATCTCTCTCTTCATCCACCACCGACTTCGTGATTGCTGCATGGACGTGATCGTCGTGAGTTTTTCAACTACACATCAGAAAAGAAACGATCATGGATGCACAACGAAGTTGTAGAAGTTGCTAGTGCTGGTAACGCCGCCCTCGTGTAGTGTCCCTAAAAACAAGGGTTGTGTTCTTGCCTGCGACGAAGAGTTTTGGTTTCTTTCGGGTAGTTCGTGAAGTCCCAAATCCAGGAATACAACCTTGGTTTCTACAAGACATTCGGCAGAAATAGTCCTTGTGCGGCTTGAAGTAGTAGTAGTACTAGAAGATTATGAATGAAGCAAGGAGGGGATTCATGTTTCTGAAAACTTACTGTTATTTTGATTCAAACAGAAGCTTAACCAGGTACATCTACAGGGACAGCATCATTCTGATTGACACCAAGGTCAATCGAATTCATAATATCCAAAAAAAAGATGGCTTCCTTCGCGCAAATGAAACTGAAACTCTCGACGTTTCCATCCTCCTACCACGGCGATCCTGAACTCGCGCCGATTCGCATCGTTGAGGAATGCAAGGAGTTCCTTAACTCCGACATCGGAAAGAAAGTCCTGCGCATCAACAGCTCAGCACTGCAAAAATTCGTGGATGAAAAAGTGGACATCAATGAGGTAGCTGTTTCCTGTGCCAAAAGCTCGCCCTCATCCAGCACTGGCGAAACTAGGACGGATGTTGAAAACGGAGACCACATCAAGTACGAGTACGAAACTAGACTGGATGATATCGGACGAATTTTGGCCTACAACGTTGTGAACTTCTCTTTTTTCCCAGATGAGGGAGCAAAACCGTGGTTCATTTCTGGTGGAATAGGCAAGGATGATGAAGCATATGCAATTACGGAATCTCTGAAGAGGTGGGAGAAAAAGCTTGAAAAAGGAGAGGCGGGTGGGAAAGACAAAGGGTCATCGATCATGTTGTCATCTGAGGTGAGCACACCTTCTGATGTGTCTTCCCAGGATCAGGAAGTAGATCCTGTTCACAGTGTAAATATAACCACACGAGCCTCTTCCTGTTGGCGTGATCCTTCTTATCTGCTCACCCTGACTTTGAAAGACATGGAGAAAATCTTCGAACCGGACACAGAAGCAGGCACGCTGCCATTACTCGAGTGGCGACTGCAATGCTTGCATTCTTTGGCTACTGGGTATCAAGCCAGTGGAGGGCTGGAAGCGATGTTAAAGGAGATGAACGTCAAGAACGACAACGACATGAACATTGATATGGAGAACAGCAAAATCACGACGACGACGACGACGACAGTCGGCAGATTTGTCAGCACTGTATGCAAATATGTTCCAGCATTTCGGGACATCCGACGAGGTATTGAGTTCGCCAAACGTCCTCAACTGGCAGCATCCATGCTCCACGCTGACAACTTGGTGAATTTCAGCGATATTGAAGAAAGCATCACGGTTTTTTCTGACTACCGTTTACCCCAGTTGTTCATCGGTGTGGCGATTTTCGCAAGCGATTTGGTTTTGGAAGAGGTGGATTGGAAAGTAATGACCTCTACAGTTCAGGAACCTCGTAATGAGGACCGAGGCGCAACTACAACTACACTCCACTCCCTCGTTACCAGTCACTCCCCCATCGACGTGGAGACACCTCTAGAAACTGCTTTGCGAGCTGGGACTATCGTTGCTGCGGCTGAGCTCCTCCAAAAACTCAAGGCGAAGTATCCAGAGCGAGAAGGAATCACAATGGCAAATCTAGATTATTATTTGTGGCGGACAGCTGTAGACTTGGATGGGAAAAAAGAGCTGCCGCCATTTCATAGGACGAGAACGTATTGCTACTGAATGATCGGAAAAGAGTACTCGTAATTTGCGAAGAACCTAGCGAAGGAAAATTTTCGTTTCATAGTATCTATGTATAGGTACTTGCATTTTTGAACAGGTGACTGCTCATGCTGGTGTTAGTTTATCGACCTTGTAGTTCGTGCTGACTCTGAGTTTTGAGTCCTCCGTTTCGTCCTCCGCTGAAAGATGATAAAAAATGCGATTGCCGATTGTCGCGTCTTCTTCATTGCTACTATGATCGGTCCCGCCTGTTTTATATCTCGAGACTTCAAGAGCATCACCAAGCGAGTAAGCTTTAACATCTGGTTGTACGTCTATGTATTGATGAGTCTAGTCTTGCGTACTACTCATGTTGACGTGCGCACTATCGGTTGTCAGCATGAAAAGTTCAACAAACTCTGAGAATAGGCAACACTGTCTCGCGTTCGGTCCTCCAATTCATTGTTCTGTCAGCCTGATAGAACTAGTCCAAACCTCTGTTCTGAGGCTCCCGCTCCCATAGATGTTTTAAAAAGACGTTCTCATGATTCATTGACGGAACACAAGAAACTTCTACTTTCTTACGTATTTTGATTTTAAGCCTCCCCCTCCACGCTCTAGTTCTCGCCACTGAGTGACCCCGTGGATCATTGGGTCATTTTTCTCGCCACTGAATAGTCAACATCTTCTTGTGTCTTTCTCAGTCTTGAGATGGATCATCATGATATCATCTCTTCCATGCTTCATCCAGCACATGACTGGAAGTTGTCGTGGACAGCGTTTCTCGGAGAAGACGTCGCAAAACCTGGACATCGTTATCGCGGCAGTCTCTTCGATCCGAAACTGCTATTATTAAGGCTCAGCTTTCAATGGTCACCATTGAGATTGGGGTCACTGAGATCGAAGAGGCGACCCCTTGAGGAAAGATGGGGGGAAAACGAAGGGAAAGGGGAGAGCTTTGAAGGGGGTCCCTTCCGTTCAGAGTCATGATGACCATTGAAGGCTGAGCTTTAATATTAGAGGTAGCAAAGAGTGTAGGCAGCAACAGATTTGTAGCTTTGCGGGACCGTCTTCAGGCAGCTGGAGAATCTAGTAGGAGGGAAGAACAGATAGCGTTAGAGAATTCTCCCGCTGCGTTATTGGGTGCTGGAAGTACACCAGCTCACGCTGACGCTCACCACGAAGATGTAGATGGAACATCATCAACAAAAACATCGTCCTCACGACCATACTGTGATCTACGCCGTCTCGCAGCAGGCAACACCAAAACACGCTTATTACGTGCGAGATACCGAGGACTGCCAGGAGAAGAAGTGTATGCTTTCCGCACAAGAACGCATCTGCTCAACAACGCCGAAAACCCAGGCCAATGGCACAGGGCGAAAATCATCGAAGCGAATAGTGATTGTGGTCTTGGCAAAGACAACTGTTTGCAGGTTCGATGGAAAGATGGATGGAATAGAGACTTCCAAGTAGCGCCGAATGGGATCGTTCCAGACCCTCCTTTGACGACCGCCAGCGATCAGGGAAAAGATCAAGAACCTCTGATTAGCCATTTCGTCATCGGCAGTACTGCAAAGGGAGCAGAGGAAAACAACGGCACAACAGGCGTGAGCTTCAGCGCCGATGATCGAGATGTGCTTCAGTTCCTACGTGAGGATTTTCAATATGCGCGCAGATTACAGGCAGAGAGGCTCGCATCGGGTGACAATAGAGGTGGAGGCAAAAGGAGCACAGAGGAACCTCTACCCATTGATACTTTGTGGAACAGCGACATCGAGCAGAAGTATAAGGGACAATTGAATGCCCTGACTAGATTATCTTCCTCTTCGAGCTCTAGTTCTACTGCTCCTGATGCAGGAGCTGCTGAGGCAGCTGGAGGAGGGACCGATGCAGCAGCAGGAGGAGTTCCCGCAAACAGTACTACAAGTGGTCCATCATCATCTCTACGCCGCGATCTAGCCCGTACCTATCGCAAAGCACACTGCGTGATGAAAAATGTGCGTTTTAGGAAGGCTATAGCGAAACCCGACTTGCCGCCTTTTCTGGGCAAAAGACGGAAGCTGTACCAACAAACAGCGATGACAATGAAAAGATTTGGGATACGCGTTATTAACGCCGGGAGTGGTGCGCCTGGTGGTCGTGGTGGTGCAGCTCCAGACCACAAGCCTCCAGAAATTGACTGTCCTTCTATCGGCATTGGTCCTCACGAGATCGACGACAAAGGAGATAACTATGTGCGGAAACCAAATGAGTTTCCCAGTGAAGTGTGGCTGAAGGAGTTCGACAAGCTAAATGAGAAGAAGCCGATTATTCTAGAGCTTCCAAAAGTCAGTCAGAAGGTTCTTGCCGATGTTCAGAAAAACTCGTGTGGTTAAGGCTCAATATATTTCAAATTTCTACAAGTCATTTCTCCCTATTTCGTGGTTAGGATTGGGAGAAATGCAGGCAAGAAAATGAATTGTTTTGAGCGTTAATGTGGGCAACAAGATCCAGTGGCGCGGAGTCATTCACCGCCAGATTTCAGAAGCATATTGTTTGATGACACGCAGATGCTGCCTTACACGAAAAATGGAGGAGGTGGAGAGGCAGCTGGTGGAGCATCATTATCATCTTCTTCTTCTGGAGGCAAGCCTTCCTCGTCTGGTGATTGCAATTTCCGTTCGGGTACCGACGGGTCCGGTGCTTGCGTCGAAACCACAGGTGACGGAAAGAACAGAATCCGAGAAATCTTCGTTCACACACGATACACGGAACCAGAGAAGTTGACCCGAAAACTCAAGTTCCTCTTTCAACCACGACAGCAGCGCTGGTTCATCTGTGAACAGGGAACACGACGTTGCTCGGGAGAAACTATCACTAAAGTGCCGATCGAGAGGACGAATTGTCGGACGTGTGCGGATCGAGGTCGTGCTGGACGATCTTCCGGCAGTACTACTGGTGCACCATCTGGAGACCGAGACAGTAGTTCGACTTCTTGTCTCCAGTTGCTGAAGAAATTTTCTCCTAGCAATCATGCCTACGTCCAAGACTGCACCTCCTTCGACGAAAACGATCTTGCGGATCATCGGTTTAATCCTAAAGTGTGTCTCGCTTTTGACAGCATGCCGGAACATCCGATCTGTCTTGCTGCGAAAGACGTGAAAGCGTTTCGGAGGCGAGGCGAGGAAAACGTCGTAGCTGAAGGGGACATAGTGGAAGTTACTTTAGTGCCTGGGCGAGTGGTGGCACAAGGTGTAGCGCAGAAAATATGGCAGCCTGGAGGTGAAATAAGTGCTGATGGTGGAGATTCTGCTGAAGGAGGCGAGGAAGGTGGCGATTCTAGCTCAGCAAATGATGCTCCCGATACAGATGAAGATGCAGCTGGGAGTGGCCCACCTCCTTCCCCTTCGGCCACCCCAGAGACCACATCAGATGGGTCACGTCACTGTAGAACTGACGGTTGTGTACGGGTTGTTTTTGACAGTCCAAAACTCAGAGGTTCACCCAACAATATTTTTGCGCTGTCACAAGTTCGCAAGCCTGCTGTGATTCGCCGCCCAGGTGATGCTAGCGGGTCCGTTTTTTTGTGACAGTGACAGAGAAATCATAATGATAACCTCTATCTCAAAAAAAATGAACGATGATTTGTCGTCTTCGTCAATGACAACTCGTACTACGATCATCAACACCGTGGTTCGAAGAGCTGCAGTGTTCACGAAGCTGCCTGGCTCCTGAGCCATGATGAACTAAGATTTGGTTGGAGGTTCTGCTCCACAATTTTGATAACCAGAGAAATTTCATCAATGTACTCGGTGGATCCACGTAGAGGTACGAAATATGTTGTTTGTCCTCATGAAGATGGTGATCTTCACCACAACGATCAGTCTCTTCACATCATGGATGTAAGTAGTTGTACTACACGAGGATCCTCCATCTTGAAAAACAAGAACAAGAGAGAATTTGTCGTGAACATGAAAGATAATTTCGGTCCATTTGAGTCGTGATCTTTAATTATGTAGCAACTAGAAGTAGAACTAGTAACTCGATCTACATGAAGCGCTGAAGCAGTGTATGTTGTGGCAACAATCAGGGTAATACTAGTAAGTTGTAGTTTGTCTATGTCTCGTAATCGATGTTGATGAGTAGGTGTAGCATGATCTACTTTGGATTTCACGTTATAAAAGCAGATCACGAAGCTAAAAAAGCTATAAAAGCTCTCGATAAAGAACAAGAACATGAATTTGAATACATCAACGGCTAGTGCTGTTACAAGAAAGTAAAATGGCGTACTATGCTGCCCTCGCTCCTGGGGGCGGAAAGTCTGGCTATAAAGGTCCCTCATCTTCACCGCCACCATGTTCACCAACCGAAGGTGTATATTCCGATAAAGGTGGATCGGCGTACTATGGATATGATCGAGGTGGCCCTTATGGCGGAGGTGGTGCAAAACATGGTGGAGAAAACTCCAGTAAAGGTGGAGATTATAACAAAGGCTACGATAAGTCCTATGGTGGAGGACCGCCTAGTGGAGGAACAGACCCCTGGAATTCCGGGTCTTTGATACCTGGTGGGAAAATGGGGAAGGCCCATACAATGGGCTGGAGCAGCTATTGGGGTAGTGGAACCAACTGGAAAACGACGAAAGCCAAAACCGAGAAAGACCAAGAATTGGAACACAGGTAGTAGTAGTTTCAGTTTCGTTTTGCAACCGAGAAAGACCAAGAATTGGAATTCTTGTAACATCTTCTAGTACATGACATCATTGAACTAACGGAACATCAACTTCTTGTCTTTCTCTCCAAATCAACAAAGGAACAAACACCACAACATACGAATAAATCAGGAAAGTTGCGCACACTTTCACGCAGCAAAGACAGGCAACTGAGAGGACAGTCGTGATTAAACGGAAATCTGGCATGACAGATGAGGAGTGTGTGGAAGTATTCAGAGATGAACAAGCTGTCGTGTGCATAGAAGTCGTAGAAGTAGAAGTAGCTCGTAGTTTCTTAGGTCGTTCTCGTTTAGCTCGGTTAAGAATCAACTCGTCTCTACTCTCTGGTTCTTGCATGTCGATTTTTTCAACGTTTTTTGATGCAAGAATCTCCGATGAATGCACATGATCAATCTATCCACCAAAAATGAATCAACACAGGACGCGATTTCCGACCTGTGCATTGCCGGTGGCTATTCTGTTCCGGAGAAGGTTGAATTCCTAAATTCCAGTGTAATCTACGTCGATTTTCCAAGCGAGTCCGTCGCCAAGCGATGCTGCGAAGACCTTCTTGCAAGAACAATCACAGCAGATGGCGAACCCATCGAAGTAGTTCGCTCAGTAGGCGCTGCTCAAGGTGTTGTCGACAAGAGCAATATCAACCCTATAATCGGACCAGCACATGGTGGAGGTGGAGGGCAACCTCCTTCTGGAAAAGGACTTGGAGGCCCAGGAGGCGGTCAGCCTGGACCAGGCGGTCTTATAGGACCACCTCCAGGCATGGGGGGAAAAGGCAGTCCCCCAGGAGGGCCTATGTCAGACCCTTCGATAGGACCACCTGGACCTGGTGGTCTAGTTCCTGCCGGAGGTGCGATAGGATTTCCTGCTCCGAACGGTGTTGGAGGTCGTCTTGCGAATAACAATAATCCTGGTGGTGGCCCTGCTGGTTCTCCTGGTGCACCTATCATCAACCCGATGCTAAGTGCAGGCATTATGCCTAAGGCAGCACCTGGACTTGCACCGACGAAGATTGTGGCTGCGACAGAGCATGAAAGCACGGACACCCTGTGTGTACGGAATGCAGAAGAGTTCACGGAGAAAGAAATAATTGCATGCTTCGAAAACTTTGTGCCGGGAGCGGTGAAGGGGTGCAAGATAAGGTACAACCTAGTGCTGGTAGATATTTTTGTAGTATTTTTAATCTACTTCAAATGATCGTCGTCCGCTTTTCATTTTCCACTTGTGTATGTAAGCATGATCGATGAAAAATTCAAAAATTGTCAGTCCTCACGTGGTGCTCTTCATAACGAAAAATTCTTATACATAGATTTTTCACATTTCCCACTCCAGGCCCGTCAGATCTCACATGCAGCCGCAACAAAAAGGTGGAGGTAAAGGCAAGGGTAAAACTGGTGGGAAAGCAGTGTCGACACACGCAAACGCCTTCGTCACGTTTCAATCTGTCAGTGATTGTCGTCTGGCGCTTTCGCGGTATCAAGAGGCCGGCTCTAAAATCCAAGGACGCTATGCGCTAGCCTTCTACGGAAAGAACCAGCAGCAAGTACAGGCGATGCAAGTTATGGTGATTACCTGCGTAGATACTTGTTACTCTCACAATTTCTCATAGAAGTAGAAGTACTGTACGACTACAACTGCAACTGGTACTGGAGTACAACTGGAGGTTCAGGTTCTGCTATTGGCGATGAATAGGAATACCCGATCCCGATAATTCTCCACCTTTTCCACTTTCTAGGAACCCTAAACCCTCAATTCCCTTCTAACAACAACAACAATTCTGCCCTGCATTCTGCGGCTAGGCAAGCGACTATAGTGGAGCAAACTATAGTCCGGGAGTTGACTGAGAAGACACAACAGAAGAATGAGATCGTCAAAGAAGCAGTGGCGAACGGAGCAAACAGTAGTATGTGGACCGAATATTTGAAGAAGTTTAATAAGAAACAGGGCATAGACGAGGACGCGTCGTCAGCATCGGAAGGCGAAGGAGTGGTGGCGTTGCCAGGTACCTAGAAGTTCTGTAGATGCATCTAGGTTGCTGATTCTCGTAAAACGATGTGCACGACGTAAATGCTGAGATTGTCTGCTGGAATTCTGATTTATTTTAGTTATAGTTCACTCTGTTTTTACCTCAAGTACTAGTGCATACTGCCATTTTGAATGACAACGATGTAGTTTTGAGTGAAGTACAAATTCGATTTCATATCTTGATCTTGATCCACCCCTCCCACATCAGGCGGCAGACGCCTCCGTCGACGTTGGGAGCAAGACACTTCTGGACAAGACGGGATTTGGTTTACGAAAGACAGCGATGGTGGCGTGATGTATTTTGATGAGCGCAATGGATTCTTCTTTGATTCCGTTCCGGTCTATTTCGAATTTGACAGGAGTAGTTACAGTCCTGCGGCAGTTCCTCCACCGAAGAAGACAAAGACTGCTAGTAGTGCCACTCCTCCTTCCACGCCGAGAATGAGGAACTCCGTAATCCGTGAGATAGATAGCAGAGGAACTGTGAAGCCTGGGGGACTTATTTTGCGAATACGGTATTTGCCTCCAACGTTTAATCCGGGAGAGCAGCACGCGAATAGTTGTACGAATACCACATCATCTGGATCTGCTCGGACAACTTCTTCATCTGGACCTCCAGGAGGTAAGCACGGAGCCGTGGGCGTGGTTGCGCGTCAGCCGACGTCTTCGCCCCCTACAAATGGAAATGCGTCTATGGCACCTGCAATAGGCGCAACGTCTTCAAAAGGCGGCCCACCTCCGACGAGCACTTCGAATATACCTCCTGCTCCTGCTTTTGCTTCTGGTGCGAACTCTATCCCTATGGGAGCAGGACCGATGAGCAGAACGTCATCTACAGTACAACCACATCCGTCAACGTCCTCTTCTGGAGGTCCGCCTCCGTATCAGCAAGTTGGAGCGCCTCCACATGCTCCTCCACCAGGGTCACAACATCCTCCATCGGGACATGCCCCTCCGCCAGGTGGAAAACCTATGATGCAACAGGGCCCTCCTCATGGACAACACCCCCCACCTACGACGTCTCCTTTACACCCACCTCAAGCAGGGCCACCAATGATGGGAGGTGCCGCTCCTCAGCATCCTCCTCCAGGACAGTATCCTCCTCAACATCCTCCTCCAGGACAGTATCCTCCACAACAACAACAACAACATCAGAACTATCCGCCACAACATCAACAGAATTATCCACCTCATCAAGGGGCACAACATCCGCCAAATCAATCTTTTTCATCGAGTGGTGCAATGGCATCTACTAGTACTGGAGGAGGGTATAATCAACATCAACAACAGCCACCTCCTGTGAAAAAGGTTATCATCGGAGGTAGTAATCCCGCAGCACCCGCCGCGAAAAAGCCTCTTGCTTCGATACATCTGGCGGCTGCAGCTGCAGCCGCTAGTGCAGCAGCAGCAGAAGGAGTGAAGAATAGCAGCGCTAACAATTCGAGTAAGGAGCCGGATGGCAGTTTCAGCGAGAGCGAGGAGATGGAGATGAGTACAGAGGAAGTCATCTGCTATCTGTGCCAACGCAAGTTCCGAGACAAAGCCGCGTACAAAAAACACTGCGCACTTTCGGAGTTGCACAAACAGAATTTAGCTTTGAAAGCGGAAGAGGAAGGCCGAGCAGTGCTGGAGGGTGAGGAACAGGGTCAAGGTCCTGGAGAGGGTCAAGTTGGTGGAGATGGACACGGAACAAGAGAAGCACAGCATCCAAATTCTTATCCACCAGCTGCTTCAAATCCACCTCCAGCCTTCGCCACAGGAGCTAATGCACAACCTGTTGTGCCACCTGCTGGAACAGGGGCTAATGCACTACCCGTAGGTGGTGGCGTTCCCTCGCCAAATCCGAGCCCGCATGATGTTGTTGGGTATCAACAACACCAGCAGCCTCCGAATAATCAATGGGTTGGAAAAGGCGGTGGTTCGCCACCAATGACGCCATGGGCCGGTCCTCCTGGCCAAGGTCCACCACCACCAGGCGGTTACAACAACATGCAGTATCAAGACCAGGGCGCATCTTGGGGTGCTGCGCCTGTTGGAGGTACTCAAGGTGGGATGGACAACTCTTGGTCAAACGGTCCCTATGATAACCAACCCTCTAGATATGGTAATATGGGAGCTCCAGGCGGTGGTCCAGGAGGAAATCAAGGTAGAAGTCGATATGGAGGGACGAGTAGTGGACAGAACTATGGGTACTAAAACCAGCTCATCTGCGTCTACTTTTGCTGTGAGATTACGCTTTCCGCGGAGCTTAGTGCTGAAGAAGAACAAAGAATATGATCTCTTCTTGTCGAGATTTTGATGAGATGGAAGCCAGGAGCCCAAACTCGATTAAGTATTCCTTCGATGAATACAGACCACAGTTTTGAGACCACGTGACGAAGATGAATAGACAGTATGATGTAGAAAATCAATTTGACAAAATAGCGGCCACAAAAGGTGAACCACCTCTCGTCCGAGTTTCTTAGATCAAGGTACTGCCTGCTCATGGTGACGAAAATATTGTCCTTGTACTAGTGAAATCCCCCAACTTCACGATATCCCAGCTTTCATCCCTAAAATCCCTAAAATCGCGCTGAAATTTACTCGAAGAGATTTAACGCGTCTTCTTTATGTTTTTTTGTGAAGAAAAACTTGATGTAGTTCATTTGATTGAAAAATGAATATATATGACGATGACCCCACTTCCTTCCCCTTGCCGTTGATGTTGATAGAGCTTGGATCGAGCAGTCGACACGGATTCTGCGAAAAAAAAGCTTCTATGGGTGTTCCTGATGTGTTAAAGTTAATTCGACCACGACCACTAGGACAACTAGGGCATGTTGAAATTGGATGTCAAAAATAGGCATGTCTCCTCGGAACGAAAGCAGGAAAAGAAGATGCAAAAGTCGAGTTCTAGTGATGAACATCAAGCTGTAGCCTTTTTAATAATAATACATAGTTGATGTTGATGAAAGAATTTATAGGCAAATATTATGTAGGATTTATTTCAGATAATCTTTAACTTTACTGTTAGAAGATTAATATTCGCAAGAACATGAACATCGTTCCGGCTACAACAAATTCTGCCTCGTCTTCCTCGTGGTCAAACGGAGGAGGAGCAATTATTCACCAGCAGCACGAGGAACCCTTCCTAGTCCTCGCACCAGAGCAGGCGATAACTGCCAGTCTCATTCCGATAATGGAACGAGTCTTTGCGGAGTTGGAGGCCGCATTTGACTGGGGGCAAGGCTCTGCGCCTTCAGTCGATCGGTTACGACGACTCCGCAAGGGAGTCGAAATGGGCTATGTGCACTTAGTGAAGAGGGAGTTTCCATCACGGTTGCGGGATCGGTATAGTGCTGGTTGTAGAACTGGAGGAGGAGGAGGTAGTGTTGGTCGTGGTGGAGGTGCTTTGGATCAACTACAATTCTTGCAGGTACGAGACGAGATTGGTTCACTGAACAACGTCATTAATAACTCGTCGACTTCTGCTGCAGGCACAGCAACGAGCGGAGACGTGCGCTATGCAAGAAGCTTGTGTGCATCTGATTAAGGCCTCACTTAGTCCATCTTTTACCGCATCTGTAAGCTGTTTTCAAGTAGAATTTTTTTTTGAAATCGACGAGGGGAGAGATGGACTGGAGTGAGTTCTAACCTGAGCGCATATTAGCAAAGCGAGACCAAATCCAGGCTTTGAAAAAACAACTTGCTGCTTTGAAACAAGTAGGATGAATTTTGGTGAGACATCAATTGATATTTAATGGTAAAGACGAGGTTTGCTGCTTCGAATAAACGAGTCGGATGAATCTCAATCTTCTACGTACAAGACTTAACTGTTCTTGTTGATCCAGGTCGTTGCTGTCTTATCTCGACGTGTACTGCAGAATATTAAAAGCATCTTCTGAAGAGACGTCGCTAACATCTCAGGAAAGTAGTGCACTCTGTTCCTGTTACTGTTCATGCTTTCAATCATGACCGAAAGTGACTGAGAGAGAGAGAGAGGGAGGCATGGAATTTCCGAGACGAAAAGGAGAACGAGGAGTCACAGTCATGGTCCTCTGCTCTTGGTGTGTCAGATATTGAGATGAGATAGTTGTTGATGTTGTCTGAAGGTTTACTTTTCACAGGTCTGGATGAGATTTTTGAGATGAGGGATATTGTACGTCGGGTAGGAGAGACCACGAGGTGCCACAAGAATCTGGCTGCGTTGTGTGAGTTGTGGTGTCCTGCTATGTATTTAAAGTAGATGTAGTTGAGCAGGATGCAGGAGGAGAAAAATCATGAGTGAACACAAAAACAATTACTAGATAGACTCATCATCTACTTCAAATTCAAAATGAAATGATCCTCCATTGTTTTTGTTCGACTCAACTACTTCAGATCGTGAATAGGTTTCGATCAAAAAACGTTTTCCCACTTCGTTTCCTCACAAACCGCATTTAAATCTCTTGTTGCGCCCAACATCACACAACTAAGTAGTTGTATCAGAGGTATTTTCATCTAGATCTGATCTAGTGCAATCTTAATCTTAATCGTAATCCATCACTATCGCGGCGAAGTTGAACATTATTGAAGTAAGAATTAGTTCATCTTTTGGAAGATAAGTTAGCAATGAATAGCATTCGATATTCAGAATCCATCTTCCTCGGTCTCGCAATATTTTTATTCACAAGGAACGAATATTTTCTATTTCTATCATATTTTGATATGTGATGTACTTAGAAGTTGTTATTTAGTCAAGGAATATCGCTTCATCATTCTCTACTTATCGTTGAAAGCGCACCACTGCGACTCGCACTTAAAAGTCCGTCACGCGTCACGGTCACTCTTATTTTTTCCAGAATAATCTTTATCATTATTTTTATCAACTTTCATCAATTCTTAGAAAGTCGAAGTCCACACAATACCAAACGTCGTATTAGATTGATTTATAAGATTCATACAACGCAGTCTCGCGCGAGGTTTTTGTAAAGCATTGCGTCGTCTTCAACTATAGCAGCTTGTCATTTTTTCATATAGAGACTCTGCACCTTCTTTCGCATGATCTATGTATCGATGTTACGTGTAACAAATGAACCAAAAAAGTAATATTATAAAGGAGTGAAAGATCATAAAATCCATAACCATAATCATTTTCACTACCTGGTAGAACTACTAGCTCTTCTTCGCTTCGTGGTTGCAAAATTGAGACTGTTGATGTCTTGTTTGTCGGGTAGGAACTACTAGAGAAAAGGTGCTGACTGAGTCCACTCGTCGATAGTAAATAATTATCGGCGTTGTCGTCGTCATTCTACAACTAGTCGATCGTATCATCTTCAAGTACAAGTGTTTCTAGACCGTGGATATTCGCTTCGTCGTGGAGGTATCTTCGTGTACTATTTGCATTGAACAATAATAATTTAAAACTAAGCTTCTGTAAGGGATCGGAAGAAATACAACGAGTTGTTCTTGTATACCTCGGCTCCGTAGATTCTTCAAATTCTTTCATCATGACCACAAAAGTTCAGCATAAGCCAATGGGTCGAACAATAATTTATCCCAAATTAGGTGTGTCCTTGAGGTTTTGATTAGTAGTGAAAGTTTTGCATTTTCAGCGGGATCATCTCCTTCGTTCTGTGTTGTAGTTGAAGTTGATGAAGAGCTACATAGTTACTAACTACTACTAGTTTCTACTTGTTGTAAGCATTGATTGAACGGCGCTGTGGCTGTACCTCCTCCTGTTGTAATTGTATCAATATCAATATCGTAATATTATAGTTTTTGCATACTACTAGAAATTTTTTTTTTCATTTTTTTGTTCTTGGTCGACCTTCTTTCGTCGTGCAGCAAGGATTTTCGTTCGTCTAGTACCACGACAGTCACCAGCACTTTCTTCGAGGGCGACCACAAGAACGTATGCTCTACTATTCCCCGGAGCTCGATCAAAGAATGGCCTGGGCTGACCACCGATCTCCCGACTTGTTCGCGGATCATATGCTAACCCAACTTGCAGAAGCAGCCATGGCGAATAATAAGGTGCTTTTAGTTTTATTGTACTTAACAAGAACTTCTAGTAGTACGATCAACTAGTGGAATAGACCAAGAATTAAGTAATGGGATGAAAGCAGTCGTGGAATAGATGTAGATCGATGAAAAATCTTTATCTACTTAGGAGAAGCTCGTACTTGATCTCACACACAGGACCTTGTGCCACTCGAGGCGTTGTACGAGTCGCCCGATCACAGAAAGCCGAAAAAGGGAGCATCCCATGCTGGTCACCGAAGGGGATTTCCCGGAAAAGGCAGCGCAGATGGGATATCTAAGGGAGGAAGACACAGTACTATCCATACTTGAAGATTTCATATTTATAATTTTTTATCGTTGTTGTACATGGAGTTACTTGGTCCTTTGGCTGTACTAGTGTACGTCCTTGAGGGTCTGAGGTCTGAAGATCATGCACATTAATTTGATACTCTCAAAGACAAAATAAATCCCATACAACGTCCACGTCGCATTAACTTTTTTAACTTTAACAGACAGAGCCGGTCACGTGAGGGGGAACCGGAATCACGTCGATCTTGGCGAACATCAGAAGGAAGGCGCCCAAGAGGTGAAAGTCACGACGACCGTGATCCACCATCATCCACCTAAGGAGACTATGAATGACGTGGGAACGCCGCCACCGAATGGAGGACAGACGCTGCTGATCGCTTACTTTCCTTGGGAAGCAACGGAGGATGACGTGGCACGGGAGTTTGGCCGCTTTTGCCAGGTCCGACGCGTGCATTTGGTCTTGGATAAGAACAACACGAGACCAAGATGCTTCGGGTACTACAACCTTTGGTCTTAAGAACTTGAGTCACTGTTTGTTCTCCATCATCTTTATCAATCTTTATCTTCGAGGAGTTCAAGTACGTAGAAAAAGCAGATGAACATGATGTTGATTTTGTGATGATCCTTTGATACTATTTCATGCATCATCAAATAATCCTGTTGTGGTGTTGATTCATTGATGTTGATGACTTCTGCGCACCACATCACTTTCAGATTCGTCAAGTTCGCCAGTCCTGAAGATGCCATTCTTGCTCTAGATGCAACCAGGGATGGTCGCGTGACCCTCAACGACAGCCGAAATCACGTCTGGCATTTGAAAGCCGAGTGGGCGAAAACAGGTGATATGGTCGATGACGAAAACAAAGCTGGAAAAAGTCCGGGTACTCCTTTGATACAAAAAAATGAAGAGAAGGTTGAACTTGAAGATGATGATGACGATGATTTGTACATGTAGAAGATGTCTTTTGAAATTGAGGTTGAACTTGAAGATGATATACATGTACTAAACGTCTTTTGAGTTGGAATGAACTCCAGACCTCCAGGTAGTAATAAATAGTATTAAGATATTATCCCTTTATTATATTTGCAGAAGATTACTCTTGTACGTCGAAAGCCTCGCATAGAGAAAGAAGTGATGTACAATTTCTCCACAACCTCCACTTTCTCCACAACCTCCACACTAATCACAGTTCGCAAGGGCAAGGCAGGCTACAAGGGTGCTGGTGGCAAGGGCAATAGCTATATGTTGAATGGCTCGACGACCGCTTCGTCCTCTTCTGGTTCGGGCAATTATTATCACCACCAGCATGGCTATCTTCAACAGCAGGGCAAGGGCATGCAGCAGAAGGGCAAGAGCAAAGGAGGCAAAGGAGGGCATCAAGGTACGCCAACCCGGAAGCTTGTTGATGACTATGCGCCACCGCCAGTGCCGGGACTCCTTGCAGAAGCTGCTCGTACTTCTACTACTTTAGTTTATTGCTTTTCACTTCTACTCTTTTCACTTTTTTACTACCCTGGTTCTCTTCTGGTTCCTCTAGAGTAGAACGTGGTGAAAATACCGTGTTTATTCGTAGAACTAGGGCATGATGTTGAAGAAGATTAAGAGTTAGATCCACCCTGCTCGTGGTCTTACTCCTTTGCTGACATGATAATGAAGATCTTCTAGTAGATCTAGTTGCAAATATCTTCAATATGTTGGGACGAGCAAGTATTTACAGCAAGAAATTGAACGACAACAACATGAAGTAGAACTACATGAACATTATCACTGCCCAGAGTAAGAAGTCGTACTACTCAATATCTCACCAGTGAACGCGGATGGTGCAGCAGCAAGTAGATATGGCACTACCTATGGAGGCGTTGATCTTCCTTATGGTACTACTGCAGCGGGAAGTGGAGCGGCAGGAGGAAATTTGGTTACGATAGATCAACTCCAGAACTCAAGAGTGGCTGCCGCACAACAGGTCTTGATGCTGGAGCAGATCCGCCAGCTAAGCCAAAATCCGCTACTTCCAACAAGCATTAGTGCGTTGCTACAGCAACAGGTATTACCTTTCCTAATTATTATAGTGATTCCTTTTCGTTCAGAAACAGGATTAGGTTTGTCTAGTAGTGAAAGTAAAAAAATTCTTGAAGTTGAATAATCTATCTTCTTGATCTTCTGGAATTAGAAGAAGTAAGAAAGCACCCTCGAAACCCTAAGCCAACCCTTATTTCTAATGAAGACAACATGATGATCCTCTTCATCTTCTTCACGTTCTCCACCTTCAGGCAACTATGTCCGCTCCTTTGCCGCTTTACTCTGCTGGAGGTGATGCTGGCCGTGCGGGGATGCCATTGTATGCAACTTCCAGTGGAGTTCCTGCTTACTACACCGGTGGTGCTGAGGGCCTACTTGATGCCGCTAGTTGGGCAGCTAGTACTATGCCACAAGTCGCCCTTCTGCCGCAATGGGAGCACGATGCATTGCATTTATAAAAAGAAAAATACAGTAGGAGTAGAGTTGTTGTACGAGCAGAAGAACAGGCACAGGTAGAAGTATTATCAACAAGATGTAGAGTTGTGCATCATCAAGATGAAGAACAGGTAGAAGTATAGTCAACAAAGTGTCAAATAATCAACAAGATATTGGCTATGAAAGCCAAGGCTGCTTGTGCTGCAGTGAAATACCTTCTAGATGAACAAGTATGAAAATGTATTTAGCGAAACAGAAAAAGCCGAAACATTTTTTGATTGTGACTCAACAGTGTTTTTGTTTTGTAATGAAAAATTATGGGCTGCATGATGTGCTGCTAGTGAAGTAAAAATAGGGATAATATTATATTGATCTTCATTCAAAGTAGACCACTACGACTACTTCTAAGTTCAACTACAATATATATAAGCTATAGATCTTCGCGCTGATTGTGAGTGGTTTGTTCTAGTCGTACTATCAAGAAGATTGGTTGTACTTGTACAGTGCATGATCTTATCAATGATTTATCATCTCATACTTCACTCCACCATGATCAAGAATATCTGAATAGTGGTATGTGTTAATGTACTAAAAAAATCGACTGCTCACCAGGGCGGTCGTTTTTTTTGAAATTATAGTACTATTTTTCTTCAGGAGGATTGCAGAACGACCCCTACTTTTACAAGATTTAACAGCAGTTGTATGATCACTTCGATCACTACAACTTTACTCTCCTTTAAGTGCCCCTCCTCGTCCTCCTGAAGATGGCCGTTTCAACTTCAGTAGCAGTGTCAGTCTCATCACGATCACTTTCCTCAGAGGAAATAATCGGCCTACTACAACTCTATTTATTGAAAATAGGAGAAGACAAAGACTCATGGCGCTCTATTTGAAAATAAGAGAAACGCCAACGCGAAGATGAACTAGACCTACTTTGCTTGTAACAAATTTCTGGTGCTGGTGAAGATACTTATATATCACCATGATCATCTTCCCGCAATACCAATTTGGTATTGACATGTATAAATTTTATCAGAATAATATTTCCACCAATGGACGAGGGTACTAAAACTGTGAATTATTGATAAGTTACTGTAACTACAACTAAAACAAAACGAGAAGTTACAGCTGCTCGATTTAAGGGACTTTGGAATGTTGATACAGTATTCTCTTCTTTGTTGATAGATTCTGGGGAGATGAAGGGACAATATCCGCGCCTATGAGAGGATCTCTCAACAGAATTATCTTTTTCTCCGACTGATAAGCCGTATCAATCTGAAAGTGAAATTAATTTAAGTCTTCATGAAACTTTTACAACCACTAAAAATATTCGTTATCGTTACTTTGAACAACAAATTCCAGCACGCAGCCGACCCTGACGCTAATCGTCTTTCCTCGCGGAAAGAACAACAAACAAATGGCAAGTACAAAATTAAGACTGATAAAAAGATTCGACGTGAAAAAGGAACATTTTTTTCGAACTTCTCTCTCCTGGATACCGCGAAAACCATGATGATGACGCAGATCATTATAACTTCAAGAGTTGTTTTAGTTTTTGTTGTGAGCAGGGGCAGGGCTGCTTGATGTTGTAACATGTAGTACGATCTATTTGAAGTAGAGATCATGATGATGACTTCTACAACGAACATCATTAACGACCTTCGTGTGAAGCGTGAATAGAAGGTGTAATAGAAGTCTGTAGTCGATCGAGTAGATATCTCCTCGGATCAACTACAACATCGTGCAGTGGAAAGAGGATTTCGTTTCGAATTTTATGTTGCTGTTGAATTTAGTTTTAGTTTAAGGGCTGTGATAGAGTACTAAAGATCTTACTCTGTAAAACATACTGTTAGAAGAAGTTGCCAATAAAGCTGAGCAGGAGGAACCGTTTGCACGCTCCGACAGCACCTTTTGAGGCACAGAGCTCAGCGGTCGCCCAGCGCGATACCCTGGACCGCCTTGGAGATACAGAAGGTAGTTCTTCTTGTCTTCTTTGATTAGACCTGTCCGTCGTGCACAGAAATCCATGCCCAAGGCCGAGTGCATGCTCCAGTGTCTCCTGGTGGATGAAAGTAATTGTAATACTGGGATGGTACCTAAAAGTAGTCGAATTCCCTCTTTGATGGGTCCTTCAGAAGGTCCTTGATATCGACGGGCATCGAATCGTAAGTCATGATGCACAGGACCAGGAGCAAGAAAGTTAGGGCATCATGCATTGTTGGATAGCCATTATGGCTCATGATTCTGATTCAATTATTATGCTGACTCCCTCATTCTCCTCATGGTGGCTTGATCATGTCCCCCGAGAAGGAAGGAGCCGCATCTTCTGGAGTACCTCCACGCGCCAAAGTTTAAATGATATGTATCATGGTAGGAAATAAGTTTCCTTCCTCCAGAACAAGGCTCCTACTCTGATTCCAACCGAGTAGAAGTGCAAGTCCTGTGGTCGTGCTACTCCACCTAGTAGATGAAGTACTATTATTTCTCGCAGAGATATGTATTAATGTTAATCATAATCTCGTCTCACAGTCTCTACGGTCATCAGGAAAGTTCTTGGCAACAGGGACATAGGCATGCATGACATGGACGAGTGAGAGGCTGAGGTAGATAATACAGCGCGCTGAGTCCAAGTAGTTTCATCCCCTGAAGTCGAATCATTTATTTTATCATGAAGATGTGCATGGACACCATGGAAACGCTTTCTAGGCGTGATATTCATCTAAGGTCGTCGTTGTTCTCAATAGGTACTAGGCTGGGTGGAAATGTTGTTGTAAAGGGAAAGGATTATTACCATTTATCTAATTTGAATTTCTTTGCTACTGCTGTATACCAAGGACCTCCTTTAATAATACCTACTTCTAATACAACGTAATTGCTGTTGTTCAGTTTTGTTTAGAGTTGTAGACAGGCACAGAAGACCTTCACAAGAAAACACACTAGAAACGATGGATCATGTCGTACTGATCATGTTGTCAATTATTTTTCGATTTTTTTTCGTATCAAGAACAGAAGCAGTTATCACAGAAGCAGTTATCATGCTCTTGCTCCTGGGTACCAATATCATAGAAGCATGAGCAACATCAAGAACATAACGTTATAAGGAACTCTTCATCTTGATAAAGAATATTCCTCCACTGAAGATGAAAGATTCCTCCTGTATCTTAAAATAATAAAGTGAAAAATGGGAAGATGATAGATTGTCCTTGTCGAGGTCGTCGTACCTACAAGGTACTAGAAGATGTTGATCATGCTGTTGTATATTCGTCGAGCCAACTTCTCAATGTTCATGTTGTAGTTCATCAAATAGCTTTATTTTTTAGCTACGCGGCCAACACCAATCGCGATTCTAGATCTAGAGGCAGAGCTCCTGCATATTAGAACAACAAACTGAGACGACCACTTTGACCAAAGTCGAGTTGGTAGGAAAGTTTCTTATTCCTACTCTGAAGATTTCAACCGAGTAGAAGGGACTCCTTCCGACCACTTGGGCCAAAGTCGAGCAAGTTGTTAGTGGTCAAGTGTCAGCAGGACGAAAGGATGCTGGTCAACAATTGTAGTTATCAAAATACTTGCGTGCTTCAGCTTATCCCAAGTAGATGTTCACTGATGTAAAGTGTGCTTGCTGTGCGCTTATGTCTATCTATTTCTATAAGCCTGGTTTCAACTATTTCAAGAGGAAGAAGAACTGCATAGACAAGACGAATATTAACATCTATCTTCCAACATTGAAACAGATGAACCATGAAAAGACTGAATACGAATACCTCAACTGCAATTAAATTTGACAAGACTTGCTTTCAACTTGTTCTACAGATTAAGAACAACTGCTTAAAAAAACTGACAAAAAATGATATATGAAGGCGATCCACAAAAGGAGAGTAACGGGCAGGCAAATGCGAAAAAAGACTCGGGCGCCACCTTTAGGCGAATTCATAAAACATATTCGCGCGAGGCATCTAGCTCACGAGCTAAGGAGATGCGAACCTAACTCTTGGGTTAAATCAGCCCTAAATGGCACCTTCTTACCGGAGCTAAACTACGCAGCAGAAGGTCGACAAGAGTTCCTTAAGGACAACTCGACAAACCGTGCACTAACGCCAGAACAAAGGAACGCTCCATCACTTGTCGAAGATTTCAAGCTCCACCTGATCGAACAAGTAGGGCGGCCGATCGAGATAATCCCCCACATTCTGGAGCCATTATATCGAACCGCGAATCCAGCTGGCAACGAGGTGAAAGAGAAAGAATATGCACGCAGAAAAAATTACTACTTCTCAGCATGCGCGTCTGCTTATGCAGCAGCAACGGCCAGAGACTGGGACCCAGACGAGCAGTGGGCCCAGCTAAGCAGCTACGCGGAAATGATGGCGAAGCAGACAGGAAGCAAAAGGACCAGAGAAGCAAAGACAAAAGTGGCTACAACTCCAGATCGAACCCACCGACATATAATGCCGATACGAGAAGAGATCCAGAAACTCACAGGAGGAGCGCGCCCGGGATTTGAAATCAGGTCGAGTCACGAGTCCGAAGCGCACATATCAGAACATTGGGGAGGTGTCATGCCGTGCCCGGGTAACTTCCAGATCTCCATTGACACAGACACCTTCCAAGCAGGTGCAGCGACCGCAATTGAAATTCTAGTGCCGCACGACCCGCAAAATAACAACAAGGTCAGAATCAAGGTGGACTCGCCCACAGTAGCATACGTTGTGCTTGGCGTGGAAACGGGCAGAAAAGAGAGAAGCCTCAACATCGTCAAAAAGTTGGGCGACGGAAGGCCGGGCGCAGCAGGCTGGTCTAAAGACACATCCATTGCAGCATGGTACACCGCAACAGGAGAAGAAGTGGTGGCACTTCGGCGCCTTCTGCTCCCCGGACATGGAGATGAACTCCAGATTTCTGAACCCACGCCCCGAACTACAATAATCCTGTCGCCGGCTATAAATATCGACGCACACCAAGCCAGAGAGGAGCAGAAGCCTCAATCCAGTGGCGCATGCCCGATCTGCGAATGGTCAGCCTCTAGTGACGCGAAGTGGGAAGAGCTAGTATGCCAAACCACATCCCAGAGGGAAGAAAAGTTTCGGATGCACGTCAGAGAAGCGCACACTATACGCAATTGGGAACCTACCAGATTGGTCAAAAAGATGCAAGAGGAAGCCAAGAAGGAAATGATCGGAAGCGCGATAAGGAGAAAAAAACAACTACTAGAAGGCGAAAACTCCGGATTCAGAAGATTACTATCCAGAGGACCGAAAAGACCGCAGAGGAAGGCCCATGGGGAACGATATAAGTGCTTTGTTTGCGACCTCGCCTACACCACCAGCGAAGGAGCGATGCGTGCTCACTGGCAACAACATAAAGAAGGCCAAATAATTAAGGTGGGCACCCTCAAGAAGTCTTCTTGCGCGGCATCCGGAAACGCAGTTGGAGCAGCACGCCGCATTTTCCGCCCTGAAACGCACACTTTCAATAAGCAAACAGGGAAGAGCTACTTTGGATCAGACGCAAGATTACACAAGATAATTGTTCCGGAAGACTGTTGGGAGAATGAAGAAAGAAGGAAATTGAAATGCAAAAAGTGCAAATGGAGCCTAGAATATAGAGAAGAAATGACAATGCAAGCAAGGGCAAAAAGAGTCGAAATATATAGAAGTCACACGTTGAAATGCAAAGGCTAATAAAAGCCAAGTACAAACACCTCAAGAATAGGTACAATCATCATCATCGTCATCACTTGTAGTTGTTGTATGAAAAAATAATGATAGTAGGATGAGCCAGACTTTCGTGTTCTTGGAACATCTTCCACCGCGAAGGCAAACGTGAGTTCTAGAAGAAGGTACTAGAAGGACAGCCACACTTTTTGTCGTAACAGGTTTTGGGCATTACTCGGATTGTCGTGCAATAAATTGGATTTTTTGAACTCGCACGGGACCAGAACAGCAACTTGAAGTTGAACAACACAAGAAAAATGATGACCAACTCTAATCAGCAAAATGACGCAAAACTAAAAGCTATAATGACTACTTCTTCTTCACTTCCTCCGGTCTCAAAGCCCCCAGGTCCAGCACGTGTCGTGGGCGTCCTCGCAGTCCAGGGCGCCTTCGCAGAGCACGCTGCTATGCTCAGGAAATGCGCTCCGATGTTTCACCCCTCTTTCGAAGTACGATACGTAAAAACTGCTGAAGATCTACTAGTTGGTACGGGGGAAGCTAACACCAAAGGTAGTCTACCTCATCTAATACAAGGCGAGTGGATTTCAGCCTTGATAATACCTGGTGGCGAGAGCACGACGATGAAAATCATGCTAGCCAACATTCGTGAAGAGTTGCTGAAGTTTCGCGATCAACGGCCAATCTGGGGAACCTGTGCAGGCTGTATTTTACTGGCAGATTCAGTATCTGGAGGCGGCGGGGGATCATCATCTGGTGTTTCTGCGGAACAAGACGAAGTACTAGCTGACGCCGGACAGTCTAGTACGAGAACATCACCGTGCAAATATGGTCCTTCTCTCGGAGGGTTGCCCATTTCTGTCCAACGCAACTACTTTGGCAGACAAGTCGACTCTTTTACGGCGGCGCTTGAGTCCGATCACCCTGCGTTCAAGGGTCAAGAGGGCGTCTTTATTCGAGCACCAGCGATATTTTTGAAAGACAAAGAGCAAGAAGACCCTGTAGCTGAGCCAGACGCCAAAAAACGAAGAACCATTACATCATCTTCTTCGCCCGGCGGCGGCGACGTTGAAGAGCTTGAAGTGCTCGCTAAAGTAACTATCAAAAGCAGTTCTTTGCCATCATCAACATCAAATGAGAATATTAAGAATATGAAAGATAATACTGTTGTTGTTGCTTGCAGGAAAGGGCACTTGTTCGCTACTTGTTTCCATCCTGAACTAGGGGATGAAACCGACATTCATGAATACTTTCTACGCGAAGTGGTCGGGTGGAAACAGACGGGAAAATCGCAAAAATAAAGAGTTTTTGATCACAGGGCGGCATTGGCTCTGTCACATCCAATTGCCATCGACTTTTGAACCAAATTATTCGTTTAAAAATAAATGCAATCTATCACTCAAGGAATGCATAGCTGCGGTTCGCGCGTGCCACACAGCTTCTCCGTTCAGGAACAGACGCTTGTCTTTTTTGCATTTAAAGAGAGGTATCTTCGCGAGAAAGCGGATGTCTAGACGTGCATAAGCATAAGGACCACTACGCTATAAAAATCATAAAAAGTTGTGTAACAACGACTTTCTGACGACTAATACTAGTATGGAAATTAATTTCTACCAATGTATATGTAAGGCACTAGAAGACTTCTATACAACTAGGTAGGAGTTGTAGCAGGTTTTTCTTTGAATTGGACTCGAGAAAATGAAGGGTCTCCTTCGCGCTGCTGCCGCAGGACGAACTGGTGCTCCTAAGAAACGTGTCGTAGCCTCCTCGTCCGAAACTGAATCATCCACCACGAAAACCGCAGAAACAGCTGGCGCTTCGTGCATTGAAATGGGCACTACGACTACCACGAACGGAGGATCTACAATCACTCCGTTGCTGACGAGCATCGCCCTGGACCTACCCACTCCATCTAGCAGCTCCACTTCCTCTTCCGCCTTACCTTCAAATCAAAGTAGACCTTTCCCTGACGTCACCGTAGTCCGCAGAGTCATCTCGCCTGAAGATGATGTCGAACTAGCGAAATTCTTGCGCGGCGAGAAGCGTGAGTGGTCGTGTTACGGCTGTACCTAATACATCTTTGGACGTATCCTTGGAACTACGTATGGAGGAGTATCCACCTAAGGGAATAATACTCTCCCATAGTACTACTTTTCAAGGATGCACTTGAAAGATGAATTACGGACCGCTCTAATGGTGGACACAACTTCGTGGTCGTCGCGTCATGAAACTCGGTGGCGACGTCACTAGTCGAGGTCTTGAGGAGATAGAGCCATTGCCTCCAGTGTTGCACAGAATAGCCAGACGAATCGCGGAACGATTCTTTGTTGACGAAGACGTCGGAGGTGAAGAGTGTGTCACTGACGGAAACGATGTGAAAACCAGACAACTAGGTGGACTATCTTCAGATCAACAAGAGCATGGTCGTAACAAGATCATGATGAAGAAGATTCCAAACCACGTCTTGGTAAACGACTACCAACCTGGGGACGGCATAATGCATCACGAGGACGGGCCTTTGTATCATCCTGTAGTAGCGATTCTATCGTTGCAATCCTGTGTCCGATTTGAATTTGTGCGGAAGGAGGAAACTACTTCGACTTCGGACGAGGTGTCCCAAAACAGTGAGATCGAAAGAACAGACGAAGACGCTAGTCTTAGGCGAAAAAAAAATAGGCTGCTGGAAATCGATTCTCTTGATGCATATCACGCCAAAAGCACTAGGACGAAAAAGCCTGAAAACTCAGATTCATCTCTAGTAAGCATTCCACTTCCAGCTCGTTCTCTTCTAGTCTTCCGTGGCAAAGCATACACCGATTGGAAGCATGGCATTGCTTTCACTAGATTCGACAATATTTCAGACCAGGAGTACAAAGAACATGTCCTACTTGAAGGAGATGGACGAGATGAAGATGGAGATAGTCCTCTTAAAACTGATGAACTCGGAGAAAGTGAGTATTTCCGAGAACAAAACGTAATGAAACGTGGAACAAGGATAAGCTTAACTTTTCGTTATGTGCCGCCGGCAAAAATTGATGAAGTTGAAGGATAGAAATAATTATAAGAAGATATATATAATTGCGGATGGTTATGGTGTCAGTGTCAGAGGAAGAGACTTATAAGTCCTGCCATTTCGGCGGCCGTCGTCCAGCACCACGGATTGTTCTTACACCTGTAGTTACTGTGAGAGATTAACATCGAGACGACGACCAAGGAGCAGCGTAATTATGTCATTCTTTCTATTCAGAATCGCTATCGCACACTGACAACTGTACTAGGGTGATCAATTGCAGAAACAGCGGATCCCTTCGTTAACCTTGCGACCCCAGTTGTAAAACAAGTCCCCCTACTAGCACAGGTTTTCATTCGCAGGAGCCACGACAATATTTAATTAGCATACTTTATTTCTTCGAAGATGTTTCTTTGGAGATAAGTGAGCAGTCGTGACCGTGACGCGTCTTCTACCTCTACTACGTGGTATGATGTAGTTCCCTTTAAATTTTCCGTAGTTTAGAGAAATATCAAGTCTTCGGTCTCTCTCGGTTCATCAACATCCTAATTTTCCATTTCCGAAACAAGGCATGATAAAGGAGTACGTGGCAGTGGCTGGTCATCTATTTTATAGTTGTTGTTCATCTTGCATAATTTAGAAGCATGATGATGTTGTCGAAAAGAAAAAGATGACTAATTTATCGTCCGAAGACCCATGCCCATCCCAGCTCTGCTGTTGGATCCGTTCCGCCTACAGGCTACATGACAATCCGGTTTTACACGAATACCGGAAAGCCTGTACATCCGGAACTTCTTCACCTGGCACGAACACGACTCTGATACTCGATACCCACAAACTTGAGCATGATTTGGCCAAGAAAGTGTTTGGCGCGACCGACGTCGGCACGTTGAGGTGTGACTTTGTGGATCGGGGCGTGGATGAATTCGTGAGGAAACTCTCAGCGTCCGGAAGACAAGAAGGTCATCATGTTAGACGGTTTGGCTTCGAGGTTGAGCCTATTCTTGCGTCCCTTGATGCGTCATCTTCTCCGTCTGAAGTCATCGAGTTCGAATTTGATGGAGGGGCTACCGACTCTGAACAACCTGTCATCTGGCCCGACAGCGGAAAGCTCCGTGCGTTAACATGCGAAGTTACTGGAAGGTTAGCAGGCTTGGTGCTGAAGCGGATATTCAGTCCACCAGGTAGTTGTGGCGATGGTGCCAGAAGAACTGCTCAACAGTTGTTCTTCGATCGCCTACATGATCCACATAACATGCGAGAGGAGAGCGTTGCTCTGGGAAACCTACGACAACAACTACAAGGTGGATCTTCTGGGATTGTAACTACCGGTATTGGTTGCCATAACCTAATTCGAGATATGGATGAATATCTGGCGAAAGTGGATGGGCTGTTGGTTGACTCGTGCCAGAACAACGGCGAGACTTGCTTGCGATTGGACAGATTACCACTTGGATTTGGCCCTTTTGTGAAGGTCTTGCATCGAAATTGGGATAGCCTATGCCCAGAGCCGGTCGAGGATGTTTTGGATGTGGTAAATGCAAGTCGATCTTCACGTAACCGACTCGAATCAAGCGAGGACAATAAATCTGAGGAGAAGAGCACGCAGGGTTCGGGAGATAACGATGGAAGCACAAGCACGGCGAGGGCGACTGATGTGAAGCAAACTAAGCAAGGCCGATGGGGTCGGCGGAAGAAGCCAATTGGTGGAGGAGAAGGTGAGGTCCAGCCAGCTGCAACAGATGCTGGTGCCGCTGCGTCTATTGCGACCACGAAGAGTCCAATCGAACAAGCACGACGACCGCTACCAGCAGAAGCAGCAGCTACTACTATAGCAGCTCCTCTATTCTCGTCAACAGAAAGAGTTCCAGCTGTGATGGTACGTTTCAAGCGAAGCACCACGACAAAGAACGTTAAAAGTGATGCCGCAAGCGCGAACGGAGACAACGCATCTCTCCTGTATTTCAAGATACGACTGGTCGAACGGGACAACACAGTGGAGACAAATGGACCAACCCCGAGTGCCTTTACGCACTTTCCTCCAGGCGAAGACGCCGGTCTGGAAAAATTTCGAAAGAATGTTGTGTCACGTGAAGATTGGGTTCGAAAATTCAAGAAGCCCTTGACGAATCCTATGGCTTTGGAACCGGCTACCTCTGGTTTATCACCCTATCTGGCCAATGGCTTTCTCTCAGTGAGAACTGTCGCGCAGTGGTTGAGGCGGCAGCAAATGATGGATGAACAGGTCTCTTCACAGCAGGCGGTGGCGGAGGGAGGATTTTCTCCCGCAGCGAGGGGGAATGGGTGGCAAACGATTATGACATACAACTGAGTTGTAGCTCATCTACTATGTAAAATAAAACAGCTTGTTGATGTAAGTAGTAGAGTAAAAAGATCTTCACGTGGACGTGGTGCGGGGGTCGTGTACCTCTAGTTTATTAAGCATCTTCAAGTGAAGAACTGCAAGAATGTTGTTCATTCTCCTCTAACGGGATAAAGCTGAAAGAACCACCAACGCAACAAAGTCTACTGGGACAGCTCTGTTGGCGAGAATTTGCACATTTCCTTGGATTTGCGATCGGACCTGGATTTGACACGATGATTGCCAACCCCTTCTGCCTTCGGTACCAAAATTGGAAACAGATTGATAGGGAGACTGCCGCGACGTATTTCTTGGCAACTACGAGGAGAAGAACTGGCACTGGTGAGGTAGAGGACACGACGTCGGAAGTGTTGGAAGTGACAACTGCAGCAACAAGTGCTGGCCGTGCGACTCCTGTCCTCCCACCACCAGCGGTTCTTGCCGGTATTGGCCAACTCCGGACAACAGGCTGGATCCACCACATCATGCGACACATGTTAGCATGTTTCATCACGCGTGGTTGCCTCCGCTTGCACTGGGAAGTTGGCAGGGACTTCTTCCATGCACATCTACTCGATTATGACTGGGCCATCAACGCCTCTCAGTGGCAATGGCTCAGTTGCTCCATGCTTTTCTACGCTTTTAACAGGGTGTATCACCCGATTGGCTTTGCGAAGAAATGGGACAGAAGTGGAGGGTTTTTGAGGCACTGGGTCGAGGAAGGAAGCTCGATGAAAAACGGAACCGCATCTTCAAAAATGGAGGACTTTGATGCATGTGCTGCAAAAGGCATAGAAAGTCTGAAAGCCGCTTTTTTAGGATCCTCAGCTGCAAAACAGAATCCACTTTTCTATGCAGCGATATCACAGCAAGCGTGTGATGAATGGAAAAAAGAAGATCCTGAATTCGCGTCAAAGTTGACTCAAAGAAGAAAAGAAGCGTTAGAGATATTGCGTAAAGATCCAAGTCACGCGTTCATTATATCAAAGATACCTAGATGAACTAGAAGTATGAGAATCCAAGTTGCTTAAAGGAGTCGAGAACAGCATGTGTCAACTTCGTACTTTTTGGTTGGAGCAGCAGTGCACTTTTCGTTGCTGAGCTTGTGCTGCAGCTCTTGTTCCTAAAAAAGTTTCTTTGAATATGTAGCAGGCATGCAAGATAGGAATATGTTCCGCGCTGGCGCATAAAGAGCTACTACTTCCTCGCTCTCTACTTACTGCTCATTCTCTGAAGCTGCTCATGCCAGTGCGTTAGCTTCCAGGATCACAAAAACATCAAAGAAATTTTTCATTACACTCTTGCACGTGTCAGCATCAGCATAGCAATATTCAGCATATACTAGTAAGTCGTTCTCTTTGTCTTTCATTCTCTTAAGAATAGAATGAAGTTTTTTATAAGCAACATATCGACCACGGCGGCTGCATACCAAACTACTTTGCTGCTGTTGTAGACTCAGTACTTAATTTTCCTCGCCGACGCAGACACAAAAAAATGGAGGACTACGAAAAGGAAGCGGAGGCCTCCTCCTCCTCTGGGGGTCCGGCCGTCCTTCCAAATCCATCATGGTGCGATATTTGCCAGAAAGATTTGCAGAGCAAGGTATCCTATGACGAACATCTGCACGGTAAAAAGCATTTGAAGCTTACAGCACGAGCTGGTATGCAAACAGTCGCATCTCCGAAACCAGGAGATGATGACCGCAGCCGAAGAATAGCTGATGTGTCTGAGATCCTAACCGACGCAACCTTTCGCCACGAGCTAGTAAGCGGACGTTACAAGAGAATCATCGTTTTGACGGGTGCTGGCATTTCGACCGCAGCTGGTGTCCCTGACTTTCGGACTCCTAAGTTTGGGCTTTTCGACAAAGTAAGAGCCAACATCTTCGCGCAACGTCACCCAGAGTTGATTCGCGATCCTGAGAAATTTTTCTCTAGAAGATTCGTTCATGGCCTGAGTGTGGAGGAAAGGAAGGAGTGGGATGAATTTGTGAGTGGGAGCTTGGAAATCATAGATCCTGGGGTGGAAGACAGCCGTTACGACAGCAGTTCAACATCCGTAGATGCAGCAGCAGATCAAGGTTGCGACAATTTCTTTGGAAGAGGAAAGGACATGATTGCTGAACAGAATCTTCCAACTGACAAGAATCGCGGTCCCCAACCCACCCTCGCGCACGTCTTCATCACTTGGCTCGACCGCAAAGGCTGGCTACGCAGAGTTTATACTCAAAACATCGATGGCTTGCACTCTTTGGCTCAGTCCGGTGAGCATAAAATCCAAGCTGATCGCATAGTTGAAGTTCACGGTTGCTTAGCCGAGCCACGGACGTTGGTCCTGTATGGTGACGAAGTAAATCCGATGTTGGACTTGTACTTGAAAACCGACTTTCCGAAGGTGGTAGGCGGTGGGAATCTGCAGACGCACATGAAAGCGTCGGAGCAGGGTGATGGTGGTGGAGGCGACGAGGATGTTCACGAAGATGAGGAGGAAACGAAGGATCATTCTCCAGTTCAGAGTCCTGGTTGTTCCGGCTCCATAGGGCAGACAAGCCCTTCTGCAGGATCGCGCGCTAACTTGAACTTAACTATTCTCCCTCCCGACCTCATCCTCGTCATGGGAACGTCTCTCCAAGTGGCTCCGTTCTGCGCTATCCCGAATTTGGCTCCGCCAAAGCATTGCGCCCGCGTTTTAGTCAATGTTCCGATATCGACTTGCCTCTCCAACGGTTGGGATCCCCCGAAAGGAAGCCTGGCAGGCCGTATTGAGATGTACGGCAGTGGAGCGGCCTTTAGCATCTCATCTACAACGGCTTTAGCAGGACGAAAAGTAAGTTTGAGACCAAGATGGAGGGAGAATTTGTCACAAAAAAGATGGCCGCAGCTGCTGTTGGAAGAGAAGTGCGATGACTTCGTTAGAAAATGCTTTGAAACTACAGTTGTGCAAGAATGAGAACAACTGAGAAAAGGAAACTGAAAGGAGGTGTGATCTAGATCTTAGAAAGCCATCATAAACATTCACATTTATCTTCACAAGTCAGTAGTTCGGCAATATACGTGCATCTTTATACGAACTTTAACGAAGTGAAACATTTTGACTTTTTGGTTTTCCATTGTATCAAGGAATCAGTTACTGAGTGACAGAGAGAGGATCTCATACACTAAGAAGACTGACATGATGAACACCGCAAGAACTACATGCTGGTACCTTCTGTGCTCAATCTCAACGTGTCCCCCGCTCATGGTCAGTTGGCTGCTCTTCTTGAAACGATCACTCAGATTGACAGAGTTGCGTTATTTCTTTTTTGAGGGATGCGGTGGTAATACAAATCAAGGGTTCCAGGTGCAATATCAGTGAATATAACATCAGCAAGTACTCTGATCTTCCACTTCCTTCAGAATTGCTTATAAAAAACCTCCCCCACCCTCCAAATGAAATCGCAGTAGAATCAGACGAATCTTGCACAGTTGGTTCTACTTCAATCTGAGCGTGTTAACAACTAAACCAATTGACACTGTAAAACTACTGTGCAAAGAACTACTATGTCGTGTCAGAAAAAAATGACCCTTCCTTCGCCCTCCACGAGGAAATCAACAAAATGGTTGACCACTCGTCTCTGCTCCTCCGTCTTTCATCTTCAAGCGTGGACCGCTTTCATCTTCAAGCTCTTTTGCGCGTCCTCGATTCTGAGATTTGCAGAAGCCACGTCATCTCCACGTCCCGGTGATCTCGTACAGATCCGGGGCAGACAGGGAAGAGCACATGGAGTTGTACTCTTTCTGCAAGATGAGCTGACCGCTGGCGGTCGGCTTCCTCCTGCCGGAAAAGCCATTAGAGGCCCACAATCAGATGAACTCCGTCAACTGGCAGACGAGGCTAAAGTATGGGGCGAGACAGAATCTCCTATGCAAACCTGTGACGCAGCATCTGCAGGAGGAGTTGAAGAAAGTACAACGATTGGAGGTACAGGGAGAACTAGGAGTTGTTCTAATGCAGCAGCAGTTGGGACCATTAGTAGAAGTGGTAGTGGTCGCCAAGGTCAACTAGGAGGTGGGAGGGGGAGTGAAGAAAGAACTGACTACAGAAGTCGGGAATACATGAACCCAGGAGCAGCTGTCCCTGAACAACGAGTTGTAACACTTCCAGCTGGGACAGATTCATATACTCTTCGACAACCAGATCCTAATAATACTACGGTAAGCCAGCAAGTTGTACCTGCTCAATCGTTGATATCGCAACATCAAGTAGAGACAGACATCTCTTTCTCTACTTCAACTTCATCAAATGCACAATCCTCCTTACACGACCAGCGAAGAATCTATAGTACGAATCAAGCAGATGAAGTGGCCTCGTCCCGAAAACGCAACTTTCTACAGCTGACAAAATCCCCATGGTTTGCGCGGAAAAGTACCATAGACGCTTTGAGACTGCAAGGTACTAGCAAGGATGAGGATGTGTATCGAGAGCGTCGTGGAGCGCTCCTCGTTTTGCTACTCAGTATAATTGAAGAGTCGTCAGACGACCCTGCAGCTTCTACTAGAAGTACATCAAACCATACTACTAGTGGAACAACGAGCAGTAGAGGACCCAGCAGTCCATTGCTCTTGAGGTCAACAGGTACCGCTAGTCAAGCGGCTCAAGCACATATGTCTTCCGCAACTTCTAGTGGAACTTCAGGCGGTAATATGCCTGGAACTTCAGGCGCAGCACCAAGCATGATCGCTGGAGGTCGGATTTTATTCTCTGTTTCAGCACGAGACGTCCTTTCGTTTACTTCCAATCATGGTCGTGACGGTTCAACTCCTAGTAGTAGTGGGACCAGGATCTCACATATTAATGTGAAAAAAGATTCATCTGTATCTCATCAACGTGAACGTGATACTATCAATGGTTCTTGCAACATCCTGTGTCCCGGTCGACTAGTTTCTGACTCTGGAGGTGCTGTAGCACAGGACGCTTTTGTATTGAGGAGGATTCCACCACTTCCGCGTACAACTCCTGAGCGACGTAGACAGCGGGAGGAATCGTCAGCATCGGCAGCATCGACGTCAGAGCTAGTGTTGCCTTTCAGATCCTCAGTAGACGAATTCGAAGAACGCGAAGAAGCACCAGCTGTAGGAGAGCGACCAGAAGTAGAAGTAGAAGATAATTACGAACTCGGCATCGTCCTTGATGACACAACCTTCCGTAACGATTGGCAAACCCGGAGACAGTTGAAAGTCTGGTGGTTTGCCGCCGCAGAGCTATCTCGTGTGGATTTGGAGATTCTCATCTATCAAGAGGACACCATCGGACCACGTGGCAACATCAAAAGCAAATATCTGGCTCACCATTGGAAAGACACGAGTTCTTTGTTCTTTGTTGCGGCGCCGAGCTGTGGTGGGGGGACGATAAGTAGTAGTGGTACGACGAGTTCTAGTAGCATTACCGGTAATAATCTGCAGAGTAGTGCTAGCACCACGACATCAATAAGTAGAAATGGTATACAACTCCCATCGGACCCGATTTTTTATTCCGATTCGTACGCGAATTTTGTCACCTCCACTCCGACTCCTACCACTCAAACTCCTGTACAACGACACGGCCTCAAAGATAACTACGTTCTAAAAATTCCTGCTCTCGTATCATCCTACGAGATGCGGCTTGCGATTACGGCTATTCGGAGGTTGCAAACTCAAAGGGCGCGCGAACGCGAAGAACAACAATTCAGGAATCATGTATTGCAGATTGCTGCAGCAGTTTCACTTTCATCAGATGAAGAAAAAAGTCAGAAACGAGCGTTGTACAATTATTTCAAGAACAATGTTGGGTACGAAGGTGGGAGAACAGAAGTTGAAGCTATATCAGTCTCCGAATTCTTCACTGACCTCTGTCATTCTGACACGAGCTGTTTTGTTGGAGGTAGTTCCGCGTTTCCAATTTCATCATCAAACGCAATAAGCACGTTCACAACGACTTCATGTAGGCCTAGAAGGGCGTCCTCTTCTCCGATCTCGTCGTCCTCTTCAGCAACTGGTCGCATTCAGTTTGTGCGGCGTCATGGCCGCATCATGCTCCGTGAGGAGCGTTTGAGGCGCAGGAAAATGAACCTTCAGGCTACCGCAACTTCGGGTCAACATGCGTGCTCTAGTACACCGAAAATCCTGCGTGATAGCTGGGAAGATAGTCCAGCATGTTCTCGTGCGACAGCAAGATGCGTGGCAGACCGTCTGGTCTCTTATTCCGACTTCACTGTTTCTGAGTTCTTCATGAAGAGAACTACAGAAGATGATGTCCAACTGCATACAACTAGCGTCAAGACTGCTCGAGCGTCTTTCTTGTCTCCTCCAGCTCTATCGCCAGTAGATGCAGACACATCAGGTCTGGCCAGAAAGATGGGCACCTTAGATATCGCGAAAAATAGTCATCCAGTGCTAAGTTCTGCTCCAATGACGTCATCATGCCTGCTCACGCCAAATCATCATCAGCCACCTGCTCTTTTGAGTACTGCCTGTCCATCAGCAGAACCGGATATTTTTTCTCTTGACGTGGACGGAACAGCAACAGCAGTTCCACGTCCCCTCGCAAAAATCACTGTCTTGCATGGACCGGCAACAGAAGTGCGGTTGCTAGATGATGAAAGGATCGCTTTTGCATCAGAAACCCTCTTTCCAGAACCGGTAATGGAAGAACTATGCATATTTGCAGCTCCTTCGGCGGCTCCTGGTGCGTCGCCATCATCGGACTGTGCAGTTGGGTGATTGTGGTGCGGCTGGTGTCATGCGCGTCGATAGGAGAACGAGATATGCTGTGGTTCTAGTTTTTGCTAATCTATTGGAGATTGGTCATCAGTTTTGCTATTTTTTAATATGTAAATACAAACTAAATTGAAATTTTCGATTATCTATTTGAAATTGATTTTTCTTCCCTTCAGCTTCATCATCTGCGTTTCCACTTAGACAATATTTCTATGCTGCTCTGCGCAAGTTCGATGGGGGGTCTGTTATGCAAAACAAACGATTTTTGAGAAATCCAACGATATGGATTTGTATCGGGATTCAGACAAACTGCAAAATTCTTGAAATGCTATTGATGTTTTTCGCTCTTCTGAGAAAGACGGCGCTCTTCCTTGTTTATTGAGTATGTACATCCTCAACTTCCATCTGTTCTTCATTTCTTTTCATTCAATTTCAAATTGCCCTACCGGTTTGCACACGTTTTTTTAAATTCAAGTGAAACTGACTGATGAGCTTGTGCATCATCCAATAAATATGTTCAAATCTCGAGAACAATCTACTGAAATAGATAATGATATGATGTAGGAAATCTATCGAGTGTGTCGACTTTCTAATTTAAGGACTGCCTTCTGTGCCTCCTTTGTCGAGCACATTCGATTCTTCCATCGCGTATCATCTCTGTCATGTCTTAAACAAGGATACCTTCTCGCTTGAACTTCTCATGAGGCTTCTCGTCGCTGACAACGCTAAATGATATGTGGTAAAAAGTTGTAGCGATTAACGAAGTAACAAACATTCTAGTATTGGAACTGGAATGGAGACGCCTGGGCCTGCATCTTCGCTGCAGAAACGGTGATCGCTGAGAGAGGATGAGAAAAAATTGTGGGTTGTCGAGATGGTGCTGGAGGTGGTGAATCCGTGAAAATGTTTTTATTAAATTGCCTTTGCAGGAAACGATAACGAGGAAGGCATTCTGATGAGTAGAAAACGCTGCATCTTATTGATAGTGATACTGTGAGTTTATTCTTGAGTAGCTTCTGAGAGAGAACAAGAACTAAAACAAGAATAGAAAATGAGGTCGACTGGATTCATGGCGGTCTCCGCAATGATATGGATAGGACGGCTTTTCTAACTGCACACTTTCTATCAAAAAGATGGCCACTGCGACAACGTCAGTCGCGCTCGCGGGACAACGCGCAATTAGCCACGTCGGCATGGCAGTGCTTGCGAATCTTTCTTCACCTGCTAGACGAGTTTCACGCTTTCTGCCATACGAGGCTTGGCTACATTACGTCCGCTGTACGGGAATGCAGCGCGTCATGGAGTATCGGAACTGGGCAAAATCTGCTCAACGTCCGCGGAACATACCATCTCGACCTGACCATGTCTACAAGCAAACGGGGGAATGGAAGGGTTGGCCTGTTGCGTTCGGGACGAGCTACGGGGAGGCATACAGAGTACCACTTTCGAGAGAAGCCCTTCTTAAGGCGCGAGAATCTTCTCCCAGGGCCGGGAGAGAGTGGGCCACCGCAAAGCATGAACTGGCAATCGAATGGTTCCTGCAATGCGCGGAGAAGCACACGGGCGATCTCGAATTCCGCCAGGTGCATTCAATGGCGAGTCCACATCTTTTTGTTCGCAGACGAAGTCAACCACACGGTCATGACGCGTGGGTCGCGATTCAGTTGAAGTCAGCACGCTCTCTGGCGAAAAAGCTCCTTGCCGCCGATTCTCATGCAGCATCACCGAAAAATTCCGTGCCCTTCACAGGAATCTTCTTTTGTCCAGATATAGTACGAGTCTTCGTTTGTCAGGACCTGAACTTGATGCGAATAGTTTTGCCACAAGACTTTCGTCCCAGTAGCCGGCGCACCAGGACTGCTAGAAGTAGCAACATCATCAAGAAGCGTTTTGCGTGTGCCAAAATTAGCTTCGATCCGAAGCACAACGTCGACTCCGCAGATTTTTCAGAGTTCAGCGTACTTGAAGAAGCCCTGCCATCGCTTGCATTGCGCACTGAACCGGAATGGAGAGAAAAATTCACATCGTGCATGAACAGGACCATCCTCTGCCATGAGCACTACAGCCGACAAACGTCACAATTTCTTTACCGACTAGCTGGATTGCACGCGAAGAATGCAGTGTCAGCGGCCAGTCCTTGGAACCTACAACTGGGGCGGTACAAATGCGCACAAAAAGTTGTCAATCTCTCCGCAGTCACGGCTAGCTCTGAGTACGGAGTGCGCGCGACGCTTGCCCGTGACGTCTACGGCCATGGGTTGAAATTTGGAATTGAACGCATCAGCATCGCATGCGATATTTCAGACGGCGTGCATTTCTATATCTTTGTGCTACGTCGCAATGATCTCCTCTCTGGTGTCTTTGTTTTTCCGAGTAATTTTCTCCTTGAATATGGTCATATCAGCGATTGCAGTAACGAGAAGAGAGGCAAGAAGGCAATCATGCTCTATCCTCCGGGGAACTCATCTGCAAAAAGGAATAAGCGCTTTGCTGCAGCACAACAACAATTCTACATAGCTCTCGAGGACAAGAAATGCGCTCCACCGAAGCAGGTTTCGAAGCTCCTTTCGATTCTCGATTGGGCAGACACAAACGCTCAGCAAAAGAGTGGCAGCAATGAAGTGGGTTGTACGTTTCCTTGAAATAGTACTCGTAGAAGGACGAGGAGATTCTAACCCCGAGACGAATTCGACGCATAAATTCCAACTTCACAGTAATTATGTTGTTATAAAAAGAAGAAGAGCAAGTAGTGAACAGCAAAATCAACATTCGTGACTTCAGCACTCTCAGCACGTCCTTGTTGATCTTGATACAATGTGTTAGAAGCGTTTCGTTGTATCGCCATAAGAATCATTGTTGAACAAAAAACCGAGTTTCTTTCCAAGCTTCTAACGCCTTAAAAACGAACTGTGATTGATATTTCAAATTTGACACGGAAGGACTATGCTTTCATAAGGAGGGGGGATGTCATTGTACAGAAACGAAAGATGGCTAGCAATTGCATAACGGTCCGGAGCTTGAGCAGACGAGCCAGCAGCTCCCTGAAACTCGAAGTTGGAAGTGTCTAGTACTACAGCTTCATCATGTTCTTTCCCAGCTTCATCAATTTCTTGATACCGTCAGTCAATTGAGGTTTACTGCTGTATAGAGAGGAAGATAATATGATGCCCATACCCCTTCGCTCCTTACTACAGCGGTAAGCCGACTGCAACTTGCATCAAACGACTTTGGCAAGTGGGCTTCTGTTTTTCTCTTGAGATCAAGTTTACGTTTCTTCTTTCTCGAAAGCGTATATAGTTTACCACGGACCGATTAGTTTTCATCTCATCAAGTTTCTTCATTGAGACATAGCATCAAAAATATTGGCATCACGTCGTCTCATATCGATAGCGAAATTAGAAGTACTTACTTACTCAGTTCCAAATCCAGTAATCATGGTACCGTATCCTTATCCTGACTCCGTCGTGAGAAAGAGAATGATTAAATTGGTCTAAATAACATGTTCCCAATTCATTTTTCTACATTGATGTTGTAGGTTACAAGTACTATCGCTGATGCTTCATCTGGTTCTTTGAGTCAGAGTCAATATCTGATTTTCTAACAAGAGTATCGAACTTTAGTATTTTACACGTCTTCGTTTTAAAAGTAGACGCAATATTCGTTCTTCTCGAAATCAACATAATGCTGGTCGTTCTAGTACACGTGGTTTTCTTACTCTTCCAGCTTGCTTTTCCGACCTCCTCGGTGTTGGCCAGAAGTCTGTCTGCCCGAGGTCCACGATCAGCTGCAGCGAAGTATCAAGCCAGTGCCGATGAGGTGGAGGTTATCGTGCTGGGTAATAGTACTAATCAACGAGATGATATGGAGGTGGATATTAAAGAGCACCAGCCTCTTCGACTTCAGAATGTCGCTAACATCAAGGAGAAAGAAGAGGAGCTACGACATCAACATCAACATCTTCGAGGACGGCGACAGGAATCACATCAACAGCGAGATGAACTTGATGAAGATCTCCAACAACTTTCAGCTGATTTACAGAATCCTAGCTCAGGGTTTCAACGTGGACATCACCGAGTTCATCCTACTTCCAGGTCCGAAAAACATGGCGTTGCTAGACACCATGAGCCTTATCGGACATATGAAGATCTCGGGTCTTTCGATCCCCGTCGACCTTTCTCAGATCCGAGGTCGTCGCCGACTGGGTCCAGCTACAACTACACTCTATCTCATTATGGCATAAGCAGCGACCAACATTATGGATGATGTTCTTTCTTCTATCCTTCAAACGACCATCGATGTTTGATGTTTTTCTTTTGTCCATCCTTGCTTTTGCTTACGACCACCATCCTGTCAACAGTGCTCATTTCGAGGGCACGCAAATTTGCCAGGATGCTCTGTCTACCTAGATCATGGATGGATATGAAAAGCCTGCCTCTTTCTTCATAGGGGAGAAGATCCTTATTGGAGAAGATCCTTATTGGGACTCGCGACGCCGCTAGCTTCTGCTTCTAGCACTGAGCGACCACTCTGTAGTTCGCCAGAAAGGGACATGCTGGACACAGACCCGCGTCTCGATAATTCCTCTACCACCGACCAAGAACGCGGGACAGCTTCGTTTGGATCGCCTCCTGTGGCCTCATCATCGGCATTATGGTCAACAACTTGTTCCACGACTTGTTTATTGTGCTTTTCCATGTCTCAGATCAGAGCATCTCGATACAACCTACTTTCTTCGGTAGACTGCAAGGAGATGAAGGGTGTCTCGATACAACCTACTTTCATCTCCGGTCGTGGACAACTACAAGAACAAGTGGATGGCTTATAATATAAGGTACTGAAATGAGGAAAGGACTTGGATGAACTACAACTAAAGCATACTCTAAGAGTTACAGGATGTTGGCTGCACCGAAGAGATGGAGTTCCCGGTTCTCCCGATTCAGACGGAATAAAATTCCAAAGAGGATCAGGATCTTCCGTCCGTCCTCATCCTTCAGACAAAGATGTTGTGCAAGGCAGCGTTGTTTTTGGAAGGACGAGGAGTGATAAAAATAAACCAGAAGATGTTGCCTCGTTCGACGAGGTGGATGAAGTAGATGAGCATTCGCCATTTGTCGTGGTGAGGGAAAAAACAAATAAAACTATGTCAGCGTGGTCAGCGTTTTCACGAAATTGTGGTAGACATCAACATCAAGGGTCCTCGTCTTCCTCGTCGAGAGCAGTACGTGGTAGACCTCGTAGAGGTACACCAGCACCAGCGTCCTTAATGTCATCTTCGGGTAGTCGTGGAAGCGGAACCGGTGGTGCACCAACTTACACTGCTGCTGGCAGTACCAAAGCGGGCAGTACTCCCTACAGCAGTACCAAGTCTGCAGACCACGAGAAGCCTTCTCTGCATGTTAGTGCAACTCAAGAAGTTGCAGGAAAGAAGGAACAGACACCTGCTGCTGCGACCGTTAAGGGTTTCCGCATTGTATCCTGCGCGACCATTCTAGACTTGTTTCCCGAATATAGGAAAGAAGACACGGATGTAGTTCTGAAGAATGCAGTGGCGCAACCAGCACTAATACTAAGCGGATGGATCAAGCGCTCATATCCTTAGTGCCCGTGCCAAGTCTTGAGAGTGAGGATGTTAACTGCCTGCTACCGACAGATAAAAACGGTTGTCCTCATATTCGCTTCGCAACTGCGCCACCTTTGACTTACGATGAAAGATTTGTTTCTGATTTTGTTTTTATTGCCGCTGGTGACTTTTCCTTTTTTATTTAGTCCCCCACTTCGAGTACAGGGTCGTTAGTAGTGATGTTATACCTCACTTCATTTGTTCATTCTTGTAGTCGCATGCGCATCAATGAATTTACATTTAGTGTCTAGTGAGTGTCTAGGTCTACTACCGATCGCAATCAATTAGAGTAGTTAATGGTCTTATTCTACAGGTTGTTGCACATCAAGAATTCCACCTTGAAGTAGATCGAGTTAGATCAAATGGTCTACTTCATGAAAGGTCTAATCATCCGATCCTGACATCGAGCCGGCATTTTCAAATGATATCGAGCGGGCTCTGTGGTGGCAGCACCCCTATCTTTACCAGGCCATAGAGTTTGGCCGCATAGAAGCAGCCAAACAAAATAGAGAGAATAAGAAACTGCGCGTACGCGAGTTGAGAAAAATCCAAGAGAGCCTATCCAGAACTTCATCGAATGCTCCTGGGCCACCTAGCATGGGACAAAAACACAGGCCGCAAGCTCAACTTAAGGCGCACTATACCTCATTTCCATGGGTTCTTTTCCTCTGTTTTCTCCTGGGGCTTGTGAAAAGGACAAGAAATCTAAGAATGGCCTCCATCCCCAGTGACCTACTGATACTGTCGCCTACAAATTAAGGCTCAGCTTTCAATGGTCATTGGGGTTGGTCACTGAGATCGAAGAAGCGACCCCTTTGGAGAACAGGGGAAAAGGAAGGGAAAGGAGAGACCTTTGAAGGGGGTCTCTTCCGTTCAGCATCAGTGACCATTGAATGCTGAGCTTTAATAACATGGCAGCATACTAGCAGAGCGACTAGTGATTTGGCTCTAAAGTTAATTTTTACTCAAGTAAGATGTTCATGTTCAATAACTGCCTAAAAACTGGCGGGTACGCCTACGATCTAGAAAATTCATCATCCTACTTCTTTTTTGTTTGAAGAGATATAAAGATTTAGAAGGTACAACGTGACTGAATGGCCTCACATCCACTTGACCACGTGGCAAACGAGGGCACATAACATGACATAGTCTTCTTCGGTTCTGATAAGTGAACAGGCCAACGCCTAAACCAAAGTTCAAAGCGTCTAATCAACAAACAGCACCAAAGCAGCCACCTCATCATAACTGGGCAACGCGATGGCGCGATGGAAGAACAGGGAAGCTGTCACAGATTGAGACGGAGAGGTTGCAGCTCAAATACCCACGGCTGCTCCACGCGACGCTGAAGCTACTGGAAGAGCAGGTCATGTCACTGCCAGGAGACCATGAACAGCACGCGTCGGCGGCTACGGCATCTTTTAAGGCTCGTTGTAGGCAGTATCCTGTTCATCATTATCAATCTTCTCATATATGTCTATGAAGATATCATAAATATAGTTTCTCGTCGTGGTTTAAGTTTATCTGGAACTTCTCGCAGCACGAGCACGATGTTGATCATGAAATGCGATCTGTTGCATCTCAATATCTCAAAAAAGTTGTTGCGTGTGTTCCTACATCTGTAAATCTAATGCCTCCTTCGCCGGTCGTATACTGGAGCGCAGGAAACAGCGAGAGGAAAAGCTTAACGGCGCCGCCCCACCCATCGTGTATATCTTAGATGCTGAATTCGCTGCCACCATCGCCAATGGCCCAGAGGCTCTGTTCGAGCGAGTGCGTGCGTACGAACTGCAGCAAGCCAAGAAACTAAAGCCGAAAGCTGCTCCCGCGCCAGCAGCAGGAGCTGCGAATGAAAGTAACCTGGGAAGCAGTGGCAAGGCGCTTATTACCGCAGGAGCTAATCTTAAGGCCGGCACGACTTAGTCGATCTCGATCTTTACAGATAACATTTCCTTCGTGTGACCTATGATCCGTATCTTGAACAGTAAGGTCATCTCCCTTGTTAGTATTCCTCTGGTGGAAATCCGAATCAAGAAGGGGGCAAGGGCAAGCGAGGCAACCACTCAAACTCAATCACGGCGGATAATGAGGCAATGATAATGATTTTTGATTGTTTTTTGCTTTTTCCTCTAAGAATCTTTTAAAGATGATCGATCATGTGGGTGGACAGAAGCAACAGATGAGAGGTGGTGGAGATACTTCTTCTAGTGGTCCAGCAGCTTCTCAGTGGGCAGTGGCAATTGTGCCTGAAGATACTAGAAGCTCATCAAAAACTAGTAGCAACTCTTCCAATTTTCGGAGCGGCCCTGTCGGATCTCCTAAGCCCCCGTCCACGGGTTCGAGTTCCTACCAGCATGCACCAGCGTCGTCATCGGCATCTGCGTCTGCTTCTAGTTCAAAGAAAAACTCTATCCCTGGTACTAGTGGCTCCAATATTCATATGAAGAGCCCTCTTCTTGCATCATGCACTGCGCAAATGCCGCCACGTGGTGGAACTTCCACTCATCAACATGTTGTAGATCAGTTACAGGTTGTCGACGTTGTTTCGGCCTCAGATTCAGATACTACGTCTTCATCTACTAGAACTGGACCTGCTGGTCAATACCAATCTAAGCCCACGAAAAAAAAGGATGAGAAGCTGCAGAATCAACATTAAGGCGACCGCTGGAGCATCCTCAGCATCCTGCTTGGCTTCTTTTTCAAGAGGAAAACGGGCTCGGGGATGCTCTCCGGGATGCGACCGCGCTAGCTCTAACAACAAACCGCAGATGAATTTGAAGAGTCCAAGGAAGCACGAGATATCGTTACACGATTTCTTATCGAGCTTCATCGTGACTCGGTCGCGATGATTAGTACTGGGGGTCAGCAACTTCCTGGTAAGCACCAGGACAGCACTCAACATTCTCAACATGGAGGAACGGGATCTACTCGCTCTGGTGGTGATGCCGCAACAGGTCCACCATCTCTAGGAGCATCGTCAGTTCGAAAGGCACTCTCAACGGCGGCATCAAGTATTAGGATCAACTTCCCGAGGATGAGACCGCTGAAGGAGGAGGAGGAGGAGGGGACTTCTTGAAATGCTAGGAAAGACGAGTAGTTGTTGACGTAGAAGTGGTAGTTGGTCTTGGGGTTCTTGGTCGGCCACATAGCACGACTCATACATAGAGCTGCAACTGCATGAACAAGTTAGCAACAAGTTACTGAGATGGTGATCTCACTAGAACTCTGCTGTAATCATATTACTCATTGCGAGGACTCAGATGATATTAAAAGTCATATTACTCTTTGGCTCAAGACTTTGTCTTGTGGCCCGTGATCCCATCTTCTACAGAGAGACCCAGTCGATCTAAACCTAAAATCTTGAATCTTGAATATATGAATATAAAATCGCTGAAACCGCAAAAATGGAAGTGAGTAATCTTGAAAAACGAAAAGAAGATGATAGTTCCTCAAAAACTGGAAATACTTAAAAGATCTTCCCCGATTGGCTGGGTCTATAATGGGGCTGATTAATGGAAATTTTTGCTCGGTTTGAACCTTTGAATTTGCCATTAAGAAGTTCTTCGACTCGGTCCTTGAGGAATAAAAAGTACTAACGTCAAAACACATCTGATTAATTTGAATGAGAACTTGCCGCGAATAAGTAATCCACTCCTGGATCACTGATCATTAAATCTAAGATCTGTAAATGGCCATAACTGCCAACACATGCTTATTTAAATTAAAGCCATTGCTCTCATGATTATTGTTGAATCGTTCGGCTCCACTACATTTTATAACTCTATACACACCCATAAACGCGGCAAGTTATAATATAACACACAAAAATGGTCGACAAGAAGCATCGAAAGCAAGCCAACAGGCAAGGCGTCCATAAGACGGATGCGAAAAATTCGACTAGCCAAGAAGGATGCGCCGCTACTACTAGCACAAGTAATGCTGCAGCCAGTAGTTCTTCATCATCCTCATCAGCACCAACATCTAATGCGAACGTACAGCAAAAGGCAGGGAAGCAGAACCCAAATGGGAGGGTCAACAATAAGGCAGCCTCATCCAAAGCAGGCAATTCCAAGAGCAAGCAGACGTCAACGAAAGACGCCAAACCGGCGGGCAAGGATGCAGTAGCCACATATGAAGAGAAGGAGAATAAAAATGGAGCACTAAAGATGGAAGAGGAAAACGAGCTGATGGTCGACAATGGCGAAGTCTTTCATAGCTCAGCAGAGGGCACAGCCACAGGAGACCGCCACTCAAGTGACCACGAAGGAAATTGCGAGCGCCTACTACCTTACGAGAGCCAATCCGACGGCAAGAAGAACGAAAATGTTGGGACCTTGTTCACCGCAAGTACCGCAAATGAGGGCAACCCTACAACCAGATCCACAGCGTCAGCATCTGGACGACCGCCGTCCCTGTTCCCACGACATCTTGAGCAAGATCACTATAGCCCAAGTGGAAACAACATCTTCAACGGCGGCTATCATACCAGCGCAAGCTTGCTCTCCACCAGTCAAGACAACACGCTCCTGCATCAAGACAACGGAAATCCTTGGTACGTTCAAAGTTTCCCTGCCCCCTCCAAGCAAAAGTGGAAAAAAGGCGATGGCAAAAAAGGAAAAGGCAAATATAAGTCGGAGCGCGCGTGCAACAAGATGACTTTGAAGGAACCAGAAATATCCAGCAAGCTACACGAAAGCGAAGAATTTCCTGAAGGGCAAAGTGGAAGAGATCCGGCACAAGAGTTCTTTGCCTTGCGGAGGGCGGACGCATTAGGACAAGATCGGAAACCGATGTGGGGCGCCAAAGATGGGAAATGGCAGCTGCCTCCCGGCTGGTTTAAATGCGTATGCGAATATAGCACCGAGGGAGGCGCCATCATGTTCCAGGTCACCGAAGCGGCGAACTCGAGATGGTTCGACTTCCTAAGCTCGGAGAAATACGAGCAGGCATGCTTCCCGATGTACAGGAACGAGATGCACTACGACGTACAGAAAGAAGAAACAATAGTGGCGACAGTGGTCTGGGTCTGGAAGAGGAACTGGGACAAGTATCAGCTTAAAGTGGACAAGGTCAAGCCCCTTCTCGACCCATCAAGATGGACGATGAACTCCGAGACCAAGCTCCCCGATATTCCTTCATGGAAGTCTTATCACAATCACAGTGACGAACAAGGTGAGCAAGTCACAGGGCAAGTTTTTTCTGGCGATGCCCTCGAGACCACAAACGGGAAAGAAGAAAGATTGAGCAAGATCGACGACGTTGCAGGAGTGCTAGATGAAGTTGCCAGAATGATCCAAGCCAACAGTCACAACCTGAAAGCCGAAATTTCCGATGAAATTCAGACGGAGCTGCAGGAGATCAAAAAAGTGCAGAAGAAGCACAAAAAAAGCTACAAGAAGATGGATTTCTTGGTGAAGGCTATGAAGAAAATGATGGCGAATGATGGAATAGCTAACGACAGCGATATGGAAGAAGATTCATCGAGCTCCTCCTCCTCTGGCGACTCGGAAGCAGACAAAAAGAGAACGAAGAAGATCGTAAAGCTCAGCAGGATGTCCGAAAACGAGAAGGATAAAAGTTCTATCACACCTTCCATTAGTAGAAAGGGCGGAATCTCCTTGACAGGATCATACTTGCACGGGGAAAAATGTTCGGATGTGGACCAGCCGCTGTTACAAGATGGCTCGCATGCTGCAGGACCAAGACACGCAGCAAAATGTGACCCAGACCTGCACTACGTGGACGTAGAACGCGACTCACTCGAAATGGATCATCGTCAAGAAATGGACTGCGAAGAGGTTATTACATTAGAGACCCCAGAGCAGAAGCACAATCACTCGTCAACGAGCAACGACCACAACAACAAGCTGGTGGAGGTAAGCATGCTCTCGCCGGATCATATATCCCCCATATCCTCTCTAATTCTGCCGTGGAAAGCCTCGTTTGAAAGTGGCAGTGGAACGATGAAGGACCAATCGCACCAACCGCCCAGTCCGGCAAGACTACAGTTCGACCAGGAGCATGCAACTGGCAAAAATACTGACATGATCAAGTCAGCTGATTCTTGCACTGCGAAGCAAGGCAGTACGGAAATGATGAGTGCTGTCTTTCCTGAGGATCTTCAGCAAGGTGGCAGAGGAGATGAAAATGGTAACCCTTCTCAAGCTGCGTTGCAACGTGATGGTCGCAGTTTAGCCGCAGGAATGCCTTCCACCTCCTTAGATTCCAACGTCCTGGACAAGCCTGCCACGGAGGACGTAGAGAGCACAGATAGAGAGGAGCTGACTAGAGGCGAAGACGTGCACGACACGCAAAAACTCGTCACTGAGTTACCTCCTGGCAATGCCCCACTCAATGGAGACCAAGAGGATGAGGTAGCTTTCCAAGCACAAGAAGAAGTAAAGTATGCGAATCAAGGAAATGTGGATAGCAAAGAAGCCATATGTCTTGAGACTTACAGACTGCCGCTACCTGCCTACAATCAAGCAGAATTGAAGCCATTGGAAGGACGCGAGCTGCTCCGCAACTTCATCATCGAAAACACGGCCAAGGATTGCAAATGGATGCTACAAGTCGAAGACTATCAAGAAATAGCACATGCTGCAGACAAAGCAAGTGGAATAGTTTCGGCTTACACTGGTGGCAGACTCCTAAACTTAGAGCAGATGTCGGCAATATTGAGGATGCTACGAAGAATTGTGCTACTCAAAGTCAATCGAAAAATCGTAGTGCCTTCTGATGACCAAGAGGAGAGTAAAAGGGAGAAAAAACAACTCGACTGGTGCAGACACGACTTCAGGATATGCAACCTCATTCAAGCTTTACACGCAACAAGCGAGAAATGGCCGCTGCTGGCGAGCGAAAAAGCCGAAAGAGGACTCGCTATCTCCCCGCAAGGTTTAGATGTTGACTTCAAATCTCTTAAAAAGCTTCGGACGATTGTGAACCAGACCGGAAAAGACACGGTGACCACCGCAGCCACGGGCTTACCCTCCTCGATTCCAGAAACGAATGATCCGCCGCTGGTTGCTGAAGTCCCTAGAAAACCGAAATCAGGAGGACATGCGATGGAACATGGAGGAGAAGACATTACCTCAGCTCCCAACGCCTGCTACGATAAAAAGAGGACTGCCCGGGAACGGCAGCCTGGTGCAGTCTCCTTACCGGAAAAGAAAGCTGAAATTGTGGGAACAACACCGCCAGCGAATAAATGCGATGCACGCATACCACGTTCAAATACGCCCAGAGCTGGAAAAAGGCAGAAGATTGGGAAAGAAGACAATCAGAAAAGCAAGGCTGAAGGTGAAACTGGTAAAATTGGCCCTGAAGCTGCAGGAGCAATATCAAAGCAGCTCAAAGTGGATAACTCCGCCGGCCAGATCATGCCCAAGGATACAGTCCCTAATATAGCCTCTGCAGCAGTGAAATTAACGGGAACAGAGCAAGTGGTAGCCGATGAAGAAAAGGATATGCAGCAGTTTAATGAGGGTGAGATTTGGAACTGGATAGCAGATGCCGCTGGACTTGCTGAAGGAGCCACCTTTCATCCTGGCAAAGCTGGCAATATCCGAAGCAGCGAGCTGATCCAAGAAGCGACAGTTCAACAAAATAATGCTGGAAATCAAGTGACCACCAAGAACGCCGGAAGCGGAGCAGCCATGCTATCAGCAGCTGCTGCGCCATTTTGCCCGGGGGAGATGAGTCGTAACATCATGCCTGGATGCAGCAGCAGTGGCACGCATCAAATTCAAATGCAGCATCCGCACCAGAGTCCGCAGTTAGCTGCGCCAACACAGACAGGACATGCTCAATTCTCTCACGCAACGCTAATGACGGCGCAGCCAATGATAGCTCCCACTCCGCAGATCCAGGGTAAGCCGACCTCGATCCCACATCCTCTTCCACCACCGCCAGGTTTCCCGATGCCACAGGGCCTGACTCCACTACAACCAGTTCAGCAGCAGATGAAGGGAGGGATGATGATACTTCCTCCGCCACGAAGTGAAGCCTACCACACCATCAACATGCCACAGAAAGGGATGGGATTTGCCCACAACAATCATCATGGTAAGCTAACTGCTGATGCGCATAGCAGATATTATGTTCCAAAAACGTCATTGCATAGTAAATCGATCAAAACTACTAGATGTCCTGTCACGGCCTCAACTTCAACTCTTACCTCCCATCCGCAACTTCTGGCCAAGAAGAGCAACAGGCGAAAAAAAGCTGGAAACGAGACGTACAACAAGGACAGCAGAACACTAATTGACAAGCAGGCCTTCTCGGTAACGACTGCAGCTCCGACGACTTCAGCCAGCACCTATAGAACAGCGGAGCGATGCGGGCACCTTCATGCAATAACTCCACCGCTCGCCACGCCCTGGGGAGACTTAGTAACACTTTATGAAATGAGGTTTATCAGTGCAGCTGCGGAAGAGTCGCTTAGACGTGGTCCAATCACCAGACGATCTAGCCCGATAGCTCAACGGTCAAGGAAGATTAGCGCTTCCTCCTCAAGGATATGGCATGTCCCAAAAAAGAGAAAGCAGCTCAGGCCGACAATCTACCATCCCTTATCACCCGCGCGGAAGGAGGATCATCTTGGCATCCTTTTCAGAAATCGGTTTGCTCCACTTAGAAGAGATGACGATCACGCGGGGCCTTACTCAGCAGCTACTAGCAGTGACAACACGGAGAACAATGTCAATGCAACGTCTCGCATCACAGTCCTGGACAAGCGCACGCCGAAGCCTCGACTGTCACACCACTCCAATAAAGAGACAGCCTCTATAGTTCCATCTGACAAGCAAAACAGAAGTAGACTCTCTGCTAGTCTGCAGGTCGACACAGCCGCCACTTCCTGTTCCCCTTCCACTCACACTGATATCAAAAACAACAGGTTATCACGCTTAGAGCGACGAGGAGGAAAGAAACATGATGAGAAGATAATGAAAATGAAGCGGATGGAAATGGAAATGGACGCTGGGGGAGGGAGCGGCTATTGCAAGCAAGCGTTAGTCAAGGAAAAGGAAAACGATGGGCCGGCAAATTTTGGAACGCATCATGATGGAAAAAATGAAAATGGAGATGTAGGTCTAGACCAAGTGAGGCAAGCATGTATACTCATCAATGATCACAGAGGAATAAGAACACAACATAACAACATAAGCAGTGGGAAAAAAATCAAAAAGAGTGGTGAATTATCAGCAGCGGCCTTCGATCTATTTGGTCACTATCCCGGTGGAAATGCAAATTCATCAAACAAAGCATCAAGATCAGTTTCTAGTACAACAGCCACAACAGGAACAACATCAGAAGAAATAGAAGGGAGCCCCGACATCGTCTCTAGTCGGATCTCTCGAACAAATAGTAGCAGAATGAAATACAAAGTTACATCTGAAGATCGCAACAACTGCGGAAGTGCAAAGTTCTACTGGCAAGAAGGAAAAAACTTCAAACCAGGAAGCCAGAAGATCACCGCAGTAACTTCTACAAGCTCCAGATCTCTTCTTCCTTCTAGAACAAAAGATCAAAGCTCTAATATGGAGATATGCAACATGCCGATGCAGCCAAGCGAAAGCAAGAAAGTGGAAAGTGGAGGAAGAAAGTTTTTCATCGAACAAGGACAGCAAAAGAGTACTGGCCTTGCTAATATGGACCATATGCAACCGCACAGGAAGGAGGCCAGGGAAATTGCGTCTATAACCATCAAGGATAGTGCCACTAATACTGAAGGAATCAATCGTGAAAAGTGCAAAAAGTATTTCAGCCTCGACATAGCGCGAGCGGTGGCAATCAATCAACCTCAGCAGGGCAAGTTGTTCAATATGGTGGGCCCACATCACACACAGCATGTGGAGCTTGATGAATGTAAAACGCGATCAAGAATTGAAATGCGAAACTTTAGCATCCCCCTTTCTTCGGTGGACCAAGACCCAGATCCAGCCGGTCACTACAAAAGTACATCCATGAACTCTCAGAATAAGAATCCGGGCGTCAATAGTGAAGAAATCGCACCGGAGCAAAATCCTCATCAATGTTGCGATCTCGCCCGGGCTGACCCCGCAGATGGTCAGCAATACGCCGCACCTACGCACCTATTAGAGTATGGATCTGAATTAAATGATCGCGAAGGAGACGAGCCAACAAACGACGACCAAGCACAAGGGACGAAAATAGCAACTATCAACGTGGGATCGTCGCACCTTGGCACCGAGAAACTTGCCGAAGTGATGAAAGTTTCCAAGTTAAGAAGATGGGGCTTGGTGGTGTTAACGGAGTTCGAGTACGAGTCGGATGATGCTTTGCGATCAGGGCGAGCCGTAGACCATTATGGAGCGAGAGAAGCACTGCTGCAAGACGACCTGGCAGGGAGCTTAGGAGAGGACTCCTATGGTCCCCGAATACTCCATAAAGTGATCCCGATGGACGACGCTCTGCTGGTCGTTACGAGTGGAGTTGCAGTACTGTTGATCGACCGATCGTTGATAACCCAACTCAAGCACGCGATGAAGATGAACATTGAGGGCAAGGAGTGCAATGAAGTCATAATCTCGAGAAGGCGGGTGCTCTCTCTCTACCTGAAGGAGATGGTAATACACGCTACGTATGCACCGACAACAGCAGTGGCAAAACGTGAGAAATGGAATTACTTGCATGCCTTGGAGTCGGCGGTGCGAGACTCCAAGCGCAGAAGGAAAGATCGCTGGAAGACCATTTTGATGGTTGGGGATATGAATGTACAGGTCACCAGTAGACACGCACGAGAAGCGCCTGCGAACATCGGGGCGCACGTCCCCCCCATCCATCCGAGAAGGGAAAAGGAAGCCGATGACCTAGTCGCACTCGCAAGATCGCTTAACTTGGTCCATGCCGCGTCACAATTTAAGCTGCAGGATGCGACGGGAGTTGATACAATACAATGCAGGGCAACGCTCAAGCGCGAGGGACAACTTTCCGAAATAGACCATATTTGGATTTCCGGAGCGGACAGACACAGGATGCAGGCCTTAGAGTTGATAGAACTGCGAAATCTCGTGCGTCTTGGCGAGGCCGAAATGAAATTCGACCATCGTGCAGTTGTCCTCACCACCACCTTTCGCACACATAGTGAACTGCGCCTAGACGGAGCAGCAAAGAAGATCTCAGGCATGGTCTTTAACCCAGCACCTGACGGAGATGACCTTGAGGAGTTCAACAGAGGACTCAAAGAACTAGCAGCTGAAGCTGGCGAGGACATGGATCTAGAATTATTGCGGAGATACCTAGCCCACACTGCGCCGCGTTTTCTTATGCCACGTGTGGCGCCGCCAGCCTCTACCGCCAGCGAAGATTACGAGCCCGGCAAAAAAACATTGTCGCAGGTGTGGGATTATCTGCGAGAAGCTGGCATTGCGGTCAGACACTCTGGGGTAGGCATCACCCCTGACCAGGCCAAGGAGAAGTATGACCAGGTCGGGAACTCCCCCACAACTGCTGGCTCATGGCTGCCAATCCACGATGAGCTCGCCAAACTGGTGGACAAGGCCTCAGCGGCAGAAATAGAGTTCCTCTCTGCGCCTGTTACTCCGGACGAGATCAAGGACAGCCTCAAGGCCATGAAGATGGCGGGAGCTAAGGATAGCGATGGGTTATGCATGCGAGTGATTGAGTATCTTGACGAGGAGAGCGGGGAGTTGTTGGCTCGGTTGCTTACAGATGTGGTGTCAAAGGATGGAGCCATTGAAGAACTAGGCGACCCATTCAACACTTGTCGCGACGTCCCCCTTTACAAAGGAAAGGGCTTAGAAAACGACCCAGATAATTATCGCTTCCTGGTAATATCCCCGGTGCTGGTCAAGTTGTTATCACGCATCTTCGGGGCACGAATGCTGGTTTTCGCCGAGAGATCCTTTCTCCTACCGAGCGAGCAATACGGGTTCCGCAAACAAAGGGGGACACTAGGTGCGCTAACCTTGTTCTCGCGGTTACGCGAAGACATGGCGCACGCACATGGACAGGGGGCCAAACGAGTGATCATGTCGATGATAGATCTCCGCAAGGCCTTCCCGTCTTTGGATTGGCGTTTAGTAAAAGGGATCTTCACGCAGATGGGACTGGCATCCACCCCACTATGGAGACTCCTTCACGCAACGCACAGAGCAGCACGGCACACCTTCGGACAGGAGACGTCTGGCCTAGAGCATGGCTGCAAAGAGGGATGTCCGACGAGTCCCACGCTCTTTGTGCTATGTTATTCTGTCGTGATGAGGTATTTCCGCTTGTTGGTTAGCAGATCCCAGCTAGATTCCGGCATTGCACTAGTATCAGAGGAAGACGGATGGACTGCCTCGAGGGAAACAAAAATCAAGCGCGCACTGTTCACAAACGAAATCCCTGGCGAAGAGGAAGCAGAGAAGAAGTCGGGGGAGGAACAAAACAAACTTGCCATGATTCTCTTCGCGGACGACGCCACATTGTTCGAGCAGATGACTGACGAGCAGTGCGAAGCGCTCGAAGGAGCAATAGCCGCGGCAAAAGCGAACAAGCAGGCACCGCCGCACACACCAACCACCAAAAAGTTAGCAGAGGCACTTGAAGGCTCGGGCATGAGGGAGAACCAGGCAAAAAGAGCAGTAGCGGACATTCTCAAGATCGACGAGCGCAACCTAGGCATGCAGACAACGTCTCCGAGCGATGTCACAAACAAAATCGCTAAGGCTTGGCGCTCACTGTTTGGACTACGGTCCAGACTGTCAGGCCTCGGCGGCGTCGACGCGACTCGTAGGGGCTTGCTGATCATGGCTGTAGTCAGAAATGTCCTCACCTATGGCTTACAGGCTAGACATGTTCCTGATCAGGAGTTATCGGAATTAGCTGAAGCAGAATATCAGATGATGGCAGTGATGCTTGGAGTACCAATGTGGAAGATCTGGAAAAGAACAGTCACAAGATCGCAGCTGTTGCACTGGCTAAGATTCCCTCCCTTTAAGTCATTCGTAACGTACATTCGCTCACGTCACATCGCTCACGTTTTAAGACAAACTAGCAATACGTTGGACAGGCAGGCGCTCAATGGCACACTCATGCCCGAAAGGCTAGAATCCGAAGAGGGCAGGCAATCACATCTCAAATCCGCTTCAACGGACAGGACCCTCCCAGCCGATACAAGGAGAATCGGGTCCCTGGTAGCAGACTTTAAAAGAGACCTGGTTGAGGCGGCTAATGGGAGAATTGGTTATGTAGAAGGACTGATGACGCCCCTAGAAGATGGCAAGGAGAACGAGTACGCAATCAGAAAGGCAGCACTACACGAAATCAATAGAAAGGCGCTCATGGCTGCTGCACTATCTAAATGGTGCGAAGCGGATGCAGGGGTGACAGCTGCGACAGAATACGGCCTGCTAGAATACAAACACTTTCACAAGGATCACTCTAAATCTCGGTGGGAATCCAAGCGAAGGGAGAATGAAAACAACAAAGAGAAGACTGAAAGTGCGTGCGACTTTAAATCTGGGAGGCTATCTCTGATCATCCCAGGCAAGATGGAGAAAACGGCCTCTCCCAAGCCCGAAGGTTGGGAAATCAACCCGAACATATCGATGCCAAGTTCACCGCGCCCGGGCAGATCTCCACATACGGCAGACCAGGCAGAGGAAAATGTTGGACATCCGAGCAAATTCGCATTTAAGATTAGTAGCAACAAAGCAGCAGTGGCAGATATTGAGATTCACAAAGGAGGGGAGGAGTTAATACAAGATGTTGGCGGTATCCTAATTGATGCGAACGCCTTTCCTGAAGGAGTATATGCCACACTAAGTGTGCGAGGCCACCACGCACCCTTCAAGCAGATCCTGGAAATTGTGCCAGAAATACCAATGAAGGCATACTTGATCAAGCCTAAGACAACAATGATGGAAACGAAGGAAGCTGCATCGCAAGAGTTGAGCAACTGGGTCAAGGAGGAGACAGTTGCGGCTAAGGTACCGGCAACGCAGGAAGATTGCTTAGTATTGGCGCAGTTATTGCTACCCGGGGGCATGAAGTACAATGTTCGATGGCCTGCCGACGAAGCACTACTTTTACTTGCCCCCTGCCAATCGATTGGACACGAGGTGGTGATCAAGGAGAGGTCGCACTTTGCCAGAGGAGTTTGTGCTCTCTGCAACTGGACTCCTCCGATGCATAACTCCGCCTGGTACAGAAAAACCCCCGCAGAGTCACTAGAGCTTTTGTGTGCGCACATTGACGAGAAGCACAAGCCCGTGAACCTCTCCGCGCCCATTTTAGGAGACAGGATGGAAGCGATAGCACGGCAGGAGCAGATGGAGAAATATCAGGCGCTCAAGTCGGCAGCGAAGGCAGGCAGACTTGGACACTTTCGTAGATTAGCCTCGGTTGGCCCGCGCAGATACGGATGGAAAAGACACGCAGAAAGATACGGATGCAATTACTGCGGTCTCACTTTCCAAACCAATCTTGGCGCAATGGAGAAGCACACGCTGGCACACCAAGAGAAGCAAATAATGAAAGTGGCCAAGCTAGTAGTGAAAAGGGCGGGCAAGGTGGTAACGCCGATGTTAGGCGCAGCTCGGAAAGCATGGAGACCGGAGGGCCACCTACTCTGTGCCAAGGCGGGGGCTGCAGCATTCGGACCGGACGCCAGACTAGCCAAATTCCTGGTCCCACGATGTGCTTGGAAGGACGACAAAGCCAGAAGCGCCCTCAGATGCAGAAAGTGTGAAGGATGGAGCATTGAATTTGACTCGACAAAGATGACCATGAGTGTGCTGTCCAAGCGAGTGGATTTGATGAGGGCACATGAGAAGAAATGCAAAGGAGGCAAAAAAGAAGTGAGAAAAAAAACGTGAAGGAAAGAAATAGAAGGATGGAAAATGCACGACAGCCCCAGATGAAACAAACAATTAATCAATTCTAAACTCACGCTCACTTAACGTAAGCACAAATTTAAAACAGCAAGTAGTTTCTATCTTCCCTACCAACAAGACTTGCATTATAGAGAATAATAGATATAGAGCCAGAAAGCCAAACACTAGCACTCAAGCCCAAAAAGGAAAACAAGGAAAGTTAAACTTCGCCTAGACATAATTAAAAGTAGTACGTTTCTATTCTAATTTTCTTAGCCACGAAAGAAAGCAAGCATCTAATTAAAGGACGTTCAAACACCTCTTGTTAGGCACATTCATTCATTCATCAAATTTAGTCAGAAAATTTTACCAACCACGTCAATCATCAACCAAATCCAAAATCTAGACAGTGATATCAATTCTCGTTCTCGACAAATGCGGGACCGATTTGACGATAAAGAAATCCAAATAACGAGTAAAAGTGCACCTTATCGTCATCAGCTATTGCTATACCTAGTATCAAAATGAATCTAACTCTAACTCTTAATAGTCTACTCCTACGGTGCCCAACGAGTCGAAGACAGGCGAGGCAACGACTACATTAGCAAAAGGAAGGCAGTCGAGGTTCTTTGCTCCTAATGTCTAGATTCGCCACCCGCCGCGTGATTATGTTTATTTTGCGTAAAGGGAATACGAAGTCGTCGAAGAGGACATAGAAGAATATAGAAGAGATACCAATACATAGCATAAGCATGGAATATTACGGAAAAAAAATTTACAACATCATGTGGCGCATGGCATATTGATATTGATTAGACCACTAAGAGTTTCTGCGTCCGCGTCCTCGTGTTGATGGTATCGTTATGCATTGTGATGTGAGGACTATTTCTACCGTCTCAGTCTCTACTGCTGGCACATGTTGGAGGAGGAGCTGCCCATGATACTCCCTCATATTAGTGGCTGGAAATAGTCGACCTCGACGTCGACAACACACCTTCGCTTCATATTTTTGACTTTCATTTTGATGAAAATGGCCTCGTTCTTTGTTATTCTCGCTGAGAGTAGACTTGAAGACATGATTTCATCTTTATGTTTAACCTTGTCAGACAGTAACCGTTCCTACTTCTATGTCTCGTAGCTGAAGCGACTGGTACTGAACAGCCACTCGGTGATGTTTGGATTTTCTTTGAGAATCATGTCAACGTCGAGGTCGACGACTCCTGCTCCTCTGTCTGTGACAAAGAGTCTTTGCGTCTTATGTGAGAAATATGCTATGGTCGTTCAGCAGTGCGCCGTGTCTCTTCATGGTGTCGTGACCCACTGTGAGGGGTACCTTTTGAATCATTGTTGACGTCGTTGATATTCTCTGTCGTTTTTATGAATATTTTGGTGCTTTCTATCTTAATAACCACATAAGTAATGCTATTTTCTTCATATTCTTTTGCATTTGTTTATCTTTCTGTGTGTTGAACTATGCTTGGCACTTCTGTTTAAAAGCGGACTTCTTTTCAGTTGTTGTTAAACTTAAATTTACTAAACATAGAGTTAGAACTGAGTAACGAAATAAGCTCAGAGGCACACACATCACATTAGAACAATTGGATATTATTATTAGAGAAGTAGAAACTTAAACTGGAAAAACGTGTAGAGGTACGTCCTCAGGATCATTGAGAGGTTGACGGCGAACCTTTTAGTCACCGGATGAATGATCGCTGTCTTCTTAATCACGCGTTTACTTGTTCTTTTAGTGTCCTCCTCCCGCTCCCCCCCTTAAGAGGTGGGACCATCCATCATTGCGCGTGGCTTTGGCGGAGAACTCCTAATTCTGAGGGAAAGGGATACTAGAAAAGCAGAGATATACTATTTCACACCCTCACCCATACAACTTTTAGTGTCTTTTTTGAATGAATGCGTGAGATCTTGACGATCTTTCTGGTCTCAAGAGAGTTCCTAGAAGATCGTCTCAAGAGAGTTCCTAGATTGATGTACAACATTCTCTTCGTCCACGTAGTACATCAACCTGCCAACTTCAACATGGGCATTTTCCTTGATTAGTCTCTTACTCGCCATTTACCTCCTACGTCCTAGGCAGCTAGCATAGTGGGAAATCCGGCCACCTTTATGCTACTCCTCGACGGTCTGAATTCTGACAAACAAACTGAATGCGAAAACAGTTTCACAGGAGTAAGTCTGTAAGTAAGTCGACGTGTAGTATGAGTATGCTTCTAATACATAAGAAGCACGACTCCAGCATCTTATTACCCACCCTTTTTATACTTGAGAAACCGGGCTGAACTGGGGGGAAGATGACTGGGAGGGCCACCCTTTGTTGTTATTCACCTAATCCTAAGCATACTTGACAATGAGTATAGTCGCAATGGTTCACTACATCTAACCTTTGTATACTTGTTTTATAAGATAATATCTTTTGAACAAGATGAAGATCGTCAATCAATCTTGTACTCCTCTACAAGTACTACAGCCAGTAACTCGTTCTAAATCTTCATAGTCATCATACATTCCTCTAGATCAACATGCATTCTTCTAGATCATGGCTCGCCCTTTCTGGTTATCTTCTAACTCCACTCAGTCTCAGAGGATTTAGGGGCTAGATGGCTTGGCTGTCTTCGAACTCTGAGTTCTTGACCTCTCCAACTCCACTCATACACATCATAGTTGTAACCACGCCATAATGAGTAGATGCAACGAGAAAGAGCGTTGCTCCTCAGCACTATTTCGAGTTCTTCTTGCTGATAACTCAGGAAAACTCACCACCACCAGCACGACGGTAAAAAAAACTACTTTCAAACCCCCCTACGGAACTCGTCTCGCGCGTGATGCAGCATTACAACCAAACTACTAGCCCAGCTCTCATGGTGAGCGACAAAGGGCCAGGTGTTCCGCTCAACTACAAGTAGGAGCACGCTGCGAGATGTGGGAACAAATGGACGAGTCGGCTCGGGGTTAGCAAGTTCAAAAATGTGGCACAAGACAACGACTGCTGCAACCTATCTGCTTCTGATTCCCACCAGTTTCCTCTATGACTTAGTAGAAGTGCTCTAGTTCATCTTCGTTATCGATTGCAAGATGATCGCCACCCCGCTATAAACTTACTCCTCCGTAGTTGTACAACATGAACATCATCTACATTTTTTTTTCGGTCGTCCTCGTCGTTGCAGGCTCTGTAATACCCGTTTTTTCTCTAGAACGTGAATCATTTGACGTAAGAGAGATGATGCACGAGCAGAAGGGACCACGATTTAGGAAAACAGACTCACCACAAATTGCTTTTCATCAACGTGACGCAAGACGCATTAACAAGAAATCTCCCTAACTCGTAGATCACAAAATGTGACTTCTGCCGACTTCCTCGTAGAGAGTGAGAGATGATTGAAGTTGCGATCATTTTCTTATGTGAGAAACGCATGTGCATGATTAGCTATACTAGCTCTACTAAGACGGTTCTTCTAAATATATCCTTATTCTAATTTTATCCTAAAAACATAGTTTCTCAACAAGACACACATAATTTTAATTCCATAGTATCACGATCACGACGACGTCCTTTTTAAACGAACTCTCTATTTATTCAGTCAAGATTTAGCTTTTTGTTCATTCGTTGTTCTAGTTTGGTAAGTGAAACTGTATCAGATCATGACTTCTCGGTAAACAAGCTGCGTAAATCAAAAAGCATCTAGCTAAAAGTCATACCTACTACGCTGCTGACCTCCAAGAGAAGATGTTCTTACATCACCATCAGCAAGGTGCAGCACAATGAAGAAGATGAAAGCGGCTGCACCACCACAGGCCAAAGCGCCTGTGAGTGGTGCTCCAAAAGCGAAATCGCAAGGGAAGAAAGCAGCAGCACCCACAGGAAACAAGACGAAAGGAAAAAAGAGGAAAGGGGACGAGGATGGGGAGCTACAACAGCCTCAGTCTGGAGGTGGAGGGGGCGGCGGTGGAACAGAAGAGATTGATGTGGCTGGTGGTGATATCATGAACGATGACGGCGAAGGCCCAGAAGTTAAGGCTACCACTGAAGCATCCCCAGCGTCATCGCTGGCCTTTTTTTCAAGGGAAAAAGTGGCCAAGGCGGGCAGCTGCTCAGGGATGCGACAGCGGTAGCTCTAAAGAAGGAACAGCGGAGGAAACAACCGCTACACAATCGCCAGAAGAAGCAGTGTTCCATACATTGTTCTTACCTACCGCGTTACCCTCGAGAGGAGACGCGGAACCCGCGGGAGGACAATTTTGGGAATTTCTGTCCACTTTTCTAGTGCAGAAAAGAGAGGAGGTCAATAGCTGGGGCGAAGGAAAAGGTCGCGGAAGTATACTGACGGGGTTGGAGTTGGAGGCGAGCACCTTGGACAACGTGAATGGCAATACAGGACTTCTGCAAGACGAAGGGCGAGATGCTGGCGGGGCTAGCTTCGGTCTCGGTGGCCTTGATGGGCCGCCGATGAAGAAGCAAAAGCAAGGAGCATCCTCATCATCATCTTCTTCAAGAAGCAACAGCAAAACTAGCACCAGCAAAAGCGCAAATCCGAAACAAGAGGGAGGCGGGCAGTCTCTACTGGACTTTGCGTCTTTTTTCGTCGGGCTGCACTCAAATTTCACTTAAGGCTGGTTTTTTATCCTCGTGTTTCTTGGAATTGGTATTGGATAGTTCTGGTTTCATGGCCGCGCGAATCAGTTTCAACTTTCATCTTTTACGGTGCTGCACTAAATATACACTCGCATTCAGCCACGACGTTATCCAAAATAGCTAAACTAAGTGACTCCTGCAAACTACAACGGCAGGGCTTTAGTGTTTGTCCCCTGGAGTAGCGAATACTCACCAAGTTTACGAACCCGATGTAAATCTTACGCACAGCGGAAGCTCAGTCATGTGGTCTCTAATTTTTTGCGAACGCGCTCGCTACGCAACTCCGGTCTTGCCGGATTGGCCATTTTGTGGGGGTCTGGATCATCGAACAGGGAGCGGTAATGATGATCCAGCGGGAGAGCAGTAACCATGGAGCAGTTGCAATTTGGACTGCTAGGGTAATTAATACTAACGCTAACAGGAAAGCTGTATCGCTTATCGTGTCGAGATAGGTCGTGGGGCTGTCGTTGTGGCTCTGGTTGGTTCTTTTTGCTTGGTGTTGGTTTCTTATTGTAGCTTCTTTCATAAGGTACTTAGCTTAGATTAAGCGGAGAGATGCACACCTAGCCACATCGGATCGAGTATATCACTCCATACTTGAGATGATTTTTTTCTCCTTATTTTTATGTCAACAGCTACCTCTTGCACCACGTTCGTAGCTTCAAGTAAAATCCGCTTTAGATTATGATCTTCCTTCTCGCATAGTAGTTTGCCCTTCTCTGATTTATCCATCTCCAAACGACATCTTCCTATAAATATGTATACTCTATTACCTTCGATCCACTCATCGCGTCCTCAGGCCACTGCTGCGCAAGTGATGCAAGAGGATACACTACTCCAGCAAGTCCCAGAGCTTCGCTTCCGTGTTCCCTGGTCTTCATTGGTTGACATTTCTTTTGCTCATGCTGTGACTGAGCTACGCGACACAGTGCTTCCACGAGCTTTCGCCGTACAGGCAGCGACAGCCTACAACGTCAAGAGCGCGGCTCGACATATGCAGCACGCCACCGGAGACGCCAAGGCAGCTGCAATGAGCGGCACGCACAGGGCGCCGTCGCTTGTGTATGTTAAGTTATGGCGGCATTGAGTATGGGTACTAGAGATAGTGGCGTGTACTGTAGTCAAGCGTGCTGCTAAGCCCTAGCTCCTGCACAAGCAGAACAAGCTGCGTCGTTTTTATCGTCGGTGATGTTTAGTCTTTGGCTGGTGGCTTTGGAGTGTAGTGCGTAGGTTTGCAGCTACTTATGCTAGGTAGTTGGGTAGCGTCTCACTCTCAAAAGGAGGAGCTATAGCTCCAGGGAGTATGCATGCTATGGATATCAGAGCACGTGTATACTCATACATGCTGCAGCTGTTGAACGTCTACCTCTTAATATCAGTTAGCAGTCGTGGCCATCTTCTCTTTGACCTTTCATAGTTCGACTACCTATTCGGCGCTGCAGTTGCTGGGGCAGAGGAGCACGAGATGGGGGAGCTACTGGAGGACGCTGAAGAGGGTCACAGCTCGCACACCAAGGGCGAAGATCTTAGGGCCAGCGGAGACATCAAGATGGAGGTGGATGGTGAAGATTTCGATATGGTTGCGGCTGATAGCCAGCCGGGCGAAAACGACAAGAAGGACAAAGGCCAGAATCCCTTGAAGTTTCAAGCGTCTGCTAATGAGCTGAAGAAAAAGGTCAGGGACCAGGTTCGAAGGGATGAGAGTCAAGAAAACCTGCACTGGCGCCGGTTTGCGGCATGGTTCGTGTTCAGAAGTGTGACGCACTACTTCTGCGTCAAATCACGAGAGCAGACGGAGAGCAACAACCACAGCGGCAGCCCGAATGGGAACACGCTCTACAAGATGTTCCTCCTGCAAATTTTGTCCTACGCTCTGACTACGACAGCAGAGCAGGCAGAAGCGCTAATCTCGATCCGTCCGAGCAGCCTCCTGGAAGCAGGCCAGAAGGTGCTGCGACGTCAGCAGAAACTGCGGCAATTGGTTGCGGGTCCGGATGGTGCTGGCTTCGGCTCGTCTTGTAGTGCTGCTATGACCTTCTTCGAGCGCCTGTCAGCCGCAGCGGCAAGCAGTGGAGAAAAGCTCGCCATGAAGATGGAGACGGAGCAAATCGACGACATCGAGAAGGCTAACGTTAAGGGCCAAATCTAGACTAGTGCTACAGCTGAAGATAGAGAAGGTTATCCTTGTAGAGAAGACGCTGGCGCAACGTAGACGATTAAGTACTAAACCTACACTCGCGCTCCTAGCTCCGAGGAGGTTGCCATCGATGGGCACCAGGATGGATACAACTACCCTCGCCTTTTTCAGGGGCGTGCGCGTGGGCTAGAGTCGTTGTTATCTACTTGCCCTAGTGCTATTATCGTACGATCTTGCTTTTATGTCTCACTCTCCCTCTAATACTCGATGCTGCGGGGTGCAGCTGAAGCGTGAGGACGTCGCTGCAGCGCGAAAGCACGAGCTACGACAGTCTGCCGATCGTCTCAACAGTCTTGCAGAGGTACTGGAAGGATTGCGGGACCAGTTAGATCATGGCTCGAGCAACGATGCTGGTGGTGCAAATATTGCGGGGAAGGGAGTAGAAGCAAAGGAGAACAAGAAAGCTAGTAGTAGAGGCAGCACAACTACAAGAGGCAACGAAGTAGATGCTGACAAGAGCACTACTCCGCGACCCTCAGCGCGAACTCGCATGGATCCAGGGTCAGGAGTCCTTCGTAAGTCAGCCAGGGGCGTCTTCGTCTTGCTTCGCGAGAGGCTAGAAAGCCTGGAAAAGATGGCGACTGCACCAACCTTCACTATGGCCTTCTCGAGTCGTCGTCGTTCGTCGAAGGGTGGAATAGTTAAGGCCCGTAATAAATCTGAGTGTAATGTTGATCATGTGGCACCAAACTTTCGGTTCTACTAAGTGTTGTATGTAAGTAAGTGCAGTATGTCGTTGATTCCTTGAATATCAAGCTGTGTTGGTGTTGCATGGCAGGTTCTTGCTCAATGTTACAGGTCCAGCTTGCACTTTTTTGACGATCATCTTCTTCGTACGTTATAAGTACTACAACTTGTTTGTTGAAAAATTGTCATAGTGATATTAGTGCCCTCAAATGTATCAGTATGTCCTTGCTCGGCTGCATGCGCTATCCTTGCATACTAGCGCTAATATTCGCGGAGAAGATGAGTATGAATTTGAGGACGAGGCGGACGAAGCGCAGGCAGGGAGTGCCTCAACAGGGGAGGACGCAAACAAAGGAACGGATATCACGACCATCGTCGCAGCAGTGATGGATATCGAAAGAGTTGTCCTGAAGCTCTGGCAACTGGGTGACGACGATCTTTCTTATGGTGAAGACGCTCGGTCTTAGTAGTACTAAACTCTAGTCCTATTCTAGATAGTAGCTGTATTGCCAATACTCGTTCTTCTCACATGGCAGGTTCTTGTCCTTGTTCTACTTACCTTTCTGTTGAAAAAGTGCAAGCAGATCACTTACTGCGTGATAGGTTTTTTTAGCTCCAGAGTGGATATCCATATCGATGCCCTCCCATCCCTGATCCTGATTACTCTAATTGCCAAAAATATTGGACGAAGGTAGCGGTGGCGAGCTTGTCAAGCTTCTCGAAGTGTACTCTGGGTTTGTCTTAGCACCAGAACGCAGCGAAGGCTGTCAGCGGACGCGCAGCCGAGCGGTTTTGTGCGCGTTGACAGTGGTTCTGCTGCTCGATCGTTCTTGCTGTTTCACTCACCCAATTGCGCTGGATCATCCTCTTAGCATCCCGGCGACTAAGTGCCTCGAGGTCTTGTTCCTGGATAATACCCTGCTGCGCCGCCATTTGCACTCGGTCGAGCGTTACTTGGAATTGCGACCAAAGAAAGCTAACGCCCCGCAACCCTGCGCGCCAATTCTTTCGACAGCCATCAACGAGAACTCTCTGCAGGTACGTTTCGCCCGTGTAAGCCTGGAGATGGAGGCTTTACTAAAGACGATCGAGGAGGCGGATGAGGAGGCCGTAGAAAAGAAGCACAAAGAGCTAAGAGAAAAAAAGAAGGAGGCAAAAGACTTGCAATTGGCGGCAAAGAAGTATCAATGCTCCTGCAGATTCGCGAAGCAAAAACCCGGCTCGAAGGCAAAGGGGAAGCGGCTAACGAAGTTGGAAGACTGTAAGCACTGCACAGGCATGGAAGCCGCGGAAGCGGTCAAGTTTGAACCGCACGCGAAGCTGTTGCCATTATGCGTGGACTTATATTGACAAATAGCCTGGCGCTGACTTTTTATCCTTATCTACAAAGTACTTCCTTCCGACCACTCTGCATGCTCTAAGTAAGGCACTTACTACGATGCCCGTGCTCGTCTCTAGACAACTTCTACTAGATGGTAGCCCTAGTTCGTTGGTCTTGATTTGATTCCTTGGCAAGAGTTCGCGCTTCCCGCCTTCAGCGTCTAAGCTGCAATGACGACACGAAGAAGCAGGCCATTGTCTTCGAACTCTTGAAGCCTGAGAAGATTCACTGGCTGGAATCGGCCTTAGCGGTGTTTGGGCAAACCTTCCTGGCCGGCGCCACCTCGTCCAATGTAACGCACAGCTTCCACACGTTAAGGATTTCCGCGCTTCGTCTTCTTTAGGGGCCGCCCCATTCTGTGTGGCTTGTTTCAAAAGGAGCAACATGCTACAGAGATGGCTCGTAAGATGAATCCACTTAGGTAAAAGCTCTAAAGATGGCCAAGTTTACACCTTGGGGCGCAAGCCGTGACGAGCTAGAAGAATACCGCAACACGCCACACATCGACAATGATTCTGGCGAAGCTCCTCGCATTTGTCTAGGATTCACTCGCGAATCTAGCGAAAGCAAGTCCTCCGGTGCCGCCATCCAGATGGACTCCAAGCTTTGCTGCCACCCATTCTACGAAAACAAGAGCAACATCCGCGTCGGGATATTGTTACCTGCGTCCACAGCGACTTTGCTAGACGCTGACGGGCGGCGGTACTACGAACTTTGCACTGCTTACTTTTGTACTTTTCTGTGTATTCAAACTTCGTCCTGGAGTAGTTCTTCTTGAAACAAAAGAATAGAGGATCTTAAGTATTGAGAATCTAGAGTATTTATTATCTCTTATGCGAGTACTTATTCATTGTTCTGGAGGACGGTGCAGGTTCACTGGCGACGAGGTGTGGTTCTAGTTAAAAAAAGCTTCTTGATGTGTCGTTGCAGCTACGTAGCGTCTGCCTCATCGAACTATCCACTGCCACCTCTTTTGCTAATTTTTGCCTAATCCTTACTAGAACTATCGCTATTTTTATCGCATGACCGTATCTACCTTTTTCCCCATAATCTCAGGTCGTTCAAGGCGGGGGCAGGAGTCGAGAAATATGGAAGGGCAAAGGCTATGGATGACTGGCACTGGAGCAATCTGGTGAAGCTTTTTGACGTCGTATTTGACGCTCGCCGCTATCCTCAAACGCAAGACTTGATGCGCACTTGGTCCCGGCAAACGGAAAACAAGGTATTGGCAGAACAGTGCGAAGCTTTCAATGGTGCGGATGCTGGAGAGGATGCTGTTGCTGGAGGGCCCAACAAGAAAGATGAAGATGCTGCTGACGTCGCCCCAACACTACGCGAATTCATAGACTACTCGATGTTGCGGTCGGGTCATTTATTACAGATCCCGCGTTTAGTGATGGCTTTAACGTTCGGCGAGCTCGATGTCAACAGCATCGACCTTCTCTCTCTGGTCACCGCTCTGCTATGGCAGGTCGGGCCTGCCTTGGACGAGCACTCCGCGATACAAGACACCTGCGTAGAGATTGAGCGAGCCGTCGGCGCAATTGTATGCTGGGAAATTTACTTTCTATCAAGAATTTGAACCTCAGCATCTAGTATAGTAAATCTAGCACCAGTTCCATCTGCCACGTCTGGCAAAAGTTTTAGCTCAAGAAAGTAGATCTAGTAAGGGAAGACTCCTAATTCTAGTACTAGTGGTAGTTACAGCAAATATATATAAATATAACATATATTTTACGAGCACTTCTAGTGTCTGGTTTTTAGTTTCTTTGTTCGTCCTTCTCCTTGTTTTTCCGTGGTAGTGCGTGGGCGCCAGGAAGTCTTTATTATCTATACATAGATCCCTTTCCCATTCCTCATCCCTCTAATCATCAAAAAGCGCAGGGCCGCCAATGGTGGTCTTCATCTTCATGCCGACGATACGGATTCCGATGTTGAGTGCAGATACCGCGAGGCCACGACTTTGCTGGGAGACCCCAGCTACGCAATGGACGTCGTGGCAGCGGCCGAGCGAGTCCATAAAAGTTAAGGCCTCCACTTTAAACCTAGTCCATGTTGTTCTACTCAGTCGATCCATCTTTGAACTTTCCTCCGTCTGTTTCTGTGCATCTTTATACTTTTACGACTCCACGATCGACCTGTGAGCTGCTAACTCAAAGTAGAAAAGTGGACACAGACGAGGAAAAAGATGGATTGTGGTGGCATCTAAAGAAAGGTCAAGCTCGCTGGGATGGGCGGAGCAGTGAGTAACCACGTAGCTTTGCTCTTGGTGATTCAGATCGTGCGTTTTGTGTGGCATCACACTCCAAGGACACGCCGGGGGCAAGCCAAAAGCGAGCGAGCAGATGTCGCATGCTCTCGCGTTCTTTTACGGCTTGTAGTACTTGCTAAATTTGAGGGTAGGCACGTTACAAAATATAGTGGGCTGCTTTTGATTTTGTTCGTCGGGGTAGTTACGTACTGTCTCACACATTTGCGTTCGGATTTGCTACCTCCATCTATGAGTGAGCACGTTGAGGTCCTGACTTCTCTGTAGTCTACTCTGGCAGCACTGGACGATAACAAGTCGTCTATCTGCAGCAGGAGTTCGAGTCTTAGACTTTTTCTAAGTGCTGCCTCTTCTACTATCTAGATAAAATGCAAAGCGGTTTCAAATTCTAATCCTCCGCGCAGCAAGAAAGATGGCGATTGAGTGGCTAAGCAAGCTCAGGAAAGACGCTGACACAGCTGAAAGCGATGAGGAGATGCAAAGGCTGAAGACTAAGATGCTAGAAATTTCTGCGGCAGCTGCTCTCACGTTTCTGGATGGCCCCTTGCTCCTCCTTGGGGGAAAGGTATCAAAGAGCAGCAACGATGGGGATGGGGAAAGCGGAACGGCGGGAAATAAAAAGCCGGTCCTCGCAGCAAAGAACTCTGACAGTGTGAAGGTCGATGACAGACCTATCAAGGTGGAACAAGAACAAGTGCTAGACCTCCATACAAAAGAAGAGCAAGAGCATAAGGGAAGCATCTATATCAAAAATGAACCACATTCATCTTCGTCTTCTGGGGAAGAAGATGTTGAACTACCACAGCAAATGGAACCTGCAGACGGTTCTGCTATCGCTGGAGACGCGATGATGAAGCTCGAACCGGTAAAGCAGGAGGAAGACCTCTTTGATTCAATGATGCATGAGGCACAGCCTTTACCTGAAGATCAGGGAACGGACGACGGCGACCAAACTGACACTGCAGACTGGCTTTTCATCCGAGCGATTTATCTTATGGAGGAGGGATTTGATTTTGACTTTGACAGAAGTAGAAGATATTGATCCAGATACAGCATCTAGTTATGGTACACCGAGAAGATGGCACACAGAGTGATGCTCGTTCTTTTCGTCATACAAACATGCTTAGTCGCGTGTCGCGTTGTTTGTTGCAGATTGCAGCATCGTCTTCCAAAGCTGGATACGCACATCTAGTTGTGCAGTCTACATCTGATCTCCACTTCTAATCGGAGTGACAACTACTCTGGCGCAGCCCTGAAAAAGCCGTTTCTACGACGTCAACTTCTTGCCGCGGAAACAGTTGCGCAGGACATTGCGCCACGAATCCACAAGATCCTGAAGCAGAGTAAGTGTAAGGGCCTCAACGAATTCGTTGCGCGCTACATGAATGCCAACACTGCAGACGCCGACGATACTACCACAAGTGTTTCAACATCGTGGAAATCCTATGCGGATGAAGATGATGATGACTATGAACAAGAAAAACTCGAAGTAGATGGAGATGACTCACTCGTACACGAGAAACAAGGTGACTCATGGTATAGTCATACACTGGAGAAAGCAAACGGGCAAAGGCAGTTGCTGCAGATGGACGTCGTTGGTGGGACATTTCTAGTTGATGGAGCTCCATGCGGTCGACTACCCGATGAGATTGTTAATTATGATTTACTAGTTGAAGATGAAGTTGTACAACTTGAGAGGATGTTGATATCATGGAAGATAAGACTCTTGGATTTTATGATATTTTGTAGTTTGGGTAAATTTCTATATAGGGCTTGTAGTTGTTATTTCGAGGAAAGTTCTTAAAAATACTTGTTGTTGTTGTTGTAGATACTACAGATGAAAGTTTCTATCGAGCTCCTTCTAGAGGACATATTTTTTTTTGCATTTTTGACTGGCTCTTTGTTATCTCAGCACCTCTAATCCACCCATCCGGACTACACTCGAATCTTCCAGCGATCGATCTTTTCGGTGCACCCTGTTGGCAGTGGCTTATACAAGACATCGGCGAAGTTGAATGGGGCCACGTTTTACTTTCGAAAAGGGGACGCGTCAACCGGTGGCGCACCCTTGATCGTGGAAGAACGCGAAGAACAACATATTGTGACGAAAGATGATGCTGCTGAGAAGCAGAGTGACAACCATGACGATTTTGCTGTAGAAGAGCCTCTTTGTGGTACGCAAGGTGAAGATGGGGATCCTGAACATGACAAAGCTTCGCCAACAAAGTCTTCTGTCGTACTACGTCGCTCGATCTATGTATCTCCTGATACGTTCAAGGATGTAGATTCCAGATTTTCTCTTGCTGGACGCAAGTACGATTGCGACTTCCCGATCGACCTCATTGAGTCGTATGGCCACTGGATTTCGCTCTCTACAACAACTGGTGGGAAGAGCACATCTTCCAGTAAGACGGCGATGGGCATGGAGGTGGTGGAAGAAGGTGATAATGGGAAAAAAGCGGGAGACAAGGAGGACGAACAGGAAGAAGTAGTCGCAAGCAAAAAGCAATCGCAAAAAAAGGCTTCTAAATCTAAAAAAGCAAGCGCGGGCACGCCCTCTGCTAGTACAAGGACGTCCTTGATGAAGAAACACCAACTGGCCTTGCCATGGACATTATCTTTTCGCCCAGTGCAGTACAATGATCCGAAGTTTGGTAGCCGCGCTGATTTCGTCCTAGATGCCACCACGCGACGCCTCCGCGATACGTCTATGCAGCTAGACCTACTCGAGCTACACAGTGAAGCCGTTCAGAAACTGCATTCTAGGGTCTTCAAGCGGGTTAGTCCATTGCAGCATCTTCATCCGTATTACTGCTTTACCAAGGAAGAGCAGACGACCGCGTCGCCGTCTGGGTCTGGTGCTGACAGCCCTGGAGATGGCCTAAGCGGCTTGTTAGGAAATGCCGCGTCCCCGCTTGCTCTTCGAAGTCCAGGCAAGAACAACGCAGCAGCCTCGACTCCTGGCGATCCCACGAAAGACCCTATCGCCTTGGTCAAGCTTCCGCGCCTAGAGGGCATCCGTTTTTACGTAGCAGAGCTGCGGCCCAAGGGTAATATGACAGTCCTCGACGCCGCTTCACCAGCGCGATCGTCTCCGATAAAGTCTCCAGGAAAATCTTCCCTGAAACTTCTTGGTGTGCCAGATGAGGTTGCTGAACAGGAGTCTGTCGGAGCATCTACAGCTTTGAAGATGTTGCCTCCACCGCCTCAAGAGCAAGAAGAAACCACCAGTGCCGTAGGACCGGACCCAGCGGAGAGTGTAAATGTAGCAGTAGCTGCGCAGGATAATCAAGAGGATGACCTGTTGGCTAGTGATAACGAGAACGAAGGACCGCCGGCAAAGAAGATGAAGCGTGGCAGACCGATGAAGGTGGTAGAACCTAAGGCCAAAGGGAAAGCGGCAGCGAAGATGAAGAGCAAGGGCAGTAAAAAAGCGCAGGAGAAAGAAGCCACTACAGCGACGGAGGAACGACTTTTGCCAGCTGAGGGCGACGAGGCCAGCGTCGGGAAAGAGAAGACCGCAACAACTAAAAAGATGGCCGCTAAGGCGAAGGCAAAAGCAGCTTCTTCTTTTACAACCTCTAAACAACTGATCGCTACTGCGCAAACGAGCACACTCACAGTAACCAGCGCCAGCACTAGCAGAGCCGTACTGGCCGCGCCACCTCGCATTCCTGGGCCTTGCAACGTGATCTATTGCCCGGAGCTGCAGCATTACAGAGTGCGCGAGGATCAAAATGCGGACACGCTCCGAGGCCTCTGCAGCGGCCTGCTGATGGCGCCGCCAAAGACCTCAAGCACGGGCACAGCGTCAGCAACGTCGTACAGCGACAACCTACTCTTTGTCCCGCACTCCGTTTCTGTTGAGCGCGATGAGAGTGGTCGCGTGCATCTTGACTGTGCTCGTCTTCGCTCGCAGCCTCGCTACTTCGTCTACAAATTTCGCACGGATCTGAAGATACTTGCGGCTCCAGCAGACCGGCTTGCGTCGCTGTTTCTTGCCCTGCTGCACGCTCAGACAAGCGGAGTCACGCCTGATGCGTTCCTTGGCTGCACCGGTTCACAGCGAGCGTTGCAGATTCTGAACAGTGGACACGTGAGGGGGAGCCTTGTGACGTCTTATGGTCATCTTTTCATGTCCTCGCGCGTGTAGATTTAGATTTACATCATGTAGTACTAGTTCATCATGATGATGTGAGTAAAGTCTATTCATGGGTTTTGGTTTCTGCGGTAGCTACTAAAAAGTGTTCTTGTTTTCTTTCTGCTTTGTTGATGAAGAGCATACTTGTTAGTTTTTACACAATATATTTATGCACTGGAGGAGCTTGCGGGGGAAGTGATTATACTAACTGGTGAGTTAACTTAGGTGAGAGAAAAGATACGCTCTCTGGAAGGTTCCTGGACGACAGTCGACAAAAAATGTCGGCTGAGGGACCAACTAGGGAGAGGGTTGGGGGCAACGGGCCCCGCGAGCCCCGTCGTGTGCGGTGCGAAAAATGCACTCACGCGCGACGCCGCCGGTCGATGCAATGGCGCATCTCGGCGAAGGCGAACCACGG